TAACAGACTCTTGCATTTTTCTCACTGACTGACCATTCCATTAAGGTATGCCTATATTACTTAACATGAACAGAAACACTGTGTTGAATGCTGTTACTTAGAGCTAGAAATGAACTGGCATTCCATAATGAACTTTATGCAGGTAATGCTTCGTTCGTTCGTTCGTTCGTTCATTATATTTCTACACCACTTTGCACTCATACAAGCCACAAAGGAGCTTACAAACCATTGTTGGTTTAGTGCTACGGACAGGGCCAGCCCAAGACATTTTGGTACCTGAGGCAAATCACAAAATGGCGGTCCCCTCCCCGCCAGGGAAGAAGGGGTGAGAGAAGATCTATATCAGAAACAAGGCGGGAATAAAGATCTGTATTGGGATCCGCTGGCCCTATAAATCTTGCCACCTGAGGCGGTTGCCTCAACTTGCCTCATGTATGGGCCGGCCTTGGCTAACTGTAGGACTCATTTTGGAGTTAGAATGTTCCACTGCGCCTTCCCAGGATTGGTAAGGTAAAGGTAAAGGGACCCCTGACCATTAGGTCCAGTCGTGACCAACTCTGGGGTTGCGGCGCTCATCTCGCTCTATGGGCCGAGGGAGCCGGCGTTTGTCCGCAGACAGCTTCCAGATCATGTGGCCAGCATGACTAAGCCACTTCTGGCGAACCAGAGCAGCGCACAGAAACTCCGTTTATCTTCCCGGTTCCTATTTATCTACTTGCACTTTGATGTGCTTTCGAACTGCTAGGTTGGCAGGAGCAGGGACCATGCAACGGGAGCTCACCCCGTCACAGGGATTCGAACTGCTGACCTTCTGATCGGCAAGTCCTAGGCTCTGTGGTTTAACCCACAGCGCCACCTGCGTCCCAGGATTGGTGGACTTACCTAAAATAGACACATGGATGTAGGCAATGTCTGAGGCAATTGCCTCACCTTGCCTCTGGGTGGGCTGGCCCTGCTGGGTACTGTAGTTGCTGGAAATCGTAACTATGTGGGGAGTAAACCATAGTGCCCAGAAGTCTATGAGGGAAATAATGTGCTTCGAATGGACTTTAAGGCAATGGTTCCTGACTTTTTCGGTATGGCATCCCACAAGTCCAAATTTACTTGGTATGGTGACCCGTTGATTTATTGTCAACTGAATTTTGGACCTTAGGGCTCCTCTGCTGCCAGTTGCAAGACAACAGCAGTTCCCAAGTGTTAAAATAAAATGCTTGAGCCTTTCTAAGATTCATTTACAAGTGTCAACAAAGCATTATAGCATGCCAAGAAAGCGAGAAGCTGTAAAAGACATTCATCATATCAGTTAAGGATTACAAGCAATAATTTTTCTGGGACTACTAAGAGAGCCTGCAAGCCACTTGCACAGACTTTGTGACCTACTCACATGTAGGTTCAAAAATGCTGCTTTAAGGTATAGTGTGGGCACAGCCATTTTGTCTAGTTCAGGCCTAAGACACTTGATGCGGAGATTGTTGAGATCAGTATCAAGATGTATCTTAAACCTGGGTCTTTCACAACACTAGTGCCCCTTCTGCACGCAATGTTGTGTGCCTTGCCACAAAATGGGGTTGTTGTGGAGGCCACACCCCTGGAATCAGGCATTGGTGTGGATGCATCAAGTGACAAAACCCATGTACAATCACACATGGGCTTGCACACAGATGGGGCACCCACACATTTAGGCAGAGGCTTCGTCAGTTCAAATAATAATAATAATAATAATAATAATTTATTATTTGTACCCCCGCCCATCTGGCTGGGTTTCCAAAACCAAAAATACACTAAAATATCACACATTAAAAACTTCCCTGAACAGGGCTGCCTTAAGATGTCTTCTGAATGTCAGGTAGTTGTTTATCGCTTTGACATCTGATGGGAGGGCGTTCCACAGGGCGGGTGCCACTACCGAGAAGGCCCTCTGCCTGGTTCCCTGTAGCTTTGCTTCTCGCAATGAGGGAACCGCCAGAAGGCCCTCAGCGTCCAGGCAGAACGATGGGGGTGGAGACACTCCTTCAGGTATACTGGGCCGAGGCCAAATGGCTTCCAATGTGCTTGATGAACAGGGATGGGACCAACAGGTTAGCCCCGCTCTGTAATAATTGTGCAATTTCGCCTCTTGATGTGATTCACAAGTGCAGGGCAATACTGAAAGCCTTGATCTTGTTAAGTTCAAAGTTATTTTGGCATTGGGGATTTGGCATTGACATTCTATTATAACTGGAAATATTTCATATTATCAAATTTGACAGGAAAGTAAGAAAGGTTGTCTATCTTATAGAGGATGGTAATTCTTACTTATTACCTTTTAAAGCTATATTATGCTTAATAGACACGCTGTATTCTTCCTTCAAAATCCTGCAGAAGATTCCTTTATGGAGACTGATTAAACTGATATTCTGGTTAAAAGCTTGAAAGTTATTTGATTCCTGTCTAGGTAGATCTCATTAAAAATTCATTCAGTTAATGAATTCGTAAGTTTCACTAAATATCCACCACCGAATAAAAGCAAGCTGTAATGTTAGGGTATGCTACTAACTCTAGTATTAAGGCAATATTTTGGCAACAGATCAGGGTAATTTAGTACACTGTCACAGCCTAGCCAAACATTTCAGTTTTGTGTTCTTAAGCAAAATTAACTGTTTATTTTTCAAGACACCTTTTCTGATTGATTTTGACAGCGGAACAGGGCATTGCTGAACTAATTAAACATCTGGGATTATCAACTGAAAATTAATCTTCATGTTCAGACTCTGCATTGGTTGTGCAACCTCCAGAGACACCAGAGAAATCCCAATGGACATTCCAAGCCTTAGAAATTCCAGACTCTGAAGGCAACTAATTTGCCTGACAATCGCAACAGTGTCTGAAAACTAGTATTAACTAACCAATTAAACAAGCCTAATTTATTTGGAAAATAAAAATAGATCAATTTTCTAGCTCTACCCCAATGCACACCACCATCTCTATGAAGCAACCAATATATTTCTAATCCCTTTTATAAAATTGTATTTATTAATCATTTTGCTTTGTGTTAAATCTCAGTTTGCATGACTGTTCTGCAATATAGGGGGAAGACTGAGAGGAACTTCCAAGTAAATGTGTTTGGGATTCAGGCATAAAGTTCAATGATTTGAATGTGTTGTATAGCTGCAGAGGAATTTGAGTGTGACATAGGATATTCCCAAAACACATGTATATACAGCTGAATCCTGTCCATGTTTATCCAGAAACAACTCCCACCAAGTTCAGTAGGGCTTACTGCCAGGTGCAAATGTCTGCAGCCTGCCTTAGCAGGAAGTCCCATAATTCCAGTCCTATGCACTCCCAGTTATGTGCCTGGATGCCCCAGATTCATGCTTCCAGACAGCAGCATTTGAGCAATGAAGGCCACATAATTAGCACTAGTTTTTAATCAGGGCTTTTTGAGGGCGACGGGGCTATGCAGGAAGTATTCACGCTCCTCTCCAGCGCTTGTTGTCGGCGGCAGGTTCTTGCGAGTCTGCAAGCATGGTTGCCAGATGTTCCACCCATGAAAGGGCAGTCCAAAAACCATGACAGCCTCGCGCAACGCACTTGATTCGTCCTCTTGCGAGGCGCAACCCTCCCCCTTCTCTCCCTTACAGGCCTCCGGAGCGTCCCTTCCTTTATTTTTACGTTAAACCCGCCGCCCAGGTAGAATTTAGCAGCGCTGGACGGAAAACACACTGCGCACTGAAGGTTTCCTTTAAAAACACAAACAGCTGGGTCGTGCGCCCAGGCGTGCGCAAGCAAGTGGACCATCCAACGAGCAAGCAATCGGGATCGTAAAAGCTCCTTGTTCGCGTTAGGCAGAGTTGCTGCTCTCTTATTATTATTATTATTGCTATTCTTGTTGTGAAGTTGCGGGGAGCCCAGATCAAGATCGTGATTGACAGCCGCAGTGGCAAGCTGTGACCACGCAGCCTGCAGTCCCTGGAGCTGCTCTGTGCTAGTAAATAATAGATCCCTCGATTTCTCTCCTCCTCCAACGTCCGTCCCCCCCCCCCATTCCTCCTCCTCCTCCTCCATCAGTCAGATCCCCAGCTTTGTCCGGGCAGCTCTTTCATCCCCTGCTTCCCACACTGCCTCCCCTCCTCCCTCCCTCGCTGTCCTCAATGCATGATGGATGGAGAGCCAGCCCGGGAGCTGGAGCGATCAAGCCTCGTGCAATCGCCCGGCCGTCCAATCGATTGCACCACCAAAAAAATAAATAAAATAAAAATGCTATTTGTTTCACTTCCTAGCACCGGGGAGGACGGCTTCCCGAAAGAAAGCGTGTCTTAAATTTAAAAGGAGGCGGTGGGGGAGGGCGAGAAACAGGATCCATTTCCTCGCCAAGTGCGCACCAGGAAGGAAATTCGTTGCTATTAATTAAGGAATTGCAACGAAACCAAACACCCCCGGTCCTGTCTCTCCTGCTTGCAATGACACTTTGCGCTTCCTTCCACGAAAGGAGAGCCCTTCCCTTGCTGAAGAAGTGCCAGAAGGCTAGCAATGGGGCAGATAAAGATTTATATTTTTTTTCAAGGCCCCCTGGTTGCTTGCGTTCCCCTTCCCGCCCACTCCTCCCCCTAGATCGCCAGGAACAAAGAAGGGGGAAAGCGTCTGGGAGCGGGGGGGTGTTGTGTTTGAGGATGATTCCGGGTTTGGCTCGTCGGGTCTGCCTGAGGCAGAGCTCTCCAGCGCTATTGATCTCTGCACATTTCACCCCGTGGTCGCCGAGAGAGGTTTCCTGTCTCTGTGGAAACTCTGTCTCCGGATCCCATGTGTCAGAGCTCATCTGGGAGAGCATTTCTTCCTCGAAAACGGCATCAGCTGGAGAGATGCGAGGCCGCTGTTCCCCAGCCTCTGACAGTTAACTCATTTCGTGCAGCCGTGCAATCAGTCACATGCACGGGTGCAATGTAAGACCCCCCCTTTATTATGCAATGTGCGGATAAACACACACCTACTATAATAATATTAAATAAATGTTCTGTATTCCAGTCCATCATAGCCCCGCCGCGGAGAAAACACAGCGAACCTCGTTTCATTTTATTTTTAAAAAGCAACTCTTAACACATGCAAGGAGGGAGTAGAGAGGCGCTCGGTTTGTTCCCCTTCTCTGCCTTACAGTACTTTCGGCACAAGCTCGGGAGTTTATAATCCGAATTAATTAATCCGGAGCAAGTACCGCCGCTTGGTTCCGTATACACACTCACAAACGTGACTTGTCTTCACTCCACCCATGCTTCTCCGTTGGGAGTGAGAAATATCCGCTCTTGCAGCAACCCTGATGATACACCGGGATGAGTAAAAGGGCGTTAAGGGCCATCACAGACCCGGTCCGGGCAGGTGATGCGGAGTGTGCGCCCTTAGTGGTTATTGGCAGAGTTACAGGGCTGAATAAGTCACCCTTGCCCAGTCCTCACACAGCACCTGGAGGTAGGAAACAGACTCTGCACTGCAGGGTTAGCTTTGTGGATGTAGGAAGCCCCTATAACAGCCAGATCCAGCCTCTTTTGCCACCTAGAACCCTTTAATGTCTGGAGCTGCTAGTTCGCTCGGATGCAGTTGCGACGAAGAAGAGGTGCGGAAGAAAGGAAAATCAGGAGGAGGTCGAAAAGGCGGCTATTTCCATAGGAAGGGGAACTGCACGCGGGCGCAATCGATCGCCGTCTCTGCATGAGTCCCTGTTCTGATACAGTTCTGCAAACACGCCGTTTCCTGTTTCTGGCCGATCCAAGCGGACGGGGCTGGTCCCGAAGTGAGAAAGAAAAAAAATAAGAAAAGCTTGTTGACAACACCCCCCCCCCCCATTGCATAGTTTACGCGGCGCTTTTGAGGCCGGCGTCAGCGGAGCTGGGAGGGAGGGAGTTTCTCATTCGGGGTCTGCAGTAGCAGAGGCGAGAAACTTCTTTTCCCAGGGATACAAAAAGGAGACGGCGGCACAAAGGCAGATCCCGATCTTATTTCTTGCAAACGGGCGCGCACGCTCTCTGCTCTCCGCCGCCTCCCAGCGCCACACCGGATGTGAATCGGGAGTGGGTTTCGCCGCTGTCCCGCCAGTATTTTGGAGAGGAGGGCCCAAGGGTGTGTGTGTGCGTGTTTAGAAATCCGCTGCGTGGATGCCCTTCGCTTTCCCTCCCCCTGACGGCGTGCTGCTGCTGCTGCTGCTGCTGCTTTTGCAAAGAGGCGGTGCTGCTGCGAGCAGCAGCTGCGTTTCCTGGGGAGATCGGCTACCTTTGTTTTTCTCTTGCACCGAATTACACCCCCACGAGGAACACGCTCGTGGGCCTGGCGTGGAGGAAGCAGTTGCGGGGGGTGTACAAGCCAGGGGCAGCTGCCGCTTCTCTCTCTCTCTTTCTCCTCCCCTCCTCCCTCCCCTCCGCTTCCCTTCCACCCCCCCCCCCGGTGTACTTTGCTCGGCTGCTCCTCCTCCTCTTAAGGAAGTTTCCTCCCCCTCTTCTTCTCTTCTCTTCTTCTTCTACGAGCGCCGCCGCTGCACTTCCCCATATTTCGCAGCCTTGCCTAACCGCCCGCCCCAACTACTCCCGGGTTGGGGGGGGGGAGAGAGAGAGGAAGGGCTTTGGCCGGCGGACCCCCCTTTCCTCCAGCGCGGTGGGGCTGAGCCGGGCACCGGCGCCCCCCGGCCCTTGAGCGAGGCCGAATGCCGGTGGCAGCGGCGGCGGCCAACTCGCACCCCCGCGCGGTGCAGCAGCCCGACGCCCGCCCCTTCGCCGCCTCCGTCCGCCTCCGGGACCGGGACCCCGCCAAGCACCAAGGCGCCGAGGAGCGCCCCGAGCCCCACCACCGCCACGGCCAGGCCGCCGGGGAGGCGGTGGCGAGGGCAGCCGGCGGCAGAACGGCGGCTCCTTCCGGCGCCGCTTCGCCGCCCGCCCTGCTGGCTTTCTCGCCGTCTTCTCCGCCGGGCCCGCCGCCGCCTGAGCCCCCACGGACTCGCTCCCGCTCCCGCTCCGGATTCTTCAGCCTCCTCGCCATGAACGGCGGCGGCGGCGCCACAGCCACGGCAGCTGCCGCCGCCGCGCACTTCCAGCCGCCACCGCCGCCGCCTCCTCCTGCCCCGCCGCATCTCCATGGGCCGAGCCTGCCCGAGTTGGGCGCCCGCAGCCAAGGCAGAGGGAGCCCCGCTGGACACGGGCACCCCAGGGCCCCGCCGGGAGCCAGGGCGCCCGCGCCAGGTAATGGGGGGGGGGCCCACACAGGTGGGGTTTGGGCGAGGGAGTGTGGGGCGCTGGGGGGCGGCCATGTGGGAATGGGGGGGGCGGCTGTGGGGAGTAAACATGGGGGGGTGTCTCGGGGGGGGGGGGGGAGGAAGAGGCCGGCGGCGAAGCGGGGAGGCAGCCTCTGAGGGACCGGGAGGTGACAGGATGTTTGTGAGGTGACTAATAAGTGGGTGCTGAGGTGAATTCCGCGTGAGGCGCCGAGCAAATATTCCAGAAGGCGGGGGCTGGGAACAAAAAAACGGGGGGGACACCCCACAAAATGGGGGGAAGGATAAAAATAAGAAACTTGGGAATGCCTCGGCCCAGCCTTCAACTTAATCCTGTTTACTTGGGAGTTGAAGTCCCACCGAGTTCAATAGGGCGCAACTTCCTCGTGAAGTGCGTTGAGGATGCCCGCCTTGTCGAAAGAGCGCTGGCTCTTCAAAGCCTCCTGGCTTTAAAATGATGCCTTAATTTGCCAGGTGCGGGGTCTAAAGAGAAGCCATAATAAACCGAGGAAACAATTAAAACCCAGAGACAAAGAGTACAAAAAAACAACAACACCCCGACCACCAGAAGCACCCCCCCTCAACAACATGTGCTAGGCAGGATGGAAATGGAAGCTGCTTTTCCTCAGAGGGGTGGGGTGGGGGGCTGAAGGTCCACACAAAAATCAGCATTTTGATTTCCCACAAAAGTTGTCCCATTCAGCGCTACTTCTCCTCCATCACCCCTTCCGCTTCTCAGTGGTGCTTTGCTCTTCCTCTGTGTGTTTGTGGGTCGGTGTTAAGTGTGTTAGTGTGTGCATTCTCTTTTAATATGAAGGGCATTAAACATGCTGGCTTTTTTTGTGTGGAGGGGCAGAGAGAGAGGGGAGAAGGCCTTGGACATTGGGAGGACTTTTCCTGTGCTTTGGCGACACATGTGCATCTTCCACTTCTGGGAAAGAGGCTCCTGATTCTTTAGTAATAAACTTGGTGTAGTAGCCTGTGAATTGGTGTGGACGTTTGTAGATTGTGTTGTCCACTGGAATTGGAAGCTGGAAGACTGTCTTTGGAGGGAAATGGCAATAGTGTACATATGGAGATGAAAAAAAACCAAGTTGGCTTTGGGGGGGGGGGGAGAGAAAGCTCACAACTAAATAACTTCAACAATTTTGCAGCTGGTGATTTTCAGAACAGCTAAAACTTTTAAGTGCATTGAAGCTAGAAATAATGTGACGAAGTACAGTGTGGTGTTCAACCTAACAAGATGCTGTGGTGGGAGAAGAGGGGGGGGGGACTTTTCACCTTTCACAGATATCAGAATTTGTGACTCTGGAAGACCTGAAATGCCTGCCAAAGAAAACTCTAGACCCGTGGTTCTCAACTTAGGGCACACACCCCACAGAGGGGCAATTTGATTTTTAAGGGGGGCAATTTGGAAGCTTGTTTAGGCCAATTTAATGGCCTTTTAGGCTTCCTCCATGTGAATAGGAATTCACTTTTTGAATAATAAGAATTATATGTCACCAGGGGGTGGGGGCATCAGGATTTTAGAGATGCTTAGGTGGGGCATGGCCAAAAAAAGATTGGGAACCACTGCTCTAGACCCTAGAACCACTGTCACATAACATGCACTATGTCATACAATAATATCCATACCGAGTAGACATCTTTACAGCAAGTATACATGGTATATATATATATATATAAAGGGAGTATTCTGGGTTTTCTTGGTTCCATAGAAAGAATCATGTCATTGACAGGGGAACTTATAGTTGAGAGTGCCCATCTATTTGTAAATTAATTAAAATATTTTTTTTCTTTTTGAGCCTGTGATTGTAATTGCTTTCTTGACTGTTCAAAATATTATTGGTTCTGCTTTTGACATGAGGTGTTCAAACTGTCCCATGGCTTTAAGAAGAATAACTGATACAGTAAGGCAATATTTCCAGGTGTTTCATGACTAATACCATTTTATGAATTAATAGTTTGGAATAAATTAGAAGTGCCAGAGCTTTAACTCTTCTTGGAAGTCACTCCCTCTGCCCTTGATGATCTTCCTCCTAATTCCACATGTACGTGGGCTGGTTGTGGTTACTCACTAGTGAAGGAAAGGCACTCTACAAGTTGCATTGCTCATATGAGCACTTCTTTAAAAATCAGGTGTCAGGTATCCATGAGTTCAGTATCAGATCAGGCTCTTGAACTACATTGTGATAGGTTCAAGTTTTGTCTAAATGAAGCAACTTTTTCTGGGTGCTGGAGATAATAATTTTCTGCACTGCACCCACTAAGTAATGTAAAAATGATCAATGTATTTTATTAAATGTCAACTTTCACCTCAGTAAGATAATATTAGATATGATTTGCATTTAAAATTAGAGTTGCTTGTTAATACTTGAGGACATGAATTCTATTGCTCTCCTGAAAGTTCACATGTAATAAACCCCCATGAATTTGCGTTTGTGGGGCTGGTATGATCTGAAAGATTCCTGGTCCTGATTTCTTCAGAAACCTGTAAACCGAGTATGCTGAGAAAACAGTACTTGTGGGCTGGATATGTATTTATTTCAGCTGGGCAAAATCTTTTTTTTTTTTTAAATTGTGGTAGCTGAATTTCAGATAACCAAAAAAAGTTAAATATATCTTCTTTTATTGAATTGGCTTTGTGCTGAGCAGCTGATACCTGATTTTGAACGTTAGGCCTATGTCCTAATGCAGGCATAGGCAAACTCGGTCCTCCAGATGTTTTGGGACTACAACTCCCATCATCCCTAGCTAACAGGACCAGTGGTCAGGGATGATGGGAGTTGTAGTCCCAAAATATCCGGAGGGCCGAGTTTGCCTATGCCTGTCTTAGTGTAAGGGATTATTTACAATAGTATTCAATGAGAGATACATCTTTTTCTGTTCAACTTTAAGAACTGCAAATATTTTTAAGAATCTCAATTCTAAACATTCTGGCAGACACTTTGTTATTCCATTTTTATTTAATTTGAATACTTTTGAAGTCATTAAATGGAGTAATGTGGAATAAAGAGCAAAATATGTGACATAATTTGTAATGTATAGAGAGCACGCTTCAGTACTAGGTTATTTTTAATGTTTAGCTAAAGTGACTGATGTAGTCCTGGGGCAGAGCCAGTAATGATGGTACACTTTCAAATAAAGTGTTAGTTTTACATTGGGCTGTAGTAAGTAATTCAAAATGGTTTCAGTTCTTCTTTTCATTAGAGTTATTTCTTAGACCTGAAAAATTCAGAGTTGCATATTTACACCTGCACATGATTACTCGAGAAAACCCACTGAGATGATGGGACTAGTTTCAAGTAAATGTGCATAGGAATTGTCATAGGAAAACATAAAGCACTCTCATTACATCTTGGAGACAAGTATTAAACTTTATTGCATTTTATTTTATTTTTAAAAATAAATGGAATAGACTTCCAATTAATGATGTCACTCTAAACCAAGAAGAGGTTAGTTGTAGATGATCAATCCCTCCTTTTTCACACAACAACAGTGGCTTATCCTTGCATAGTTTCTGGTTGAACTATTGCTTCAATGGAGAGTAAAGCAATTGGGTGTTCATACTTTGGCTGACCTTTGTAGCAAGCCATTGTCATCTTTGATACAACCCTTTACCTTCCCCTGTCCTCTTCCTGTGTGTGCTCTCCACAATCTTCAAATCTGCTCTGAGGGGTTGGGGGAACCCTCAAGACAGATTTAGGAGGCACATTATTCAGTTTATTCAGTCATTGAATAAACTCATTACATAAATTTTAAAATCTGTGGTAAGCTTTCAAGTTATCCAGAACTCTTCTTCAGGCAAGATAGTATACAAATCAGGAGTTGAGGGTGGGTGGGGGGACAAAGGAAAACAAGGTTCAAACATTAGGATGATGTTGTAGCTGTGAAGTTAGCTTGTTCTAAGATTGCAGGCTGGATAAGTCCCTCTCAGGTGCTACAGAAACCAGGTTACACATGTAGAATTCTGGGATAAAAAAGCAATGACTGCTACTCATTTCTGAGAAATTAAGGTCTAATTTGTAACCCAGATCAATCCCAAACCTTAAATAGAACACACAGGTTGCTGGGTAGTCAGAGACCAGAAGTAAAGCGAAACATGGCAGCCTTTAATTTAGCAAAGCCACTGATTAATTTTGATGTACTAAGTAAAAAAGCCAAATGAAGCCAAATTGTATAGTATTACCAAGCGCTTTGAGGGGATGTCCTTGGCTGTGCTAAATTAAAGAGACCTTGTGTAACACCTTCTCTGATGAAGAGTTCTAGAGAACTCAAAAGCTCGTCAGACTTTGGTGACATTTTGGTTGGCCCTACTAAAGGCATTGCCCAACTGTGACTGTTGGGTAAGTGAGGTGTCTTGTATCATGCTAGGCCTGGATAATTTGGGGAAGGAACAAGAGTCTGCAGCTGCATGCATCTTACCATTTATTCTGGCTCCAGTGCACTCCCGCTGCTGAGTATAAATCTGTATACAAATGTTGTTACTAACAACCCTGTACTGTAGTTCAAAGCTTTCCAAACTGTGTTGTAACACATTAGTGTGTTGGCTGCAGTGTGTCATGCAAACACTCCCCATGTGTCACCAATATGAAAAGTTTAGAAAGCTCTGCTGTAGTTTCTTTAGAAATACTGCTGTCTGATGCTTTTTCTCTCAAACCAGCTTCAACCTGGAAGGAAAACTTAAGCCACATTCACTTTGCAGTTAAGCTGAGGTGCACACATTGGAGACAGCCATTGTGCATGCGTGGATGGCAGCTTATGCACAGATGAGATCTTCATGTTCGGGGGAAGGGGTTGCAGGGGCAAGGAAACCAAACAGGTAACATGCATCGGTGAAGACATCCCCACATCTTCTGTAGTGTGCATATAAATGTGCACATGCAACTTGAAATGCGGCAGGGGAAAACTTATTTCACTGTGTTTTAAGCTGCTAATGTGCACATAGTCTGACTGTCTTGTCCAGCAGAAGCTGAGAGACTCCTCCCTTCTCAGATTTCTGTGATGTGGGGGAAGGGGGAAGGGTCTCTTGCTTTGTGCTGGGCTGCTAGCAGAAGATGATCGTCAGTAAGAGACTTATGGTCATTGCTGTTGACCACACAAATGGGCCTCTGTAACCATTGCTGTTCCTCCCTACTTTGTTTCTATGCTGACATAAGATGACATAGTGCAGGTTCCATACTCGCTTGTATTGTGTATGAGGGTGTAAGTGCTTTTGAAAAGGGTGTTTCAGTGTAGAAGAACTAATTTTTGTAGTTTCAGCTTCTCATGCTGCTGGAATTCCCTCTTCTACACAACAGTTGATAATAAAAAGAGTGTTGTCCTGTCCCTGATGGTATTCCTCCCCCCCTCCTTAAATAAACAGGTGGGAATCCTACTTGTGGATTCTCCTGATCGATACTCTATCAAAATATTCCTGCCTAGAAGGACAGACAGACTTACACTCTCCTTTCAAATCACACTGTCTAGCTATTTTAAGCAGCCCAGAGGACACAGTAGTAAACTACTGCTGGTCAAGTACAAACTGTACAGTGATGTAAGCATGCAGTAAACCAGTAGTATAGTTGTAGGTTGAGCATATCTATATGCAGCTGGAAATTGGTATCTTTTGTGGGGGTTATTTTTAAAAATAAAAGATTGAATTATTAGCATTTCAGTTGTGCGTCTTTTTAAAAAATCTGGTTTATAAAATTTAAAAATCTAACATATTTTAAAGCCTATATTCTTCTAATCTTAATCTGTAATCATGATCCTTTATCACTCAAATTGAGTTGAAGTCTGCTTTTTCTGTAAAAAAAGAAAAAGAAAACCAGGTTAAAAAAAGACATCTGAGTCAAACATAAAAATATGACCTAGTTATATGACTGTTATTACTGTGGGCTTTTTCTTGAACCAAGGAACAAGCAAACCATCAAACCTGCTAGGATATAGAATCCAGGAGATGTAATTCTGTATTTCCCTAGGATCATCCACTGGACTCCACCTGGGTGAACTTGTTTTTTCGTTTATGCCTTGTAACTCCCTGAGATCTGCAGTGTGTTCAGTTCTGAATATTTTATTACTTTACTAACCAAACAAGGAGGATATTTACTTTTGATTTCATGAAGAAACACAGTTTTGCTCACTAACAACCAGCAGTTTTTGGAAAGTGATAGGCACTCAGTGACCTTGCTTTGTGTCCTGCATGTGAACAGAGACAACCAAACAGAAATCTTGTCTGTCTGTCTGTCTGTCTGTCTGTCTGTCTCTCTCTCTCTCTCTCTCTCTCTCTCACACACACACACACACACACACACGCGCCAGGGGTAGCCAATGTAGTGCCAGATAAACTACATTTTTCATCAGCTCCAGCGTTGGTCAGGGATGATGGGAGCTGACGGTTACTATCTAAGCTTAAAATAATTATAGGAATATCATCTTATGATGGTTAAGGATGTCTTTATTTGCAAATCAGTGCTTTACTATTTTATAGTAGCCAGTTAGTATGCAAGTGTATTCAGGAAATGTATGAACTACAGTTTTACCTGCTACTGGTGCATCAGGTACAGCTATTCCTAGTCAGGGATAGCCTGGTCATGGTAATCCATGCTTTCATAACCTCAAGACTCACTTGTTCCAATGCACTGTATGTGGTGCTACACATGAGCCTAGTCTGGAAGCTCCAGCTGATGCAAAATGCTGTGGGCAGATTTTTTTTATGGGTACAAGCTACTGCCAGCACATAACTGAGGTGCTTAAAAGCTTGCACTGGCTGCTCATAATGTTACCAGGACAGGTTCCAGGTTCTTGTATGTTTACAAGGTTTTTAACAACTCTGGTCCAAGATATCTTAAGGGCCACCTGATCTCTTATATTCCTGCTTGAGCACAAAGAAATTTGGGGGAGTCTCTTGTTTGTGGTCCCCCATGTCTCAGATTCACAGCTTGCAACTACTTTGGAAGCTGAGCGTTCAGTGTTGTGCTGGCCTAGTCCTGTGAAAGTCCCCCCCCCCCCCCGAGATTAGAAAGACACCCTCCTTGCTGAACATCAGGCACACGACAAAGACTTTCTTCTTCCACCAGGCATATTAATGTAGTGTTTGGCTTAGTGATGCCTTTTTATTCTCTGTGTGGTTTATTTTTACTCTCACTGCTTAGAATTGATAATGATCAAGCGGTATATAAATGCCTTAAATAAATCGTACAATATGGAGTAATGTCAGAAGGATAACAATATTACAGTAAAGGCAAAATAATTTTGTGGCACGTTATTGTGGCATAAGCTTTTGTGGGCATGAACCACTTCATCAGATACATGGGAGGTGTGATTTAAATTGGTCCATTGTGCCTCCATAATTGGAATGTCACTCTGTAGAGAATAAAAATAACATTGAAAGTAGCCTCAAAATATGCACCTGTCCATATCAAAATGACATAGTTTAACGCTTGATGGGGTTACACTCCCTCTGAGGTGGACATGTAGCTTGTGGGTTTATCTGGATCCTTTACTGTTGCTCAAAGGCTCAGGAGGCCTCAGTGGTGTGGAGTACCTTCCATCAGCTTTTGCTTGTGGCCCAGCTGCACCCATATCATATCTGGACAGGGATAGCATAACTTAGGTCATCTGGCAACCTCTAGGTTTGATTACTGCAACACGTTATATGTGGGGCTGCCTCTGAAGATGATTCAGAAACTTCAGCTGGTGCTGATTTGGTGGCTAGGTTGCTCACTGGGGCAAGACAGTTTAAGCATATTACACTAATCCTGGCCCAATGGTACTGGGTGCCAGTTAAGTTAGACCAATAAAAAGTGCTGGTTTTGGACTATAAAGCCCTAAAGAGCTCAGGAACGCAATGCCTCAAGGACCGCCTTTCGCCATATGAACCTATCCTGTGATCATTATCTGAGGCCCTTTTTCTCCACAAGAGGTCTGAATGGTGGTGACACCAGAACAGGCCTTTTCTGCAGTGGTTCCCTGTTTGGAATGCTCTCCCCAGGGAGATGCCATATCTTTAGATGCCAGGTGAAAATGTTTCTCTTCAATCATGTGTTCAGCTAATTTACATTTTATGTGGAAGGAAGTTTATTGGTTTGGTTTTTTCAAAAATATTTTGTATTCTCATTTTGTATTTTTCTGTTGTGAACTGTCCTGAGATCTGTGAATAAAGTTCAGTATACAAATTTAATAAACAATAATGATAATAATAAACTTGGCTCATTGTATGTTACATAAACATTGGAGAGATAGGTGGGCCAAAGGAGTGTCAACATGGTATTTTAAACTGTTGCTCTTTATAATCCCAAATAATTCATTTAGGCTGCAATCCTATGCACAGTTCCCTGGGAGCAAGTGCTTTCCTCCTGAATTTTGAGAACCTATATCTAAGACTAAACACACATAGGATTGTGATATTTGCAGGGGAACTATAAATATCTGGGGTGTTAGAAAAGTATAATTATGGAATTTGTGCATTTATAATTGTTTGAGCCACATCTTCAGAGTGCTCTTTATTTATTGAAATTTATTGGCTATCACAAAAGTACTGGCAAATACAGTAGTAAGATGGGACAGTGAATTTCTGTGCTTAATTTTTTTTGGTTTTATCAGCAGTCTTGGCAAACTAGAGTTAAAGGGTTCTGTGAAATTTATTAGTCAAACCTTTTCCCTATTTCCTCACTTTTAAAAATGTAATCTGAGATCACTACACTTAATACATGATTGAAGTGTCACTGTGGTTCAGTGTTAGAAACTGAGATGAAAGCTAGGAGCTAAATGGCACCTTAAACCTAGGTTATGGGTGCAACAATGGAATGTCCAGGCTCCCTTTTTTATAACAAGAATACAAAGCTGAAAATGAATGAACTGCAGCTAAAATATTAAGTTCATTTTTTACATGGTCTAGTCCTTCCCCTGCCCACGCCCCTAATATTGTTAAAAGGGTCTCTTCTCCAGTCTTCAGAGAGTAGCTGGAAGTGGAGAGGCAGAAAAAGGTCCTCCTTTCCTTCCACTCTGCAGTTTTAATCTGAAATCTTAGGTGCAGTACGGCACCCAGAGCTCAGAAACTGCTTGTGCTAATGAAATTCCCTGTCACAAAATGTGCCTAGAACAATGGGAGTTTCAAGCACTGCTGTGGTTTAGAAATTAGTGTCCCCAGTACTGACTAGGCAAATCTGGATTCAACTCTTGTTCATGAATCTTCTGGATTCCCTTGAGCAAGTCATTCTGTCATCCTTGGTATATCTATGGAAATGGTATTGCTAAAGACCAACTTTACAGGACTGATGTGCAGTTTAATAAAGTGAAAACACTTTCCCCAGATGAAATCAGGAAGTAGAAAAAACTGTTTGTATGTCAAATGTTATGAAAATCATTGAGGGGGTATATACATTTTGTTAAATAATTAAAATAAATGTTTGATATGCATAATTCAGGTTTTCATCAGTATATTCATAATTAATGCCAAAGATATGTACCACAATTTCATATGTATGCTTATTTGATGGCAAATGTGCATAGGATTGTAGCCATAGGTTGTGTACATACTGACTTTGAAGCACATTCTTCTCAAAGTAATTCTGGGCACTGTACGTTACTCCTCACAGACTTACAATTCCCAGCAATCTGTAGCAAACTACTGAGCCCAGAAAAAATGTTTTTAGAATGCTTTCAAGATAGTGTGCATATTTGGCCTTAGTCCTTGAATTAGCAAAGCAATATTGGGATGGGACATTTTGCTGAACAACTTAACTTCTCTTTCATATAAGAACTAGATCCTAGAGACACAGAGGCAAAATCAAGAGTAAAGCAATCTTGAGCCATATCTCTGTCTTGTAGGTGATAGAGAGGGGAGCAGCTTGGGCAGGTTTGCTCAGTATGTGAGCCAGCCCATTTATTGTGGCCTGCCAGTAGCTTGCAGTCACCATTCGCTTCATGTTTTGCTGTCCTAGACAGGCAGAAAAAACCCCAGGAGGTTTACCATACATAACTGCTGGTTGCATTTGGCTTGGTGAGTCAGAATTTGTACAGGCCTTGGCTAGAGGCAGGTTTCTCGGTTGGGAGGTGAGATCTTCCTTGTAATGGAACATTTTAGTTGGCTAGTTTATTTATAAGTAGATGTTTTTGGCTTTATTAAGGGAAACTTTATAAAAATAAGTTTTGAATATGTCAAGGCAGTATTTGGGGTACCCTTGCATGCTTGCTAATACCTCAAATCTCTCATGGTATTTAGGATTGTTTTATTAACTGTACTAAGATCTTTAGGGTTAGTCTTCAACATGCTTCAGTTTCTTTTTTTTAAAGGCAGTAAAAGTGTTCATAATCAAAAGGCACGTATTCACCAGTTTTACTATCAAATACTGTGATGAGGGGTTATGAAAAACTGTATTCTAAACTGCTTTAGTTTGAAAGAATTCAGTCTTTTTTTTGAATATGTAAAATTCATCATGTGAAGGTTATAAACCATGTAAAAAGCAGTGAATGAAAAACCGCTAGTTCACAGCAATCTTGACAGATGTTGTACATTTTCAATAGTGTGAATCTTGAATTGGCACAATATTTTTTTAAATTGTTTTAAAGCAGTATGTTTTGCCTTGTAATTGAAAAGCATGTACTGTAGCTTTATAGCAAGTTGTATCCTTAAAATTGACATTTCATGATACCCTTAAATAAAAAAATAGAGTTTTCATAATTTATTATGAGCAAGTTCAATAGTTTCTTGGCAATTAAAAAAATTGTGATTGATTTTTGGTAGATGAAAATTGGACTTCCATATTTAGTGTGTGCCTCATTTTAATACCTTAAATTAGGTTAGTCTGCAACACATCCTTAATGAAAACTTGGACAGCAGAGGTTTACAGTATTTAATGGAGTGCAAACATGCAGAAATAACTCAGTACCTCTGCTAAGTGACATTTCTCTTGAAGCTTCTGAATTAATTACTAAAGACTTGGAAAGTACAGTTAATAAAGGAATTAAGTCTCAATAAATAAGTAAATATATAAATGGTAATATTTAATAGCCAGAAGCACATAACTTAAACATGTCCCCATTTCATGTAGCTGTTGAGAGCCAGTATTGGACTGGGAAGAACTTGGTCAGTGAAGTTTACTGGGTGGCATGGAGTTGGTCAGTATCAGCACCAAACCTTCCTAATGATGGCTGTTGTTTGAAATAATTCCTAGACCACCCTTTATTTTTTTAAAAAAATCCCAAAGCAAAACACATCTGAAAAAGACCGTGTGAAAAAATGAACCCATAACCTAAGTTTAAGGTGCCATTTAGCTTCTAGCTTTCAAGGTGGTGGGATGCTGCACTAGATAGTTCTCATTTAGCAAGTCTAGCAAGGTTCTTCCTATAACTTGTGTGAGTCAATGAGTCCTCAGATAGAACTTTCACATGTTCTCATGTCACCTCAAGAGACACATACACAAAAAGGAAATACAATACCCAAACTCAAAAGTAAACTGAGGTGCAGAAATATGTATGCATAGAAATTTGTAGATTATACTCTCCCCCCAAACATGCATGTGCGCACATGTGCAGCCCCCCTTTATGCGTGTTCAATATATTTACAACCCTGCATATGTGTATTGTGCTGAATCCGGAAGTGACCTGGAAACGTCATAAAGATGTCACTGAAACATCACTAAAAAAGCGGAAGCCTGTTTGCAGGCTTTTTCAATGGGCTTCGGTTATACATGATTTCACTGATGCATGCAGTGCCTCGGATCATAACCCCCATGTAAACGAGGCCTTCCTGTATAAATATTCATAATAAATATTTCTGACAAAACTGAAAACCTTGGTCTGGGGGAAAAATATTTACAGGAAACTTACCTTTCTTATCTGTAGAAAATCTGAGTACATATGATAAGTTTTGAAATATGTAGGTTGATATGAAGGTGTTTTTCTAGTGCCCAATCTGTAAATATAGATAATGCCAAATTCACCTCATGTCACTTTAAACATGATGCATTTCAATTGAGTTGTTTCACTCATTTTGTTATTTGTCAGCTGCTGAATAATCAAATGATGTATGAGAATATGTGAACTACATCACTTATCTTTACTGGGAACTTATCTATCCACCCTCGCCCCCCATTTGAATAAATTATTGTAGCATGAAGAGCCCGGGTGAATTTAGTTGCATTAACTAAACTTTGTAAAGGATTATTAAGGCTTGGAATAATATTAGGCCAGAGGTTTGCAATGCTGCATTTTTAAATATGAGCAAAACACTCATGGATGAAAGATGGCAAATGGTTGAAATAATTTATAAGTTCATCTCATGTATTGCTAATCATGTTACCAGTTTTGAGAGCATACTTCTGCTAATGAAAGCCTGCATCTGAGACTTTAGGCATTTGACAGATGTAACATAAATTGCACTGTTAAACTAGCTGTGTCTATGAATAATAAAATCTGCAGACAGAAAAGTATTTCATAATTGAGGGGAAGATCTATTTCTGTATGGTATATTAATATGAAATATTGGAGTGAGTGAGAATTGTTCATTTTCACTCTGTATATATTGGGATATTCTCTCTCCCCCCCCCCCCCAAATACCAGCTGAAAAATGTGAAGGGGTTCTTCAAGCAAGGGCATTTTGAGTCTGCAGCTCCTATTGATTTAAATGGGAGTTTAGTATCCATTAGCTTTCTGAATCAGCCCTAAGGCAGTTGAAGTACCAATGTCCTATGTTATAAGGTACAGGAGCTGACATCTGCATAGCCAGAGTCCATCTGGATATGGCATAAAGTCAGCAATGGCTTAGCTAGAAATGAGGTAGAGATGATTTGGAGATGTTACTCTCTACCATAACCTTTATGAAGCTGACAGCAGACTAAAAGATTTAATTCCATCTTTTCAGAAACAGACATAGTAATACACATTGGTAATACAGCTGATTATTTATCAGCCTTAGCAAGATATATATGCATAAAGTGTCCAAAATGCAGTCCAAGGCACATCTGTAAATTGATTTAATGACATATATTGTACTTAATTACAAATTAGCCAAGGATTTTGGCATTCAGTAAACCCAGGTTTTTTAAGCAGCTACTTGCCAACCTAGCAGTTCGAAAGTACCTCCGGGTGCAAGTAGATAAATAGGGACCGCTTACCAGCGGGAAGGTAAACGGTGTTCCGTTTGCTGCGCTGGCTCGCCAGATGCAGCTTGTCACGCTGGCCACGTGACCCGGAAGTGTCTGCAGACAGCGCTGGCTCCCGGCCTATAGAGTGAGATGAGCGCACAACCCTAGAGTCTGGCAAGACTGGCCCGTACGGGCAGGGGTAGCTTTTGCCTACGGTGAGCAAGAACAGGTGATCAAGAAGGGAAGCTTTTTAATATGGGATTGAATGTTTGTTTCAGGTTTCCTGTGCCATACAAATAACTAAAGCAGATATTTGATAAAGTAAGCTAGTTACAGTTTTGGTGGGTTGTTGATTTGCAGGAGTGAGTTGCCAGCTGCCCCTTTATTGCCTCCAGGTGTACAGCAGAGCAGCAACCATTGTAACTGGACGCAGATTACTGTGCACTGCTGACTGGATATGCTGTTTCAGTATTTTTGCATTACTCTCCTTATTTTGTAAGCACTGGGAAGCAAAACACAGCCACACTGCTTATGACTCATTTGTAACTGTCCTGTGATACGCTGTAGTACTCTGGAGTAGTTTGAGGTGGGGGGAGTGACACTTGGTGGGGCAAGACAGACCCCTTGATTAAAAGCCTATTTAAACAATTGTGTGAAAGAGGCAATGTAAAAGAAGTTTGGTAATGGTGAAGGAAGTGGCAGTAGTGTGAATGCTTAAGAGTTATATTTTCCATATATAGAATGGCTGTGTATGGAACTGGCCATATGTGGTGTAGCTAATTTATATTAAGATGATATATTTATATTAAGTGTGATTATCAGTTCAGGGCTGCTGTGGACTATGCAGTGTCCACACTACGTTCAGCATCAGTATGGCAAGCCGAGGTATGCCAGATTGCCCAAGGAGAAGTGAACTGGTCCTGGTTGGATACGGAGCAGGTAAAAACTCCCGTGCCAATCAGTAGTGGGGACTGCGCTTGTGAATAGCTGCTGTAACATTACCTGGGCAAGGCAGTGAAACCCAGAACTGTGATTACTTTCAAAGGGAAAAAAGTGAATAAAGGGAAAGGGTGGCAGTAGTTGTGGGGAGGGCAGTACATGTTTGGTCTTCAAAACCATACTCACCCTTTTCTCTTCCCTTGTTCACATTTTGATTAAGATCCTCCATAAAGAACAGTAGTGAAAAACTCAGAAGTTTGTTCATTACGCTGTGAGAGTTTAGCAGTATTAATAAAGTTGTTATCCTACTGTGACGTTCAGATTTTTCTAATGGACCACTGTGGGTTACCTATGCTTTTTGTGCACTCTGGTGAATATCAAATTTTGTTATCCAAAAGAGCTGTCTTAATAGTAGAAATAAATTTATCTACTACCACCTGAAGATGAAAGTTTACTTTGAAGGGGTTGCATGCCTGCAACCACTAAACAATATTCTGCTTGGCTGCTTTGGACTATTTTTACCTGGTGCTTCAAAATTAATCTCTAGCTTGGCTGATATAAAAAATACAATGTATTTCTTTACTTAATTTACATCTGCTTTCTGTCTCACAAGAGACAGTGCTCTACTTGGTGCTGGTGAAAGGTCTGAGTGACTGCTGGCTTTAATAGTTTCAATTTAAAGACTACAGCCATTATTTTTCTTGGTTCCAGCAACACTTAGGTCCCATCTACATCATACATTTAAAGCACATCTTCTGCAAGAATCCTGGAAACTGTGGTTTATTTAAGGGTGCTGGGAATTGTAGCTCTCTCCGGTGTAAACTATTTCCCCAGGATTCCTTTATTTGGGGATGGGGCTTTGGTGTATGGTGTGTATGCACCTTAGCATGACCTTGAAGCTGTTTTGCTCCAAAGGGAGACTTGTTTAATTAAGGCTGTCAAACACCTGCATTATTTGTACAGTCCATCTTAAGGCACTGCAGACTTTGGGCCTTAAATGTCATACTACTTTCCCCCTCTATATCCCACCCTCATTTTTCTTAACATCCAGTCTGATAAAGTGTTGTGGAGAACTTGAAAGATGGTTCACTATTTGTAACATTTTTGTCACTCCTAATAGAACCTATATTAGCCTGTTTTTGAATCAGAATTAGTGTCTTAACAGGTTTGTGTTACAATGCCTCTGCCCCAAAACAATAATCCTAGCAAAGAGATGCCCTTATGCCTGCAGGTGTTGTTCTCAGTCTACTTTTAAAGTTCACTTTATTGCATGCACAACACAAGTTATTTTTAAAAACACATGCCATTGCCACTTCAATACAAACTTATCAAAGGAGCTAAAATGTGAAGAATTATCTACAGCTCCCTCTTAGATTGGGAACAAAACATCAAGCTGTCACAAGCTGAATGACATCCAAAACTCTTTAAAGGGATATTGTCAGGGAAGAGAGAAGACACAATATTAGAACTAGTCGTTTTTTGAGGGGGGCAGGGAGAGTGAACTTAAAGCTATGTACAAACAAAACGTCAGTGATGGAGCCACTCTGGAAATACATTTCCTGCATTAATGTTTGAATTACTCTCTAGTGGAGCTTGGGGGGGGGGCATTTTTTCAAGTTTGCCTTGGAAAACAGCTGTGTCCAGTGTTGTTTGGCTGCTGACCTTTGATGTCATGAACCAACCTCCCCCTTTTCAAAGAAAAAGAGATTGCTTTATAAAAACACATGAATGAAAATTTAATTGAATAAATGCACATGTAAAGCTTCAGAAAAAAAGAAAGCACACAACCTGTCTAAAAAGGGGGGGGGGAGGAGAGAGGCTGAACTACTAACTGAATTAGCATTTATATTGCTGGTAGGTCTGTCTGTCACATACCTTATGAAGGTGGGAGGATGCCGGGCTCACTATGGGAGAAAAATCCTGCTGAGACCCCTCCTTTAACATTTCATTTGCACACAGCTTTCAAAAGCATAATTTTAATTACAAATTAACTGCTTCCATTTTTGCACCTCTCTCTTCATCCTGTGTTTACAGAAAGAGCTGAAATTTCACTTGCAGGATGCATTGTTTTCTCTTGTATGTTTTTTTTTTTTTTAAATCTTTTGATTATTGATAAAGCAGCGATTTTGTAGCTGTGCTTCATTCTATCACACATCCAGGTATGGGTTTTCTCAGTGTCCTTTAGTGACTGAAGAGGCAAGCAAGTACGTAGCTGGAATGAAAGGGGCAATAGGGATGTAGGCAGCAAAGGGAGAGGAAAAGATAACAGCTGGTGATGTTCATTAAAGCAACAAGGTTATCCCTGTACAACAGGTTTCTCAGACTGAGGGTCAAATAAGACAATACTTTAAATTGGCTGGTGCATTTAGTGTTTCTGATTTTTCATATGTGGGAAGGGTTGGTTACCACAATATGCATACGGGTTTGTGTTTCTTTAATGCTTTTTCTTTGCACTGTTGTCTTGTCAAAAACTAACCTCTCCTGAAGCTGTTTATTGCCTGCAAGGGGACCTTGGAGCTATATAGCAGGTTGTATCTCAGAATTAACTTTCTGAGATAAACTGTTTTCCAGGACCCTGGAAGTTTCTGGTGTGTGGTGTTAGTTTCCCAGCTTGAAATAGCTGTAGTTCCCTCTTTCAACTAGTAGCAATGGTATTTCAGGGAGTAGGAAATTGCTTGTGATGTAGGTTCCCTTTCTGTGGTGCTCTAATCAGGGTACAGAAGTAGCAGCTACACTTTTCATCCCTGAACCACCTTTGCCTCCAGATATCTTTCTGTAGTTGTCTTCATTCATCATTGGGCTCTGTTGCATTCGCCTCTTTACTATATTGTGAGTGTATACATAAACTTCTGTGGAAAATTCAAGGCAAAAACTTACGTAGAAAGTGTAGACAGAAATCTTCTATTCCAACTGCGCACTAGGGGTGGGCAATATCAGATTTTCAACATCGTGATATATTACCAGCCAAACATTGCAGTCTGGCGGTATACCACGATGTTGAAAAAACAAGCTGCATTGGTCTCAGCCTGCAAGGCACCAGGTGAAATTGCCATAGTTCTCACCGCAGGAGCTGAGGCAGTTTCACCCCAGCACCTAGCAGGCTGGGACAACACAGCTTGTTTGTATGGCTCAGCTAGGCTGCAGGAGGGCTCCCGATCCCCAGCTGAGACATCCCAGTACGAGCGGGGAGAGCACCGGGGCTCCTTTGCGTGTCTCTGCTGGGGATAAGGAGGGCTCAACACCGCAGAGCCATCCCTGGTGTCCCCGTCCCCCCGTGTCAGTGCTGGGCCGGGGATCCTTTAACTGCTTGGAAGTCGCTAGCAGAGGGACTCAGGAATGTGGGGGTTTCACCAGCGATATACCGCTGAGTGAAGCCAGCATCATGGTTTGCTCCTCATACCGGTCCTGGGTGAAATACTGCCCAGGCATACCGTGCACCAATTTAATTGTTTAATTGCGAGCCTGTTTGAATCTAAACCAAGTTGGGCTTCATTTGTAGCTAGCTGGAAAGCAAGTAAAAGGGCTTGATTTTGAGTCAGTCTATGTAAGTGTCAGCTCCGTGACACAAGGTTTATTACTTTAGATCTGTTCTGCCTGCCTGCATGCAGACAAGGGAGAGAAGTTATATTGTTGTCTCGCCCTGGGCTGTTTTTCATTGCATTCCTGTGACTAAAGCCTGTAGTGTGGGAGTGTCTTTCTGCCCATGAGTTAGACATGGGATTTTTAACCTAAGTCAGTTTCAGAATATCTCTGCCTGACCAGTAGATTTAGAACAGTTTTGCCCTGCCTTTTCATAGAGGCTCAAAGTAGCTTTCTAGTGTGCTATTGTAATCCTTTCCCTGTAATGATTTCTAGCCCCTAGTGGAATAGAGTGTTTCTGGAAAGGAAAATCTTAAATTAGCCTTCAGTGTTGTGAATAGCATAGATATTTGTAAGTAAATTGTGGCTTCTAGCAACATGATGGAATGCATTTTGGGGAGGGAACTCCATGACATGTAGCATATTGCCATAATTTTAGACATTCTTTTGTGAAGTGCCATGCTTTAATGCACACATATTGCTCTATTGCATTACAAATACACCCCCTTAAATGTGCAAATTTACACCCTTAAACATGAAAGCTGAAATGGCAGGTGGCTATTTCCTGATTTATCATTCAGATATACAGGGGGCATTAAACACCTTTATGTGGCTTCAACTGGTATTTCTTGTTGAAAAGATTGAAATGTAAGAGGAGGGGTTGGTGGACTGGCATTGCACTATGATGAGTATGACTGAAGGAAGAAGTGAACTGGAAGTTCTCATTTGTTCTGAAAGTGGATGGAAGATGTGCAGGTAGATTAAATGAATGTAGCAGAAGTAGTCTCATTAAATGAGAAATCATCAATCTATTGTTTCAACAGTAGGTCACAACAGAAAACAAAAAGTAAATAATTACAGAAATAAAACATTTACTTGAACTGACATTTGTGCAGGAAAAATAAAAAGATGATGTGCACAAAATGCAGGAAAGAGCAGCGTGCTGGGGGGAAAAATGGCCAAATTTTGATAATTGTATATGAATGATTTTTTTTTAGGATAGTTTATATATACAAATCTCAAAAGAATGTAGTTTTTTAGCCTAAGATCAAAGAACATATTCTATCATAAATTGTACCAATTTGTATCTCAAATGTGTTTTGAAAACAGTTGCTGGAGATGGGCAGAGCAATCCTATACAGTATACCAATTATGTGGTGGTGGGAATATTGTGGTGGAACAGCTTGCTGTATGTGTTTAGCCTGGGAGGAGAAAATAGTCGCAGAATACAAAAAGGCTTAAAAATAGCAGGCATCCCTGGAACGCCCATCAATAGGGGTGTTGGCTATAACATACATCCCTTTGCTGCCCACATTTGGAGCGAACCAGTCAGCTTATGATGACTGAGACACATGTCTTTGCATCACCATGCAACGCACATGGTGATGCCAGAGCACCCCCAATCCATCAGCTTCAGTAGCCTGGTCAGCAAGGAAATGTTACTGGTGCCCTCTATAACCACAGGTTTGGAGCAAAATGTGCAAAGGGAAGGAAAGGGAGCTCATACAACACAACATCTGAATACATCTCTGGGCAGGTGTAAATGGTGTCACCTGAGTGCTCTGCCTGTGAACATGGCTCTGCCTGAGGAGGGGACTGTAGTGACTTGTGAGTATCCATATCCCTTCCCCTTTGGAGTTGCATTTGAGGTGTATGTGCAGTGGTAGTGATAGTTTGTTCTGTTCCATGCATCCTAGCTTTGATCCTGCAGGGGAAAAGCATGAGCATTTGGCTAGCAATGACAGTGAGTGGAGTGGAGTGTGCGGCTTGTTACTCTGTTGGGGTGGGGCAGGAAGTCTGTCTCCTTTGTGTGGGAGAAATACTTCTCCCACTGTTGGGGGTGGGAGGAAAAAGCAATGCTTCAGACAAGAACATAAGAATAGCCAACCTATGGGAAGTTCACAAGAAAGACCTGAGCATAACAGCATTCTCCCCACTTGTGATGCCCAGCACATTGACATTGAGAGGCATACTGCCTTCAACAGTGGTGGTAGAACACAGCCCTCATGACTAGTGGCCATTGATGACAAAATACATATGATGAAGGGGATGGGCTAAGACATAGAAAATAACTGCAGCAGTTATACTTGGTGGCATGATTGCCCACTTTATGGGATGTTCTGTCCCGACACCCCCAATTGCAGGAGTAGGGGTGGTTGTTGGGTATTTGGGTCTGGTTTAGTAAAATAGGGGTGTTTTCATGGCAGTGACATATCTGGTGGTGTGGTGGGGGGGCATCTACCATATCTTATAGCCTCTCAGCCATGGCTGCCATATTCCAAACAGTAAAAATCTCGACAGAAAAGTTGTTGGGCTTTCTTTTTTTGAGCTTTTGCAAAATCACATAAAAACTTGCTGTTTGGGGACTATTTTTATGGATTATGGGCAAAAATGACTTCCGACATGGGCTGCCATACATCCAGATTTTCCTGGACATTTTACCAACTTCCGCCCAGACACTGCTGCTGACTGCAGTATTCTGGGATATTCCAGACGTATGGCAACCCTAGAAGGATTGCTATGTTCAGAAAGAAGAAAGAAATGTCTGTGTTCTTACAAGGAAGTACTTTGGAGATTTTTAATCTGAAGGTGCCTACATTGCCTTTCTGGGCTGTGATATTATTTTGATTCTAGATGTTTACCTGCTCTTGCATTTATATATTTATTAGTTAGATTTTATTTCTTTCAGACTGAGGGCTATACAACAGCATAGCTGTCTGCCCAGGCTGTTTTCTCTTTCGCCTCTTCTGAATACCATTCTCCCCCTGCTGCCCTGCACAACAATATTTGTTGTGTGAATGGGTTATTTGTTGTGTGGATGGGTTACTGTTGCTGAAAAGGGAAGCACAAAGGCTAAAATGTGGTTTGGGCATTTGGGAGTGTATGTAGACATGACAATATGGAACAATTATCTATAAACACTGGTGTCTTCATTGAGTTTTGTCTGTATTGCTGCAATTTGTATAATCACAACAAAAGGGGCTTCTGTAGTTAAATTAGAGTGACCACCTATACATTGTAGAGGGACCAGTTCCCATATCTTTGTGTGGGAGCAATCATGAGTGTGAGCAGAGATAGAGAGAGAGTAGTCTAACTCTCTTCCTGATGTGTTAAATTTTCTATTTACAGGTGTTTTATGTATGAGGGAGCATTAAAACATGCAGTTTGAAATGTGTAGTCCCTAGAGGGGTGACTATTCTGTATCTGGAGATCATCTCTAATGGAACAGGGGAAGGGGCTGCAACTCAGTTGTAGAACATCTGTTTTGCATGCAAAAGGTTCCATGTTCAATCTCCAGGTAGGGATGGGAATGTCCCCTGCCTGAAACATCGGAAAGCTGCTGCCAGTCAGTCTAGACAGTACTGATCTAGATGGACCAATGGTCTGACTCAGTATAAGGCAGCTTCCTAGCTGTGGATTATACATGTCATCTTCCTTTGCGAAGATGAAAATTGGCTAACTGCACGTGTCCCATCCAGTCTTGTGTAATTGTGGATAGGAATTAGAACATAGGGTGGTACAATAAATGATTAACATGCCGTCATCAAGTCAAGAAAGAACATAGCTGCTGGATTGCTGATGACGTTGAGGGTGGATCCTTGAACAATGAAATGCTTACGGCCAGGGGCATTGAAACTGGCTATTGCCAGATGGATTCAGTAACTAGGAGTAAGAATTTGAACTGCATAAACTGCTAAGATTCTCCTGTTCAAATTGGTACATCTACCAAATTATGTTCCTTCTGTTTGGTAGTCCTATCTAAATAGTTCTGAACTTGTCCATATAATTTGGTACTAAAGGAGGCGGCGGCACAAGGAGAGTGAATCTCATGTGTTTATAAAATATGCACCAGACTATTGATTCTATATTGTAACTTCACAAAAAGGACTTCCTGCTGTCAAATGGAAATTTGATGTCGCAGTGTTTTGCCTCAGATGACAGATTTGGCAGCCTACAGCTATTTGATAATTTCGCGGTCTGTATTTTTTCTCTTGCACTCTTATATAAGGGGTTTGTTTTGCCATCAGCAGTCTTCCTACTTGTGCTAACTTTAGGGTGCACCAAGTCAAATGTAAGTGAAGGTATGAGGTGGGGAGCATGTGAACGGCTTAAATTGAGGGGATGGAAGTCCCCAGCTATTCCTTTTTGATTATCAATATGATGAGCTGCTACCTAGTGAATAATTTAAAATCTGTCTGTGGGCATGTTTATATTTCTGTATAAATGTATGCTGTTTACATTACTGACAGTTCACTTGGGTTTGCACCAACTCATGTAGGAAATAGGAGGGGATGGAACTGAACTGTCAATGTAAGAAAAAAAGGGATTTTACAAGTGTTTAGAATCCCAAGATAACAGTAGGGGTAGTTTGGGTGTGCTTTTATCTTGCTTAAAAAGTGTAATCCTTAAAATTGCTGAGCTAGATGCACTTGACACTCATTTTTTGAACACCCCCCCCCCATGTTCTTGATTTGGTCAAATCAGGTTGCAGTTTTTTCATCCAGGTCTTCATGGTTGAAGCATTTTCTGCTGGGAAATAAGTGTCAGTGATTATCCTTAAACTAGAACATAGATTTCTTCATGTGTCTCTCTTTATATGCTGTCTTCCACTTCTGTACAGTTTCTGTTTTCCTGAAAATGTAAATTCAGATGTAGTGGCAATATGAAGATGGGATTGAACAAAGCTTTTGTTGCATCAAAGAAGGGTTAATAGGATTCTAGAACACATCAAAAGCAGTATTATCAGAAAGACATTGGAAAATACTACAGTATTTTACAGAACTCTGGGGAGACTTCTGCCTTGGGCTATAGCATCTAACTTGAGGATGTTCATCTCCTATAGGGATAGACAAAATTAGAATTGTGCGACTTACTTAATTGGTGGGTTATTCAGTGCCTTGACTGTAGCCCTCAGAAAATCTGAAATCCGTACAGTTGGGAGTTTTATTCCATTGTGTTGTGTTCTTACAGTGAATGTATGATTAGTGATGTGTTTTAACATTAACAGTATAAGCTACATGTTCACATTCTTGGTCACTCTTCTTCAGCCAACTTTTCCACCTATGTAGTGCTTTTGCCTTATAATCAAGAGTGAATAATGATAGATTTCCTGCTACAGCAGCATGTTTGTTCCCACTTTGTGTTTCTTCATTTGTGCACCATCCGTTGCCTGTCTTTTCTTCTGAATTACCGATTACCTGTCTTGGAGGGGGATGTGCTAATGGACTGTGCTGGTGCAATTCAGCTTTATGTGCAACATTTGCATTGAAGAAGAATATTGCTTGACTTGTCAGTGACCAAATCCTAAATATTGTCAGCAACATGCTGAGCTTCCAACACACTGGATCCAGCATAGATTATGATACTAACATTAGCTAGTGGTGGATGTCTGGAAAGGCAGAATAAGAAGAATGGATATGTCATCAATGGTATTGTACAACCCAAACTTTAAAAGCCTCAGAAATAGGACTTGGATCAAGGGCTTAACATATATGGTAGCAGTGAGGTAGCTATCCTGACTTCAACAGGAAGGAGGTTGTACAGCTTAGGGACAGTCATCGTAAAATTCTAATTCTGAGCTGTTTGCTGCAAATGGGTTAATAATGTCAGTTGCACAGCCAGTATAGAAGGGGTGGTGTACTTTTAAAGGTTTTTAAAACAGTGAGCAAAAGCAGTATGTGTTGTGGTTCACCACCTCCTCTTTCTCCGCCTCTTCATTTTAAATGAAAATGCATTAAAAGGAAAGAATCAAGGCCACTCTTATGCAGAAAGATTCCTTCACTTCAGTAAAATTATGTCAAATGGACAATACCCAGGATTTTGACATTTTCCAACTAATAAAGTAGTTGAAATAATTTAATGTGGGTATCTAATACATGTCTGCCTTTTAATCCAATAAATCTCAGGTCTGTGTGTCTGAGAACAGTTATTCTGCCCCCCCCCCTTTTAAGGGTCATCTAAGCCGATAGACTCTTAAATTATCAAATACAATACTGCTTGAGGTTCTTTGTGTTGAAATAGGATGACTGGGTCAGTCTTAATCGGAAATAACCATGACCCATATTACTTTATTGTGACTTCCTCCTAACCCCCAATCCCAAAATCTCTTAAAAGGATTTCCAGAAATAAGAGCCCAAAGCGTAATAGCTTATAAGAGCCAATACAGCACAGAACTTCATGGATGATATGGACTGGAAATTGAGAAACGTATGAGCTGTGAACTCTTACTGATATGTTACATACATGGTTTTTCTGTCATTCAGAAGCTGTCCTGGTCTTTAATGTTTGAAAGTTTTATGTGATGTAGGTTGCTATTTGAGTCCTGTAAAAACTAGTGTGACACTGGAACACACTGGAGACTGAAGTTGATTTTAGACAGGCTACTCTTCCCCATCATGTGCACATAGTTTATCAAATAGATGCCTCTGGTCAAACAGATTTTGGAACCTATATAAAAACTTGCAATATATATTATCAAAGGTTGAAGTTGGATGAGTATACACATGAGCAGAGATCCTTCCTTAAAATTGCCTTTGAGTCCCTGAAAAGGTGACTGAACTTAAGCTGTAGTGGGAGAGAGAAACTGATGGCGGAGCACATGGGTGTGGGCAGGGGGGGCAGCTGTCCCCCTAGATCAAGTAAAACAATAGAAATATTTAACTAGCTGACCAATCATGTCACTACTGCCCCCCAAGTCTTGCCCCCCCAAAAAATATACTGGCTACGGAGGAAATGGGTATGTGGTATTTCAAGAAAGGCATTTCTATCTCAGCTTTGCAGCATCATATAAAATACCAAAACACAGTGGTATTTTGATCTCTGGTGCTTTTTAGAGTTAAGCAAACAGTTTTCATATGAGAAAGGAGGCAAAAAGATTATTCTTTACACAACTCTATCCTACAGTCTCACTGTAGAATTCACTTAGCATAGCTCTCCTCTGGTCTTGAGACATGACCCTTGGGTTTAGCAAACAGAAACTACCACAGGGAAAGAAAAGCAAAGGGTAGTGTGCTGAATGAAAGATTGATATCAATAGGTCATAGGGCCATTGTTTTGCTCAAAGGCTGCTTTAAGTATGCATTTACATTTCTGTTGAATATTCAGTAAGCATTTTTCCCTGCTATTATGTGTGTGCTGCTAGCATCCTGGTGCTCTGAAAGAAGGGTTAAGAGTTCAGAACATAAGCAATTGATGATAAATTCCAGCCTCTTAGGGGTCTGGGTCTCCTTTCCTTGCATCTGTTTCCATTGATGCATTTGCCGCTAGAAATGAATGTATCGTGGCACAGAAGCATCTGCATATATTTGGTTTCCCCCTACGTTGCAACCACCTCTGAATCTTTCTGAGTGTATATTTTAGTTTAATGATAGTCATGTCTCTTGACTTCTAGTCACGTGAACACATTATTTGAGGACAAAGTAGATGTAATACAGAAGATTGGTGAGTAGTAGCTCCCAAGTGCTGAATTCCTAATATATTCTCTCCTTCTGTTGCTCTTGACACTTATTCAAAAAACGGAGATCTAATTGAAGAATTTCTTGCATCATGTCTAGTAGGTCCATAACAGAAAGGGTGTATGTGTGTGTTGCTGTAGAAAAGTGTAAGGTCTGTGGAACTTTCATCTTGGCATGCATATGCTTTTTTTAAAGTTGTAAACATAAATCTGAAATTCTTTGTGGCCTGTAGGTGTTCTTGCTGCTGATTATTATTGTGGTCAAAGAAGCCTCACTTGTTTCTGACCTCGTTGAAAACACCTACATGTTGAACTGGGGTTTGCATTTGAAGCAAAATATTCTCCTTGATTTGTACATCCACTTGCATTCATGTCTCAGGATTTTTTATGTCTCAGTGTAAATTGAACTGTGTTCTGTACAGTATTTTCCTTCCCTGCTTAACTGGGTACAGTAGCCAAGCTGACATTCAGACAGAACTCTGCCAAAATAAACAAAAAAAGAAAAACCAGCCATCCATGGAATTGCGCCCTGGATGTTTGTACCAGGTTTCATTCTAATATTGTAGCCATGAGGTGTGAAAAAGAACAACATAAATATTCAGGGGAGAAGGAACATTCTTCCTCAGGATCTTTTCAGAATCCACTCCTCTCCCCTACCGGGAAACTCCCATGAAATACTTTTATCTTTTGACGTGAGTTAAATGCTTTTTGAGACAAGTTTGTATCTATATAAAAATGTTTGTACCTCATATTTTGGGAAAGGCAATCTACTGCATTTAAGAATGATAATGTGCTATTGAAAAGTGTTGTTATCCAGATTAAATTTGACATGCAATATGCTGCTGGGCTCTTAGTAAAAGAACAAGTGCAACGTTCCCACACACACATACACACATTTTAGTATGACTGTATAAGACTGCTTCTGTTGCCAGATAAAACACTTTCTTCCAATGCATGGCTTTGTTTCTATTTCCAATTCAACCCTCCTCCCCTCAAAAAAGCCATTCTCAGATGGCAAAAGCTAAGATACATTTGCTTAGGTAGCATAGATACAGCCACGTGTGTGGGGGGGGGGGGGTCACTTGTATTGAGTATATTCACAAGTTTGCTTAGACAAAACTGAGACATTTGTTCTTTGGAGACTGCAAGCCTATAGCGTTCTTGCTTGGGAGTAAGCACCACTAAACAGATTAGGTCTGTCTTCTGAGTAAACATGCATAGCATTGCTCTGTAAATTTAATAAATTTGCCAAGTAGGTATAATTATAGTATGCTAACTACCTTATAAATTATGCAATTTATATTAAAACAGTAAGACAAATTTAGGAGTGTATTTCAATTTGCCTATTTCTGTTTTCCCTATGGCTGCAACAGTATTACATCTTTAGTTGTAATGCTAACCTTTATTAACAAAGTGTCAAAATGGTGAGTTAAACCAAAGGCCTTATGTCACTAGGCCAGGGGTCAGCAACCCGTGGCTCCGGAGCCGCATGTGGCTCTTTTACACCTTTGCCGCGGCTCCGGGGCGCCTCTTCCCTCATGGTGCAGGGAGCGAGGAAGAAGAGGAGGAGGGCGGCGGCAGGAAGGCGCGCCAGGGCGCAGCGGCAGTTCTCCCCTCAGGTGGATGCGGCTGCCACTGCCACCGCCGGCCACACACAGGCGCGTCCACATGCAGGCGTGCTCCCTTTCGCTGTCCGCAGCCCACCTGCCCTCAGGCCCCGCGCGCCGCGTGTCGTCGAGAGCCGCCCACCCAGGCCACGCTCTCCTCAGCCCCGCGCGCAAGGCACCTGAGGCGAGGGAGAGGGAAATGGCGGGGCTGGGTTTGTGTGTGTGTGTGTGTGTGTGTGTGAGGGGTGGCGGTGGTGCTTCGGGATCCTTTTCCGTGCCTTGCTTCTGAGTGGCCGCCGAGTTGAGGGACAGCACCTGAGGTGAACCACAAAATGGGCCTGCCCTCCCTGTCAGGAAGGAAGGGGTGAATTACGTCAGTGACGAGGAGGGGGTCCAGAGGTAGCCAGCAGGAGAGGCGGGGGAGCACGAGAGCAATTGCAGGGGGGGGCTGTTAGGCACCAAAATCCTGCATGCGGGATTTCCCCCGTTCTCTCGTGCCTATGCAATTCCTGCCCTTCTCCCTTCCCCCTCGAGATTTGCTGCAGAGACAAGCAAATGAAGAAGAAAGGGAAGAGTATTAGCTGACATGTCCCCGGATCCCATGGAAAGCACCACAGATTCCTTTGCTTACCAGCTCTTTTTATTTTAAGTTGGCTTCAAACCTGTAATTGTGTAGGTGTATGTATGTATACATATACACACATAAATATTCATATCTCTTCCCTCTCACCTTCCTTTCACCCAGTTTCTCTGGCACTGGTTTATAAATGCTGCTATGTAGAAATGATGAGAAAGTTGCACCAGCAGAAGGAATGGATATGTGCTATTAGTAAAAAGAGAGGGACTTGAACTGCAGGGAGGGACAGACACGTTTCTATGTATTAATTTGTATAATGCCCTCTATGCACATGGTGCTTTGCAAAAAATGGATATGAGAGGTACCATACCCCTCTTTGCTATCTGAAATAGACTCAGGGAAAAGAGAGAGAATGGGGGAAGGGGAAGAATGTGTGGTTATTTACATTTGGCTTGTTTTGTGGCTCCCAGTTTTTTTTCCCCTTCGGAAACGGGTCCAAGTGGCTCTTTTTGTCTTAAAGGTTGCAGACCCCTGCACTAGGCCAATAAACTGATTCAGCCTTAACAAACTCCCTTTTCCTGCCTGCCCCCTTTCCCTTCTTAGAATCTTCTGACATTGCAGCTTTGCAAGGTCCCTTCTCCACTTACATGTAGCACCTGCATTTCGTCTTGTCAGACGCATGTACAAGCACATACACAAATACAGTCATTTAATCAGCTGAGGCACTGGGGCCATACTTATCTGCAGCCCACACAACTCCTGCTCCTGCTTTCTCCCCCCAGCTTGTTTTGATCTTCTGCAGAGGTGCAATGTGATTGTTGTTGCTGTTGCTGTTTGTTTATCACATTTATATACCATCTTTATCTTCCAAGACTCAAGGTGGTGTGCATGGTTCTCCTCCCCATTTCATCCTCACAACAACCTTGTGACTGGCTCAAGGTTACCTAATGAGCTTCATGGCTGAGTGGGGATTCAAATCTTACTCTCCCAGGCCCTAGTCCAACATTCTGGTACTCTACACTGGTTCTTCAGAGTGCTTGGGACAGTGTAAATGGTCTCTTATTATCATTGGAACAGCCCCATGAACTAGGCTAGAGAGGAGAGATGGGGATTTGCCCAGGGCCCACCCTGCTTCAGAACTGGTAGAGTAGAGTGGGGTTTGGGTCATCACTCTCCCATTTAAAAGTCTGATCCACACAATCTGCGACACATTGACAGACATGGGTTGAGGATGGGGTTGCATTCACTCTGTGAAGATAAGCCATGACCACCCAAATCTTTCTGCAGCATCATAGCTTCCTTGTCTCTGTGTATATTAATAACTTCAAGTATGCTAAGATAACAGTTTGATTTAGATTGGAATCATTTGTGGTGGGGAAAAATATGTAGTATTATGGCTTATGGAAAGTGTCTGCACTTCTGAAAAGCACGCCGCCAAGAATGATCTGTTAGTAGCGAAGGGGAGAGAAACAAGAATTCACTTTCAGTTGAGCCAACTAGGATTGTTTTGTTGTTACTGCTGTAATTTATGCTCTTTGCAAATTTTGAAGTGCACCTAAACTGGGAGGCTGTGTTGTTGTTTATATACATATATACTAGGAGTACAGATTCCAGTATTCTTGTACTTCCTTTCAAACCCAGCCATTGTATCTGTTAAAATCTGGCTTGTGTCAGACTGAGCCTCTTTGCCAAAATTCCTATCCAAAGGAGCCAAGATCCTACTTTTTTTTTTGTAAAACTTCTTGGTAATATAGTTTTACAGTCACAGCAGTTTACAGTTTCATTCCTACTGTGATATGTCTTATAGCTCTATTGGCAGGATTGGGAACCAACAGGAGAGTTACCCACAATGAGAGTTGATAATATAAAAATAAATTGGGGGGGGGATTACAGCTTTGTCTATTTGTCAATCTGTTTATGTCAAAATACTCCTGCCACTGTTTCATAAGCAGCAGTATACTAGTTGCTGATAAAATTCCTTTGTGATCCACTGTCCTTCCCTCTCATAGTGCCTCAGAAAGAATTACAGTGCCAAAGGCAAGTCAGTGGGGCTGGTAGCTAAGTGGTAGAGCCACTAGGATCATAGAATTGTAGAATTGAAGGGTACCCTGAGGGTCATCTAGTCCAGCCCTCGCCATGCAGGTATCCTGTCCACAGTCGTCCCTGGGTGAACTTGAACCACCAACCTTCTGGTTAACAGCCAGATTTACTGACCCATTGTACCACAGCATACTTTGCATGAAAGTCCTAGGATCATTCTGCAGTACGTTTTATGATGAACTCAAGTACAGGCATTGGACATTAGAAAGCCATTGCTGGGGTGTACTTTGCTGCAAGGGGCCAATGATCTTCATAAGGTAATTCCACATGCTTAGCTATTCCTTTTTTTTTTTTAATGGCAGTTCAAGGATCAATCAACATTATACAGTGGTGCCTCGCAAGACGAAATTAATTCGTTCCGCGAGTTTTGTCGTCTTGCGATTTTTTTCGTCTTGCGAAGCACGGTGTCGGGAAAGTTTTGGAAAAGCTTCAAAAATCACCAAAGTCTTTAAAAACCTCAAAAAAGGCTACCACACCGCGTTCTCTGAATTGCTCCTCGAAGTCAAGTCGCAACTGTATTAACGGTGTTAAGAAAAAGGAAGCAAACTTGCAAGATGTTTCTGTCTTGCGAAGCAAGCCCATAGGGAAAATCGTCTTGCGAAGCAGCTCAAAAAACAAAAAACCCTTTCGTCTAGCGAGTTTTTTGTCTTGCGAGGCATTCGTCTTGCGAGGTACCACTGTATCTGCACTAGCCTTACGTGAAGAACAGTAGGAAGCGATACCCTAGTAGGATAAAGGGACTGATTCAGACATTGTGTTAAAACCATAGTTAAGGTTAAAAATCCCTGCTGCACTTCTTCTTTCTCTCTTTGCTTGGGTAACAAACCAAACAGAAGCTGGCTTTGTGTGTGTTTCTCTCCAAACAAACCATGAGTGGAAGCCAAGGCTTGCACTTTGCTTATTACTTAAGGTTTGTTTTGGAGAAACAAACGAGGAGAGCTGGTTCACACATAACTCAAAGACAGCCTGTGGTCTCTTTCTTCCCCAATGTGCCAGTGGAAACAACAGTGGAAGAGTGCAGCATGGACTTTTGAGCAGCGTACCCCAACATACCGCTTGTTCACATTAAACCCCAGTATAACCTTAACTATGCTTTAAAGTGATGTCTGAACCTGGCCATTAATCATGCTCCTAATAGGTCAGGCATCTGATTATTCTATTTTCTAGAAGAGAGGAAATAATGAATTGTAACTATGTAAGATGTGCCAAAATGATTCATTGTCAAACTGAAACATGTTAGGTACAAACATACAGTTCTTCTGGGAGAAAAGAGCTAAACAGTTTAACTAAAATAAAAGAGCATTCTACTCATATTTAGTGTCCAGCTTGATATTAGCTTTGCATTAAATTATTTCTACGTGCAGTGGCTTTTTCCTTCCACAATTTATAAACTGGACAGTTTATTAAGTATTTTTTTTAACTTAATAACGTTGTGGCAAATAATTGATACTGTTTGAGCAATCGTAGGATAATCCTGTGTATGGAAATGAGTTTCAGGGTGTTGGGGATTTCTTGGGTTGAGTACAAACTATCCAGATGAATACATCAGAAGACTGTGGCTTAGTTTGCATGTAACACTAAGCTAAACCATGGCTTAGCACAAACCAATTAATGTGTGGGTTCCCATAGCAAAGATTCCAGTCATTTTGCTCCTTCTCTGGTTGTCCTGCTACTATTTTGCTGTAAGTCAAACCGGATTTTGTCTTTGCATTATGTCCAAACCTGGGCTCACGGTTTATCTCCTATAGACAAGCCATGTTCAGTAAGCCATAGAACAAACCTGGGCTACAGCTTGTGGTTTGGCAGGAGCAAGAGATATCACAAGTCCAGGTTTTGACGTAACACTAAGCAAAATCATGGGTTTACTCACAGAAATATGGGAACAACACGATCTGAAGTGACCATTATTTTATGTCCGGGAAATTGCACATTTAGGCTATGCCATTTTTTAGGTTAGTGTTACATGTGACCCAGGTCTGTGTGCCACAGTGCTACACTTTAAAAGTCCTCATGTTTTTGAAACACCCCTCCTCAATAGATGACATAGCTGTTAGGACGGGGGAAGCTAATCTTTAAGTAGAGTGGAAGCCTCCAGAATGCTGGTTCTCTCAGACTTCCTTGGGTTAGGTCATTTGAGTAGAAAACATTCAATATTTTCTGCTAAAAACTTCTGTAATTCTTTGATTTGTGGGTATGTATATTAAAATCTGAATTAGGATCTCTATTAATATAAAAGATACTTATGGGTTTCTGTTTCTTTTTTTTTTTTTTTGCCTGCATATTTTTTGAAAGTTTGTGATAGTACGTATTTAAGTTTTTGGCAGCAGCTGCATTGTCCATGTTTGAAGTGAAAACTATTAATCTAAGCAGCTAGAAATGCTAAGGGCTAGAAATGCTAGTGGAAGCTAGGATTCTCAGGATTTTAATAGCATCTAGGCTGCAGAAACCAGTTTTTTGGTGATATAAATTGTTGCCCACCCCCAGTTAGTAGAATTAACTTTCAGCATAGTGTTATGTGAATACTGTTGCCCTGAGTCCCTTTCAGTGTACTCATTTTTGGAAAGAAGATATCTTTGCAGGTCTTGCTTTATTCTTAGCCTCTCACATTGCAAGTATTACCTTGGTGCTTAGTTAAAATAGTGAGGTCTGTTATGGATAATTTCTTTGCAACTGGCCATTTTAGCTTCCTGGATTTGAAATGCCGAGGCACATTTGAACTTGCAAGAACTTAATTGTTGCAGCATTTTAACTACAAATATTTATTACAACTGCCATTCCTTCCCCTAAAGGATACTGGAAATAGTATTTCAGGGCACTGGGAATTCAGTGTGCCCCATAATCCCTTCTCACAGAACTACAATTCCCAGGGTTTCTTGTGGGAGGAGAAATGATTCGACTGTTAAACCAGCCTGTGCAGTGTTTATACTTTCCAGTTCATTGCTCCCATTTCCCCATTGCTTAGGCCTCATGTGACATCTTAAGGTGGTTTGTCTAAGATGCTACATACCACAGTTACTCACATAGAGTTTTCTTGGCCCTTTCCCTTACTCCCTTGTGATAATAATTACACAAGTCCACTAATTACATGAGCTCAGTATGTTGACTATTAGAGATGAAACAGGATACCCCTTGTTGGATATTAGAAGAAACGGGATACCCCATCTTTTAATGAAAATGCAAACTATATTGTGTTAGATCTATTATTTTAATAGATACTTGTACCTTTTTTGCCTCTATCTTGAATTCTGTACCAGTACACTGTGGAAGTTTAGATGTGGCTTTGAGGTACATTTCTGCATAAAGCCTAAGGTATACTTGGACAACCAAACTACCAACATCAAAGTTTATGGAATCCTTACCATTTGGTTACTATATTGATTGCTATATTTTTTAAGTCTATTTTTTGTTTTGTTTGTAGGTAGTCCAGAGAATATTTTTTGGTATTAGAATCATAGAATTGTAGAGTTGAAAGGGACTATGAAAGTCATCTAGTTCAACCCACTGCAATGCAGGAATCTTTTGCCCAGTATGGTGCTTGAACCCACGGCCCTGAGATTAAGTCTCATGCTCCTACCAACTGACCTATCCAACATTATTTTTTGTTGGCATCAGTCTGTCTTGAGAGACAATGGAGTGTGCATCCAGGGGTGAAGACAAAGCAGTGGATGTGCCTGATGTGGCTGCAGAAACCAGTAACTCACAACTACATTGATTTGCTGCGTTAGCAGCACTGAAGTGACCTCTCTGGGGCGCAAGCCTGGGTGGTGTGTATGGAGGTCTTGGGTTGCCCAGAAAACAAGACCTCTTGGCCTCACCAGTGTGGTGCAAAGGAAAGCAGAGCAATACACTTGGTAACAGCTTGGCTGTGGGAGTTGCCAGAAGGAGGCATATAAGGTGCCATCAAACTGCCTAAGGGACTCCACCGGATTTGTGTAGGGTTTACTTGTTAGCTTTTTCTTCTCCCAAAAATCTCCTTCAAGGCAGTGGGTATGGATTTTTTCTTGGGGATTATTTATAAAGCCTTTCTTATGAATGAGTATAGCCGCAAGGCAGCAGAGGTTTCAAATCAGGGTTATCCTTCTCCTAGATGGGCTACTGGTAAAGCCTGCGACTCTTAATGTCAGGGTCATGGGTTTGAGCCCCACACTGGGTGAAAGATTCCAACATTGCAGAGGCTTGGTCTACATGACCCTCATGGTCCCTTCCAACTCTATGATTCTAGCATCCCTGGTTGATGAGCCCCATATGCCCCTCATTTCCCTCTACAGCACATGAAGCCAACATTAAATGACTAATAAATAAACACAGTACTACAACTTAATAGAGCTACTGGACATCTGCCCTTCAGATATTCACATTAACATTAGATGACTTTTTAATTATAAGTTGAAGCCTAATAGTGCATTCTAGAATGTATTGCCACTTATACTAACTTTGCTTAGGTAACAGATAAAATTAACTGTCTAAAAAATTATTGCCATGAAATTCACATCTGTATAATTGATTTTAAAATAGTTGGCTCCTGTGAGCCAACAGAGCAATAATAGATTTTTTAAAAAACCACACATTGGGCTTTGTTCTACACGGAGGGAGGGCAGCCAGATGGCACAAGTTTAAGGCCTTAGTGAGATTTGACCCAGGGATAGGGTGGGGGGTTGATTATGTATCATTTCCACTGTCTTGGGTTGCACTTCATTTGCATATTTTGAAATGGAGCTAGAGAGTCACTTTGTGAACAGTTTATTCAGCAGAATACTGGGAATGGAGTCCTAAAATCAGAACCCTGAATAATGAAATCATAACTACAGCATACAGCTGTAGTTGTACCTTGTAGAAGAGGAATAATTCTGAAGATTTGAGAAAAGAAGCTGTACAGTGGCTTGAAAGATGCAAGCAAATTATTGGGTTGTTTTTTTAATACAGTGAGTGAATTTGAGCTGTTCATTGATTCATTCATTTGTTACATGAATAATCCCACCTTTCCTTCATAAGAACTGAAAGTGGTGTTCATGGTGTTCCCGGACAGTCTGCAGTATGGGTACAGACAAGAACCAAACCTGTTTAAATTTAGCAAGGTGGCTATATCACATGTCTTCAGACCAGCAGGACTTTTTATATAGAAATATATATCTAGAACTAATCTGTAATATTAAATAATTAAGATGTTTTGGGATGGGGTAATAGAAAGTTGAACAAGTTAGAAAATATTACCAGGGTATTTTGCAAACATGCTGGCAAAAGTTTCTAGTGGCATTCATAATACTTTGAAAACGTGTAAGTGTATATAATATCTATATAATATAGACAAAAGTAAATGCTGAGCTTGAATATTGCCCTTCATGAAAACAAGACTGGGACAGATGCTCACTAATTGGAGCGAGACCAAGACAGACAGGGAGAGTGAAAGTTAATTTATGTTTGACGGGCCATGAAATAACTTTTTCATTTTGGCCCTAGCATGTCATTCTGTCTGACTATTAATGTGAATTGCTGTACTAAGCACTTCCATCTACTATAAGATCCTCAAGGCGAGGCAACAGAATCCTCCTTGATTTTGTTCATATATACTTCTGTTTTAAGGTGCAAGTCACCTTGTGAGTTTCACCTACTTGAAGTCTGTTGTGAAGAATTCTGCCATCTGTATTTAAATATTCTGCAATTGTCGTGAACAAGCACTTGGAAAATTGATAGGTGTTCAGTAATGGTGTTGTATACCTGAAGGAGCGTCTCCACCCCCATTGTTCAGCCTGACCACTGTGGTCCCATTCTGGGGGTCTTCTGGCAGTTCCCTCACTGTGAAAAGGGCAGTTACAGGGAACCAGGCAGAGGGCCTTCTCGGTCATGGTGTAATCCCTGTGGAACACCCTCCCATCAGATGTCAAGGAAATAAACATCTATCTGACTTTTAGAAGGTATTATAAGACAGCCCTGTACAGGGAGGTTTTTAATGTTTGGTGTCTCAGTGTATTTTTATATTATGCTTGAAACTGCCCAGAGTGGCTGTGATATAAGTAATAAATTAATAATTAACAAGATGATGATGATGATGATAGAATCTTCAGGTTGGCCACAAGTCATTGAGGATGGCAAACTATTTTTTGTTGTAGGCTACCACATTTCTGTGCTAAAAGCAAAAAAACTGAAGCAAAAACCCATCAAGCATGTGCACAAAAATAAGGGGTCTTGCCGGGGGGGGGTGCTTTTTGTGCTGCTGAATATATAATTTACACTTACATGACTAATACTTAAACACTGATTTGTGAGAATACTTGTCATAACCTAAGATTTTAGTCAAAATATTGTGGGCAAAATGAATAAAACATTTTGGGGAATCGGAAGTGCAGGATTGAGGGAGAAAATTCATCTAACCTTATATATATTCACGTTATGAGAAGTAAAGATGCATTCAGCTACATGGGCTGCTGTGCAGACTGACATGAGCTAGTATGTTACAAGTAATGGGCTTCTTATATTCATGCATTGTTAATGTTACGCTCAGACATGTGCAGCTTATACTGCAGTCTAGCATGTAAAGTTACCAGATATACTCAGTTCTGCATATAGCAACTGATTATATTGGAGGTGAGTTTGCAGGTCTCGCAACCTGTCAAGGAAAAATGGTACATGATTTTGGAAACCCATGTCTTGTTCTTAAACAATATCCTTTATTATAAGCTTAAAAATGTACACCCCTTCATTGCGGGACTTCAAATATGGCATAGAATGGTCTTGATATTGTGGAACATGTAGAGAATTGTATTAACTTTAAGGTGAAACCACACATTCTTCAAGATCTCAGGTGAACTTCCAGAAAAATTATTATGGACAACAGGAACAGCTCGCTGCCTGGTATTTTTATTCTCTGGGGCCAATATGGCAATAATGATGCCAACTGTCTTATAATGAAAACAGCATTCAAGTAGTTGGCAGTTTCCAATTAGTTGCTCCGTTTACTGGAAAGAACAACTTTCAACAGCCTTATAGGTTTTATTTCACTTGGCAGTAATTGGAGTAGGTGAACAACAACCGGCTGGAGTTTACAATGCAGGGCTGGCAGAGAGGCAACTGATATGTGAACTGGAGAAGCAGCAAAAAGAATGTGATCAACTCTGAGAACAGCAGCAGAGGAAAGATTGCATATTCTAGTTTCAGAAGTGGTATATATCCATATTCAGACAGATTATTTAATAAGATTTCTTTCCCATCCTCAACAGAAGATCCCAGGGTGGATTACAGCAATAAAATACACAATTTTAAAAAGTTGAAACCATTGCATAGAAAATCATTCCAAATGGAACAAAACTGTATAAATTCAGCGGAAGAGGTGTGTCCCACAAAACAAAGGTCAGAAATCCATACAACAAAACTGCTTGATGCACCTTTGTAGACAGGGTTCCACAATGTAGGGTCTGCCACAGAGAAAGCCCTCACCTGGGCTGCCATTCCCTGCACTTTTGAAGGGTGGTGACACTACCAAAAGAGCCCACTCTGCTAGGCCTGGGCGACATATCAATATATTGCCCAGGACAGGTATGAGAGGCAGACCGTGATGGTGGTTTCACTCAGTGGTATATCGCTAATGAAACTGCCATCACTCCTGTGTGTCTCCAGTGCCCAGCACAGCGAGGGAGAAACAAGCTTCAGCTGGCCGCTAGAGGCAGAGGGACTCAGAGCCTTGGCTGTTTCAACAACAATACACCGCTGACTGAAACTGCCATCATGGTTTGCCCCTCATGCCAGCACAGAGTGAGAATCAAGATGCATCGGCCAGGCACTAATACAGCTTCTTCCTCCCTCCTTTTTTTTAAAAAAACTTCTTGACTGAGGAGTGCACGGCTGCTCTTGCCTCAGCCAAGCAGATTTACAGAGCCCCTAACCCACCACTGGTTCGCACGAGCCAGGGATGAGGCCTCCGTTAAACTGTAACTGCTCCGGGCTGAAAAAGCCCCGATCCTTCTCTTGCTTGCACATGAGCAGGAGGAGGATCTGGGCTCCCTCAGCTGGGCAGCAGGAGGCTTTGCGCTCCCTGGCTGAGGTCCGCAAATAAGCCCCTGTCCCTCTGGCATGCGCACACCAGTTGGGGACCTTGCTTGGCTGGGGGGCGAGAGCCTTCGTTCTTCCCAGCTGAGAAAGCCCTGCCAGTAAAGGCGAAGGGAGCCCTGGCGACAGAACCTGTAGCAGCACTCTCTCCATCTTCGGGCAAGGGAGGGGATGAACAAGCGTCCTCTTTCTCCCAAGAGGTGGAGGCCTCCCCCTTGGGAAGCTGTTAAGTGTCCACTTCTTTTTCACCGGTATATTTTCTTGTTGAAGCACCTAACACAATGTTAATAAAGGTATGGCAATTTATCGCACAGCTCTAGAAGGAATGGAAACCCCTATCTGATAGTGGCCAACCTGATTTCTGAAGGCATGGACAACTAGAGAAAGATTGGTTGGCTTAGTCAATGGGCTTGTATGGGAGAAGGCAGTTCTTCATTAACCTGTCCTAGACCTTTTAGGTCTTTGTAAACTAAAACTAGCACTCTGAAGTATTGCCAGAAGTTAATGAATATCTAAAGTGAATCTCTAGATAGGCAGGGAAAGGTTGCTGTCTAAAGCCCTGGAGAGCCACTGCCAGTGCATGTGTGGACAACAGAGCTAGATAGACGAATGGTTTGACTCTGTATAAGACACTTCCCTATGTCCCTAGAGACCCTCAGTGTTTCTGCAGCTGGAGTAACGTCCACATCAGTTCTAGCCTTCAGTCAGTTCTTTTTACCTTACACCAGTACTTTCCTGATTATTTCCTTGCATCATAACAATGTTCACCCATTCCTCTATTTTTACATTGCTTTCCCAGAGTCCTCTGGCCTATTTAAAGTACTTCTCCCTCCCCCATATGACGACCCTATGTCTACAGTCGAAGTAAATTTTGCCTATGAAGCCAATTCTAGCTGTCCACATTTGGGGAGGTTTGTAGCTTGTTTTCTGAACAGGGTTGAATTGCTATTATATGGCAAGTTAGTTAGAGGTCCCCTGAGCTAATGTTATAACCGCTAGAAGGAAAGTCTGTATGTACTGATAAAAATAATTGTCAGTTTCCTGTTTTGAACTGTGCATTCTATTGCTATGGCATATTTTGTCTGGGCCACTTGACCAGGACATTCCTTTAACAGAAGAGGCTCCTCTGTAGAGTTTATTATGACAATGTTCAAGGTAGGGAGATGATTCATGGGAGCACAGAGCATAGTTTTCTGGACTATTATTTTTTGCCATTATTAAAAGAGGCAGCTGGTTAAAATGTAAAATATGGGGCGTTTTCAGATATACCATATGAACTCCATATATAGATACTTGCATGAATGAATGCTGGAGTGGTCTGGTTCACCAGCTGCATCCCCCCTCTCCCGTTCAACATAAATGTACATATAAGAAGGTGCTATTTTGTATTATTATGTTTGACTGTATTCATCTTTTCATTGTTAATTTCTCTTAAAATTAAAACTATAAATATAAAAATTGAAAATATCAAGTGGAGACAAAATTCTAAATAGTATAAACTTTTTCTGCTCACCTAAATACAGAATGGTTGTACTGCAACTTAGATGTGGCTTTCACAGATGGTGCATGACAGCTGAGTTGTGCACATGGGCAACAATACAAATCTGTTTCCTCACCCTGTGTGAATGTTTGAAAGTCAGAGCATTAAAAATACATTTTGATCGGTATAAGTGTACTGCAGGGGAGTTCTGTTTGTTAAATAGGAATCACCCATCGGAAGGTAGTTTCCCAAGTATTTTGTGGTATGAAATTGGGGTGGGGGTCTGCTGTTGACAAGATAATGTCAAAAATTCCACTGAGGATATGTAAGCTTTGATCATGTCTAATTTAGCTCTCTCTAGTTCAGCCTTCAGTTTCTCCTCTTCCCCCCACCCCTGGCAGCCACGCACACACACCTACATGCATAACTTTGCTTATGCTGTTCTAAAATCCCCATTCTCCTGTAGGGGAGAAATGTGATCCTGCGTGGGTTGTCACCGCCCATCTCTCCACTGGTTAGAAAGTATTTCTGTACCGTCATCATAACATATCAGTGTTGTGTACAACATAAAGACATAAAATACCATTAAAAACAAGACAAATAATAATTTAAGTGATTAAACTACTGGGTAATCAAAAATTTATACACCTACTGTTATAAGAACAGGCTTCAAGAGACAACTGAAAGTCAAAAGTAAGAGTGCCTGCTGAATCTCTTTTTGGAAGAATGTTCCACAGCAAATTTTATCCATATTGGATATAACTGGGGGGAAACTGCTCATTTTGCTACACCCAAATCCCTCCCTCCTTTCTTCAAAATGCCTGCAACGGGGTGCTTTGAAGTAGCAAAGGGGGACTACTGCAGACACTTTCTCCCTCAAACTTAATTGCCTCTCCCCTGCTTTATCTCTGCCAGAATTCTGACTCTGTTTCAAGCCACTAAAGTGAATATATCACTAATGTGAATATATGTGAACAGACAATAAAATAAATAAGACTTTTGGAGTGCATTGAAATAAAAGCAACTGTTTTGTAGCACCTCACAGGTTTATGTGTCATAAGCTTTTGTATACCCAGAGTCCATTTCATCGCAGACCTAAATTGGTAAAACGTCTGATGTAATTTGTCAACACGAGACAACTCTCTTCCTCTTTTCACCTGACTTGTTCATAAATATTTGTCCTGTCTGGCTTTGTTTCATGAACCAAATTCAAAGGAGGAGGAGCGATCGGACAAATCAGAGCATTTTTTTAAAGTTTTCCCATTTGGGGGGTTTTTTTTGTTTTGTTTTGTTTTTTGCTTGGGGGGGTGTCAAAATTCCATGGTTGGGAATCAGTTAGAAATAGGAAATTGTCAACTTGTTATGTGAACGCTTGCCTAACAGATAATTTCCAGGGAAAGCATTGTTTTGGTAAGGCAGACCTGCATGTACTGACCTAGATGGTCCATTGGTCAGACTCATCATAAAACAGCTTTCTATGTAAGTCTTCAGAGCAGAGCTAACAAAGAGAATCTGGCTACAAAATAAGTATCAAATGTGACAAGGAACTTGCTTAATCATAAGGGGAAAGTGGAAGGCACCACCCCAAACTGTGGAATGCCCTCCAGGAACCACTGGGGAACTAGTTTCCTGTAGCCTGAATGTGAAAAATGTTAAGCATTCTGAATGGAAAGCTGTAACATTAACTTATAAATAAGGTGGAACCACACTCCTTGAAAGACAGCAGTCAGGATCTAGAGAACATTGAAAGTGGCTTTCTGCATTCAAGGGGACTTTGGACATTTGTTTCTCAAACTGCAGCCCTCCTTGTTGCACATCAAGCTTTGTTCCTAATATTGAGGGTACTTGCAAAAGCAGCTTGTGATACAGCATGATGGGAATAAGCTGTTTGAAGAAAAACAAGGCCAAAATCCCACTGGGCATGTGCAAGCTCTTGGGCTTGCCAGAAGCAGCTTGTTGTGTCCCCGTATATTTTGTGCAGCCATGACGAGAACTGTGCTCCAGTAGCTGTGGTAAAGCCAGCTAGTTTGCTAGTGAGGTGGCTCAGGCTTCAAATGATGTGAACTGGCTGTAGTCCATGAACAAACAACATCCAGAGGCCAAGTACTGGGTAGGGCTGGACATGTTTTTACTGAATGCAGAATAGTGGCTTCATAACAGAACACTGTTTTTCCATACTTCGTGCTGATCAGGGAGGAAAGGGGGGGGGGGAGAGCAGTGATGTGGGGAAGGGAAGGGAAGGGAAGGGAACTCCAAACCAAAAGAATTTCTGTGGCATAATGCGACTAGTAGCAATTGCTGCTGGACGTTCTACAAGCTATTTTTTCAGCTTCATGGGCTAGCAGTGGCATTTCAAGTGTATGGGTGGAGGAAAGCATGAAGGGCTCTTTTAAAGCATCATATTTCTTTTCCTCTTCAACAGTTAGGTTGAAATAGTTTTTTTTAAATACTTGAAATTAAATGCAGTTGAAGAAAACAAAAATGCACACCAAGTGAAAGCCATTCTTTGAGAGAGAGACTGCTCAACTGGAAAACTCATGGCAGTGTACATAATAAAATGATTAATACAGTGGTACCTCAGGTTACATACGCTTCAGGTTACATACGCTTCAGGTTACACACTCCACTAACCCAGAAATAGTGCTTCAGGTTAAGAACTTTGCTTCAGGATAAGAACAGAAATCGGGCTCTGGTGGTGCGGTGGCAGCAGGAGGCCCCATTAGCTAAAGTGGTGCTTCAGGTTAAGAACAGTTTCAGGTTAAGAACAGACCTCCGGAACGAATTAAGTACTTAACCTGAGGTACCACTGTACATAAAATCATCAAAGCTGTTCACAAGTATACATAAATTAACTATCAACAAAATATGGATAAAATCAGAAAATCTTTTAAAAACAAATATGGATAACTAATTATATGTCTGGGGAGGTTTCTGAAATACATAAGGAGGTTTTCAGCAGGGATCTAAAACAATATAGTGAAGGTGCCTATATAGGAAGTGTCTGTAAAACAGACATTATTTTAGGTTTTGGGAGGAAGGATACTGTACTTACTTGGAAGAATGTTCTGGTAAAATCTGTTTAGCAGTCTGTATAATTTTCAGTGTGCTGGGAGTGTAAGCTTTCATGTTACAGGGAAATTCTTGTCAGGCATAAGTATTCAAAGCAAGAAGAGTGGCTTATAGCATCTAGATTTAAACATTTTGATACATTTTGAAAGCTTATGACATTAGGTGGTCCAGGAAAAGACCACGTCATTTACACTATGGTTTTGGGGGAACCAGCATGGACACAAAACTTTGGTCTCTAAGAAGTAGATTGTTACAAATCTAGTGTTAAGGATATGACAATCTAAATACTTTGTTTTAAATAATACCTTGGCAACAGATTCAGTTCAAAGAAGCCATATCAATGACCGACTGGCTATGTTATGCCCACACCTCTTAATATTTATGCAGTTGTCCTCATGTTGATGGCTTTGGGGTTTGCTGTTCTGTAGTTGTGTGTGTGTGTGTGTGTGTGTGTGTGTGTGTGTGTGTCTTCAAGGGATGAACATACACATGCAGTTCAGAACTGGTCTAACTTCTCCAATAGGTTTTTATATGTACAGATTGCCACAGAGAAGAAAGTGTGCTTCAGTATTAAAGTTCTGTGTTTAGTATTATAATAAAATTGCCTATCCTTCTAGTTACTATTCTCCCACACATTTGTAATCTCTGTTAAGAGCTGGAAGGGATAATCTGTGAAAGGCCCCTTGCCCTCTTCTTCTTTCTGCACCACCCCTTCTATCTTCCTTAGAGGAGGAACAGAGATCTGAATTTATAAGCTAGCATAGGGCCTCTGAAATTAGGCCAAGGACTGCACGAAATCATATTTAGGGTCACATGCCCACCCCCATCTATAGGAGTGCTCTGAAAGTTGGCAATATGCTTCTTCCTTTTTGCATAAGATCAGCCCAAGGCATGTGGCAATAAGAAAACACATCGTATGCTGGAAGGCTATAATAGACAGTTATGTGCATCTTGTGTGTTACACAGGTCAGGTTAGATATTTAACTGAAAAAAGGTTGCTCACCTTTGCTGTTGATGTCTACTCAGATGTAAGCCCCACTGAGATCTATAGTACTTACTATCGGGGGTGGTGATGGTGATTTTATCCTGTAGTAGGGTTTTTTGTGTGTAAATAACTTTAATTTTAAAGAGAAAATACAGTATCAAAACACCATGCTTTTTACATGCACAAAATATTGTTTTGAAAAGAGTACAGAATAAGAAAGAAAATAAAACAAAGAATTGTTAAAACAGAAAACCCAAAGGGTACTGATAAAAGGCATATTATGCAATTCTTGCAGAGTAAAGCATTCTACATTACCTTTATTTATTGCTTGCTATAAGGGGAGAGGAAAGTGGAGACAGTATCCTGTAGGATTTTATATTTAGTCATTTCAGAAAGTATACATTGTATTTTTAAGCAGCACAAGTTTACCAATACTGTTAAGTGCATATATACACATAGAATAGGGACGCGGGTGGCGCTGTGGGTTAAACCACAGAGCCTAGGACTTGCCGATCAGAAGGTTGGCGGTTCGAATCCCTGCGATGGCGTGAGCTCCCATTGCTCGGTCCCTGCTCCTGCCAACCTAGCAGTTCGAAAGGACGTCAAGGTGCAAATAGATAAATAGGTACCGCTCCAGCAGGAAGGTAAACGGCATTTCCATGCGCTGCTCTGGTTCGCCAGAAGCGGCTTAGTCATGCTGGCCACATGACCTGGAAGCTGTACGCCGGCTCCCTCGGCCAATAAAGCGAGATGAGCGCCGCAACCCCAGAGTCGGTCACGACTGGACCTAATGGTCAGGGGTCCCTTTACCTTTACTTTACACATAGAATAAAAGCATACATTAAAATCAATGAAGGTATTTTGTTTTGCCTTGCCATCCAAGCTGCTTTAGGGTCTGTTTAAAAAGTAAATGAGCCTTTTCCCACCACTGCATATATACGTGTATCTTAATGTATTGGCACCCCCCCCCCCCCGTTTTATTACACAAACACCTTAGAAAGTGACAAAGGAAACAGGAGAATAGACTTTTATCAAAAAGCTGAGGGGAGAATAAATGGCAGAGGTTCTGTGCTCTTTGGCTCACTCTGGCTTAAGTAGTTACATTGAAATTGTCAATTGGAAATGAAATTGGCCACTGTTAAATTTATAGCAGTTTGAGAAACTCACGAGAGGCATGACACTTGGTTATTTATCTTCTAACATTTGTACTATATCTTCTAAGAAGCCCATATTTGATGCTTTAGTCTGGCAACAACTCTGTGAAGGTAGACTGATGCAAGGAGGCAATGGTAACTTTCCCTTAAGTCCTCTCCATTGAGCCTTAAAAGCTGAGCAGATTCTCTGAATTAGGTTACCCCGCATCTCAGAACTTAGTGCTGTAATCATTGCACAAATGTCTCCCTTAACTTGTGCTTGTGTATTCTTGGAATACAAATATTAAGTCAATGAACAAGTGCACATTGTTAATCTGGAGAAAATGTTTTGGCAGTTCATGAAGAAATGTCTTCCTCCTGTCCTAGAATCACAAAGACAGAAGCCATGATAGCTAGATTTGAGTATACGGTCTGTGTTTTCAAATGCATTTTTTTCCTTTCTTTACTTGCAGGTGGTGTTGGTGCTTCCTTCCAGTGCCAGTTAATCCATCAAGACCACATCTGTACTGATGACAGTGACAAGGTAACTGAATTAAATGAGTTTCCTTCAGGTATTAAAAGTGTCAATTTTATGCAATTGAAAGTCTTGTTTAGCTGAAGTTTTATAGCAAAACTGCTTATTTGTCTCAAGAGGATGTTGCTCTTTATTAAAAAGGTGTACTTTTATGTCAGTTGTTTTGATTTTTCTATTGACACCACCCCCATGCGACGATGGGTGATAACTTGTACACAGAGAATTTCTTTTCTTCCTCTCGCAAAGTACAGCTTCTCTCATTTGGTTACTTTTGCCTTGCAAAGTATGAAGGAGTGTTGTGTGTGGGAATTTTCGGTTTCTGTTATAAATATCCCTTTGATTCAGAAAAGGTTTGGGTCTCCTTTCCTTCACTCCCAAAACTCACTTTGGGCCCACCTCAAACACTGAGATCACATGTTTATGTGGTTGCAATGCAGCGTCGTGGGTAAAATGTGATAAGTTGTTTGTGTAAGTTGCTTCCTATTATGTAGATTTTAACTATACTGATGCTACTCTTCAAATATGGCAAATGTGTGGTTAGCATAAACTGTTGATGCGGAGCTCTTTTCAGATTATAAATTAATGCACACTTCTCAGATTATAGGACTAATTTCCTTGGCTTCCTGAGCTTCACAGAAAGGAGAAAACAACTACAAACTATTGAATAAGTCAGTCACAGGAGAAAATTGTATGCCTTTATAAGCTCATTGCAACTTGGAAGCAGTAGAGAGGATAAACTGCATAGGTGTCTCCCTTTCCACACCCCATGCCCTGGACCTAGAATGAGAAGGTTCTCTCACCAGCTCTTCTGGCTACTTCAGGCTATGACAGATGAAATGGTCTTGTTTTTAGTCACCTTGGATTATATGTACAGCAAATTCTGAAGTTGAGAAGCTTCTCACTTAGAGCTGCAAATATTATTCTGTGCGTCTCTTCCACTCAACCTTTCAAGGGAGAGGGGAAATGTACTTGCTTCTGAGCTAAGGACTTTAAGAGGATGTGGTAGCTACCTTCCCCCACTGCTTGCCATTCAAGTTCTTCTGATGGATAGGGAAGGTGACAGTTCTCTCAGATTGGAGCAGGGGTAGAGGTTCCAGAAGCTATGAAATCACTTTGGGGGGAAATTGAGTACTGTGGGTCCAAGGAATCTCATGACAGAACTGAAAGAGGGTTCAGATCTTAGCTTAGTGATGAATAGGGTGACTTTGCAGGGAGGGATTGCTTTCTCTGCTTTAGTTGCCCAGTTGTAAAATGAGGAAAATAGTGCATAAAGCTGGCTGTGGGGAGAGAGAGATGCATGGAAAGCACACCTGAATAATCACATGCAATATAAGTACTTAAAAGAAATTACTATTTGAGAAGTGATGCTTTTGAGTTTGTACTTTTTGTGCCTTGTTTTTAAATATGCTAATATGCATTATTTCACCTTTTCCTTTTTTAAAATTTCATCTTTGGTTTTAAGAGCAGTTGAAGTAGCATTTGTCCTCCATTAGCGATGGTGGCATTTTGTTGTCTTTAGGGAGGGTGCTCAATATAGTTGTTCTTACATCACATTTTGTGTGGAAACTGGCCACTGTTAGACTAGGTTTTAGAAAGAAGAATGAATAGAAGGTACAAGTCCTGGTCATCTATTTATAAATGCTTTTTCATATCAGTATGGAATTCATTTGTTGTAAACCAGGGTCTAGAATGTAAAACACATGGCAAAAGAGTTTTGAATAACATCAGTCCTCATATTTCCACTTAAATTGATTGATTTTTCTTTCACTTGGACACTGGTGGTGGTGGTGGTGTGTGTGTGTGTGTGTGTGCATAGACATTCACTGCTGATTCCATAGGAAAGATATGTGATTGCACCCACCCATGTGGTTTGGTCATGAGATAGTCACCTAGCTGCTAATGGATAAATAGATCTCTTATTGTTAGGAAGACATATAGATATGATCTGAGAACAGCAAAAAGTGAGTTAGGCTTTTAATGTGTGGCCTTAAGAGAATATATGTCTGAAGCATCACTGACACTCCTCAGAATCTTTTAAGAGTACCACTGATTCTTCAAGACTTTGTGCATGTTTTCTAGCTGAAATCTGCTTGGGCTTTAGGAGCCAGTATATCTGAACTTGTCTGCTGTAGTAAAAAAAGAGGTTTGAAAAACTGCTGCTTTAAGTGCATCAAGCAAAACAGGTGACAGAAAAACTTCACTTCTGAGTATTGCCTTCAGTTTCTTAGTGTGATCGTGACTTCACATGTAACATTTTGAATGTGCTATTTTAAGCGTTTTCCAGTTTGCAGCTCCCTTCTCACTTATTTTGACTAACCTTTGTTTTAAATCCAGTCATTAGTTATTTTCTATTTGTGGCATCAACAACACAAACTTTCCTGCAGAGTCTTTTCACTGAAAATAGTGTCTAAAGCTGAAGTATGCCCACCCCCACCCCGCATCTTATCACTGATTCTCTTTGATTTGTGCTTCACTTCCTGGATTCTCCACAGGAAAGTGTGTTTCCTGTTAAAGAGCCGCTTACCTATCAGTTTATTTAATTAGAATTTACCATATTTCAACATCTTGCAGCTCACTAGCAACATCCCTTCAGTCGCCTTACCCATGCGAATTGTTATGTACTGACAGGTATTATGCTAGATAAACCAGAGTTGATTAAAGGCAATGGGTTTAGGGCTGCTCTGGAACACAGGGGGAAAAGATGGTGATGGTGATTTTAGACTAGTGGATTTATAAAGTTAGGTGAATTTATCTGAATATATTTCTAGATTTGGAAAGCTCTGCAACATATTCTACAGATCATACAGAGGCAGAGCCTAGAAAGGCACAAATATAACTGCATTTTAAAGGCAATTCAATAACATTAGAATCTGATTTATCCTGCTTTCTTCTTCCCATTACTGTGCTAGATAACTGCTCTGCAGAATGTTCTTATTCCTGTGAAGTAAAAAAACAACAACATAAAATATTCCTTCTTTTTAGTTTCTCTTCATTTTTTCCTTATTTTGTGGTGTCTACCAACTTTGCCCTTTAATATTTTAAGTTCTGGTTTTTATAGCCACCTCTTCATCCCTATCCTTTCTATTTCCATGACAACTCTGAAGACCTTCTATTGTGGCACCTTGATTTGAGCGTGCTCCAGTGAGTTTCATTGTTGTACCTTACTCTAATTCTGTAATTTTCCCCAAAAGTTTTTACTTTTTAGTTGATATTTTAGAGCCTCTTATTAGCATGGAACTGATTGAAGGATTATTAATATTGATTTCTTGGTAAAAGGTGCCTAGTTTTAATTATGATATTACTTGGGACCTATTTCTCTCAAGGATAGTTTTGTGGCTCTGTTGTTACTTTATCAAAGTCAACCAAACTATCCATTTTAATTTGGATTAGTGATGCCCAGTGCTTCAAACAAGCTCTTAGAAGATTTATTGAACTATAAGTTAATATAAGTATTGTTTGGAACTTTTCTCTGATATTCAGGAGGAAAACAGCACTATCTGGAAATTGAAATGTGTCACTGCCTAAATATTTTCCACACTTAAAATACTTTACTTTGATTCAGGAAGGAGCACAGTCAGTATGATTTAAGAAATCCTATAATCTAGCTTCCAGTAGTGATAGTTTTTTCTTTTCTTGCATTCTTCTGATGTATGATTCCTAAAACTACAGGATGGGTTGAAGAAGAACTTTTCTAGAATGGATTTTGTGTTTTTGTTAATGCTTCCAGCACTGTGTATATTCACTTGACTTAAGGGTTCTGACATTTCAGCACAGTATAGAACTGAACTATTATTGCTCCATAAAATAGCTTGGAACCTGTAAATGAAAATACTGTTGTGTGTATCTTTTTAAAATTAAATGACATTTCTGTGCCAGAGAGGCAGGTTTCATTGCTTTCTAAAAGGCAAGGAAGTTGCAAAAATGCTGTTTAGTAATGTTCCCTGGAGGGAAGACCAGATAGGAAATAATTTTATAGGGCTAGTGAAACTGCATTTTGTGTATTTTTTTTACATCAGGCAGAAGTATATTCAAAATGTGAAGTAAGTGTATATCGCATATAAAAAAGAAATGTTGTCAGTGGTTGCATTATTCTGCTGTAACACATATACACTATATTTTATTTTAAAACATTTCTCAGCTGCTGTTTTGAAGCTTAAGGTGGTTTACACAATTAAAACAAAAATGAAAATACAGAATAGACAGCAATTGGGGGTGGGCAGGGGGTAGAGCAAGCCAAAAGCCAAACAGAATAGATATGCTTTAACCCTTCCTAAAGGCTAATGTGGAGTGGGAGCCACACCTCTTGGGAGAGATCATGCCCATAGCATTGGGGGAAACGTATATTGATTGCTTCTAGCTGCAACAGTTTGCACTTCATGTGCAGAAGGAAGACAAAGCAGGGACTGAATAAGTGACTGAAGATGGCATGGAGAGCTATCTAAACACAGAATCCAGATCAGACAAAATCAGTGTGCCTTTAATTCATTTAGTTCACAAAATGTTTTCCAGGAAACCCTGTGATTCTTTAGAAACTCCTAAATGAGATCAGAAATGATGAGGTGACTTAGGAGATCATTTGCCTGCCCACCATCAGTCTTCTTTGTGTGTGTGTTATGCCATGCACTCAGTTTATCTTTGGTGATGCTGAGGCCTGAAAGATATGTCAGCTGAGCATGCAACCTAGAACATGCCTTAGCAGGAAACTCATTGTGTAGCATGGACTCTGAAAGTAAAGCATTCGAAAGTAAAGCGTTCAAAAACCACAGGCACAACTTTGCAGCTGAAAAATTATACAAAAAACTCCTCCTCAACATTCTTCACTGTTCCCCGACCCCAGTGTATATTATCATCTTTTTATGTTTTTCCTTTTCTCTCAAACTGCTTCTTGCTACATTCCTTTTAGAGCTAGTTATTATTTTGGTCCTGTTAGACTGAAGTAGAAAGTGTGCTTTTAAAAAAGAAAGGCCTCCCTTTCTTTAGGCAGTGTTTTGTGACTGGCTACATAATTTGTTTGGGGCTGTTCTCTTGGAAGAAGGTATTGCTTCGCTTTACCTCAGGATATGTACTCAGCAGATGCAGAGAAGAGGAAATGGCGACAATAGTTAGTATTGGCATCTCTTACTTGCTTGCTATCTATGAAATATGAGAGAGATTTTTTTTTTAAAGTTCAGGAGAAAAATAATGTTTTCAAATTGTTTATGATTATATAGAGCATTTCCTAATTAAGTCTTTTTTCTGTCTGCTGCATTTTCATTACTGAAGTTAGCCAAATTCAGCAAAACCCCAGCAAGAAATAACCTTGAGGTGTACATGTGTGGAAGAGTGATAAGGTTTTTTTTTATTTCTTTATAATGGTGTAGCATCAGAAACAGGGCAAATGTGAGTGTTTGATGCTCCTCGTGTGAATATCATAGGCACTGATCAATAGGTGCCTGTAATACTAGTGCAATAGTAGTAAAATACCTTTGTCACAGATTTGCACTTGATAGGGCAAGTACAAATTTACCAATGAAACTGCTTGCTGACATGACGTAATGTGTGCCTGCCTATCTGGTAATCATCCACATCTGGAACAATCATAAATTTTTTTTGAATGAATTATGAAAAATTCCCAGTGGAACACGCCCCCATGCACTAGGTTGGTGTTTAATCAAGGGGAGAACTTCCCTGGCTTTTTCACACCACTGCCACAGTGCAGCAATGTCTGCTCTGATCTTCTTGACTTCTGGTCTTTCCCAGTCTATGCTATACACTACAACTTATTTCCACCTAAACTAATATAGCTGCTTGTGGTTCCCATGGTGACTGGCAGTAGCATTAGATAATGCCATGTTCTGTTGCAGCTGCCAACAAAAGCCAGGCTCCTATCCTGGTATTTTTGGCTTGCTCTCTGCTCTAGTGCTGGCTGCTATTATGAGGTATGCTTTGTGCCACATGTTTCAGCAGTTACATAAAACGTCCCAATTTTTTTAGGCGTATTAAAATTGCTACTGTAATTTTTGACTACTTGTGTACCAGGTTTTCTCTTGTGGAATTACAGCAACAATTTTGATGTCCCTTTGACTTGAGTGAGTTGGTGGGCCAAAGAAGTATTAGTGTGTTTGTACATTTTCAATGCACAATCTTCTGTGGTTCATGGCTGGTAGAAGAGGTGGCCTCTCTTTTGGCAGGGAGGTGTTTCTGGGCTCTGCTGCCATGGAGGCTCTATTGCCATGGAGGCTTCAGCTTTGCCCAGGCAGGTGGAAGCCTACTGATGGCAATAGGAAGTGTGGGCAGGCAACCAAAAGCGTACCTAGACTCCTTTGCATCCTTGGCACGGAGCTGTATTGGCACCTCTGAAGCCAGGAGAGACCATGGACAAGAAACTAAAAAAAAAGGTTGTTTTTTGTCTATTGCACTCCACCAGTGACTTCCTCTGTGGGCATTGGGGTTGGCTCCACTCTGCTCCACCTCCCTCTCCTCCTCCATTGGTCTGTCTGCCTTCCTGCCTTCCTTTGGCGGCCCATGCCAGCAGCCAGATTCCTATGCTGAGGTGCCTGGAGGAGCCTGTGTTCCTTGCTTGGCCACTCAGAGAAGCAGAGGAGTGGCCCCAGAACACATAGATGGGTGGAGTCCTAGCCACTCCGAGCCAGAGTAGAAAGGCACAATTTATGTGCCTGCCTGGGCCCTTAGTGGGGGCCAACCTAACCAATCACTACGTATGCTCCTGCCAAAGCCCCATGGATCCATGAAGCTGGAAAAGAAAGAAAGAAAGAAAGAAAGAAAGATCAGAGCAACCACCACCCACCATTTTTTGCCCTCACTGGTGTGAGCCAGAAGGGCTTGGGATGTTGTGGTGGATCTGCTACTCTGCCTCTCCCCAGTCCCAATTACGGTTGTTATCAAAACATATAATTTCAAAACTCTGTGGTCTTAGTTAAAGATACAATATATATGATTCTTGGTTTGTTTTTTGGAGTAATGTTGAACAAATCTGTTATTTTGTAATGTTTGGGTGTTCAGTCTTTTGACCTATGGTATATCTATATACATTTTCATTCTATTAAAATCAAGTGAAACATCCAAGTCAAATTGGGCAACTTGCTTTAAAAAAATCTATCCCCTTTCAACTCCCCCATTGTGTGGTGTTGTTTGCACTTCACTGCTTTCAATCTGTCATCAACCTTGTATCCTCATGAGTTTTGTATTGGTGCCTCTCTTGGAGGGGGCAGCCACAGCCACCACTACTTATTTGCATAAAATAATGTCACTGTGAAAATTGCTGATTAAAAATTGCTGATTAATTAGCCTTGAGGTTGAGCTTTAAAAATGCAGCTGGGAAGCAAATACAGCAGCCAAAGTACTTCGAAAAATAGACAGGCATACTATTGTCAGCCAAAGTGATTGGTTGATCCTAGCTCAGTGGAAGAAAGTATTGCAGGAAGGGAAGTGGAAAAGTATATTTCTCTTCTCTTCAGTCTGACTCCTTTCTTTTTATAAGACCCTGCATGAAAGTGGCCTCCCTAACTCTTCCCCCCCGGCTCACATGGGACCAGCGCAGATAGTTGGGCCTGGTGTATTGTATATTTTGATTTTAGCCGTCCTAGCTGGAGAGGGCGGGGTATAAATAATTTTTAAAAAAATTATTCTCCTGTGATTTTACTAGTACCCTCATTTTTTGAGTCAAATGTGGCTGTGTTGAATTATTATTTTTTCAATTGGCCATTTATATGTATATTTAATTTAATACCACAATGGTAATGGCTCCCAGTTGGTTTGACAGCACTTATATCTTACACCAGGTCTTGGGCACCACTCAAGCTGAAATCCAAGTTGTCGCCCCTCAGGTCGGTACCAGGACTGCTGTTCTAGGGCATAGTCACTTAAGATATCTAGAAATCTTTATCTCTTAGTGTTGGAACTCAAATGTTGCCAGTCCATGTGAAGCTAGTTAAGGGCTCCCATTACTACAACATTTCCTCTTTTGGATGCTTCATTGATTTCAGCTTTCATCTCAAAATCTCTGAGCATTTTGATCAGGAGGATGATAGCATGTTCACATTAATAATTTTTTGGGACCTGGTATCACTACCCACAACGCCGGCTCCCTCGCCCTATAGAGCAAGATGAGGGCCGCAACCCCAGAGTCGTCCGCAACTGGACCTAACGGTCAGGGGTACCTTTAGCTTTTATCACTACCCACAACAATTTTATGGAGGAATCTTCCCCTTTTAGAATTTCTGGCTTACTAGCCTTAGTGTCCTTTCTGACATACAGAACAACAGCACCTCCAGTGAGTCCTTTCTGCAGAGTTCTCTCCATTCTACCAGATTTCTGTTATGCCCATTATATTAATGTTGTCCTATAAGACCAGATACTCCCATTTACCTATCATAGCTCTGTTGGTTCTTGGGTTCACAGAAGAAAGCCAGTCTATGATCATGTAACACCACCCCTTTCCCCCCATACCCTATTTATAATAGGTTAGAACTCATAAAAGAATCAACAATAGGATCTAATTTTAAAGAGTAAAATACTTTTAAATGTGACTGTTGTTTTTCCCCCCAATCTATGGTTCTTAGAGTGGTTATTGTTTTGTAGAGTGAACTTTAAAACTTGGTGGAATCGCTATTGGCCGTACAGTATTACCCTAGTGTCTTTCTGATGCACTTACCCAACAAGGGAAAGTGTCTCTTTCAAAATAACTTTTTGAAAGGGAAAAAAATCGCTTTGAGAATCTTTGCCTCTCAAAATATGGTGCTAGGCTTAGCAACAGTTGCTAATCTAGGTCCACCCAATGAGGAAATAAATTCTGAAATTGGCCTGCCACATCTTGATAGTAATTACTGTACTATAAAAGCAGATGGGTTTTTTTACCTTCCCATTAAGACAGTTTGCCCTATGTTTATTTAATTGGTTGCCTAATCAGATTGGTAGGATGTTCTGGTGTTTTGAAGCGTGAGGCAGGTTTTGGGGGGCTAAACAGAGCTGGGGGTTTGCTCTCTTGAATTCTGAATTTATCACTTTAAGCAGCTCTCATTGTCGCACTGTCAATGTCTCTCTTTCTCTTCCCCCCTCCTTTCATGTTTACTGTAAAGACTGAGAATTACTGTGTACTGCACTATAGCCTTTTAAAAATTCGGTTTTTGAGACTTAAGGCAGAGTTTAGTGCTCCCTCCGCTTAGATTTCAACCCTTGCCTCTTAAGGCAAAAGGTTCATGTTTCCAGTCAGCCGCCTCCTGCCTGCTCAGAAAACAGCCCACGAAGGAAGCAGAGCAGCCCTCGTTCGTCTTCCAGCAGCTGTTAACTCAAAGCTACATTGCTGGCAAATAGAAGGGGAAGAAATGGAGGCAGTGAGATATTTTACTTTCTTGGGCTCCATGATCACTGCAGATGGTGACAGCAGCCATGAAATTAAAAGACACCTGCTTCTTGGGAGAAAAGCAATGACAAACTTAGACAGCATCTTAAAAAGCAGAGCCATCACCTTGGCAAAAAAGGGTCCGTATAGTAAAAGCTAAGGTTTTCCCAGTAGTGATGTATGGAAGTGAGAGCTGGACCATAAAGAAGGCTGATTGCTGAAGAATTGATGCTTTTGAATTCTGGTGCTGGAGGAGACTCTTGAGAGTCCCATGGGCTGCAAGAAGATCAAACCTATCCATTCTGAAGGAAATTAGCCCTGAGTGCTCACTGGAAGGACAGATCCTGAAGCTGAGGCTCCAATACTTTGGCCACCTCAGGAGAAGACTCCCTGGAAAAGACCCTGATGTTGGGAAAGATGGAGGGCACAAGGAGAAGGGGACGACAAAGGACAAGATGGCTGGATAGTGTTCTCGAAGCTACCAGCATGAGTTTGACCAAACTGTGGGAGGCAGTGGAAGACAGAAGTGCCTGGCGTGCTCTGGTCCAGGGGGTCACGAAGAGTGGGACACGACTAAACGACAACAACAACATACTGCTGTCGACGTTGGAGGCTCCATCTGGAAGAAGGGGAACTGCTGTACTCGCAGCCCAAGCAGAAAGTGGGCCTAGCAGGGAACTGGTGCGAGGAAGCGGCAGCTACAAATTGAAACTAAAAAGCGGCCTTGGCTCCGCCTCCCTTAAAGGAAAGCTCCGATACAGGAAGGGCTGTTCTGTAACCACGTGCGCAGGCGCCGCAAAAAACCCAACTTTTTTTTTTTTCTTTACATACAGCGCGTGCGTGTCGTCGCTGCCTGCGTCATCGCGTTGACGTAAAGCAGACCTACCCTGTGCGGTGGTCTCCGCGTAACTGAGCTAAAACAAAGGAAGACGCGGGCGGGCGGGGGGGAAAAGGAGGCGGAGCCCGAGGGCTCGCGGGCGGGCTGGGCAGCTTGGCAACCGCGATTGGTAAGCCGGGAAGTCAGTTCAGGTGACGTCACTGTATCCCTGCTGGCCGAATGGTAGGTGGAGGGGTTCCAGAGGGAGGGGGCGGGGCTGGAGCAGCATGGAGCGCGGCGGCGGAGGTGGCGGCGGCGGCGGCGGCAGGGGACGGCTCCGGGAGTGCTGGCGGCGGCGGCGCCCTCCCTGCTTGTGATGGGCGGATGGAGTCCCGCTGATTATCCCGGAAGCCATTGCAGGGGGCGGAGGAGGAGGTGCTGGTGTGGAGGGGAGCCCGGGCCTGCTGCTGCTGCCAGCGGTGGCCGCCGCCGCCCCCAGACCGGAGGAGTTTTCCTGCTGGCTCCGCTCAGGTACCTGTGCCTGCGTGGGGAGAGCGAGAAATCTGGGATCGGTTTATCTCTGTCCCCTCCCGCCCCCAGTTCGGCTCCATGCCATCAGGCTCTGCCCTTCCTGGCTTACAGGCTGATCCGGGAAGGGATGATACGCTCTTTTCCGAAACGATCCCGGCCGGGGGGGAGCTGTCTGCAAGACGCTGCTAACCTCTGAGGGGCTTTCCCGCCCGATGCACGGGTGGGCGGCTGACACGTTTACTGATAGGTAAATTAGCAAAAGGAAGGAACAGCAAAAATGGGACGCGCTGGATCCAAAATTGCACTATGAATAAAGGGCGGCAGGACCCACTGAAAGCAGTGGCCCCAAATGGCTGTGGGGAGGGGTGTGTGCTTGCTTTGATCCCCCCCCCCCCACTTTCCCGAGTGGAAAACGAGTCTTGCCCCTTGTGTCTCCTACCCAACTCTCAACAACCCTCCATTGTGCATTGTTATGTGTTTGAAGAGGGCATATTGATTTTTAAATGAAACACCCTAACCATTTGCCTTTGTTTTAATTTATATATTACTTAAAATGTAAATGAGCTGAGTGTTTTATAGGGCAATTTAATCAGCGCACCCCCTTCCTTGCCCTATGGAACTTGTCATCTGCTCAAGCAGGGAAGGAGGAGGCAAGGAAAACTGCACTGTTGTGCTTACCTTTTAGTTGTCGGTGACTTCTGAGGGAGAAGTGAATGGCTTCTAAGTGCTTAGAAGTTAACCCAGTCATCTTTCTTTCTTTCTTTGGAACAGATTTCCTATAAATTGACCAAATATAGATAATCGTGTTACTAAAAGAGTTTGTACAAAGGAGTATGGCAAACTAAGCCACAGTGGCCACATATGGGGTAGTGTAGTAAATCATTAGAATCAGTATTTGCTAGTGCTGAATGATGCTTATAATATAGCTGCAAAACATTTTTCCTAGTATTGTGTCACAAGAGATTTTGTTAGTGCTGTAGGGATATCCTTTTATATAAATGTTTATTCTAATTACTGTTATATCCTCCATTCTTTACTCCACCTCCCCAAAGTTGTTGCTGGTATTTTCAAGTGCTTTGAGAATAAACATGTAAAGAATTAAGTGTGGTGAGATGTTTTTTGTGAAGAATTTGGGATTAATGCACCCTTCACATTTGTTAACTTGTTCTACCTTTTTAGAAGCAGTTTTAGTCCAGGTACAAAAAGCATTTATATGTTGTTCTTCTGAAATAGGTGGAGTGGACAGAGAAAACATTGGAAGGGAGAGGAAAAAGTGTTCAGTGAAGAATGAAAAGAAAGGTTGGTGTGACAGCAGTGTAAGGAATTGTATGACAGTGTCTACATGGATTATTGAAAAGCTATACAATTTCTTTAATTGCATACTTAGCAGTTTTCCTGAAGACACATTGCATACTTGTGCAAAATTAGTCCACTTGTTTCCATAGTTGTGCATGATTAGTGTAGATAGTACTTGTAGGGCAGATCTGGGGGTTTACATTTTGGTAAACAGGAGTGTTTGCCATTCTTTCAAGAATGGTGTCAATGTGAGTTGTGCAGTTTCTCTTACATCGTATGGTTAATTTTCCCCCCCAAAATTACCTTTGTCGGGAAAGAGGCGGGGGGACTATGGCCCTGTTAATTCTCCTTGATATCTCAGTTGCTTTCAATACTTTTGAGCATGGCATTCTTCTGGAGTGGTTGTCCAAATTAGGAGTGGGCAGCACCACTCTTTGTTGTTCCATTTCTACTTGGATGGTCATTCTCCAAAAGTGGTACTTGGGGAATATTTTTTGGCCCCATGGAGCCTTCAGTGTGGGGTTCTGCAGTGTTTGATTTTACTCCTATGCTGTTCAACATCTACATGAAACTGCTGAGCAAGGAACATCTGGACTTTTGGGGGAGTGCATTGTCAGCAATGTGCTGGTGACACACAACTCTCCCTTTTCTTTTGCATGCGCAGGTGTGGCAGTGGATGTGCTAGGTTGATACCTTGCCTCAGTAAAGGGCGGGATGAGAGCCAATAATCTGAAGCTTAATCCAGACACAAATGAGGCACTGTTAGTGCATGGTTCCCTAGATTGGATGGGTGGGGTGGGGCATAATCTGGATGACATTGCGTGCTCTTTGAAGGAGGAGCAGGTATCTAGCTTGGAGGTACTTTTGGATCAATTACTGTCGCTTGAGACTGAAGTGCTTTCAGTGATGTGGAATGCCTTTCATAAACTTGTTTGATGGCCCAAGTGAACGCTCATCTGGACAGGGACAGCCTAACTTCTGTTGTCTACACTCTGGTAACTTCAAGTTTAGACTATTGCAGTGTGTTACATATATACACTAAGTCTATACACTTATATATACTTTACCTTTTACCTATACACTAGGTCACTCTTTGAAGTATATTGTGGGCCATTGTGAGAAAAATGGTTGCTTTTCTGTTCTGTATGCATTATTTTGTTGTTTAAAATGCATACACTCAAGTTCTTGCACCTGGAAAGAAATTCTAAATGAGTGGAAATAAAAGTGTACACTAAATATGTGTACATAAATATATATTTGTGAGGAAGAGAGCTTATTTGAGAGGCATAATAACTTTAGATATCCAGAACTCTCTTTAAAAGCTTATGAACTGCTGAACCTATAAAAAAGTATTTGTTGTATCCAATGGTTCACTGTCCCTTCTGCGCTCTTCCCATCCCATCCCCCTCTGTCTGGAGCCTCATGCAAGACATACCTGTGCAAATTTGACCAATTCCTCCCCCTCCCCTTCATGACTGAGGCCATTCTGTTCAGAGGAGTCCTCAGAGAGGAGGGGAGAGAAAGATTGGTTCTGTGAGGAGTCTTCCATTCACACAATTGTTTGATACAACTCCATGTAATTAAGAACATGTTGGGATTTTAACTAAAACATTTTTTTTCCTGTACTTGGGGATGTATAACCACCTCCAACAAATATTTTTGTTCATTCATTTTTGAACCACTACTACTTGTTTGGGGTATCTTCATTTGTGAAAAACTTAATTCAAAACAACCTGGCACCCATGTCAGATCTGTGCAGTTCACATATATCCTGATAACTGCCTGTCCTATATACATCTGGAGATCAGGAAACTAGCTATTTGAAGAGTTTGACTCCTATTGTATTTATCCAATAGTATAACAGAATAAGAGGCTGTAGTCAGTGAAGTCCTGTGAGTGTAAGAACACCTCTCTTTTCTTTGTGTGGCCTTGCACATACCGTCAAATCTGTTCTGGGGGTTCCCCAACCCTCCAGAGCAGGGATGTTGTTTTATGGAGGGCACACAAGGAGATGGAGAGGAGGTACTGTTATGCAGGTACTCTGCTGGATGCAGTATTATATTTTTCAGTCAATTTGAGTTGTACAGATTGACGAACTACAGTAAATTATTGGAGGGATGTTTTCTTGCACTGTTCTTGCATTTGAAAACAAAAACTGTATCTCCTGTAATGTTTTTATTTTCTCACGCTTCCCAATCACAACTGTTTCATAAACAAGTAAAATACGTTAGATATGCCAGAATGATATATATCTGGAGACTGGTTGAGTAACACATAACCTTTAAGCTATGAAAGAACTCCTAGGTGGCCAACTTTAATTGCATTTAGACAAGCCCCAGCCAGAGGAAAACATAAAATTGAATGTGTAAATTAGAGTGATCATACCATTCTGTTGCTGAAGCTTAAGACATCTTGCCAGAGAGATCTAACCAATGATCAATACCATAATATGTGAGCTTTTCTAGTGCCATATCTCCTGTATTTCTAAGATGAAATCACTTTAGGGAAGAAACTGACTGGTGCCTAATGTGTTTTGTAGCAGCCTTAATCTGATATCTAAAGTTGACAGTCTATTTAAAGTTTGATTTAAAAATAAATAAATAGATAAAAAATTATTTAAATTGCTAAGGAAAATCAATTTTCTAGTGATGTGCCATGTCCTGAACAAGGTTGCTATAAGTACTGGTTTGCAGCTAAATCGAGTTCCAAAAGCAACGTAGAAGTATAATCCAAAATCTTTTGAACATATAGTCCATGTACCTTTGAAGAGTTACCTTATTTGAGACATTTTGAAGTCATACAAGGACACTGCACAAGATGCCTTACTGTAATATTTCAAATAGGATTGCCACGTAAGGAGGATCTAAGACAGCACGAGCATCTGGACCAAAAATAATTCTTAAACAAATGCTGCAGCTGCATATATTGTCACAAGTATTCTGGCTCTAAGGATTGCTGTTGATAATAAAGTTGGAAGAATGTCCTTGTGGCCCACTAAATCGCAGCATATAACCAAGGTGGTTCTGTTTTATGGTTTCCCCTCACATAGGAAATCTGAATTAGACCAATTGGGGGGCGGGAATAGATATGGAACAATTGCTTGTTTATGTTACTGATTTAAAAGTATTTAATGATGAAATGTTTGGGCTACATGGGGCTGCCTTTTTAAAGGTAGTCTGGAAACCAATTGGTTCCGTAGAGGTATCATTTCATATATGCTGCTATTTATATGGATTCCAGAGATTTAAGGAGATTTTAAAAACCTTTTGCAATAAATTGAACATGTAGATTAATACAGCATAATCTGCATAAAATTGTAACTTGTATTGATCTTTATTCTTGCAATCAGTAATTTCTTGATCAGATCTAATTTGGCTTCTAAGAAGTTCTGATTTCTAGTGTAAAAGAGACAGCTTTTCTGAGTTTTATGGTGGTATTTTGAGTAATCCCAGTTCCTAAATATGCAGAATTTCTAGTTTAATATTTGGTGCACCTTCTTAGGTAACGTACTAGAGAAAAAGAAATAGAAGGAATTATGTTTAAGGTTTTTCCAGTACCAGTAGTAAGGAGGTAATACCTGGCACAGAATGAAAATATGACAATTTGGTGGCTGAAGAAAGAGTTGCTTTATCTGCTGTCTTCCTGCTACTTTTTTCTCCTCCTTGTATGTGTCTTGCATGCACACACATACTTTTTATAATATTTTGGCATATGGTGGCTGTTTTTCATAAAATGATAGAGGTGGGCCACATTTTTAGAAGTCAGTAGTACATAGGGATAGATGCTTCAATGGGTAGCTGGGAGAAAGCTGAAGTTAGAAGACAGTGTGTGTGGTGTAGCATTTATGCCACAAAGCATTGCATAATTGCCATATTTTTCTGTTCATAAAGCAAGCATTGCTTTTTTAAATTATTATAAAGTCTCTAAAATCTATAGAATCAAAATATTCACAAATAAGATGGATTTCATCAAGGGGTAGGGTGCCGCACAAGGGAAGCAAGAGTGCATTTTTGCTCCGTCTTTTCTGGTGATGCAATTATTTGTGTACTTATATTAAGTCTTCATGGAGAAAGTTGTTGACCTAGAGCACTTACTGTGCCATTACTAACTCAATATTAGTTTGAGTAAGCATTGTGTTCACACCAGTGTTTGGAAATGACTTGGGGGAGGAGGGTGGATAGTGTGTGCAGTTCTGGTTGAAAATATTGCACTCTAAAGACTAATTTCTTTTTGGCTTGACAGTATTGAAAATCTTTAATAGGGGGCTGCAGCCATAGAGGTAAGGCATTGTTTGTGTCCTTGTACAGAGTAGGGAAGCACAACCAAGGGCATAAGTAGGACTGGATTGTTTGACTTTTATAGTATCTGCTGCACTATCAGGCAGTTGGGTGACCCAAGAGGGGAGCTCCAGCCTGGAGAGTGAGAGAGACAACAGTGCAGCTAGCACCCAGCTGTTCTGGTGCACAGTGATTTGTTCCCTTCATAAATATCGTGTCTTTTAAAAGCTTTAGCTGTTTAAATGCATGAGTTTTAATGTTGCAGGACGTGGGCTTGACTTGGGTTTTATTAATGTTTGATGTTCGGAATGCGTCAGATTTTGTTTTGTATCAAAGCAGATTTTAAATTGGGGGTGGGGAGCTTGGCTTAGAAACAAGTGAAATTCTTGAATTCCTTTCTGTTACTGCAAATGAAGTGTTACCACTGAATTGGAGACTTTGATTTAGAATTAAAGTGGTTGTAGTGTGCCCATCAACCCCAAAAGCCATCGACATCCAGCACTTAATACACAATAGCATGGAGTGTGTAGATGCCCTAAATCTGGTAATTTGCAGTGAGTTTATTGTATATAATCATAAAAGAAACTTTGGTAAAACTAATCTTACTATTTTTCAATCTAGATTTTTCCCATGGTTGAATTTAAGCTTTGTTGTTAATAGTATGATAGGTTGTGAGGAACTGATTATTGGAAATATATCAGTGCCTCCAGACAGAGCTAGTATAAATTAAATGATGAAGTGTCTCACTTCCGATGGGAATGGTTTGTGCACATTCTCTGATGAATGCTAAGGGGTTTTTTTAAATACAGATTTTAATTTGGATATATCTTCTTACAAAGAAATTCATACAAATGTGGTGATAATGTCAGTGCTTGTACAGTGAATGTCTGGTGTTGCTGCAATTTTATGCAAACTTTCCTAGGAGAGAGCCAGTGTGGTGTAGTGGTTAAGAGCGGTAGACTCGTAATCTGGTGAACCGGGTTCGCATCTCCGTTTCTCCACATGCAGCTGCTGGGTGACCTTGGGCTAGTCACACTTCTTTGAAGTCTCTCAGCCCCACTCACCTCACAGAGTGTTTGTTATGGGGGAAGAAGGGAAAAGAGATTGTTAGCCGCTTTGAGACTCCTTAGGGTAGTGATAAAGCGGGATATCAAATCCAAATCCAAACTCTTCTTGGAGCAGGTCCCACTGAACTTAGGTATAATACATAATATTGTGTTATACATGAGCTATAAGCTTTACTATTTCATGGTCTTGTAGCTTTGAGAAAGTAACTTAGATGAAATTTGTTTTTAAAATGAGGAACTTTGTGATCAAGATGACACGAGTCTTGGGCAATCTGTGTGTTTCTTAGCCCTTCTGCCTTCACCAAACATCTCTCCACTCTTGTGTCAAAATCTCCTGTTGCTTGTTAGTCCCCATTACCATTTTTGCAGTCTTGTCATCACTTTGAGGGTGGTCTCACAAAGCCAGTATGTGAAAAATGAGGGGGGAAAGTTGTGGACCCAAGTGCTGATTTGCACGTAACAGGATGCCAGCACTCTGCTTTCTTTCCTTCTGGCACAACAGAGGGGTTGGCATTGATTTGAGAAGTGTGCACCAGGATACTTGTTCCCAGAAAGCCAAAGTTTATTTAATTGTAGCTTTCCGTTAATTTGTGAACAGCTCAGTTTTGACACCTAGACAGTATGAACCACAGAGCTGGAAATTCTTGAGCAACCAGGAACTTGAAGTGGTATCTGAGCTGTCCCAGTAGAGGAGTGTTTGCAATAGCATATATGAAACTTGAGCATTTTCTCATGCTTTGATAAAGTAGACAAGTCAGTAGTCACCCAGCTTATCAAATTTGCAGTATGAGCCTTGCCCACCCCTTTCAATTGCATTTCCCCACGTCTAGATAGATAGATAGATAGATAGATAGATAGAGGAACAGTTACTGTAACTATCCACAGGTCAGGATGCAACCCATTTGTGGGTCTCGGCCCCACTAGTATTTATTTATTTGTTGCCCAGCCTTTACTGTAAGGTCCTAGGGTGAGTGACAGCATCAAAACACAATATTAAAAACAGTTTACAACAAGTTACAATCATCAAAATAAGGTGGGTCCTAAAAATATACACCCCAAGTTTCAAAAGCCAGGGTTAAAGAGGTGTGTCTTCAGCTGTCTGCAAAAGCTGTGTAAAGAAGGAGCCAGATGGACCTCTGTGGGGAGTGAGTTCCACAGCTTGTTGGCCACCACAGAGAATGCCCTCTCCCAGGCTGCCAGCCCCCAAGCCTCTGACGGAGGAGGAGGAGGTGGAACTACCGAGGGCTGCCTCTTCTAATCTCAGCAACCAAGAGGGTCTGTAGGGGAGGGGTGGTCTTTCGGATTTGGGGGCCTAGTTGAATATGAATAAGGGCTGTATTAATGGCATCCCACATAGTCACACAAAGTCATCATTTACAGGTACATAACTGTATATTAACCTAAAGGTGGGTAGTGTTCTGTTTCCATAATTTGTGTACTGTATTTGTCTTTTAAGCTGCACTGACCTGAAACATAATATCTTTCAGATAAATGAAAACTAAATATATACATCTTAGATGCTGTAAATACTATATGTATTGGAAAGGTAACTGTAAAAAAGCTATCAAAGCTAGCTCAGCAGACCAAAATTTGGCTGCAGTGTAAATCACATACCTAGTGGGTGGTGAGTGCATTTGTTGAGCTGCAACTCCATCTGTCTGTAGCTCCTTTAAGAATTCACAAACCTAGAGCCTATTGACATGAAAGTTGTGCTTAAGCAAGCATATTTCAAAATGGGTATACCATAACCCTTATTCCCTTATAACAGTTCTCAGTTTGTACTCTGTTCTCTTCATTTCCCCCAGACATACGAGAAAAAGTTTAGAGAGAATATGAGCAATAAACTACAATATTTCCGAAGTTGTGAAACATCTAGACATTTAATCTCCGATTTGTTCTTTGGAAATGTGTAATGCCTAGTTAATTTTTTTTTTTTTCGGAAACGGTTGTTCTAATAAATGACGTTCTGAGTTACCCATTACTGTTTGATTTATTTATTTTGTTACTCCTTGCCCCGCAGAGTGAAGATAGTCCAAGTCCCAAGAGACAGCGCCTTTCTCATTCAGTCTTTGACTACACAGCAGCATCACCAGCCCCATCACCGCCAATGCGACCATGGGAGATGACATCAAATAGGCAGCCTCCTTCAGCTCGACCAAGCCAACATCACTTCTCAGGGGAACGATGCAACACACCTGCACGCAACAGAAGGAGGCAAGTATAATAGATGGACAATGGCTGTTAAGTCAGCCTTCCTGACTGAGGATTGGAGCTGCTTACATATCAAGCTCTTAATTGAACAGCTGTTTTCTGAGCTATCAAGTTTTATTACTATTAGAGTTAATTAAATAGTTATTTAAGGAGGTAGTGGTGTGTCTACTCTCCAGGTGTACATGTTTGTGGGTGATAGTGTCCTGGAAGTCATGAGAACTTCACCAAGAATGTAGTGTTTTGTATTGCGGACAAGCGAGTCTTATCACCTTATTGTACTGATGCCTACTACTTAGTAAATAGAAGCTTCTTCTTTTTGATTTTTGACTGCCCGTGTTTAGTTATATCTAGTTATATCAAGGAATGCATTGTGTTTCCCACCCATCCCTTGCCTTCACAATAGAAATGAGGAGCGTTAGGCTTAACAATTGCACCAAATCACCTAAGAAGCTTGACAGAGATGCCAACTGCAAAATAAACCTGAACAAAACTCCAAAGGAATATACCATGTCCGGCTGCTCTTAGTAGTATTAACTTATTTTGTTGTGGTGTGAGTCATGAACTTCATGGAGCTAAAATTGTACTGTTTCCAGGAGCATACAAATGATTGTCTCCTAATTTTTTCTTAAAATGCATTATTATTATTATTATTATTTATTATTTTGCTTAATGACTGGAGGCAAAACTGAGGACATCTTTACAGCATTTGCTATAAAGACTGATGAAAATGGATCTTCTTCGTAGGGCTTCCAGTAATGGGTGACCAGGGTTTTTTTCACCTGTGTAGATTCCCTCCCTTCATGTTTGTATCTCATCCTTTTTCCAAGGAGCTCAGTATAGCATACATATGAATTATTCATTTATTGCCACAACCCTTTGATGTAGGTTTAGGCTGAGAAATAGCAACTGGGCCAAGGTCATTCCGTGAATTCATAGATGATCAAGGAATTGAACCCGCATCTCCATGATCAAAGCCCACCATTTTAAGAATGATCCTGTGGTAGAAGCAGTTTTAGATTGCCCCAGGCTGACTTTTCCTTGCACTGTAATGGGCTTAAAAGATTACATGAAATCTATCCTTCGCTGAGCTCATGTCATGTCCTACAGCATTGGTTAGGTTTCGTGAAACTGTTGTGTCTTTGATGTGAAAGCCAGTCTTGGGCTGACCAATAACTGGCTATCACTGTGGTTTATAATATATTTATATGCTGGTTTTAGGATGAATCTCACAAAATGGCTTACATGAAAATAAGCATCAATTGTTGCATCAATTGTTAAATCAATTGTTATAATAAAACAGGAAAGAATAATACTTTTTTGAAAGCTAGATTTCTCCTCTGAAGAGAAGATGGTCCTTAGGTAGTCCTGTCTTAATATTGGAGAAGGAAAGCTCACCGCAGCTGGAATTGGGGAGCTATGAGGAGAGGAAGAAAGCAGTGAGAGGAAGTCTCAAAAAGAAGACTTTTAAAAGTCATGTGAATGAACCCAGAGCTTTGGAACACTTCTTGCTTGCCAATAAATTCACCTTACCTACTACCAAGTTCTGCAAGAATATGCATTAAGATTGCAGTGTGGAAGAAAAACCACCACATTTACATGATGGTCACAGAAAAGTTTGTCAGTTGGCAGCTGTCATCACAGGGAGAGTTAGTTACATAACTTCCAACTCATGTGATAAGTTCTGCTTGACCTTCATTACTGTTAATTCTGAATTTCGGGGAGAAAGGGGCTAGGTGATAGCTTTGGTATTATTATTTGGTTGGAAACTACAGATGACTGTAATCCATATTTTCTTATAGCTGCTAAGTTTTTTTAAGCAGCTGCTGTTTCCCTTCTGGTATTCTGTTTACTTGATAAGAAAAATGATGCTAAGTGTTTACAGATCCATCGGATTTACATAAATTTGGGGATGCAGAAAGAAAAGTACAAGTTTGAAGTTCATAGTCCATCCTTGAACAAAGGAGCTTCAGGGGGATTAACACTACATGTATTAATTGGCTTGCTAATGCCAGGACTTTAGTGTCATCAACTACTGTTTGTGTGAATAGCCACTGTTAATTAAAGCCATTATCACTTATTTCTGCATTTCATATCCTTCTGACCTCTGATTATAATCCTTTCCCCTGCATACAGTCATATGTGTGTATGTACTAGCGACTCAGATTAACACTTCATGCAGCTGATGGAATAGTCGAAGAAAGCTTAGGCCATAATAAATTTGTACGTCTTTAAGGGTCCACAAGATTCTTTGTTTAATCTAGAAGGGAAAGGTGTGTAAAAAAATATTTGTCCAATTTGATTATTTGCAGCCCTCCCGTTAGACGCCAGAGAGCAAGAAGAGATCGATTATCTCGACATAATTCCATTAGTCAAGATGAGAACTACCATCTCCCCTACGGACAACAACAAGCAATAGAAGAACCCCGAGCCTTCCACCCTCCGAATGTATCTCCCCGTATGTTGCACCCAGCTGCTCATCCACCACAGCAAAACGCAGTGATGGTTGACATTCATGAACAGGTATTTGAAAGGATGGAGCAGTGTATTCCTAACTCCTGGCAGATAGGTTACACTTTGTGATTTAAAATTGGAGGTTACACTTCACTTGTGCGCCAAAAATGTTTTTTATTTTCAAATGTAAAAAGATGACACCCCTCACCTCACTGTTTTGGGTGTGCTGCCTCTGAGGCTGGATAATGGTTTTCTGTTCAGTGGCTCTCAATGCAGACAGTCTAATCACAGCTGCTGCAGAGACATGGGGGGGGGGCGGTGTTGCTGTAATAAAAGCCCTGCTGGATCAGGCCAGAGGCCCATCTAATCCAGCATTCTCACCATGGCCAACCAGATGCCTGTGGGAAGACCATAAGCAGGACATAACCCAGTAACACTCTCCCCCCTCAAGTCCGTAACAATTGGTACCTAGAAGTATACTGGAGCTATCACAGCTATCATGACTTACAGTCATTGAAAACCATAGCCTTCATGAATTTGTCTAATCTCTTTTTAAATCCCTGTTTGGCTAAAGGCCACGCATCATCTTCACATTAAGGGTAGTTGTCTCTTACACTTCACACTATTCTGTTCCCATTGTCCACAAGACAAATGCAGTCATGTGATTGCATGAATTCAGAATGGCATGGAGAACAATACATTGGGCATCCCTGCTTTACAGAAAGAAGGGTGCTGTGGGGCGGGGGGAGGCAAAAGATGGTAACTCTTGCCATTGTCAATTGACTTTATTCAATTTTTAGTAGGTCAGTGGTGATTTGCACAATGGTGACTTGCACAATTTCACTATAGGTAGCCAGTTGACAGTATTTGTGAACAGTGTCCTAACCTGGTTATAGTGCATTTGTGGAAAACTGGAACTGGGTCATCTCGAATGTTTTCTTATATTTTGTTTCTAAATCCTGTCTTTGTTGTGTTTTGAAATATTTACTAATAGTCTTTGTGCTGTGAAAGAAAAAAGGGAAAAGTTGAGCATCCTTCTGAGGTTGGTAACTAAGCAGACCTGCTGAAAGCTCTTTGCATTTTTCTTTGCAGATCCACCAGGGCACAGTCCCTGTTTCATACACGGTGACCACGGTGGCACCACATGGGATTCCACTTTGCACAGGTCAGCACATACCAGCTTGCAACACACAGCAGGTCCCTGGGTGTTCCGTGGTTTTCAGTGGACAGCATCTCCCTGTCTGCAGTGTGCCTCCCCCAGTAAGTATCATCTTGATCTTAATTTCGAAAGCAAATGCTTCAAATGACTTTGGAGGTTGCAGAAGACCAAATGAATTTACTTAGAGCTGAATTTTCTCTATATTTACTTGGAAATCGCGTATTACTTAAGGTGGTTTGACTTCTGGTTAAGTGTAAAGACGATTTTAGCCTTCATATAAGAATACGTCATCAAGATTTTATGTATATCCCACAAACTTTTAATGATTTTATTGGTAGAATTTTGTGGGGTGGAGGGGTTGGAAGAGTGTTAACCTTCTGTGCTCTGTAATATAACTATATATTAAATATAAATATAAATATAACTGTAATATAACTAGCACACTGAAACTCTTGCAAAAATCCTGGATTCTAAAGCATAATCCCTTTCTATGCATTCAAAAAAATCTGAACCAAAGTAATCCAGATTTATGGTCCAAAGAGAGATGGAGCCTCATCCTCTGTGTTCAGATTTCAACAACTTCTATCTTACTTTGCATAATTTAATTGTTTCTGCTAGGTGTGGAAAGGGTCCATTTTTTCCATGGGAACTCTATTCGCTATAAATTGTGCTTTATTCTTAAGAATGTAATGAGGAATCAAATACTATGTGTTGCATAACGTTTGTGAATGTTTCTTTTCTTTTTCAGATGCTTCAGGCATGTTCTGTTCAACACTTACCAGTTCCATATGCGGCATTCCCACCTCTCATTTCCAGCGATCCGTTTCTTTTGCATCCTCCACACCTCTCCCCACATCATGCTCCACACCTGCCACCTCCAGGCCAGTTCGTTCCCTTTCAGACACAACAGTCACGGTCGGTAGGTATCTCTTTAAAAAAAACACAACCCCTTACTTCCTCTAGTAGTTGGTTCTGGAACAGTGAATTTAAGGTGGGATGCGTTGGTTGGCTGCCTGGAAAAGGAGTCAGCCAAAAATCATGAAGACTTTTGCAAGTGAGAGCAAAGCTTCTAGTATAGAGGTCTGTGAACTGCAAAATCTGATCTACAATCTGAAAGCCGTAGCTGTTTTAATTTCCAGTCTGCCAGAAAAGCAGAAGCAAAATGGAATCTGAGTGTTTTCCAGCGCTAGTTTCAGAGAAACTGAACTACAGAGAAAAAAGATGGAGCTCTTACTATTTTGAATGGCCGTGTTCCTTTTTGAGCCTTAAGTGCATCTATAGATTGAGAGCTTTTTTTGAAAGTTGGCATTTCACATTTGCAGTCCATGGTGTGTGTTAAATTTCTTTACATCCCATACTATTAACCATTGTTATATGGCACACATAGTATTTGAGAGGTTCAGATGGGCTTTTTCAACTCACTTGTGGAAAAACGTGATCTCCTGGTGCTTCCAAAAAGGTATTCGAACTGAAACTCAAAGCAGATCTGTAGGGGATTCTATAATTGTGAGACAGATGCTGATAATTTCTCTCAGAAGGAAAAGTGGGCTATGTAGAATGGAATGAATGATGATATAGTCCTCTCTGTCCTTCAGCAGAACGAGTGCCTGTTCCTTATCATTTTAGTTTTTCATATCATCCAGAAATAGAAAAGTACAACTAATTTGGTTGAGAAACTGCAATGAGAGTTGATGTAGGACAGGGTTTCACAAAATGGGATTGCCTGACCCCCTGCTTTCCCAGGGAAGGGGCATTGCATGTGCATGAAATTGGTGGGTCACCCTGTAACATTAGAAATCTGATGATAAGTAACCTGATAGGCAACCAGAGCAGCTCTTGAGTGGACTGAATAAGCAACAAGATGTGGCCTCCTCAGCCCCCAGGTTTAGAAGTGGAGGCTAGCACACACTCGAAAAAAGACCCTGCTCTGAAAGCCTCAAGCTAAGGATGAAAAAGGTCATTTTTGCATTCTAAGCAACCAGAGTGTCATCACGTATAGATACAGAACAAGAACAAGAGAATGTTCTCAGTTATGTGGTAGCAGGAAAAAGTGGCACAAGATCATAACATTTGTACTGAAATAGGCAGCAAATATCTAATTACAATTTGATAAATACTCAGAACGGAGTTATTAAGCATGAGAAATGAGAATCTCTGGCAAAATACACAGTGAAAACACACCAACTGAATAAAAGTCATCCTTCAGTGCAGTTTTTACTGTGTAATATTAACTAGATAAACTTTGACAAATAACTATTTTTGGCAAGTAACTGTGGTAAATTATATGTTTCACAAGTGTTCATGCTTTTTTTTTTCCTCCCATAGCCTCTTCAAAGGATAGAGAACGAAGTAGAGTTGCTTGCAGACCATCTTCCTGTAGGAGGTTTCACCTATCCGCCTTCAACCCACCCACCAACATTGCCTCCCTCAGCCCCACTACAGTTCTTAACGCATGACCCTTTGCACCAAGAGGTGTCCTTTGGAATAGTAAGTGATGGCTTTCAGCATTTTGCTGTGATTTTCACTACGCATTTATTTCACATTATGATTCTACTAGCATGTTCTGAATTGTTTCCCCGCCCCCTTTGAACATGCACATTTCCTTATTTATTTACATTAACCTCAACATGTGCAACTGTTGGAAACAGAAAATGAATGAGCCTTGGTTGGGTAGCGATATGCTCTCGTGGGTGGAAGGAAGGGAAGGTGATCCATGCCAATTTCCTATCTTCAAAGCAGCTACCTATATCCCCCCCCCCCAAAAAAAATCAGCTCCAATACAGCATGGGAGGAAGCACTGGGGACTGCTGGGGTGCTGTGGAAATCAGCAGAACTAGCCCCCCACCCCCCAGGAGTGTCCAATTTGCAGAAGAGGATTCTCTACTAGATTTGACTTGGTTTGTATTCCACAAGTGGAAAGAACCCTTCTTTTCATAGATCAGCAGGTTTGAATCCAACTCTAGAATTAGGACCAGTCTGTACAAGAGTTTTTCATCAAATTTTCAATAAGCCAGAAATGGAATTGTTTGGTCAAGGGAAGATTCACTGTGATGAAAGCACTTCTGAAATGTAAAAGTATGACTTTTCCAGTGCCACCGTGGGCTGATGGACTGCTGAAATTTCCCCCCTGTTTGCATTAGCCTTACCCGCCTTTCATGCCTCGAAGACTCGCAGGACGCAGCAGATATCGATCTCAGCAGCCAATACCGCCACCTCCTTACCATCCCAGCCTATTGCCATATGTGCTGTAAGTCTCTTTGTCTTTGTAGCTGTCCTTGGTAGCTTGGCTTTAGGATGGATAACATTGTTTTCTGAAAACAGCAGCCTAGAGTTGTCCCTGCAAAAGGGCACCCTCTGCTTCAGTACAAGATGGGTTAAGGGAGACCTCAAATATTTTTATTCATAATTAGTGTGGCTGCTTTAACATGATCCTAAGTGCTTCAAGTAAAGAGTGCAATCATAGAATCATAGAATCATAGAGTTGGAAGAGACCACAAGGGCCATCGAGTCAATCCTATGAGAGGTTCTCCTACCCATCCCCATTATGATGAACTGTGGCCTTACAAGAGCAGCACTGTGTTTTCATGCTGCTCACATTCATTGAAATGAGACTTGGAGCCAAACCATGTTTAAACAAGGCTTTTAAGTTCAGACCCAAGGCCAAACCATGGTTGAAAAACACCATGGTTTGTAAGACAACAATAAACCATGACTTCACATCATGCTTTGTTTCCAGAAAACAAAACATGGTTAGTTTTCTGGGTTAGCCAAAGTGGACTTTGACTAAACAAACCATGGCTTGGCATTATGTGTGAATCAGGCCACTGTATAAGCATTATGGTATGTTAGGTTATGTTATGTTTTAGAGTAGCTTCAGTGCTTCTGTAAGTGAACTTGTGATGGAGAAATGTTTTTCCTTCTGCTGCCCAATTCACAATTACTTGAAGCCAGCCTGTGCCTTCTGAGGTGTATTAGGTGCCTACAGGGGAAAGGGTCTTGATGGTGGTGGCACCTTGACTGGCGATGTTCTCCACAGGGAGACTTGCTAAACTCTTGTTGTGATGTGATTTTGACACTAGGCAGAGGCACGTAGATTATTGTAATTTAACCTTTTCTAAGCCAACCTGGAACCCATTTAAAGGGCAAAGCATAAATCAAATATCAAAATGAATAATAAGCTAAGTTAAAATACATTTTAAAAAACAGCTGTCCAGCTTGCCTCTCTGGAAGCATGGGCATGTGTAATCCAATGTGTAAAATGGTAAGAGAGTCAGCTTTATACAGATTAGTAAATAGCATGACCTAGTACTGAATTGGAATCAAATTTGAATTTAAATTCTTGACCAGTTTTGAAAGCCTCTAGGGACAGACCCAAAATTAGCTGCTCTTTCTCTGTATGTGTATGTGCACAAGTAGTAAATCTTGATGCTAACTTCCTTCTTTTCTGCAGATCAATGCTTCCAGTGCCACCTGCAGTTGGCCCAGCCTTCAGTTTTGAGCTGGATGTAGAAGACGGCGAGGTGGAAAACTATGAGGTTGGTTACAGATTCCGCATTTATGCAAATCACGAGGCTTTGAGTACATTCCTTAAATTGGTTCCTAAATATGTTGCTTATTAAACCAGCAAATTGCATTTTGCTTGAACGACACCAAAAAAATGCAGTAGCTGCTACCAAATCTATGTTTTGTGAGGACATATACTTACGCTGAACAATTTCTAGTTTTCTTCCTTCCATGCAAGTGCTACACAGTGCTGCATGTTGGGCCTCTTGATTGGGCCTGTATGTAGCCCCAGACAATTCAAACGCTAAACCAAGAGCAGTTGCCTTATGATGCAAGTTTGCAAGATTTCCCAGTTTTACACTACTGGTTTTGCTTATCGTCCCCAATGATAATGTGTTATGAAGAGTGCTTGAGTAAAGTGGGTGAGTTTTTAAAAGGTGACCTGAAAAGGGCGTCTTTCTTTCATAGGCACTGCTGAACTTGGCCGAAAGACTGGGAGAGGCCAAACCGAGAGGACTGACGAAAGCAGATATTGAACAACTTCCATCTTACAGATTCAACCCAAATAACCATCAGTCAGAACAGACTCTGTAAGTTCTTTTGCTCGTCGCCGACGCCTTGGTATGAAGTTGTTTAACCCTAGTTGACTGAAATCCAGCACAGCAAATAACTGTAGCATAACTAATAAATGCATTCACTTGTCTTCCTTTTTAATAGTACTTTCCAGCTTCAAAGTTATTTAACTGGTAGAGTAAGGGATTTTATTTTTTTTAAAAAGACCAACAACTTCCATTTATTGGTGAGCCTTATTAACAGTTGGGTTAGAATATTAAATACAGATTTCCCCATTTTTTAATACTTTGATTTAGACGAATATTGCTCACAGTCCAGTGAGCTGCACAGCTAATGATGAGTTTGCTCCTCCATCTAATATTACTGGAGTCACATAAGAATGGCAGGGATGGTGTGCAGCTCCACATGCCAAAAGCTCCCAGCTCCACATGCCAAATGGCTATCTGCTTTTATAATAGGAAAGTTATAAAATCAGATTGCATTGGGGCATGATGGAATGTCGCTTTTTGAAGAGAAAAATGAAATGCCATAATAGGCACACAGAAACTAAACTGAAACTGACATGGGGACAAACAGAAGAAGACACCTTTACCCCGGTATGGCTCCCCTTTATCACATACACAGCCCAACAAGACAATGACAATAATCCACCAACAGCATACAAATCAATATGGCTAACCTGATCCAAAACACCCACCCCCCCCACTCACACACAAAAACGAAGATCACCACAGCCAATCACAAACAAACAACCACACCCTAGGCCAACCCCAACCTCTCGCCACCAAAGGAACACAAGTGAACAGCAGACAACCGGCACGAAGAACGCAGACACCAAACCCTACATATATTAAGCAAAATAGAAACATCACCACCCGACCCCCCCATCTTCCCCCCTCCTTCCGCTCCCCCCCCAATGTCTCAACAAATGAAACTGATTTGTAAAAATGTTACACAGAAAAAATACGAGAGACATTACACATACTTCTGTAAAACAAGAAAATCTTTAATATAAAAAAAATAGGCACACAGAAACAAGACACTTGTATGAATTGTGGTCACTATTCACATGAAACTGAGCCTTTTACAATTCCTGTTATGACGTTTCTTTCAAAGTATTTAATACAGAAATCTGCCATTTTAATAATAATAATAAAAGGTCATACAATTCTCACTGAGACATGAAGCTTCCTTAAGAAGAAATAAAAATAGGGTTTTTTGACGGGGGCAGGAATGTCTTCTAAACAATCTCCCAGTAGTCCTGCTAGATTTTGGATGTGAAAAGTAACTACCAAGTGTTTGCATTAATGTGAAAATTGAATTGGGGAGTTGGCATTTGCTACACAACAATGAGCCCTAAGCCCTCTTCAGGCTTTCCAAGAACAGCTTTTAAGTTGCTCATTTCTAAAATAATATTAGAATCTGATATTGGCCTAGAAACAGCATTTTCCTTAGTAGCCGCAGGATCCCTCCACCCTCCAGTCCTGAAGTCAGACTCTTTTGGCTGCCAGATAGGATTGTCTGCCAGCTTTCTCTGCAAAACACATTTGTTTTAATTTCTGCAGTGCAATCTCAAGTAGTTTGCAAATGGCACTCCTGGGAGAAGCAAAGAAAACTGTCTTGCGGATATAGTTGGTGCTGGTGCTCAAAGTATGAGTTGTGAGCTGGGGAGTCCATGGTACAAATTTTCACCCCAGGTGCAGAATCATTAGGTAGCCTCCACTGACACCTTTTTCTTCCATCCTTGGCTCTTCACTTTTATTACAGGGTGGTGGTAAGGATTACTGTCGCAATATATGTGTGGTGCTTTGAACACTGAGAGCACTATATAGATATGCGCTGTTAATAGATAAAATCTTTTGCTCTGGATTGATAGTTATTTGTTTTCTTAATCTTGCACTGTGCAGTCAGTTAAATAGCTATGATGCATTGGGCAAGAAATATAGGACCTAACAAATTGTATGTTATATTCTATTACATATTTATAAATTAAACACACACACACACACACACACGCACACACACACACACACACACACACACACACACACACACAATCTCAGTGGCAAACCCAGCACCTCTATATCAGCAGTTAAACCTCAATGAATTGTACTGCAGTCACTTTATATTTAAAAAGTCTTTATTTTAAAAAGCAAGGAAATGCCTACGTTTTCAGATAAATAAAACCAAACTGTTGTTGCTTTTTCTAAATAAAGTATTCTGCAATTTTCTCTTCTAGGTGTGTAGTGTGCATGTGTGACTTTGAATCAAGGCAACTACTTAGAGTTTTACCGTGTAACCATGAGTTCCATGCCAAGTGTGTCGATAAATGGCTTAAGGTAATAATAATAATAAATAATAATACATAGTTTTAGAAATGAGGTGCAGTAGTCTAGATTTGTACTGCATGCCATCACTTTTGCCCCAATATCTGTCGGTATACCACCGTTAAAAAACAAGAACTTGTTAACTGTCCATCATGTGACTTATATTTATTTAAGATGAAGCTTTTTTTGTCCAAAATGTGTCTTTTCAAGAATGACATTGAATGTGAAATATAACCTAATTTGTTTTAAGGTTGAGAAGGAACCAGAAGCAGCAAAAGCAGTATGATGACAGACAGTGTACACATGATGCAAAATATGGAAGTATAATTGAAGTAGGAAATTAATTATGACTTTCAGAAAATGTACTGAATTTCCATTGTGTCACTGCAGTGGTAAATCCTAAAACATCATGATTGCAGAATATATGACTATTTGTACAGTGAGGTCTATTGACTTTGAGTTTGCCTTGATTGTCCATAAATCATAAGGTTGTGGCAAATTTGAGGATTTTCTGCAGCTCTTAATTACAACCACTAGATGCCGTCATTTCCTTCTGCATAGCATAGAAAAGAGCTCCAAGTAGCAGAGAACTGTAATTATAATGACTAGCAGTTTTTGAATGGTGTTCATGGCAACATTATATGTTTTCTTAAATTCAATTGTGCAAGGAAGGAAGGGGGTCTGATTTTTTGTTGTTGCTGTTTCCCCCTTCCGGTTGCAGCCCCTCAAACCATGTTACATGATGTGCTTGAAGGTCTCTCAACACTCAGAACCATGTTTTCTTCCGGGGGGCTGGGGCAGGAGCAACAAGAATGAAGCCCTGCTCCATGAGCAGAACTTTGCTCATGAAATAAAGGATCCAAACCACCATTTCTGAAGAGTTCAGAAATGAAAGTACATATCTATGAACTTCAGAAAAGGTTGCAGGAGTTATAATCATTATGGTGCATGGCTTTTGCATACTTAAAAAATCCACTTAACCACCTCAGGGAGAACACACAAACTAGTATCTCACCTGCTAAAGTCACCACCAGATGATCTTTACCACATCATTAAACAACGAGAGCATCACACTTCCACTTTAGTATTGAATGCAGGGCATGATTAAAATGCGACAGTTCAATGCTCTTAATTTCAGAAGCTAGAGGAGTGTATGCACAAGAGGCTCATAGATTACTGGTAGAACTTGAAGTGCGTTTAGCAGTAAATAGTAACTCCCCTGTCCTGGGACACTTTATTTGAACCCTTTGGTGCTATTTGAAAAATAGCCCAGTACAGTTTTCTTGGTTTTAAAGTTTGAAAATGTATATGTGTGGATTATAGATCTGTGTGTGTGGCAGGCAGCTGAGCACGAACTGACTTAGCTGAGAAGCATTCTATTAGAGTTGCCACTTGAAGTCTGCACATTAATCATGTGAAGGAGACGTGAGCGGCTGATGAAAGTTCTGACTGCCCTCATCAGGCTGCCCTTACTGATTCACACATGCTAGCCATGATGCCTATGTTCTGCTCCACTGTGGGGGAAGTATCTGTCTGAATATTAGTAGCTGGGAATCACAGCTGAGGAGAGTGCTGTTGCGCTCAGTTCCTGGTTGTGGGATTCCCATGGACATCTGATTGGCCACCGGGGTGCTGCACTAGATGGGACTTCAGCCTTATCCGGCAGGAGTCTTGCGTTCGTCACTTCCTGTTTTTGGAGCATTCTGGTCTTCCCATGGTGGCTAGAGGAGAAGCGCTTGGTTCAGCGTTTGTGATGCCTCTGCTGATGGAGACACTGGTAGCAAAGACTGTGGCACTGGACAGAACGGTTTAAACCCCAGAGTGGCTGGGGCAACCCAGGCAGATGGGCCGGGTACAAGTAATTAATAATAATCATAATAAATTAGCCAGCCATTTTAAATTATTGGAAGTCAGATGCTTGATCTCTTTGGACATGTATTTACATGAGAATAAGATAAAGCTAAAGTCAGTTGATTTCACTGAAATCTGAGTTTTGATGCGATTCTCTTTCCTCTTAATTATCTTGCTATGGATGTATGGTTCAATGTAGTGATTTTTATTCTGTTTTATTTTATTTTTGCAACTCAGTACATTTTCTTTAACAGTCTTTTGTGTGACATGATGTGCAATGCATTAATGCCTGTTTTTATTCCCCAGGCAAATCGTACTTGCCCCATCTGCAGAGCTGATGCTTCGGAAGTGCATCGTGACTCAGAATGACCAGTCTAAGAGCACAATTCTACTTTGGGTGTTCCTAGTCACATGTGTATATATATATATGAACTCTCCATTGAACTTAACCCGTGTGGCTTCCAGCCTTCCCTTTACACAAAAGGGTCAATGGACCTTTCTTTGCACTGTGTGATTTAATCAACTATAAAGCTTATAATTAGTCTTCACAATTATGGGATTGTTATACTAACTGTGTGATTGGAACTCCAAAGACTTTTTTTTCTTTTAGCTTAATTTCGTGTGTGCACTAACATTCCCTGGTTTTTGTGTGATCATTCCGAGTGTTGCTGCGAGATTACAGTGGAACGTGATCTTCTAGCATGTGCTTTTATATTAAAAAAAGAAGAAGTGGTAGCTCCAAACAATATAGCAATCTACCTTATATAGAGCCTTCAGATACTGTGAGTGGGAATAAACCGTGCGGGTGGGTGCGTTGATCGCAGGGTGTTTGTGTGTGTGTGGGCGAGCAAGTGTTTGGGCGGTAGTGTGTGAGAGGACTTATATACCAGCATGTACTGAGGATGTATGTGTGTAGTATTAATTATGCTGCAATGTATAATCTTGTGTGTTATTTAAACAGTACTAGTACTGTACACTGGTTTCTTTCCTTGCGTTTGCAGTTGCACACTGAATGCTATAAGGGTGCAGCAGTTATAGACATTTGATATTTCATCCCCGCCCCCTCCAATTGTATTTAATAGTACAAAAAGGCCTTTTTGCTTTTATTCAGACAACAATTATGCTTCCCTTTAATTGGAGATCCTATGTCTGTCATTATACAGCATATTGCTTCCTCAGTTACTACAAATAACAAATGAGCCTTTTCTCTTTTTTAAGGCTGTGAGAATTTTCCAGGTTTTTTGAGATTTGCAGCTCATTGCTAAATTTATAATGCGTTGCAGCATTGCACAGCCAGGTAGCAATAGTAAAAATTTCTCAACTGGTGATTGAAATTTGATGCTGTCCTCTCTTAACTTTCTAAAAACTCTTCCAAGCCAACATTGGTTCTTTTTCTGTTCACTTTCAAAACTGGATTATTATTATTATTATTTGAGATACTGAAGATATCGTTTCGTTTGTTTTCCAGTTTTGTCCATAGATACAGAAATGGAGAGGATGTTGGAATCTGTGCAAATGCTTCTTGTATTGTTGGCAATATACTTGCTTAAATCCCACTTTAGCTTACAAACACTGGCACTAAGTCACATTCCTTGCCATACGCAAGCAAACATGTACAATTAAAGTAACTTTAAAGGTATCCATCTCTCTCTTTTCCTTTTTAAAAGCCTCAGTCTCATGAACAAAATGAAATCCTTAGCACTTTCTTCAAGACAGAGTACAGTCGTACCTTGGATCTCGAACGCCTTGCGACTCAAACGTTTTGGCTCCCGGATGCCGCAAACCCAGAAATGAATGTGAACATTTTTTGGAAGCCGAACATCCGACGCAGCTTCCGCGACTTCCAATTGGTTGCAGGAAGCTCCTGCAGCCAATCGGAAGCCGCGCCTTGGTTGTCGAATGTTTTCAGAAGTCAAACGGATTTCCAGAACGGATTCTGTTCGACAACCAAGGTACGACTGTATATGATTTTAACCACCCTAGCCATGGTACCGTGTTAATATTTTACTGCCTGGCAAAAATGTCACAGGATACAGTTTATTGCTTGCTAAATTTACTTGGTGGCAGGCTTTTGCGTGGCGTTGAGACATCCTCAGTGTCCTATTAGTATGAGGAATATTCATGTTCAAGAATGGGCTGATACACAAAATCAAGGAAACAAACAAACAAAATGCTGTGAATTTGGAGTTGACCTCCTCAACTGCCTTCTGAATAATTTTGTATTGGGGGAAAATTGGCTTTGCTTCACATTTCAGACTTGGCATTTTTACACTTTCTTTTTCAATACACAACATGGCTACCGTAGTTCTCCCAAGAGCTGCACATTTCTTTGTGGATCCTTTGCGTTTCTCTTGCATTCTGTGCGCCATAGTTTGTGGTCGCAACAGCACAAGCGCCACAGCTAGCAATATTGCTGCAACCTGCTGCCAGTTGGCTTTAAGTTTGTGCCCTTTTTGATGCTTTTTTCTTTATTCTTTTTGGTATGCTGCTATGTGTTAAGTCTGTTTATTCGTCCAGGAATGGTGTTGGTTGTAAATCACCCTTCTTTCCGAAGGCTCTGCTGACCAATCGCAGTTTGTGGTTTTGCAAAACTAAAAGCACAATCCCCCTCCACTTTGTTTCAGATACTCTTTGCCTCGGTTTAGTAGCTAGGCACCTTAGTCTATCCATAGTGTCAAGAAATCAATGTTAACGAAGCAAATGGAACAGTTTGACATACTGTGTATGACAGCTTTACAATTCTTAGTTCCCCCCTCAGTGTGTGCTATAAGGAATCGCCGGAACATGTCAAAAAGGTTAAATTGCACATAGTAAACTTTATTTTTTTAAGCAAACAAAATCATGGGTTGGGAGGTTGGGGAGAAGCATTGCCACACATGTTTTACAATACTTTTGGGTCTTTTTTTATATTGCTGGACAAAAGATTTTTACAAATCGAATCGTAACACTACCCCACTCTGTGTCCACTGTCAAAGCATAGAAATAAGGCACTTTCTCTGTAACAGACTAACAAGGCACATAAACACTAATTCTGAGAAGGGGGGACTTGGGCACTGAATCTGGATCCATATTCCAGTGGGGCATCTTGTCCCTCGATTCCCAGTTTCATTTGAGCGAGGCTGTTGGCGGAGGGATAGGACTGCAGTAGGGACTACTCTTGTAGTATACTGAACTTAATGATTGCACTCCTGTGGCTGATCTCTTCTTTGAACGACTTGTTTGCGTGGGACTCTTGCAGATGTGTGCAGATATGCTTCCTGTGGTTAAGTGTCTGTAAGACACACATGTGCATGTGTTCTCAACCAGCTCTGGTCGGCTGCAGGGGAGTTCTTAACCCATTGCTCCTGGGAGAAGAGGATTCATGCTCAGCCGTTAACTGCCATGCATAACGCACCATTTGTGTGTGTCTAATTCCACAGCCCTCAGTGGTGCCTAAGAGCACCGAATTGTTTTGGGTAGCCTTTGTCCCCTTATCCCTACCTCTCCCACTAAAGGAAGAAAAGAAAAGTTGGCTTTATCATGTTGGCACTGCTGGGGTTTTATTTGCATGAATTGTCAACTTAATTTGACCTTCTGTCTTTTTTAAAACAATAAAAAAAAAATGGGTATAAAGGCCTTATGGATCTCTCTAAGGTCTCACTTTGTGGCTTTCTTTACAGATTTATTTTGTGTAAAGTAATTTCTTTTGTATAGAGTTTTGTACAGTCTCCAGAATGTGATATTTGTCGCCGCTGTTAACATTTACACCTCTTGTAATATTTGGGATTTACCAACTCCTTTTATTTTGCTTTCCAAAAAACACCTTGCAATCTTGGTTACTATTAAATGGCCTAAGAGAGCTGTGGATCTCTCTCACCTTCTCTCCCTTCTTTGGTACCTTCAGTTACCTCATTTTGCTATTTTGTGTTGCAAACCTGCTAATGATTATGAAAGCTTATGGGTTTTGTTAGAATCATATTTGTCAAGTGTTTTCTTCAAAAAAATCATACTCCATTGTATCATTTAACATGTAGTTTTAAATGTATTATAAATATCTGTAACCAAATCATTTGAAGGCTTGATAAATTTTTAACAAAATTTGTACATTTTTTATGAGAGTTACTAGTAATGCTTTACTAAGTAGTGCAATGAATTTTTATTTTTAATCCCTGTGCCCAATTTTGGAGTTGAGAGGGTTGTTCAGTAATAAATGTATGATGTACACTTATACAACTTTGTGTTGCTTCTTCTCACACTCAAGTACAGTGTTGGATCTCTGTAGCTATTGGTCATGATTTAAGCACAGAATATGAAATTCTGTTAAATTACATGATTCCAAATGGAAGCAGGTTTGGAAACCTCATTAACATTTGCCTCTGATTTATGAATTGCATATCAGTGGAAACATTAACACAAACTTTTAAAAGTCCCAGTTAAGATGGGGCTACCCAAATTGTACTCAGTATTCAAAAGACAGCCGCACCATATTTTTTTATGAAGGCATCATACCAGCTGTTTATTTTTTTAATTGCTTTCCTAATTCTGAACACTGAATTTGCCATTCATTGCTACAGCACACTGAGACCATGTTTTCATTGTGCTTTCCACTGAAAATGGTCAAAGTAGAAAGCATAGAAAAATAAAGAAAATCTCTTCCAGTAGTAAGCTAGAACATGAGAAGTTCTATTTCTTGCTGGTGTGAGTTTGCTACATGCAGAAATCCTATCTGCTTGGCACTTCAAAGTACAAAGTACGGTTCAGACTTATTGCACCTCACCCTGATATAACAGGTGGAATGACTTTAGCCAGTGTGAAATATCTGCTGGGGGCAGAAGCAGAGATACCATCTCACTGTATCGGGCAATGATTCTGAATGAAGAAAACATCTATATATGGTCAAGAAGTATTGCCAATAGTGTATGCGGTTAATATGTACAGGGATACACTTAGGTTTTGTGTGTCATGCTACTGCCCTTACATTTAGGGTTGTAATTACGTTCTCAAAAAGCAACCTTGAGTTGCATGTGCTTGAACATGTAGAGAGCTGGACTTCAATGTTTTAAAATCTTTGCTCCCTTGGGGGTTGGGCAGGGTGTTCTCTTAACATTCTTCCCTGTCTATGTGCCCAGGGCCTTTTGGCAAAGGGAAGCCTCTCTTAACAACCCTTTCACCATCCACTCTAGCTTTCCTACATTATCACACGGTGTGAAGGGACTGAGTCTTACTGGCCTCATTTCAATGTTGGTCTGGCCGATCCCCCACTGCAAGATCTTAGGAAGCTAGCCATATCCTTAAACCCAGAGGGTGAGGATCAAGTATTTCTTTTTTTTAAAGCACTAAAAGTAGAAATTGTAGAAAGATGTCTTGACTTTGGGTCAAAAGAAAGTAGTCTGAAAAAAACTTGAGACATTTCATTCCGAATCTACTTTGTTGTTTAGTTGTGTCCGACTCTTCGTGACCCCCTGGACCAGAGTACGCCAGGCACTCCTGTCTTCCACTGCCTCCTAGAGTTTGGTCAAACTCATGCTGGTAGCTTCAAGAACACTGTCCAACCATCTTGTCCTCTGTCGTCCCCTTCTCCTTGTGCCCTCCATCTTTCCCAATATCAGGGTCTTTTCCAGGGAGTCTTCTCTTCTCATGAGGTGGCCAAAGTATTGGGGTCTCAGCTTCAGGATCTGCCCTTCCAGTGAGCACTCAGGGCTGATTTCTAGACAGAGCCAAATAGAGGATGACAGGTGGGTGTCCTGCCCTTCTAACATAAAACCTGGCGACGTCCAATGCTTTCACTCTGCAATGCTATGATCCAGCTGGTGGACCAATTCAAATCCTCCCCCCACCCGCTGTGTCCGCTCTCTTCGTGAATCTCCCCTCTCTATGGGCATAGCCAGGATTTTTCAGGTGGGGGTAGAACCTCAGTTTGCTATGCATTTTTATTGATTTATGGGGGCAGCTGCCCCTTCGTACCTCCCCCCTTGGCCATGCCCATGCCCAGGGCCGGATTTAGGTTTGATGAAGCCCGAAGGTAATGGGGGCCCTTTATATGTCCAGCTGTCCTTTGTCAGCAACAAATTCTCACTGTTTTTTGTGCTGAATATATGCTATATGGTAATTTATGGACCTAATGGGTATCTAAAGCCATTTGCACATGTTTCCATGCAAGCAGTCCTTGCAGAATGTTGTTGTTTAGTTGTGTCCGACTCTTTGTAACACCATGGACCAGGGCACGCCAGGCACTCCTGTCTTCCACTGCCTCCCGCAGTTTGGTCAAACTCATGCTGGTAGCTTTGATAACACTGTCCAACCATCTCGTCCTCTGTCGTCCCCTTCTCCTTGTGTCCTTAAATCTTTCCCAACATCAGGGTCTTTTCCAGGGAGTCTTCTCTTCTCATGAGGTGGCCAAAGTATTGGAGCCTCAGCTTCACGATCTGTCCTTCCATTGCAGAATGTAGGCACCCTATATATAGAAATGAGCAAACCAGTGATATTTTAGGGAGCAGAATAGCAGGCGGGGCCCATAACTTTAATCAAACACTGTATGTAGGTTTTATTTTGTTTTTGTTTTTTATCTTATATTTTGGAAATGTACATCCAGCTCTTTTTTCCCGAGGCCCCCAAGAGAGTGGGGCCCTAAGCTATAGCTTGTTTTAGCTTATACGGAAATCCGGCACTGCCTATGCCCCTCTCCACGCCAGATCTCCCTAAGTTTCGCCTTCCCATTCCCAGCTGTCGGAGGAGGCTGCCCGGCCCCGCTCCGCCCCCCAGCCCGCCTCTCTCCCTCCCGCCCGGTTCCCTCTCGCGCGTCCTGGAGCCGATGGCGCGGCGGGAGCAAGAGGTGGTGCCGGCGGGAGCCGCGGTCGCGCCTTGCGATCTGTGCGCCCAGGGCGCGCCGCGCCGGGCGGAATGGAGCTGCCTCACCTGCCTGATGTCGCTGTGCGAGACCCACGCGCGACCCCACGGCGCAGCGGACGGGGAACCCGGCGCGGCTTTCCGAGGCCACCGCGTGTGCGCAGCCGGCGAGGCGGCAGCGGAGTTGCGCGCCTTGCGGGAGCGGGAGCGCTGGTGCGCCGAGCACCGCGGGCGCCCTCTGGAGCTGTTTTGCGAAGAGTGCGCGCAGTGCGTGTGCGCGCTCTGCCCGGCTCTGGGCCTCCACCGCGGACACCGAGTGAATCTCATCGCCCAGGCGGCGGAGAGCAAGCGGGTACGCGGGCACAAAAGTTCTTCCGTGTTCTCTTTCTTTTGGGTGGGGAGGGGAGGGATTCGTGTCCTTTCAGACGTGATCGCATTCCGACTCCCATCAGCTCCAGCCCTTAGGCCAGGGATGATGGTCCGTCGACATCTGGAGAGCCACACCCATTCGCTAGTAAGATTTTCCATGGCTAAACGATTCCAAGAGTTGCGGAGAGGAAGTGTCGTGACACTTTTAAAGATGACTGGATTTATTATAGCTTAAGTGGGCATGGGGTCTCAAGTCCACTAAAACGGATGCCGTAATAAATCTGTTAATCCTCTTTAAAGGTGCCAAAAGATTATACAGTGGTACCTCTGGATATGAACGGCATCCGTTCCAGAGCCCCGTTCGCATCCTGAAGCGAACGCAACCCGCGTCTGCGCAGGTTGTGATTCGCCGCTTCTGCACATGCGCGTGATGTCATTTTGAGCGTCTGCGCATGCGGCGAAACCCGGAAGTAACGCGTTGTTACTTCCGGGTCGCCGCGGAGCACAACCCGAAAGCGCTCAACCTGAAGCAACTTCAACCCGAGGTATGACTATATTTGATGCTTACTGTAACAGACTAACCTAGCTATCTATGTGGAATTTATTAAAATGGTTGTTGGCATATGTCTGCCTTGAGAGACACCTACCCGGGTGAAGTCAAACCCCGGGTTAGCAGCACTGAAATGACCTCCCTGGGCGCAAGCCTGGGCAGTGTGGATGGAGTTCCTGGGCTGCCCAGATGACCAGACCCCTCTCTTGGCCTCGCTGATGCGGTCCAACCAGCTTGGCTGCAGGAATTGCCGGAAGGAGACGTAAAATGAGTCATTCTTAGGGACTCCAGATTTGTGTTGGGTTTACTCCTTAGCTGGTTCTTTTCCCAACGATATCCTGCAGGGCAGTGGAGCTTTAGGTTCAGAGTTTTCCTTTTCAATCCACCAGAGCCCGTTTCTGCATGCAGGGAAAGACCCTAATTCACCAAAGGTTTGAGCCCCATCGGCTACCCTCAGCTGGTTTAGCCAGCCAGCCGAAGCTGATCCCAGCGTGTAGCTACCGTTGCATGCAGGATGGTGGACAATCTACCCCAGAAGAAGCACAACCCTAACACCCAGGGCATCCCAAATTATTACCACCGTCCCTCTAAACTTTAGGTAGCTCTTCTGATACAGTTTCTTTCCTGTATTAGGGTTAATGGCTTGTTTCACAATGTCTCAAAATGTGTAGTATGTTCTCAACCAGTTCTGCAAAAAAAATGGGTGTGAGGGTTCCTAACTTCTCTACCAGCCTATAGAGGCCTTTAGCAGCAGTTTGATCTCCAGATGATGTGTGCTGTCATTGATATCCCTGTTGTGAATATATTCCCTTCACTAGAGCAAGCTGCTGTTAAAGGCAAAGGAGCAAGCCATACAGTTTTGTTTCTGGTCTGTTGGCAAGCTTAAATAAGCAGTCATCCCACTTGCAACTATTGTTATTGGTTAATACTTATTAGATTTCTTATCTGCCCATCACCATAGGTCCCAGGGCAGATTACAACAGTGTAAAATTATAATATTAAAATCAGTTAAAACTACGTGGTGCTTGGTTAATATCACCTCCTCCTGGCAGCCTTCCCACTCCTTTGCCTGCTAATTTTTGTGTGATATCATGTGCCTGAGAATTCTGGGTCTAGGTCCTTATTTTCTCACTCTCTCTTATACCACAAAATGGTAAGTGCCACATCTCTGCAGTGTAATTGGGATAGAACGGTGCCTTGTGCTAGAGCATCTCGGATTACAAAGAGGCGTGTTGGGACAAAACAAATTACAGAAGAATCTACTTTGGGAAATGCAGAACATAGCAGACACAGCCAAATCTTTCTCTAGCACTAATCAGAATTCACTTCTGCTCTCTTTTCCTTTACAATGCAGAGGATAGGGGAAATAGCAGAGACAGTAGACAGGGGAAGAGCTAGCCAGAAAGTTGGCACCGTGTTCTTGTTAGGTCTAATAAAGGTGGCATTTTTATCTCTTCCCCCTACATGCTCATTCATAGCCAATTATTTTTGATCTAATTATTCTTCAGATGTGGGAAATGGGTGGCACTGTGGGTTAAACTACAGAGCCTAAGACTTGCCGATCAGAAGGTTGGTGGTTCGAATCCCCGTGATGGAATGAGCTCCAGTTGCTCGGTCCCTGCTCCTGCCCACCTAGCAGTTCGAAAGCACATCAAGTGCAAGTAGATAAATAGGTACCGCTCCGGCGGGAAGGTAAACGGCATTTCCGTGTGCTGTTCTGGTTTGCCAGAAGCGGCTTGGTCATGCTGGCCACATGACCCGGAAGCTGTACGCCAGCTCCTTTGACCAATAAAGCGAGATGAGCACTGCAACCCCAGAGTCGGTCACAACTGGACCTAATGGTCAGGGGTCCCTTTACCTTTACTCTTCAGATAGTGTAATGTAGCTTATTGTCTTTGTGCTGTTGACAACCCTAAGAGGTCAGTCCAGTGTTGTTCCCATTCCATAAATGGGGAACTTAAAGCAAGGCATATTCCCCCAAACATCACATTTTGCTTTTTGATATGGTTCCAAAAATGTCCAGGTTTACATGGCAAAGGACAGTGTGTGGTGCTGTCGGCTGTGAGTGGCGCATGTGTGATTGTTAAATTGCCAAGCCCTCTTCCCCATCCCCACATGGCTCCCTGGAAATGGGGACACAATTCTTTTTGCTGTTTCAGCATCTTTACTGTACAGGGAAAAAGAACGAGTGGCACTTTGTACCAGAACTGAATATGCAAAGTGGAAATGAATCCCTCTAAGATCATCCTGGAACTGAAGAACACACCAGCTCCAAAGTAGCTTCAAAATTAACTCTCAGCCTTGCTAATTAAAATTGGTCTCCCCCCATGGAACAGAATTAATTCACGTTAACTGGAAGAAAAATGCGCAGTGAATAACTATCATGGGTGACTGGTATATATGCTAGCAGAAACACACTGGTGCACTGGTGAGCTTATATATTTTGTGGACTTGCTTGCAAAGCTGAATCTTAGTTGAAGAATCTACTTGTTGAACATTCTATGATTCTATGTTCAAATATATAAAAGGATGTCACATAGAGGAGGGAGAAAGGTTGTTTTCTGCTGCTCCAGAGAAGCGGACACGGAGCAATGGATCCAAACTACAAGAAAGAAGATTCCACCTAAACATTAGGAAGAACTTCCTGACAGTAAGAGCTGTTCGACAGTGGAATTTGCTGCCAAGGAGTGTGGTGGAGTCTCCTTCTTTGGAGGTCTTTAAGCAGAGGCTTGACAACCATATGTCAGGAGTGCTCTGATGGTGTTTCCTGCTTGGCAGGGGGTTGGACTCGATGACCCTTGTGGTCTCTTCCAACTCTATGATTCTATGATTCTAACAGATTAGAAGTTGCAACTGAAGGTCTGAAGTGGTCACAATCAGTGATGTGTCCTTTTTACACTGGGTAAAACAGGAAATCATGAGGTCGTATTTGAAGCAGTTGACCCTGAAGAAGAAGCAGGAAGTTGACAACATAAAACATATAGAAGAAGCTACTAATGAGCTTAAGGTAAATCAAGATGTGTTAATCTCCATAATGATGGTACTATTTATTTGTATAATGTCCTTGGGGGCCAAATTGGACGGGATCACAACGATGTCAAGGAATGGGGTGCTTCCAAGTTTACATATGAAGTACAGTCTTATCTTAGAAATCAAACGGAATCTGTTCCGGAAGTCCGTTTGACTTCCAAAATATTCGGAAACCAAAGTGTGGTTTCTGATTGGCCTCAGGAGGCTCCTGCAGCCAATCGGAAGCTGCGGAAGCCCCGTCAGACGTTTGGCTTCCAAAAATAATTCTCAAACCGGAACAGTCACTTCCGGGTTTGCGGCGTTTGGGAGCCAAGGCGTTTGAGAACTAAGCTGTTCGAAAACCAAGGTGCGACTGTACCATGCAGACTCATTAACTTCCCTTTCCCACCCCATGGGGCAACTGTGAAAGGTGGCTGTGGCCCAGCTGTCAGTGACCTGCTAGTGATCTTGTGTCTGTGCTGGATCTCAACAAGAGATTGCAGGTGATGGGGTGAAGTAGGGAAAAGGAAGTTAGGCATGATATATCGCAAGGAGGATGCATTCATCCTCACCAAATTTATAACGACACCCAGGCTCATTTTTCTCGCTAACTAAAATGAATTCTGCCGCATGCAAAGCAGGCTGCTTAAGCGATTGATCCAACCCGAGCTGGGCCACTCCTTGGCCTGTGGACCAAAGGGCAGAAAAGCTGCAGGTCATCAGAGCCACAGGAGCCTCCCCACCCACAATGTTTGAATTGGCTGGCTGCCACTTCTTATGCCAGGCTTATTATTAGCATTAGTATAGCAACCTTCTGGATTCAAGGCTGAACTGCACATGGTTGCTGCTTTGGGAGGATATTTGTTTCCCCCCCTACGTTTGCAGTTGTAGAGGCTGCAAACGCAGTGGTGTGCCTGCAGGAGTGTTCATGTGCATTCCAGGGACGCGGGTGGCGCTGTGGTCTAAACTCCTGAGCGTCTTGGGCTTGCTGATCAGAAGGTTGGCAGTTCGAATCCCCTTGACGGGGCAAGCTCCCTTTACTCTGACCCAGCTCCTGCTAACCTAGCAGTTCAAAAGCACGCCAGTGCAAGTAGATAAATAGGTACTGCTGTGGCGGGAAGGTAAACAGCGTTTCCGTGCGCTCTGGTTTCCGTCACACTGTCCCGTTGCGCCAGAAGCAGTTTGGTCATGCTGGCCACGTGACCCAGAAAACTGTCTGTGGACAAACGCCGGCTCCCTCGACCTGAAAGCAAAATGAGTGCCACAACCCCATAGTCGCCTTTGACTGGACTTTACCGTCCAGGGCTCCTTTACTTTTACTTTACCTCTTGTGCATTCCCCTCTGGCATTTTATCCACTCAGAATCACACCTCCACAGGTTGCTTCCTCTCTCCACACCTGCCCCCCCTGAAAGGTACAGCTACCTTAAGGACTCTCATCAATGCTCAGCTCAAACTTTTAGCACCTACACCAGTTCTGTGTTTCTTTTAGGTAAAGGTAAAGGGACCCCTGACCATTAGGTCCAGTCGTGGCCGACTCTGGGGTTGCGGCACTCATCTCGCTTTATTGGCCGAGGGAGCCGGCGTACAGCTTCCGGGTCATGTGGCCAGCATGACTAAGCCGCTTCTGGCAAACCAGAGCAGCGCACGGAAACGTCGTTTACCTTCCCGCCAGAGCGGTACCTATTTATCTACTTGCACTTTGAGCTGCTTTCGAACTGCTAGGTTGGCAGGAGCAGGGACCGAGCAACGGGAGCTCACCCCGTCGCGGGGATTCGAACCGCCGACCTTCTGATTGGCAAGTCCTAGGCTCTGTGGTTTAACCCACAGTGCCACCTAAATGCTGTTCTTCCTTTAGAAAGCCCTGGGCATCATACATGGGTCTCCAAGTGGCCTCCCATCCGTCCATCCATCCGGTCCACATCTTCTTAACTGTAAATAACTTTGCTGAAACGCTTGGTGCCTCTTAGGCCAGCTTTTGGCAAAGGATCAGGCAGGAAATGGGCCAGAGTTTGAGCAGCCTTGTTGTTTGAAAAGCAGCCTCAGGAGGCAGATGGTTGCTGCGGGTGACTGCTTCACCCTTTGTCCTCCCACTGTTTGCTCAAAGCCACGCTCTGCAAGATGCTTTTCTCTCTGCAGGAGAAAAGAGATGGGACTCCAGTCTCCTTTAACTGGGTGTGAGAAGGGCAGGTGCTGGGCTTTGAATGGGAAAAGAGCAAAAAGGAGATAGCTCATGATCTAGCCCTCTGACAATGTGCTTTAGAGCCACAGTTCCCAAACTCCCCACCCCAACCACTCAAAAAACGCTGAGGGTCTTACTGTAGTGATTGGCATGTGCTGTGCTAGACGCTGTATGTTTTTCAATTGTATTGTTATTGCTTCTCTTATATTTTATTGCACTGCAGCTTTAATTCTGGAATTCAAGGTTGAATATGATAAAATGTAAAAGAAGCACTAAAAATGCAATTGAAAATCAATATGACTATTTACTGCAATGGATGTGGCATCACCTTCTTCAGCCACAAATGTACCAACATGCCGCAGACCACCTGAATGAAACTCATGGATCGCAGTCAGGGAATCCCTATTTTGTGAGGGAGAACCTTGGGAGCGTACCATTGAACAATAATAAATAAAATGTTAATAAAATTAACAAAGTTTTTACACTGCTTGATTGTAATGGAACCCTCTAAACTGTTTACAAGAAATACCAAGATTACCGGTAAAAACAGATGCAATTAAAAACATTTTGAAATAATTAAAATTAACAGTCAAAAAAGTTTAAAACACAACAACATCTACATGTCTGGATAGGCATGCCTAAACAAAAATGTCATAAGCAGGCGCCAAAAAGAGAATAGCAAAAAAGAATACAGTGGTACCTCTGGTTACGTACTTAATTTGTTCCGGAGGTCCGTTCTTAACCTGAAACTGTTCTTAACCTGAAGCACCACTTTAGTTAATGGGGCCTCCTGCTGCTGCTGCACGTTTTCTGTTCTCATCCTGAAGCAAAGTTCTTAACCCGAGGTACTATTTCTGGGTTAGCGGAGTCTGTAACCTGAAGCGTCTGTAACCTGAGGTACCACTGTACAACGAAAAGAGAGAGAAGTGTAAATTCTGCACATTTTCCAGTTGTTGTCTTTCTACTAAAAGGAAAATGGTTGCATGCTTAAGATCACAATAAAATATGAGAGGAGAACTTTGTGGGCTTCACCAAAGGTGTGGGGAGCCTGTTGACCTCCAAATCTTGCTGAATTATTACAACACCCCATTCTGGCCTTGGCAGCTTGGTTGTCTGAGTGTAACCTTTCCGCAAAGGCTTGTAAGCGCCTTCTCTTTTCCATGCTAGGCCCCTGGAACATTTGTGTTTGGCAGCATTCTTGATTTGGAGCTGAGGTTTTGTTTTACCTGCAGGCACACATGTTCGAGAGCAAAACCTGGCTGGCAGGGAAGTTTGCTGAGCTCCGACTCCTGTTTGCCGAGGAGGAAACTTTGACCAAGAGATACATTGACGAGAAGGCCCAGCATACCTTGATGGTGTATGAAGAACAGGCAGAGGCTTGTGAGGGCCAGATCCGGTTCATAGATGGCTTCACAGACAGGATCAGGCACATGCAACTTCAACCTGACGCCCTTCTTTTGCTCAAGGTACGAAGATGCTCTTCCTGGTTGAAAGTGTGGAAAAGCCCTATCATGAAAAATCCAGCATTTTCTCCATGGTGTGAGTCCTACTGTTGCTCCTTCTGTTGCATGCCTGTTGCTTTGTAAAGTAATGCAGGCAAAACAGGCAGGTCCCTGCCCCTCCAAGCCTACAATCAAAACTTCGACAAAGAAAGAATATGTGCAGCACATTTCTCTGCCTTGACATTTTTAAAAATTGATTTATGATTATAGGGTTGATTCACACAATGCCCTGGCATGGAGCTTATGCACCCACTGGTCTTGCAATGTGGGTCTTAGGTTCACACGCTCCTCTCTGCTATCAGGAACGCAACCGTGAATGGGAACCGGAATTTCATGCTGGTCGATTTCCACATCCTGCTTGTGTGATCTGGTCTCTGCCACAGCAGCGAAAACGTGTGGCAGTTCTCCAGGACAAAGCCTACTCACAAGGGCATTTACACAGGTGTGGGTAGCGCTGTGGTCTAAATCACCGAGCCTCTTGGGCTTGCTGATCGGAAGATCAGCAGTTTGAGTCTGTGCGATGGGGTGATCTCCTGTTGCTCTGTCCCAGCTTCTGCCAACCTAGCAGTTTGAAAGCACGCCAGTGCAAGTAGATAAATAGGTACCACTGCAGCGGGAAGGTAAACGGCGTTCTCTGGTTTCCATCATAGTGTTCTGTTGCGCCAGAAGCGGTTTAGTCATGCTGGCCACGTGACCTGGAAAGCTGTCTGTGGACAAACACGGCCTGAAAGCGAGATGAGTGCTGCACCCCATAGTCAAATTCTACTAGAATTAACCGTCCAGGGGTTCTTTACCTTACGCACTTTAGCTTACTGTCAATATTAAAGGGTGGTATGGGTGAGGCCTTTGTCTAGTGTGTTTATTGTTATACTTGTTCATTAATTGGTTATATATTAATTGGTTATTGTTATACTTGTTCATTAATTGGTTATGACGCCAGACTGATGCCAGCCTCTCCTGCCTCACAGAACCCTGAAGCATCATGCAACTCCCACACGGATTGTACCCATGGAGCACCACACACTGCCCCATGGATGCTAGGGATCAGAAGGCAGGCATTTAAGAATTCATGTCTTCCTCTGCAGGGCTATTGTGCAGCAGAAAAGGAAATAGTGAAGCAGTTGATCCCTGCAGAGCAGCTGGCTCCGTTGCCCATGTCGTTTGAACACGTCACAAACCACTTCTTGCGCTTTCTTGAGTTCGTCCAGTCCATCCTGCAGAAACCACTCAAGGCTCGGCTCAAGGAAGGTACATGAATGCGTGGAGGCAGAGCATAGATATCACCCATAGCCTTATCCCCCATGAGTCCTCATTCAAAGCCATGTGGGAGAAGAATCCATAGTTTAACCATGTGCTGTGTGAAGAAGCATGTCTTTTTGTCTCTCCGGAACCTCCCCAAATTCAGCTTCCTTGAACGTCCAGGAGTTCTAGTATTGCAAGAGATGGAGAAAAACATTTCTCCTGGTTTGGCTTAGCGTGTCAGATGAACCAGCTGTCAGGCTTCCCTCCCATGGTGACAGCCGAGAATCAGAGAAACAATAAAAGTTCTTACCAAGCAATTTATTCAATAATTCACAGAGAGTGACAAAGGAATGCAGTCTTCCCTAATTAACGGCATTGCTCCAAGTAAAGTCCCATCCGCTTTCATCTCCCCTATTCTGCGTCACTCCAGTGGCGGCTAATCTGAGCTATTTGCCTTTGAGCTCTCTGTTCTCCTACTTTCAATGCCTGCCTGGTCCTGGGAGGGGGGTCAGGAATGCTTTTCAAGGACACTGAGTCTGTCAGCTGTCTCTCCCTGGTGCTTCTTCTTCTTCCTGTTGTTCCTCTTCCAGTATTTCCCAGCTTCTGCTGCTGGCAGCCTCTGAACTATGCCCTTCTGCAAACCGCTGTTCTAAATCTATACTGTCCTCCTGTTCTTGGGAAGGTTCAGGAGAAGGGGGGTGGCGGTCCTCAAGATTCCTCCTCAGTCCAGCCCCTTACACCAGCTCATTGTCTAAATAGCATCTTTGTTTTGACTTTTTGTTTGCTCAGATGTCTTCAGCAGCCTTAACAGCACCTTGAAGAAGGACCCCGATCTGTTGTTGAAAACAAACTCTTCCGCCAATCGCGCGCTCTTCTTGAAACGTACGTATTGGTTTCTCCATCCTGCCAGCCATGGTTAGAAGCCCCCATGTTTGACTGCTCAGCAAACGGTATCTTAGAACAGTTTGGTATTTGAATGCTCACCATTTGAAATCATCTTTTCTTTGGAGAGGGACAGAGGCAAGTTGTTAGTTTTTCAATTTAGATTTTAGAGCAGCAGTTGCCTGCTTGCTCAGCCCGGGGGAGCTGGACCTTCCCTGACCAAGCAATTTCACAGGGACAAATGGACAGGGTTCCACATCCCTAGAAGGAGCAGCTCCATAGCTTAGAGTTGCTCCTGGTTTTATCTTTGTCTAACTGGGGGCTCAGGTGGCCTCAGTGACCACAAGTGCCATTTTCCAGCCCTGACTGGTTTGCCAGCTACAGCCCCTTTTGGGCAGAGGTGACTTGGCCACTATATTCAGTGCTCTGGTAGCTTCCAGATTAGATTACTACAATGCATTCTACATGGAGCTGTCCTTGAAGGTGACTGGGAAACTTCGACCGTTCCAAAATGCAGAGGCCAGATTACTGACTGGAGTTGCCTTTAGATTTCATAGAACCTGTATTAAAACAGCTGCTTTGGCTGCCAGCTCATTTCTGGGCCTAATTCAAGATGCTCACACCTTAAATGACTTAGGCCCCTGAAAGACCATCTCCATCCCTACAGACCCTCTCAGGTATTAAGGTCAGGAGAGGAATCCTCTTGGTAGTTCCACAGCCCTCAGAGGTTATGGTGACCTGGGAGGGCATTCTCTGTGGCAGCCTCTTAATTGTGGAATTCCCTTTGCACAGATGTGCATCTAGCACCTTAGTTGGATAGCTTGTCATATTCTGAAGACCCACCTCTATAACCCCCCTCCATTGCCCCCTGAGTTGGGAAGGAGGGACTTCCTGAGACTGATGTTTGAGTAATCCCCAATCCTGTTGTATAGACCAGGCGAGGGCGGGTAAGGACCTGTGACCATTCAGTTGTGGCCGGACTACCAATTCCATCGTCACTGACCATGCTGACAGGGGATGATGGGAGTTGTAGTCTAAGCACAAGTGGAAGGCCAGAGGTTCTCCACCCCTGGGCTTGATCCTTCATACAAACGGCTAAATCAGGCATAGGCAACCTTCGGCCCTCCAGGTGTTTTGGACTACAATTCCCATCTTCCCTGACCACTGGTCCTGTTAGCTAGGGATCATGGGAGCTGTAGGCCAAAACATCTGGAGGGCCGAAGGTTGCCTATGCCTGAGCTAAATCTTGGGTTGCATTTCTTAGTCTGCAGAGTAACATAAGCAAACAAGGGAAAGCTGGTTCTAAAATCAGAACTAGGGACAAGATACAGTGGAGGACCCGGAGCTGTTCCAAAAATAGCACTACTGTGTCTCTACCCCCATCATGGCAAGGTTCACTGGTCATCATCCTGTTTTCCCCTCTTCTCATTCCATCCTTATCATTGGCTTCTGATGCAGACACCATGATGGTTTTGTGTCTCATAGGAAGTTCCACTGGTCCTTGATGTGGACAGGTCAATCAATATAAGGCTGCTGGTTTTAACAGCGTGTGTTGTGGCTATTTCCTTCCTCAACTGTTGTTGCTGCTGAAGATGTTTCTCTGCGATGTGTTGCCCATGAATGTTTTTCCCCCACAGATGCAAGATCCCCCACGCTAGAGATAAATAGCGTGCACCCCAGGTTAATTTTATCAGAGGACCGTCTTTCAGTAAGCTACAGCTGGAGGAGGAGACTTTACTGCTCAAACCCAGAGAGATTCGACACTGTCTGGCAAGTCTTGAGCAGAGATTCTTTCTTTGCCGGAAGCCATTACTGGGAGGTGGATGTGCTGCAGGCCGGGCAAGGGTGGTGGATTGGGGCAGCCTACTCATCCATCAAAAGGAAAGGAGACTCTGAACTTTGCCGCTTGGGATGCAACCGAGTGTCCTGGTGCATCAAACGGTTTGACTTTGAATACTGGGCGTTCCAGAACGGGGAGAGAGTCCCTATTCAGGCAGAGGATGATCCTGAACGAGTTGGGGTTTTTCTGGATTATGAAGCTGGGATCCTGTCTTTCTATAACGTGACAGATGGGATGGCACATCTGCACACGTTCCGCTGCAAGTTCACGGAGCCGGTTTATCCAGCGCTGAGGTTGTGGGAAGGGACGATAACAATGTGCAAGATAACTTAAGGGCTGATGGCACAAGGATGTGGGGGAGACCCATGCTTCTCATCCATGTATATTGTGATATGTACTTCAGGTTTTTAATAGAAAAAGACACTTTACGATACTGAATCATTTCCTAATGGCGACATATCACTCCAGGAAATAGCTGTCTATATGCCATTTTTGCACTTTCAGTAGAAGTTGCAATCTACCTCACAAAGTTACCATGAACTGTGAGGTAAGAGAGAGCAATGCAGAGGATCTAAAGCACTTGGCCAATTAAAAAAAATGCTGAAACAATATTTGCCTTGTAAAGTTTTCAGACGATAATGGCGTGATTACTGAAGACTGTCTCTTAACCCCATCTGTGTATTAAATTCTTTGGGGAAGGCTTTGTGCCTCTAGGTGTATATCCAATTTGCACTGACTTTCTGGGGTCTAATCCTGGTTGCAAGGAGGCTCCTGTACAAATAAATGGCAAGCATTGCTGCTTTTTCTATAATGGTAAAGTCATCCTGTGTGTCTTGGAAAACTTATGATTACGATGCATCTTGCCTTGGAATAATTTGCAAAGCAAGCCTGCTTAGCAGACAATAAAGTATCTTTGAACTGGTGAATTGCAGCCTGCTTCTTAATGATGTGGAATCTCATTCCAGAGAGCCAAAAGAGAGGCAGAGGAGTACCTAAGTTTTCACTACTCAGCTGTAAATATTTGTAGTTGCAAAGAGAATTGGCGCTGGCTGCCAATTTGCTATCATTCTATGGCCAAGGTGCAGTTACTGGAATTTAAATCCCTAGGCTGCTTGGAACCAGGCTATCAAAAAGAGTATCTTATGCCTTATATAAAAAACTAATTTGGTGCCTATTGAAGATCTTCCATTTTTAACAAGCCTTTTAGAAAGTGGAGATTTTTATCGCAGTTTGCATCTGTCTCTGGCTTGAAAGCGTTCTTATAAAAGTTTATCAAATTGCTACAGGATGTTTTATGGGAAGTGATTCATCAGTGGCATTATTAATAACTAGATGCCATATCGAAATGGTTGAAATATGATATTGTCTTCTAGGAGTCTGCCTTTATCTGTTGCAACCATGGCCATTTATTCATAAATAGAGCTTTATTCATTTGCAGGTTTTTAGTTGTTCAGAGGCCTTTATAGCAATAGGAGTTTGCTGCCTCCAGAGCAAAGCTGCTTCTTCCTTTATGACCCTCCCCCAACACACCCCTTTTTCTTCTTCCTGCCCTTCCACCTGGGAGCTTTGCCAGGGTGAGAGTTAGGCACAAACCCACAGGGAGAGAACTACTTTATTTTGAAGTTCTGGTGATGGTTCAAAAATTCCTGCCCCTGCTCGCTTTGTATACTATTCCGGCCACAGTCCTTGCCTTGCTATGTGTTGTCCATGGCCCTGGTCACTGTGAATTAACACCCATCATTTCAGGCTACAGTGATGGCACATTTTTAGCAACTGACACTCTCCCAACATGACTTTTACAAGTCAAAAGACCACAGGAGCCATTGGTCAGTTCATCCCTTCTGCAACCTAAAAATCCCGAAGATTTCCCCATAAAAACAAACTGGCAGAGAAGAAGTAACTTTGACCAAGTTTTATTGTCCATTTAAAATAAAAATTTAAAAACCCACCAGTCATTATTTTGTCATTGTTTAACTCAATCATTAACAGCAAAATCATGATTCAGACAAGTCCTGTGCAGACATTTGATCAGAACAGAGTGAGGGATCAGGATTGTGCTGATTCTCTTACCCCCGCCTTCCAAGCTCCTGTGACACCCACAGCCTGGGACAGAACATTTGCAGAGCAGCATAGGGCCGAGTCATGCCATCCAGCTTCCTGGATTTTGTGACAATGCAGTCTACATAAATCAGGCCTTATGTGCAAACAATCTACCCAAATGTGATGCCCAGTGCAGAGGGAAGCAGGAGCAATGCAAGTGAGCTGGTGCAATCCCAATACCACAACCTATGCATGGGGATTATGCTTAAAGCAAATTGAGCTCAAGTAAAAAAACAACCTTTATTTTAAGTGAAACACATTCCTTCTTATCAATAATAATAACAATAATTTATTATCAAGCTAAGGCAGAAGTGTGCAAGCCCCATTGCCTAACAGAAACATTTCTAGATTCATTACAATGAATCTTGAATAGTCATGATCTGGAAAACCTTGAAAGTCTGACACTCCAACCTTAAGCATGCTTGCTCAGTAGTGCACCCACCCAAGTGCAGTGGGATTTTACTTCCAAATGAATAAAACCGTTAAGTTTTCTCTCACAGAGCTCCATCTTACTAGCCTTCATGGTGTGGAGAAAGGTTGAAATGTTAAAGTCTACTAAATGCTCATGAATCTGAGTGGCAGCCCAATTTTAGACACATGATTTCTCCTGCTATGCTATCTTATAGGCTCTCCTGTCAGATGAATTGTTTCCTTTATCATTGCTGTCCCAAATTATATCCTAGAACTTCTACATTGCCTTAATTCTACAACAGAATTGCCCAAAATCTGAATAGCTAAAACTGAAGGCACACAGCACACCTAGGCCCCAAAGATTTGTTTTGAGAAGTTTACACACTTAGTTGACTGCAGCATACATTCAGTTTTCCCTCTGCCATTCTTTGTGATGGGACAAGGAGAAAACTTAAGATCAAGAGCACAGAGGAGATTCTTGTACAGTATATATCTTGGAGGTATTGCAAGTCACATAGCAATATCTCGTTCTGCATTCTGAAAACATTACAAAAGGCCTGGAACACGCATGTCTTGTTAAATAGGCATTCACAAAAATTTAGAAGCATTCATTTGTTGGCGCTGATCCTGCCCACACAAATACATATTTTTCCAAAGCCCTCACTACCTTTCAGAAAAGTTTCTCTGGGTGGGTTACTGTGTCATGGCTTAGCAAAAAGCTTTCAGCAATAAAGAGAAACTAAAGATTCTTCAAGAAGTACTACATTGAATTGTATTGATATTTTAGCCTACCCACAAGAAAAAAATCACGTTGCGGTTCCCTTCCCCAAAACCCTTCATTTGAACTTCAGCACATTCTGGTTTTAGTATGTTACCACAGTGCTTCTTCCCAAGGTTCCATTAAAAAAAGAGTCACAAATTAGCATTTCACTTTTTTCACATGGTTTTCGATGGCATCTTCGACGATGGTTTCATCTTCACCAATATTTATCCTGACCTTCTTGCCAACCAAGTCAAAGATGTCTTCTGGCGGGTATCCTTTGGGTTCCCCCACTTTTACCGTGAGCATATCCAGCGTAAGTGTGGTACCTTCAGGAATCCGGACTTTGGCCACTACAGACTTTCCCAACTACAGAAAGATAAGTAGAAGGAGGTTATGTCTTGGGGTGGCGAGCCTGTGCTCTAGGTGCAGCTCCCAAGTGGTACATGCAGCAGCAGTTTGGGACACAGCTGCTCAGCAGCAGAGGGCTCATAGGTCTATGGCATAGGGCATGGTGTGCCTCCTGCTTGCCTGTCTTGTACTTGGGAGTGGCTGCCGAGACTATATTACACCGGTCCTGAAAGACCTTCATTGGCTCCCAGTATGTTTCTGAGCACAATTCAAAGAGTTGGTGCTAACATTTAAAGCGCTAAACAGCCCTGGCCCAGTATTCCTGAAGCAGCATCTCCACCCTGGACACTGAGATCCAGCTCCGAGGGCCTTCTGGCGGTTCCCTCACTGCGAGAAGTGAAGTTACAGGGAACCAGACAGAGGGCCTTCTTGGTAGTGGCGCCTGCCCTGTGGAATGCCCTCCCATCAGATGTCAAGGAAATAAACAACTCTCTGACTTTTAGAAGACATCTGAAGGGAGCCCTGTTTAGGGAAGTTTTTAATGTTTGATGTTTTATCGTGTTTTAATATTCTGTTGGGAGCTGCTCAGAGTGGCTGGGGAATAAATAAATCATCATCATCATTGTACTATGCTGCTATTTCCCCCCCTGATCTGGAAACAAGAGGTAAAAGAATAAGGGAGGCGTATATGCACTGCATCTAATACAGCCTTTGACAACTCAGTGACAGGGCATCTGCTTTTCGTGCAGAAGGTCACAGGTTCAATCCCAAGCAGCTCCAGTTACGTCTTACAGGGCCTATATTAAACACCCTTTAAATGCTCTCTCTGCTGCTCTCTTTTCAATCCATACCAAAAATACTGTACCTAATAATACCTGCAACTAGAATTGAAGCTCTGGGGCCGCCAGGAGGCTGGAGGATGCATGGAGAAAGCAGCTGCTGCTGCGCTACCCCACACATCAGCTGATAGGCGGAGCAGCTGAGCCATGTAAACAAAGCACTACTGCGCCTCCAGCTTCCTCCACCCTCACCTCCACCCTCCTCAGGCTTTGGGGACTCTCCAGCTCTCCTCCACCATTCTTTATTTCCTGACAGCACATGCATATGTGGTCATGCGGGACTCAATTGCACATAAGTGGGGTGACACCTGTAGAAGGATTTCTTACAGTGGCAGGCAAGCGCTACAAAGCAATCTCTGTATTACCTTACTAGGATGGATGTGTATGAATACTGCTGCCACCGTCAGTAACCCAAGGTTAAGCAATCCAGAATAAGTGGGTCTTGCAGCACTCAATAATAAATTTACCTTTTCATTGCAAGCCACTTCACAGGACAGGAGCCGCTTGACTGGGGACCCCATGGCTTTCTCCACCATCCGGATGCTTCTCACTAGTTCCGCCAGTTCTTTTGGCTCCAGGGATGCTTGATGATCACTGCCTTTCCAGGTTTTGTCCAGTGTAATGTGGCGCTCGAGGACTTTTGCACCCATGGCAACTGCTGCAATGGAAATGGCTATCCCAGTCTCATGACCAGAGTAGCCAATAGGAATATCTGGGAAGACGGACTGATATTCCTAGAAGGATAGAAAAGTTGATGGTAAATACAAAGAAGAGGACAGTTAACCACCAACATTAGCTGTTACAAAATGCTATGAAATTTAGTTGTGCTTTATGTGCAACTTTCTTTGGCCAGAGTTTAGCACAGTCAAGGAGCTCTTAAGTCTGCTGAAGAAGAAGAAAAGGAATGAGGTTTAGGAAAATTAATTCTGTGCTGGGCTGAGGCCTCTCCTTAGAGTTGCAGCAAATTCCCAACTGCACTTGATCTGTCATCTTGCTCAATTCATTGGTTCAGAAGGAAAATAAGGCACCTTAGGAGAATTGCCATGCCTTCCACCCCACCTCACTGACCGTTATGACACGAAGGTTGACATCTTCAGGCTGAAGAGGGTAAGCACTGGTGCACTGGAGAAAACAGAAGTTCGGGTTAATGGCTTTCACCAGCTTGTAAACTTGTTGCATTGTGTTCATTGACTGCATCCCACTCGAAATCACCATTGGGCGACCTAGAAGGGAAGGTCACCGAGAGCATTTTGTAACTCCAGCATTCTGTCTCCTACAGCTACATTATACAAATTGGTCAATTACTTGACAATTAGTTTTTATCTGCCTATAAACTGGATGGTTTGATACCAACCCACTTATTCATAGCCCACCTATGCCATTTCTGCAGCTGGTGCACACAAATTAATTTGTCTCTAGGCCTTTACTTGGTTCTCAGGACTCCACTCAAGCCATGCCCCTCCAGAACACACCCCTCACTGGCCCTCCTTGATATCCTGAGTGCTTTTTGCTTAGCTGGAATGTGTCCTTTAACTGGTATAAAGCCTAAGGGTTGGCAGAAATCACTGATTCTGCCTGTAAATTTCATCCACTTTGGCCATAAGGGGGAAAGTTGCAGCCATTTTTATACTCCCCATTTAATGAATGGGGAACACAGTTTTGTTTCATACAAAGCACCCCACAACCCAGAGCAGATTTAAAGTGGAGAGAGCACAGAGCAACTGAGACAGGTCAGATGTTTTTAAAACACAGATAAACAACAAATCTTGGGGCCTGCACACCCTCCCTATTTATAGGCCGCTTTTCTGAGCAAAGCTCCTCCAAGGAACCTACATGATTAAAAAAAATAACCTGAAATGCAACAGATTACTATAGATAGTAATAATAGTAATATTATTACTATTATTACTAATTATCTATAGTAACAATTACTATAGATACCTCAATACTAAAAAAGCTAGATATACTAATAAACCAGTCCAGAACATAAAATCCAGTTTTGTACTTCACAGATAGGTATATAAAAAGTCATGTAAGGAACCTGAAACATATCTGCAGAGTCTTTCTAAGAGACCGGAGTGCAGTGATCCTTCAGAGGTTGACCGACAATGAATTCCAGAGTTGTGAGGCCACCACTGAAAAGTCCCTCTTCCTCATAGGAGGTAAGGACGAAACCATGACTACAGTTGAAAATGGCAGTCCTCCTCTACCCATCCATCATTAATGGGAATGTGGGAGAAGAATGTAGAAGATTTCTACTAGACATTATGGATGCAGATGAAAGAACTATTGTCATTTTTTATGCTAGCTGATATTTACAATTGTATCTAATTTGGATATACAGTGGTACCTCAGGTTACATACATTTCAGGTTACATACGCTTCAGGTTACAGACTCTGCTAACCCAGAAATAGTACCTCGGGTTAAGAACTTTGTTTCAGGATGAGAACAGAAATTGTTCTCCGGCGGCACAGCAGCAGCAGGAGGCCCCATTAGCTAAAGTGATGCTTCAGGTTAAGAACAGTTTCAGGTTAAGAACGGACCTCCAGAACGAATTAAGTACTTAACCCGAGGTACTACTGTTCAGTTCTACCTCCGCTTACGTATCCCTCCGCTTACGTAAATTTCGAGATACGTAAGTGACAAACCCGGAAGTATAATTCGGTTTTTTGCCGCACACGCATGTGCAGAATCGCTCCACTGCTGCTTGTGCATGCACAGAAGCGGTCTCTCCAGTTGCAAAAACCTTGGGATCCGGCCGGACCTCTGGAACAGATCCCGTCCACAACCGGAGGTAGCACTGTAATAAGGCAGGGTGCTCTATCAAATCCATACATTCTCTCATTAGATGTGATACCATTAGGAGAGTAGAAACAGTAGCTATATTAAGCGAGTTATTAGCAAATCACCTTTTTTGGCTGTCTTTTCCAGGTATGGGAAATTGTTAGTGTCTCCTGATCCGACTTTAAAAAATGGAACATCCAGATCATGCAGAAACTCTACAGCCATCTGTGAAGAAATACTTTTTTTAAAAAAAGAACACAAAGATTCCTAACATTAACATTCTACCTGTCAAATAAAGACACTCTAGCTGGATGAATGTGCCTCCTTTCCCAGAAACATACAGCAGAACAGCACATGGCTATGCTCATACACAAGGAATACAAATAAAAACTAGAGTTCATGGTAACCCAAACATACAGAACAGAGTGACTAACAATAGCCTGGGGATCAAATGCAGCTTTCCAAGCTTCTCTATCTGGCCCTCAGGACTCTCGGTGTTGCACTCTTTTTTTGGTAATATTGTCTGTGGCTGGAATGTATCCTTTAATTCTAATTATGCTTCTTGCTTGGCTGGATGGAAGGGTTGGGGATGAGTATGTGCAGAAACTAGCCTACTGTGCAAGGGCAAAATCTGCATCCGTTGCTCCGCCTACAACTGACATGTGGCCCCTGGAATGTTGTCCAGGAGGGAATGTCCTTGGGCTGAATAAGACTCCTCCCAACCCCACACAACCCCACACCCCGAGCAATGAAGGAGGATGCAGATCTGCCTCAGAGTATTTGTCAATGCCACTGATTCTACCTGGATATAACCAACCCTGAATCAGACACCTTAGGTCCACCAAGCAGACAGTCTAGCTCAGTTGGTTAGAGCATGGTGCTGATAACACCAAGGTTGCAAGTTCAATCCCCTTATGGGCTAGCTGCATATTCCTGCATTGAAATGGGTTGGATTAAATGATCCTCAGGGTCCTTTTCAATTCTACAGTTCTATGAGGATGTACCATAATATCCGTATCCTGTTAGCATTTCTGAAGGCAAAGTGCTGCATAATGGAAACTGGTTACCTCAAGCCCAGTGGCCTCAGAGACTTGCTGTCAGGTCCCCAACACAGTGCTTGAGATAAAAAATCTCAACATTTTATGCACCTCAGCTGCTTTATCTTGAGCCAAGAGACACAGGCAAAGGACTCCCCCTCCACCTACCCCACCCCTAATGTGAACCTCAGCAGAGGCCTTGGCATAGCTCTCCCTTTAGGCACCTCAGGCTCTCCTCATCCCTGACCAATGATTGATGGCTGAGACTAATGGAAGCTGAAGCCCATAAACAACTGGAGGGCAGCAGACTGACTGCCTCCGAGGGAAGTGAATCATGAATTGTCATGTTTTGAGTTTCTTTGAACAAAGCATTAAAACTATACTGAGTATGCTTTATTTTTCTCCTTATTTAAATATTTCAGCTTCTCTGCTTTCTTAAAAGTTCCCCCAGTGTGCAAAAGTAGATCAGCTGAAATACATGTGGAAAATAAATGATTTGTAATGAATGATTTGTATATGATTAAATGATTTGTAATGATAAATAAATGATTTGTAATGACCTTGTTAGTTTTTCTTGTGAAATGCATGCCAACTCAACTTCAGAACAATATTCAACCATTTACTTGTTTTGCTTTATTGTAATCATAAGTGATTTTTTTTGAAGCACAAAAAAGGAAGTCCAGTAAAGATGCTAAATCTGAATTCCATCAGCAAAGCACTTACGGATTCAAAATTTCCAAAAAACCCACCAGTACATACATTCCGCAATGGAAATTTCAGCAGGTTTGACTTCTGCGTTCAGTGTTACAGTCACGGGACAGGACACTATTCACTACAGAGGATCCCTCTGGGGGAATCGGCAACCCTTATGCAGGGACCATGGTCAGACACTGGAAAACATATGTGATTTTTACATCTATACTGAAAAGGTTGCAACTAGATAGAAGACACTGCTCTAAAAATACTCTTTTCCTAACCTGAAGGTGGACTAAGGACAGTTTTGAAATTCTGGTTCCCTGTGTATCCTGCGTACTTAGGGGTTGTTGGGTTTTGAAATTCTGGTTCCCTGTGTTCCCTGCGTACTATGGGGTTGTTCACCAAGTTGCGGGTAATGTCAGATGTGGCAGCTCCTTCTTAAAACAAAACCAACATCTCACTTACTTCATCCATGCCTGATGCTGTGAAGAAAATGCCAATCTCCTTTGCATATCGCTGCAACTCTCGATACTGATCATGGCTGAACTCCAGGTGGCGCTTGTGCTCTCCATAAGTTTTCCCCCAAGAGTGTTTGGAAGTGTATGGCCTCTCCAAGGCTCGCTTATTGAATTTGTGCTCTAGTTCACTTTTCTGAAATTTGGCACAATCTGCTCCGCATTCCTACAAAGACACAAGCATTACAATAGTTCTTAAAGGTCATTGAACATGCCCATCTCAGTCCTGTGCATGCACACCGCTTGAACTGACCATGCCAATGCAAATTTAAAAAATATTGAAGAGTCCTTTCTGAGACACCTTAAGGACATAGGCTACATACACACCATTTAAAGACTTTTGGGACCGGAGATTACCTCTCACACACTTACAGTTCTTTTGGGGGAAATAATCTGCCTTAATGTATGGTGTGTACGCAACCTAGTAAGTTTACTGTGGAATAAGCTCTGTGGACTTTGTCAGATGTACACTGCGCTAAACAGCCACTGAAACAAAAAAAAGGTCAGCAAATAGACTCCTCTTTCTATTTCAGATTAGGCTCTTGCAGACTAACGAACCCAACTGATGAACCATTTAAGGTCAACGATGGTACCAGTACCCAATTCTAATCACATAGGAATTCAATGCTGTGCTTTTCTGATCATTCCATCAGCGCATCCTCCAACAGGACGCATTATAACAGAACTTTAGCTCCATATGCAAGGGCTGTAGCTCAGTGACATAGTTGAATGGCTGAAAAGGGAACTAAGCCCAGATGCCACTACACAAGAATGGCTCTATACTCTGCCTCCACAATTGGAAGAAGTAATACTTCTGAATACCAGTGGCTGGAATCCACAGGAAGGGGAAATGCTCTGGTCCTACTTGCCAGTTTCACACAGGAACCTGGTCAGAACATCCTGTGAGAACAGGATGTTGACCAAAATGGGCCACTGGCCTCATTCAGCAGGTTCATCTTACGCTCTTGTTTCTCAGCCAAATCTCACAGGATTGACGCTCACAGTTGGGTCTGATGAAACCCTGAGCTCCTTGGAAGGAAGGATAAGGTGGAAATATCATAAAACGATCTCAGGAGGGGTTTTTTAAAGAGCTAAAATCCAAGTGCCCCTTGATAACTGGTTTGTGGTTTACAATCTCCCAATTCTCATCATTTACACATTACCTTTACAAACCTTAAGTGCCAAACATCCCCATCACCCTTTCCCACTCCAAACTTTTCTCCCCCTCAGACCTCTTGAACATTGATGAGGGGCTTGACGGACCACATAACAGTTTTCCCTTTCTGTGGCAACAACTGCAACGTCCTGTACTAGATCCCGCATGATTTCTAATTGTCTTTTTTAACTGAGCTGCTGTGGTGCAGCTGCATGAGGCTCATGGGTCACTGGACCACAGTTTGTGACTGTTATTACGACTATTTTATCATTATGTTGTCTATTACTATGCTCTCTAAAGGGACCCCTGACCGTTAGGTCCAGTCCCGAACAATTCCTGTTTATGTTGCAATCATAATGTCTGTAAATTATGTTCCTAACGTTGTGCAGCACCCCAAGATGTTTGGTTAAAGGGTGGTAATATAAATCAAATAATAATAAAATTAAATTGACAGCTCCCATTTTTTATTTACCTGACAGTCCCCCACCTGATAGTAAGTTGCTTCCCTGAGTATCATTAATTAGCCATTACTGTTTGGTTATCTCCCCTCTCCCACATGCAGCGGCTATCCACGATACCCGAGAAAACACCGAGAACAGGCAGCAACCCGCCGGCCACCTCCGCTCTGCTCCCGTTCCCCATCCTCCCGCCTCTCGCCCCTCAGCCCAACTGACCCAGCCTCGACACCCACCACTTTGCCACCCCCGTTGGCCACGCCCACCTCCCCACCTTAGCCACTCGGATCATCCGCTTGGCGGTCTCCAGGTCCCCCTGATGGTTCTGGCCAATCTCCGCGATAATGAAGCAGGGGTGGTCCCCGCCGATTGGCCGGCCCGGGCACAGTTCGAACTGCAGCGGCATCGCGGCGACCGTTGGTTGAGCGATGGGGGGGCGGGGGCGGGTGGAGAGCGCAGAAAAACGGCAAGCGCGCGCGCTCCAGGCACGGACCCAACAGGCAGAGACGCTTCCTCGGCTTCGCCCGTCGCGCGTGCGTAGAGGGGGAGGAAGCATGCGCCACGTATCCGCCAATGACAGCGGGGACAGTCGGCGCCCGCCCCCCACCTCCACGTCCAATCGCACGAATCCTATCCGAGGCAGCCCAGCCAATCGAAGTCCAACACAGCTGCTGGCATAAGCCGGGTGGTGGCAGGCTTGCTCTGTGGCAGCAACGTTGGGACTCTAGGGGGCGTTGGACTACAACTCCCGTCATTCCTAGCTAGCCTAGCCCGCAGCTAGGGATGATGGGAGTTGTAGTTGAAGAACAGCTGGCTGCTCTACAGCCTTGGCCCTGAGGCACAAGGAAGAGGAAGCTTGCCCAGTCTAGAAAATGGCTCTTGATTCATGAGGGCTGTACTAGGCTAACGCCCTTTTGAAGACTATTTTCCTGATAGGTGCCAAATACCTCATAGATTAGGCTCATGGCATGGAGTTTTTATTGGTGGGAGCAGTTGTCGTTGTCCTTCTCGGCCTTCAAAGCTTTATTGCTTTACAATAAAGAGCAAACGCCAGAATATGCCAATCTCCAATCACGTTGGATTGGAGTTTACTCGGAAATAATTCATATTTACTGCTAAAACAGCATCCCAGACAACCCCTTCTTATGCATATTAATGTCCAGTTCAGGCACGCAGACGACTGCAGTCCCACCTTGGCAATACCAGGCGTACGTACTCGGAAGAAGCCTCCTAATAATAATAATAATAATTTGTTATTTATACCCCATCCATCTGCCTGGGTTTCCCCAGCCACTCTGGGCGGCTTCCAACAAAACACTAAAATACAATAACCTATTAAACATCAAAAGCTTCCGGGCATATTGACTGTCTTCAGATCTATGTACACCTGCATGGAAGTGGCTGCGCAATTTCTTAACAGCATCTACTCAAGTCCTATTGAATTCAGTGGGGTTTATTCCCAGGTAAGCGCATTGCAGGCCTTATTTTCTTTGGAACCGCATAGGACTTACTTCTGAGGGACTGGAAAACAGCAGTGCATAATTCCGCTTGGTCAACCACACTGTGATTTCTAGAGTTGGGTAACTTACTAAGTGCCGCACCCATTTCCTCTGGCTTGAAAAGAGAATGGGCACAGAAACTCAGGAAGATTTCTATATCCTTCATACTTAACACTGGTGTGGAAAGCACATAATCTCTTTGTTGCTATTACCATTCTCAAAATCGCTTGGGGGGGGCGGCGGGACACGAGGAAATGTCAGTGTTTGGAAATAACCTTTAGACTACCTGACATTTCAGGTGTGGTGGGAGAGGAAGTTTGCAGGTTTATATGTGTCATATTTGTTTGGGTATGTAACAGGGTTGTGAAACTATTCAAGCATTGTATTTTTTATTTTATTTTAAGTTCACCTTGTATTGAGTTTTAGAACCATATGCATGGAAATGCAAATTTTTCCTGTTCCTTTCCTCTCCAGGCTTATCCCTCCTGTCTGCAACTCAACCATACAGTTTACAGTTACACAGCAGAGAAATAAAGTTTCTGGTAAATACAATATACTCAACTGTATAATATATAAGTGGAAACTACAACAAAATGTTGCAATATATCTTCATCCCCTAACAGGGATGCTACTGTTTAGGGTTCCAGTGAGCCTCCTTTAGTCTGGAATACTAAGAATGAGGGGCTTAAGAAAGCCAATTCACCCTCTACAGTTTTCCATTATTCTTTCCCAATTGATGATCAAATTCCTTATCTATTTGGGCTTCAATGAGTTAACCCCTTTTACCTGCTTTTTTAAAGCTAGAGTTCTCCCACACATGCTGATACCTCTCTCTTGTTTCAGCTCCATTTATGTTGGCACATGCCACTGAGCTTGCTTGATGATAGATAACTTTACCACCCGATAAGGCACAATACTGCTAACAAGAAAAGCATAAAGTTCCAGCAAACTACCCCACTTTTTTTAAAAAAAAAAATTCTTCCCATTTGTCGCTGCTTACAAATCATCCTGTCATGCACCACTTATTTTGCCTCCTGTAATGTTCAGGTGAAACATCAAAGCTCTACCTGTCAGTGGCAGAAACCAGGTGTTGCTATTTGAAGGTGTGGGAACCAACAATGTTTAAGAACAAGCTTCAGAGTCAATACAAAACAATTATTGTAGCCTGCTATGTCACCTGGGATGAGCTTCATGTGCCAGAGACAACCTGTTTGAGTTGCATAGGTGTGGTAATATTTGACCAGATAGAGTTACAGCCATTTAATACCACAAGGGGCTTTAGAACTGCAAACCTAAATATATTTATCTGGCTGTAAATTTACCTAAATTCAATGGCACTTCATTTTAAGCTGTCCTTGATTAACCCTGGGAGGCAGGTTAGGCTGAGAGACTGACTGGTCAAAGGTTACTCAGTGAGCTTCATAGTCAAGTGGGACTGGAACCGTGGTCTCCCAGTTTCTAGTCCCAATCAAGCTACTCTATAAGCCTCACCTACAGAGTTCTGCAGAGCTCACAGTTATGAATGACAGTGAAGCAGTGCCAGTAAAAAGTTGCCTGTTCCTGTCTTTCTGGCATTAAAGTGATGGGAAGTTTCACCAACCACATTTGTGGTTTTTTAAGTGGCAGTCTTAACTTGAATGTGTTAAACAGAAGCAGATGGATATGGCTTAGCAGTGGGGTGAAAAGAGGCAAAGGCAAAGCTCCTTTATCCTGAATAATTTCACAGCTTTTATCATGCATGCAAATCAAGTTGCACACCTTTCAAAATGTTCTCTTTCATAGATGTAAGAGTACAGGAGGCTTTTCCTCATTTGCATCTGTTCATCTTTCTTCCAATTTTCTTCAATAATATGATCATGATTTTTTTAGAGTTTAAGACGGTATTCTAAATCCCTGTACCTGAAGTAGGGTTGCCAGTAAGTTTATTTTTATACTAACGTTTGCTCCTGTACCTTTTTAACGACATATTGATTTACAGTCAGCAAATGCTAACATTGATTTCTAAGCTGTTTAAGCTTAACTTGCTGACTTTTACAGATCAAGCTGCTATTAAATACACAGGAGCAACACCATTCTTTTTCTGGTCAGTTGTCAGTGCTATCCTATGATAATACCTATATTCCAAACAGAATTGCACTCTGTCCCTTTTATGCAAATGTCAAACACTGTTATTAATTGCCCAATTGTTAAAGGGCAGATTACACAGTTGTGACAAGAAACTGAGAACATCTGGAGGATGAGTCAACCACCCTTCCTCCTACAGCATTTTTAATTCAGCCTGCAGGGAAACTAGAAGCTGAAGCACTGCCTAGAGCATAAAGCAAAAAGAAGTTGTTTCAGAGAAAGAGAAAATGCTGAGGTTGGAATGGTATGCACACTTTACAGGCAGTCAATCCCATTCAAATTAAGATGATGTGCATTAATTTCCAAGTAACCATGCATCAGATCAGCTGCATATAATGTTCTATAGGGGAAAAGGTAACCAAAATAATCAAAGGATTATAGCCCCTCTCCTGCTAGGATCATCAAGTGTTGGAGGCCTTTTAGGTTAGAAAAAGACAGCTGAGAAATGGTAATATGGTGTTTATAACATTTGAATGGCACAGTGTCGCAAGACACTTAGCACCTTCTTGTATAGATTTGCGGCACAGCAATGAGGAGAGTGAGGGACACGGGTGGCACTGTGGTCTAAATCACTGAGCCTAGGGCTTGCCAATCGGAAGGTCGGCAGTTCTGTCCCAGCTCCTGCCAACCTAGCAGTTTGAAAGCATGTCAAAGTGCAAGTAGATAAATAGGTACTGCTCCAGCAGGAAGGTAAATGGCGTTTCCGTGCACTGCTCTGGCTTCGCCAGAAGCAGCTTAGTCATGCTGGCCACATGATGCGGACAAACGTTGGCTCCCTCGACTAGTAAAGTGAGATGAGTGCCGCAACCCCAGAGTCCTTTGCAACTAGACTTAACTGTCAGGGCTCCTTTACCTTCATAAAATAAGGATAGTGCAGAACTGTGGCCTGGAGTGGCTGACCAGGTTTCTGAAGAGATGGGTCCAGCATTATCTCCCAGGGCCAGGCACCACCTCAGCTTGTGGGAACAGTTCTGCTCATCTTGACAGACCGTGTGCTATACATTTTTTGCTAGTAAAGCTTGCTGGGTGGGTATAAAAAGTTGTTGGGATATTTTCTTTTCTTACTTATCTCCACTGCTGGGCATCACTTCATTTTTCAATTAGGAGAAGAGACTTAAGTAAGGGTGGGGAGGAATTTTTCTTTCTTCATTTTTACCCACTCCCCGAAGCCAAACTATAAAGTCATTCTTAAAGTATGTTTTGCAGTAGCTACAGCCGCTGAGAATTCCAAGAGAATTAACAGGGTTGCAAAGCAAATAAACACGAGCCTTTGACAAGTGTACCTTGTACAGTTAATTGTATATAACATTAGTTCACCAGTGACCCAAAGTGGATCATACATTAAATGCATATGGGCACTTCCAGGGTATCCAATTTTTCTTGTTAAAATAGCAGCCATGGCAATGGCGACGGAGGAATCAGAATCATGACATGTGGGAAGAGAGTTAGAGAGTTAAACCTTAAGCACCCACAGTTCTTATCAGCCCCCCTATGGTTGCTATTTAAATAAGGAAATGATACATATTGAACATATAATCTTGTTTGGCCCTCTTTGTGAAAAACCAGTGAGCTGGCCATTAAGCACAAGCAAAGCAACACCCCTTCACAGTCCCATGGCACCCTGTTGCTGGTTCACCTTACCACAAGCCAACTCTTACTGTCCATTTTAAGGCCTTTCTCTAAATCCTATGTATGACATGCTGAAACCAAGTCATGTCAGTGGAATGTTTGTCCTATCAAGGCATTATCAAAATACAGATACCCAAATTTGGTTCCACTTTGGGGAACAGAATGCTCTGTTATTTAGATCGTACACGGTGGAACCTAATAAATTAAGTGGGAATGCATTCCTATTTGACATCACCACAGCATTTAACTATAACCTAACATTTCCTTGGGAAGACTCTAACATGTAACCTTTCAATACAAACACACTCTAGATAGTATAGGTGAAGCCACCTCACCTCTAATCAATGGAACCTCTTTCTTTTTGGATCGGGTTTAGCTGAAGTGAGGCTGATATTCTCTCGGTACAAAAGGGACAATTTGAAAAGACTCTTGTCAACACATGTCACAGATAATTGTGACCTAGCAGCTTTATTTGGTGACATCACTCCTTGTACCCAGAGTAGGGTCTTCAACAACTGGGCAAAGAGTCCTCTACGCTTATACCATCTTCCTTAATTCCAGACAAGCCTGGCCCCAAAAATGAGGATGCAGTTTACAGAAAAGAACCACAACAGTTTTATGATGCAGGCCCTCAACAAACAGAGAAAGAACCGGGAGTTTTGTGATGTGGCCCTCAGTGTGGACCAGAAAGTCTTCTATGCCCACCTCAATGTTTTAGCAGCCATGTCCTCCCATATTAGGAATCTGATATCCAGCAATGACATGAAAGCGGATGATGAACTCTTTATCATCATTGATGCCAAGTTCCTGAGCTCCGAGTTGGTGGAGCAATTGCTTGACTACTTCTATACTGGGAAGATTGTAATTTCTGAGAAGAACGTGGAGGACCTGCTGAAGGGAGCCAAGTATTTCAGTTCCCCATCTCTAAAGAGCCACTGCTCTGACTTCCTCCTTCGGTCCCTTAAGAAGAACAACTGCCTCTACTACATGCTCCTGGCCACCTCATATGATATGAAAGATGTGGCAAATGCTGCTTATGATGGTATACGAGACAACTTCAACTACTGGGCAGGCCCTGGAATAACAGACTTCATGCACTGCCCCCCTAATGTCTTCAGCAGGCTCCTTAAAGATGAACATCTTCATGTACAAAACGAGGACCAAACTCTCTCAACCCTCCTCCAGTGGGTGAAATACAGAAAGGCTGAAAGGGAGAAATATTTTAAGAAGTATTTTACCTACATTCATTTATCCGCTGTCTCCACCAGTATGCTTCTGTCCACTTGCCGTGAAGTGTTACTCTTTGCAGACCACACTGGTCCCCTGTCCCGGATAGAGAGCACTTTGAGTGATCGTAAAAAGGGCAATCCTCAAAGCCTGATGCTTCAACAAAGGAAAGGGGCGTTAATGGACTCTGTGGTGATCTTAGGAGGGCAAAAAGAGCAGGGTAAGTTCAACAGTGGGGTTTTCGCTTATATCATTGGAGAGAACATCTGGCTAAAGCTGACAGAGATGCCTTACAAAGCAGCTGCTCTCAGTGCAACATCGCTAGGGAGATACATTTATGTTTCTGGAGGAACAACAGAGCAGATCTCTGGCTTGAAAACAGCTTGGAAGTATGATATAGATACTAACTCCTGGATCAAACTTCCGGATCTGCCCATAGGTTTGGTCTTCCACACCATGGTGACTTGTGGGGGGGCAGTGTACTCTGTAGGAGGAAGCACGGCCCCAAGGAAGTACATTTCAAGTATCTACAAGTACGACGAAGGGAAAGAGAAGTGGATTCTTGCTGGAAAGATGAGTATTCCTATGGATGCAACTGCATTGATCACCAAGGGAGACAAGACTATTTACATTGTGACAGGAAGGTGCTTGGTGAATGGGCGCTTCTCCCGAGTAGGTGTGCTGGACTGCTTTGACACTCAGACTAAGAATGTGGTGCAGTACATCACGTTTCCCATTCAGTTCAATCACAAGCCCTTGCTGTCCTTTCCTCAGGAGAATGTCTTGAGCATACAGAGCCACAAAGAGAGTCTGGAAATAAACCTGCAGAAGATCAAAATGAGCAAATCCACAAAACTTGTCCCACTCTTGCCAAATAACTACAGCTTGGATCTTTCACATGCAGTGTGCTCAATTGGGGATAACAAGGTGTTTGTGTGTGGTGGCCTGATCTGCCCAGGTGACACACGTCCAGAGGAGTATGCCATCAACCGGCATGCATATATGTTAGATCAAAGTCTAGGGGAATGGAGGATTTTGGCTCAGCCTCCAGAAGCTCTGGATTGCCCTGCTTGCTGTACAGCTAAGTTGCCATGCAAGATTCTCCAAAAAACTGTAGTCAATTAATAAGGGAAGACAAAAACAAACCAGAATTTATAGCAATAAAGAATGACTGAATTGTAAATCACAGGTAAACACCGGGTTCTTCCCTTCGTCTCTTTATCATGTACTTTGTTCAGCAGTGTAACTAGGGTGGGCAGAACCAACCAAGACAGGGGCACAAATGGGTCATGTATTGATAGTTTAAAAGGTAAGATTGTGTCATGTTTTCTTTTCAGCATGGAATACTTAAGCATGTTTTCAAAATGGTAGATGGAAAGCCAGAATCCAGCTTGCTCTGAGGCCAGGCCAGCCCGAGAGCCACCACTGCAGTTCCTCCTTGGGCTTTGTGCCTGGAGCCTAAGGACCTCTAGCTACTGATTGCCACCAGCTGGGGAGAAAAGCAAAGAAATGTGATGTTGGATTGCAGCGACCAGCACAACAGCTTCTGGGAAGAAACACTCATCTGACCAGTGGGACTTTGGAATTGCAGCAGCATCAGCTTCTAAAGTTCACAACTATTTTTAACTATCTTGCTGCTGGTTTTTCGGGTGGCAGCAGCAACAGAGAATTAGGGGCCTAAAAATGACTAGTTATGGCACTGACGTATATGGTTCTGTAGCACTAAGGCAGCCTGTGCTCTGTATATAACCAGGGGTGGGTGCCTGTCTGCTTGTTCTCGCCTGCTTCTTACCCCTTAGGAAGAACAGTCTACTTCCTGAGGAACTAGAAAACGCACAGAATTTTAAAGAGGAAGAGATGTTACTCTCACTAATGCAACGTTATGATTCTTTGATCTTGTGACTCCAATGTGAGTTTGTTGACAAAACCTTAAAGAAGGCCTAAGCCCTGCTTTAGATTCCATCTTTGTTACCGGATGGACACAGTTGGAAAAAATAAAAGCCCTCTGCCAGTTCTCTTCCTCAAGCAGCTCTTTTGACATTTACAAATTGCCTCTGGACCTCAAAGGAAGAAAATGGGTGTTATCAGTGCCATAGACTTCAATTGGTTTAATAGTAATGATCTTACCCATAGGGCCCCCTGATCAGAACTGGGACCATTCTGTACCCCTGTGAATTTTTTGCTTCACAGAAGGAAAGCTGCTATTGGTGTTCATTATAGTCTTCCCTCCTGGGGGTATATGCAGTTCTCATCCCGTGGTGCAGAAAAGGGGTTTAACCCACGTGTCATGTTCCAAATCCTGGTTTTGTGTAATGGTTAGTGTGTTGGACTATGATTTGGAACACCAGAGCTGGAATCCCCATTCAGACAGGAAGCTAATTGGGTGACTTTGGGCCAGTCACTGTCTCTCCGCTTAACCTACCTCACAGGGTTGTTGTGAGGATAAAACTGGGATAAGAGAACCATGCTTACTATTTTGAGATCCTTGGATGGAAAGGCGGTACACAAATGTCATCAATCAATAAAACAAACAAATGTTATAAGCAATCATAGATTTGACATAACATTTTAGTTTGCGTGCCTGGCTGCTATGAAAAGTGAGAGCAGCATAGCAGGTTTAATAGGAAGGGGGAAAGGCAGAAACTTCCCACTTTTTAGCAATGGATGCTGGTCCACTGAGGTTACTAAGGCACAAACCTCCCTAGGAAAATGTCAAGCATCTTTTCCTCTTCAAAATCACTCTTTCCTGACCCCTCCCCCCCCCATTTTATACTTCCTTGACCATACAGGGACATATCTGACAATCTCCTATTCTCTGGCCGATCAGCTCTCTGCATCACTCAGCCAATCCTAATCCAAAAGTATGGCTATGGCAAAGAGGTGCTTCCCATGTGTCTCTAAGCAGGAAAAGCCATGTGACTGATTGGATTGCAGGAAATTTAGCCCTAGCAGAAAGACTCTTATTCCATCTGTTATGATGGGGCCTGTCCAGCACAGTCACCAGAGCAGATATGGGAGGAGTCAGCAATCCTTCCAAAACAGCCCTATGTGCTAGCATTAGCCCATGCTTTCCCTGAAGGCCAGAGAAGCAACAGGAAACACTTCCTCATTTGAGGAGCATTTTGTTTGTTTGTTTGCTGAGTTCAGTATTGTTTTGTGACTTTGCTGGAAAGAGCAAGGAAGCAACAGCAATTCTCTTTCAATAAATGAATTTACTTAATCATTTTGCATTTTGCATGTATCTTTCTGGGAGGCAAAATAGTGGGTGGCTTCCATATAAATTGCAACAAACTATTAACAATTTCTCTATATTCATTCATTAAAAGCTGCTGTTACAGAAGCAGCTGACAGGGCAGTGCAGGGCAGATAAGGTAGATTTGAACTGTGTGTAATTACAGAGTATTTTCCAGAGTATTTCCAGAAAAGGTGTGTGGATCTGCTTCCAAGCAGCCCTTCCCCTAGCAGGGTATATATCTTGAATGCACAGGAATTGGGGGGGGGGATGCTGTCACTATTTGAATTTGTCTTGTGAATTTGTCAATGAATTTCTAAAATGACAAATTTGGGCTCTGTGCCTGTTTGAATATGACTTGACTCTACATCCTTTCCCAAACCTGGGAGATAGTATCCCAAATCTTGAAAAATATCTGAGGCTGATTATGATTAGTCTGGTGTAATGACTCTGCACATGAGCAGAGACTTCACATTGTCAGGACTGAGCCGTACACTGCAAATATGTTCAGCTGTGCACTGATGTGCCCTGGCTTGAATGAAACAACCTCTCTCTTTTTGGATAAATTACCACTTTGGATAATGAATACTGTAGTTAAAATGATTTTGGGGGAAGGAAAGCTATATGCAGCTGGACACACATTTTCCTCACATTTGTGTACAGGCAATAATCATTTAAGGCACATCCAAATGATGCACGATCATGCATGTGCACATTGTGCCGACCCATGAAGTAGGCAGAAAAGAGGGTGAACAGGCTTACACACACTTTGCCCATGGGCGGAGGAAGGGGGTGCAGTGGGGGCGGTCTGCCCCGGGTATCACCACTGAGCGGGGTGACAAAATGCCGGGCGGCACTCACCGCGGGGCCTGCAGCGCACCCGAGCCACGCGTCTCTCCTGAAAGTGACATGGTGGCTTGGGCGCCCGCCGCCTCCCCGCTGCCCCAAACGGTCCGCCTGCTGCCTCCCCCTCAGCTGTAGGGTGACTGAGTGGGAGGAGATAGGCAGACTCCTCGGAGGCCCTGCGGAGCGTCCTGCCCTGGCTGGCCCCGCCCTGCGGGCAACTGGCCCCGCCCCCAGGCACAGGGCATGCGTGCCACCCCAGGCGCCCGATTGGCTTGCTCTGCCGCTGACTTTGCCAACACAAGCGGGGGTCAGGAATGCAACTCCTGTGCAAAATGGTTGCTGGTATATAGGGTTTTGGCAACATGTTTTTGGCAATAGATGTGTAGGTGTAACTCATACATGAATTCGCCATGCACAATGGCTTAATTTCCGAATAGGAGGTATGGAGTCCATCTTGTCTGAAAATCATACTTGGCCGTGGAAGCTCTTTCCCTGTCCATAGGTGTGTGTATAATAATTGATTTTTACTTTTATTTTAGAGAGAGGAGACAATGGCACTCCGCACATGAAATGGCTCACTTTCCTAAATAAGTTCTGTATGAGTCCTATTGTGATAAAAACAGCAAGGTTAAAAATTGCAGCCCTACCATGTCAAATTGCTACCAGTTGCCACAGCCTTTCAGTGTTCCTTCCTTGGCTAAAATGACATATGCAGTGTCCCTAACCCATTTTTATTTTTAACCCAGCTGCTTCAGAAGCTGCAATCTTAAGCAAAGTGTGTGTGTTGGGAGGGTGTGTGGCTGCATAGCTTAACTCTTTCTCTTCCTGTAGCCATTTACCCCATGCTCAAAATCCCCCTGTAGGAGCTTTTCTTCCTAAGCAAGGATGGGGAAAAATATATATCCATTCTCCATCCCACCCCCCAAAATCAGCAGGAGCCCCATAGCCCTGTCTCTGCTTCCTAACTCTCAGAAACACTAGTCAAGGACTCTCTTAGAAGCATGCTTCACTGCAGGTTGCTAAGGGTTAATCTGCCCTTGTTTTTCCTCTTGATTAGCTTAGGCTGAGGGCATTTCACAGAGGGAGCTGCACTGAACCGTCTGTTCATATCTTGGTCTCTCACAAGCCATACATTCTTGAGCATATCTTTAGTACAATGCTATTTGGATAAGTCTCATTTTTAAAGTTTCCCAGAAGTCCAAAAATCCTGGCGTACAGCAAGTGCAAAAAGATTGCTCAAGAATTCAAGGTCCTAGCTAGCTGTCCTTCACAACACCAATCAATCATTTTATTTGTATGCAGTCTTCCCAAAGTTAAAACCATGCTCAAGGTAGCTTATAACATATAAAAAATACATAACTACGAACATAACAAAAGTAGTCATAAACCATAAACAAAACATCAAAACACACACAACCAAATTGAACCATTTCCACATAAATCATAAGATCCAATATAAAGATCAAAAAAATTGACAGCAACAATAGCAACAACCCCCACCAAACAGCCCCCCTAAACAATACCCCAGCTCCTTTAATAATCTTTAAGGCATATATGTTGCTAGGACTTAAGGTTACCAGACGTCCCCGTTTTCTGGGGACAGTCCCCGGATTAACAAATCAGTCCCCATACGAAATCCATTGAAGATAAAAAGTGTTCCTGGATTCCTTGAAAAAAATCTGGTAACCTTATGCTAGGTGCTGCACATGGTTAAAATCCAGGTCTTGCTAGCAGATTTGCCATCTAATATTTGAACCAGCTCATTGGGTTCATCGGATACAGGCTGTGTACACATTACTGGCTTAAAAGCACAGCTAGGTTATTTTTTTTGCTCAGTTTGGATAGAAGCTGCTTTTGAGGGAAAACTCATCAAATATTTTGTTTCATAAGAAACAACAGGATAGACATGGACCGTAGCTAACGTCATGTGCACACCGCTTCCCAAACCAGCAATGGGAACGCATTAGATGCATAGTAAACAGGAGTGTGTACAAATCCTCCATATCATTTAAATGGGCCTAAACCCAAGGTTGGCTGCAATCCTAAACACATTTAAATGCTGTAATCCAGGACTTTTGAATTTAATTAGATTTAGGTATAGGATTATGAGGTCTGGCTTTTAGGCTGTAGCTGTATTCCACTAAACAATAAAAAAGGAGAGCAAAGACTTTGTTTATCCCTAGGATGACCACTTATTTTATTGAAAAAATACAGCTCCCAGAAGCCCATGAGAGATAGTTGCATGCAATTTGGAGAAATCTGGCGAGGTGAAGACAGAAAAAACCCTGATTAGTCAGGAGTGGAGTCAGATAGTAGGTCATGGATTATGGGTACACTGCAGCTTGTCAGTGAGAGACAACCAGAAATAATCCTTGCCTGAAGTACAACCTGGATGTGGGTGCCATGAAAGCTATGTAATATATTAACAATTGGAAAAACAACATTGTATCCAGTATTATTTCAATTTGGAATATATTCCCCACCCCCTAAGGTGGTAGACAATCAGCTTGCTCAAAAGCCCTGATATGTAGCTTTGCAGGCCAAACAAAAGAGCCCATTTCCCCCCTGCTTGCATTTTTTTCACAGGTGAAGACATTCATTTACTAGAGTATCCCTAATTATTAATGCTGCTCACCACTGTTCTTTAGCTACATTTTAACTGGACTTTTGTCTTTTAATAGAGTGCTTCTGCACAGGGAGTTTTTAGGTGCTTTCCTGACACTTTGCAGGTTTTCTTAACAGAAAAGTGACTTGTAAATACACAAAGTAAATACTAAATATATCCACACAGAGACAAACATATTAAACGAGGTAGCTGTGTACTCCATGGTTGTTCTGTCTTACTCGGATGAATTGAGGAGCAGAAATTACACCAAATCCAGGTCTATAAAGAGGAATATGTTGTCTCCTGCTGCCCCTTCCCGCAATTGCAATTGAGGTGAAAAAAGGTTGTCCTGCGTGGGGGTGGGGGTGTGTGTCCGGAAGAGAGTTGTACTTTTGAGCAGGCCATGGGGTTGCATATGAAGTCTTGGGCACTGGCCCACTAGATCTTCCATTCCAGCAAAACTAGTTGCCAACCAAGGGACTAGGATGACTCTGGCTGCAGCAAGGCTTTGGAGGTTGAGCAACCAAGTTTACAATTACACACATTTCCAGAGAACTATAACAGACAGCGGAACCACTTGTCCTTTAGAAGGAAGGGAAATGAGAAACAATAAAGCTTGTCAGCGGAACTGGCTGACGTAAAGTTCTGTGCAACTATCTTAAGACCATCTTGCTCCAGTAAGGATTCATAATAAATACAGGGCTTTTTTCCGGCCTTGTTCCTGTGCTTTTAACAGCCTGCTATGCAAATATCTATCAGGCCACACTTTCATAATTCTGGTTTACATGCCAGTCAAAACTTCACCTGCTTTGTTTCTGCATCTCAAGTAACTGTAAAAAGTGCAGAGGCAATGCAAGTTAAACAGCTGGCAACCCCAAGAAAATGGATTGCAGGCATGGAGTTTTACATTAAAAGAAGCAACCGTTTAATAATAGTTGTGAAAGGGGGAAAACTGGCAGGAGGGGGGAAGTGCTAAGACAGCAATCCTAAACACACATATACCTGAGAGAAAGCCCACAGAATTAAACGTAATTCACTTCCAAGCATAAGACCTATTAAGGACACTATCTTTTCTTTTCTTTTAACTTGAGTATTCAATATGTAAAAACAATGCCATTTTTGAAAGGCACTTTCAAAAAATTAAATGCATATCAATTTAATGAGAATCTCACTTCCCAGGTAAAAGTTCCTAAAGGGCTTCAGGCATGAAAAGGGAAAGCATGCTAGGCAACATGGGTACTATTTAATGGGGCAGGGATGAGGAACCCATGGCCCTGTAGATATCCATATTCCCATTATAATTTCATCATGAGATTCTTAATCTCAGAGTTGTGGGTTTGAGTCCCACATTGGGCCAAAAATAAAATAAAATCCTGCATTGCAGGGGATTGGACTAGATGACCCTTTTGGTCCCTTCCAGCTCTACAATTTGATGATCTATTATCATTGGCCATGTTGGGGCTGATGGGAATTGTAGTCTGAAAGCACCTGAAGCACAGTGAAACCTATGAAACTGGTGTGACTAGAAACCATCACATTTTCCCACACATTTTTTGAATGTGTGATGGGGGTACAGGAGTGTATATGACCTTCCTGTATTTATTGGAAAAGTCAGAATAGTACATTACACATATATATCCATAGGCTCTATTGCAACCTTCATAAAAACAAGTGGAAGTTAGACGATGAAACAGAACGTATGCTTGCTCCCCCCCCTTTCAAGGAAAGTCTAAAAAGGGATAAATGTAGCACAGTATAAAATGTATGTATATCACAGTCACTGACAGCTCTGCAATACTGCTTCAAAGCTTCTCTATTGATTGTAGTGGACACAGCCTTAAACTGGATCTATAAAGCCTGCAGAATAAAATGGTAAATGCTGTGGACCATACCATATGATCCTTCACATAAAAGTCACACTGAAGGCAGAAAACTAACACATCAGAGAGAAAGGTTCTAAGCTAGTTCCCCGCTTGCTGAGATAGTTTTCTGTTTGCAAGATATTTTGGGTATTTTTTTTACAGAGGTTGATACATATTCAAAAGTGTTATCCCCACCTGTAGTCTGTTGTACCATCTCAGGTCCTCATTCCATTTTTAAAAAAACCCTAATCTCTACATAACAGGGAATTTCATTATGTTGATAGTTGTTGGCTTTCTCACTCTAAAAAATAGAGAAATTGTATCTTTCTAGGCCACCTTCTGTGGAAATAAGATTACAGCTGTAGAGGCTGTTCATGCGAGTTCCCACACACTCCACATTGTCATAACTGGATTCCAAACAAGGATCTTGCTAGGCCACGGTGTGTTATCTAGTTCAACATAGCTCCAACAGGAGGGTCTCACACAATGCTTTTTTCTGGGGGTCCTCAAGGGTAAGCAGTACCGGCACTTCCCCACCGCTAAATGTTAAAAGTGTGGCACTTACGGCAATAATTTCATGCTAAGTATGGCACCTTTATAAAATAAAAAAGCAGCAGCAGCAGCACTGGTTTCACCCATCAAATATAAAGCAAAACAGTGTTGTCAGTCCCAACCATCTAAGTGGGTCTTACTCCCATGCAAAGGGTAATCCTAAATTTAGGACCTAAGCCTGTACCCTATACACAATTACCTGGCAGCAAGCTCCACTGAACTCAGTGGAACTTATTTCTGAGTAGACGTGTATAAGACCGCACTGCACCCAAGCTCCCATTTCATTTCCAGATCAATCCTAAACATGTTTTACTCAGCTTGTGAGTTTCTATGAGCCAGGCTCCCAAGGAAGTATGTTTAGGAACGCTGCCCTAATCCACAATAAAAAAGGATATAACCTTGTGCATGTCTTAATATAGAGCATAGCCAATAACAGCTCTGCTCTACAGACAGACCCAGGCAGGGCCGGATTTAGGTTTGATGAGGCCCTAAGCTACTGAAGGTAATGGGGCCCTTTATATGTCTAGCCGTCCTTTGTCAACAACAAATTGTTGCTCTCTTTTGTGTTGAATATATGCTATATGGTAATTTACCTAATAGGTATCTAAAGCCGTTTGCACATAACAAAATTTGTATTTTATCAAAGTACTTGTTGAACTGAGATACAATTTAGTATATTAATAGTGAAATACAATTAAGAAGTAGTATATTAATAGTGAAATAATTATTAAGCTCTAACTTAAAATGATTTTTCATATTTTAGGGAGCAGGCTAGCAGGCAGGGCCCATTACCAACATCATAGGAACCTACACAACACAAAACACTGTTGCTGTATGTAGGTTTTATTTTAATTGTGTGTGCATATATATATATATATATATATTTGTTTCTAAATATATATCCAGGTTTTTTTCCCTTTAAAATTTTTGGGGCCCCCAAGAGTGGGGCCCTAAGCTACAGCTTGTTTAGCTTATCCGTAAATCAGGCAGAACCAGGCCAGGATTTTAAGATTTGCTCGCCGTCCCATCGCCAGATTTGTCACTTGGGGAGCGATGACATATACATTTTGCCCTCGAGCTTTCTGAACGGTGACTTATTTACTGCTCCGCCCGCTACAACTGCGTCTCATTTTTATCTAGTTTTCAGGGGGGGGGGGAAACGCCATTGACCGTTGCTGTGTTTTTATGCCAACCGTTTATAGAGATTCTCATGACTGAGAGATGCGCAGTTGCCCCTCACGAAACCATTCGGGCGCCGTCTTCCTCACAGCGCGACCGAGAAGAAAGTGGGAGAGGAAGCCGCCTCAAGCCTCAGCGAAGCGCCGGGCGGGCCGCGCGTGCGCACTACTAGGCCACACCGCCCCCTCAGCGGAGAAAGAGGGAAAGCGGGGGGAAGGGAGGTCGATCACGTGCGGCGCACCCCGCCAAGCCCGCCTCCTCGGCGCGCTGGTTGGCTCCCCGTTTCCGTCCCCCTCTCAGCCGGTTGGTGGCGCGGCGCCGTCGCTCTGGGGAGCTTTCCGTCTAAAAGGAGCGGGGAGGCAGTGCTGGAGTTGGCAGGTTCGCGGAGGCCGGAAGTCGTAGCCGAGTCCGTTAAACGGTCTTTCCTTGAGCGCTCTTCGGCTTCCCGCTCCCGCGCGGCCCGTTTGCTTCCGTTGGCTCCTTCCTGCCCCGCCCCTCCCTCCTCTTGCGCCCACCATGGCCGAGTTCGATCTCTTCAGCTCCCCTCAGCCGGCGGCGGGAAACGGAGCGCTGGGCGGCGGCGGCGGCGGCGGCGATGAGGACCCGGCCGCCGCCTTCCTGGCCCAGCAGGAGAACGAGATCGCGGGCATCGAGAACGACGAGGGCTACAGCATCCTGGAGAACGGCGAGGTGCCGGCGGGGATGCAGGAGGGGCTGTCCGCGGGTAAGCCGGGGGGGGCGCGGAAAGCTGCGTTCACGTGATGGCTGGCACGTGTGAACGGGCTGACGCGGGTATAGTTCCTCCTCCACGGCTTAGAACTCTTGCAGTATTGGAGGGGGGGATGGCAACTATGGGGTAGCGCGTTCATGTGGCGCTTGTTCGGAGACGGGGCGGAGTAGAGATTGGGGGAGCGAAGGTAGTGAGGTGTAGTGGTTAGAGCATGCTAAGCAGTGTTCGAAACTGAGCTATGAAAGCTTAGGAGCTAAATGGCACCTTAAACCTAGGTTATGGGTGCAACAATGGAACGTCTAGGCACACTTTTTAATAAGAATACAAAGTGGAAAATGAAGGAACTGCAGCTAAAATATTAAGTTCATTTCTCACATGGTTTAGTCCTTCCCCTGCTCCCCCCCCAATATTCTTAAGAGCAGGGGTAGGCAACCTAAGGCCCGGGGGCCGGATCTGGCCCAATCACCTTCTAAATCCGGCCCGTGGACGGTCCGGGAATCAGCATGTTTTTACATGAGTAGAATGTGTCCTTTTATTTAAAATGCACCTCTGGGGCATAGGAATTCATTTATTATTTTTTTCAAAATCTAGTCCAGCCCCCCACAAGGTCTGAGGGACAGTGGACCGGCCCCCTGCTGAAAAGGTTTGCTGACCCCTGGATTAGAGAGTCTTACCTGGGCGAGACCAGTGTTCAAATCCCCCACTCATGGCGTGACCTTGCGACGGAGGCCAGTCAATGCCTCTCAGCCTAGTCTACCTCGCAGGGTTGCTGTGGGGATGAGATGAGGACGGGCGGAACCATATGCGATGCCTTGAGGTGCTTGGGAGGGAAATGCGGCCAGTCAAGTGACTGGATCTCATCCATTTGCATAGCCTGCTTTCGTCCCTACTTCTGGAACACGAGAATCACATACAATACATACAAGCTGCTACTTATTACATGTGTGAACCGACATGATCTGCCTTTAACTGTTTTCTGTAGTCAGTTTAAATTGTTCAGCAGATCCAGCATTGTGTGACCCACCCGAGAGACTCTGTTCAACAAAATGTTCTAAGTCAATAAATATAGTAATTATATTTGAAATGTATAGCGCTTTGATTTAATGTTCTCCTTTAGTGAAATAAAAAAGATAAAACGTTTATTAAAAACTTACCCACACCAGGATTCTGCAGTTCAGATTTGCTGCTTCTGAGGCAGCCTCTACACACATCTTAAGGATCAATTCTCTTCTGTCCTCGTAAGTTTTTGGATTCAGCTGGGTATATTTCTTAACTATTTCACCCTAAGTGAGAGGGAAACACCATTAAGCTTCTCAGTACATACAAGCTGCTACTTATTACACTTGGGCGATTGCATGTGTGAACCCAACACAGAGAGGTCCTAAGGCGCTCCTCTTGCTTCAGGCAGAAAATCCAAGCTGCTTCACTCTCCTTGCACCTCTGGTGTTAGTAAAAGTAACCGGAGCAAGAGTAGCCTTTTAAACAATAACCTCCGGCCCCCAAATTTGGTGCTTGATGCATTTAAATGGGGGGAGGGCAGTGGTGGTTATTCAAGAGTCAAGGAGAGTTGGTGATGCAAAGGCGCAGGGCTACTGGTCTCTTATTCTCACTTCTCTGATTGCTACTCTTTAGTTTAGATCCTGATCCCAATTAGCTGGGCACAGGCCCCATGGAATCCAATAGGACTTACTTCTGAGTAGACGTTGTTAAAATTGTGCTTCTAATCTTTTTCCCTCTCCTCCCCATCATTTTCATTAGTGGGCAGCTGCCTTCCCTTCCCACATTTATTTAGGAAATGAAGCCCTCCAGTTGTTTTTGGTTTTTTTTAAAATCACTCTTTTGGATCCACACCCAATATTATGGCTTCCCAGCAATTGGCAAGCCAGGAGGCTTTGGGTTACCTGTAGGTAGGGTTTGATGGAGATGCCCATCCCTGTGTTTATTTCATTTTATCTTCTCAGAAGACACACGCTCTCAGAACATGGCGACTCTTTTTAAATAATTTCACCAAAAATGCTGGCTTATACAGTATAGTGCATCTTAAATACGCAAAATACTCTCAGTAAACCTTTTACAACAGAGGCTACTTTTGCTGAGGCACATTTTGGTGATTGTGAATTGCAGTGTCAAATCGCACTTAGGGCTGTATAGCAGGCTAATGGGGGAGATGAGGCCATTAGCTGGAAAAGCTCAAGCCAAACTCTTAGTCACGTAGAATTATAGTCTTGTAGAGTTTTATGGTACCCTGAGGATCATCTAGTCCAACCCCCAGTGGGGCTCAAACCACAACCTTGAGATGGAGAATCTCATACTCTACCAATCACCTGCTGTGCTAGTGTTGCTCAGGTTGCAGTTGTAACCTCCCAAAGCTTAACCCCACCCACCCTGGTTCTTAAAAACATGACTCTTTTATTTTTGTCACTCAGTTTCTGCAGGTTTCATTATAGTAAATCTCTTCAATTCTGTCTTATCCTCTGTTGATAGATATTTTCTCGGTCATACTAAAGCAATAACTTGACTGTTCTGTGGTTTCCTGTTGAGTTTTTTGATCACGTGACATAAGTCAGTTAACACAGCTCCAATATTTTATTTATTTATTTTAAAACTTGGACCCTGCATATTTTCAAGAAACCCTCAAGGTGTGTTTTTTTTACAGCATTAAAATGGCCAGACGAGAGAGAGAATACACACGCTATTTTATGGAATTTTGTTCATCTGTTTTATATACATCACAGTGGACTCTACTGGGGGAAGAAAATAATAAAGAACAAAATATAAATTATAGACATAATTATAAAACATACAGATCAGCAGCATTTAAGACGGTAATAATGAGAAATTATCATTAACAAAACTCCAGAAAGCAATTAAATAACAAAGCAGTGATCAAAAAAAGGAACAACAGTAATTATAGCAGCAAAAACAAAAGGGAATAGGAAATGTGGGTTAAGTAGTGCTTGAGGGAGAATTTTTTTTTAATCATTGTATGTTTTGTGGACTTGGAGGCTCTTCTGAGTTCTGAAAGGTGGTGTAAATTGATTTTATAAAAACTGGAGGTGAAATAATTTGCAGCAACACAAGAGATTACAGCAAACGACTTAACACACAACTGCAAAGCTGTCAAATGTAATTTAGACTAGCACAGAACATTGGTTGCGTTGTACTCGCAGCAACGATAACACGTGATCACTTCCCTCTGAAGCAGAACTCAGCCTAGATCTGCCCAGTAGCAATTTTTCCTTTCCTGTGAGAGCTGTCGTGCCCACAACATTGGGTGTCTTCTGCTATCTGCAGTTTTGGCTGATTATTCTCACTGAGAGGCAGGATTAACTATGGATTGAGCTAGTTACAGGCAGAGGGCCTTCTCGGTAGTGGCGCCTGCCCTGTGGAGCGCCCTCCCATCACATGTCAGAGATAAACAACTACCTGACATTCAGAAGACATCTTAAGGCAGCCCTGTTCAGGGATTTTTTAACGTGTGACATCTTAGTGTATTTTTTGTCTTTGTGGAAGCTGCCCAGAGTGGCTGGGGAAACCCAGCCAGATGGGTGGGGTACAAATAAATTATTATTATTATTATTATTATTATTATTATCAGCAATAAATGAACTTGTCGAGTGCTAGAATGATTTGGGTAACGTGGTGGAGCCCAGTGAACTGAGTAGTACTGTATTTCTAAAACTAAAAGTACTGGGTTTCCTTTGAAACTTAAAAAAAAGAGAGAGACTAATGGATATGGACTAATTCTTCAGAAAGTATTTCAGAGACATGAAGCAAACGGCTGATTCTCACTACTGACATTGCCAACTGGTTAGATCCATACCAGTATCATCTCAGTGTACTCTTGAAACAGGTCTCTTGTATTCTAGGCATCTCTTAGCTCTTTTTAAAAAAAGAATACCTAGATGCAGGTTCATTGCAGCAGTAAATGAAAGTATTAAAATGTCTTACGATAAAGATAAGCTGCCCAGTACTAGTTCCTTGGAGTGTGGTTAAACTGACAGCAATAGCCCAGCACCAAACATAAGTATTGGGCATAAATAACGCTGACTCTGCAGCCTTACCCAGCTATATTTCTCCCCAGTGAGCTCATCTCTGGTATATCTAGTGCAGCTGAAGAAACGTGATGTTGCAGGCAGATTTGGGGGAAGTAAGACATTGGTTTGGAGGCAATTAGACTTCCCCAGCCTTTGTCTTTCCTTAAAATGTTTCTCCTCCTACTCTCCTTTATATATAATTGAGGGCATTCCAGGTTTTAAGCACATGGATATGTTGCATGCCATGCCATGCATTTTCTCCATTCTGGATGCTTGGAGTTATTAAATCAACTGGTTGACTTATCTTCCATCAGTGCAGAAAGGTGTTGGCTTCCTCTGGGACTGAAGCACACTTGGCGCTAGGAATTGGGAAAGCAAATGGTAAGGTGAAATGGAGCCAAACGAACATCTGGTTTTTAAGAATTGGCAGTTCTCTGCTGCTTCACTTTTTCTAAAAACAAAAACCTTCATCATTAGGTTGAAACAGTTGATTGGAGAATTCCATATCTGCTGCCAGCTGCCTTGTAAGAAGGAAAAGACGTTTGAGAGATGGATTCTTCTTCTCCAGCCCCTGTGGTTTTCAAATTGTAAGCAGGAAAAGACAGGCTCATCAGTGAGATCAGTATTTAGCAGATCACTTGCCCATGCGACACTGGAGAAGATGACGAATGGGTACCACTACGAGAGAGCATTGACTATGTTCTAAATCACTCTTCCATGGGTATGTGGTTGGACACTCAACATGGCCACTGGACTAGATAGGCATTTAGGCTGACCCAGCTCCCGTATTTTGCAGGGCAGCAATTTACACTTAACAGACCTAGTTAGTGCCACGTGTGAGCCAAGGGTATCTCTAGAACATGCCCCAGAAGCAGCTGTAGCATGCTGGTGTAGTTTGGCAGATGCGCACAAGTTTCATCAACCCAGAAGTGGTTTCCTGAAGGTAAATGTTTGAATAGCTACTGGCCTACTTTATTGGAGGTTATAGCACTGGCTGTTGTTTTTTAAAGCCCTAGATGGGTCATGAGTGGGATACTGAAGCAATTGCTGCATCCTATATGGTCCTTCCTGTCTCTTAGGATCAGAAAGGGAGGCCCTGCTGTATGATCTGGTATGTTTGGCGGGCATATGAAAAAGGGCATTTCCCATTGTTTCACTAGGGTTGTGAAACCTGCTCTAGGATATTTACCAGGACTGTTTTCCCTGGTGTCTCCTGAAGACATTCTGGTTTCTTCAGGCATTTGGATGTGGTGTTAAAAGTGGCTTGACTTGCTCTTAATTTAAACTGCTGGTCGCTTGGGATCTGCTTTTGAAAATGGAAAAGTGGGATCGAAATTAAGTGCCCCGATCTCAATAGTTTATTTACTGTTAGCACTTCAGAGAAAGACGCTTACTAGCACTATTATCTTTGGCGAAATGACCCACACACTGTTTAAAAAACAGGAAATGGTAGTATAGAAAAACAATCTTTTGCACTATAATGGGAAAACATTTTCATGAAATGTGTGCTTTTTGTGACCAAGTACATGACAAATATGCTGATAGGAAGTTTGACTTGGACTTAATTCTTGTTTCAGGTGTACTGGGCCAAACCTTCAGAAATAGGATTCACTTTAAATCTGGACAGGCTCTTTCATCAACTTACTATAGTTGATGGATAGAAATAGGGCATGTATTAATAACGAAGTTGCCATTTTATGCAAGCACAGTGGGACTTGCATTCCACTAAGCTTTTGTGGAAAGATAACCAACTAGACTTGCTTAAGAGGTACTAATGAACTCTTTTTATCTTAGAATTCTGAAAGGCTTTGCTTATTTTTGCATGTAGAAGTTGCCTTTCTGCAGGTTGATATAAATAGGGAAAGAGAAGCAACGAAACTAGTTAAAACACTAACAGTACCCTCTCCCATTGCATACATGGCATTTGCCAGGATCCATCCCCTCTTCTGTTGAGGTGAGAGGTAAGTAGTAACCTGATTGGCTACCGAGATGCCTAAAACTTGTGTACCCCTACCAGTGAATTTTTACTTTCATTTGTGATACACTGGTAAATAGAAATACGTTGGCAAAGGCTGTCCAATTTCTTTCTTAATGCAGAGCGAAATTAACTAGCTACATGGGGACAAACTGCTTTTTTGCACCCTTGTTAATTTTAAGCACTTAAGCAGGGAGAGCAGCTGGGGATTTTGTGGATTTACTTTTTATAACTCGTAACCTTCCAGACCATCTTATTCAATTTGTTGCTATTGAAATGTGTGGCTTGTGCCAAGCTCGACTCTGATTTGGAATGAAATACGGTATCCCAGCGGTAGTTGTGGCATCTTAGGTGCTTTATTGAAACTACAGTGTGAGTAAAATTACATAGTAAGAATGACTGTTTTACGAGTGGGTGTCTATGAAAAGATGCCCTGGAGTATTCTGTAAGAGAGCTGATGACTCAGTAGCTTAGCAGCATTTCTCATATCTAAAAAGAACAATGTGGATATCCTGCAGTGATAGGTGATGGAGAGAAAATAACATTTCTTCTGATTTTCTAAAACTGAATTTCCCAGCGATCTTAAAACACAGTTTGTATTACTACTGTCATTCTCATTTCTGGATATTCAATATAGATAAGCACTTCTAAAAGCAAATATTCAAATGTTTTATGAACAGCCATTGACAGATTCCTGTAGCTGTCAATATGACTGCATCACCACATAGGCCTGGTTGAAATACTTACCTGGGCAGTAGTTCTTGGGAGATGGAAAGGTGGACATGCACCCTTCTCCTCTGTACACCTAAAGCATGGGTAGGCAAACTAAGGCCCAGGGGCCCAATCACCTTCTAAATCTGGCCTGTGGGCAGTCTGGGAATCAGCATATTTTTACATGAGTAGAATGTGTCCTTTTATTTAAAATGCATCTCTGGGGTATTTGTGGGGCCTGCCTGATGTTTTTACATGAGTAGAATGTGTGCTTTTATTTAAAAGGCATCTCTGGGTTATTTGTGGAGCATAGGAATTCATTCCTTCCCCCCAAATATAGTCTGGCCCCCCAACAAGGTCTGAGGGACAGTGGACCGGATCTCCTGGAAAAAGTTTGCCGACCCCTGACCTAAAGTAATGTATTATAGTCTTTTACATGGAAATCCACATGTACAGTTATTCTTCTGAAATAAAGGGGCAATAAAGGATAATGGAAATTGAGTCTCCATGGAGCCGCTGCATAATATATTACTTTGGTTGCATTGTGGAGAAGAGGTTCATGCTCTCACATGACTGGATTGCAATGCAGGTGAGTGTCAGAGTTCTGCTCTGCATCTTCCCAGTGTGGGCCCCCATTATGTTCCCACTTCGGAACTTTATTTTTATTCTAAGAATATACTCATTGGCACACTAGTACTTCACTTATTTATCAGAGTGGACTGTGTGGGGTGAAGAAACCATGTCTGCCCCCCATTTTTGAAAATATAAAGCCTGGCTGTCACCCGGATCTGTCTTGTGCCTTATGCATATTCCTGGTTAGGCAAGAAGCAGATGTAAAGAGTCTTTATATTAACAAAGCTGGAAATAAATTTTGCACGGTGTACTAGAGTCTATTGAAGCCAGACCAACATAAACTGCTTTTCCCTTTTACATGCCTTTGAGAGAACACCATATTTAGCAGTTGAGGACAGAATCTGTTATTAGCAGAAGATGACTTTTTGCATTTTTGAGACTTGTACTCCCTTAAACTTCTAGCCAATACTACACAATTGGGCTTCAGTTTGCTTACCATAGTATCCTATTATATATGAACTGGGAAATAGTGTTACCAGTGTGAGGAGAAAGCAGTTGCTTTCAAGTCCTGGTTTGCTCCATTCCTCAAACCAGTTTCTCAGAAACTGTGGTTAAATTAATCAAACTGTCTTTAGCGTGCAGCTTTAAGGCTTGTGCACATTGTTGATTAATAAAGTGGATTAGTGAGTTTGCATTTGTTTGCCTCTCTTCAGGCCTCTGAATTGCTGCGTTGGATTACTTTGCTCGAAACATTGTTCTAGGGAAGAGATGAGGTCATTGATATAGAGCCTCATGTCGCATATATTTTCATTTTCCCCATTTTTGATGTTTTGCCACAAGGGTTGGCAATCTTTTAGCCCCAAGATCCACGTAAAGTAGCGGCTGGGCAGTTTGGCGTAGGCTGGCACAAATGAGAATGGCAGAAGCTCTAGTGTATCTTAAACATGTTCTTTTTTCTTCTTCACAATAATGTTTATTAATTTTCATACAAAAGCATAATTTTTAAAAAACAGAATAGACAATACTAAAGGGGGGGGGAAGAAGAAAAAAGAAAAAGAAAAAAAAGAAGAGAAAATAAAGAGCATAAAATACTTCCCACATCCCATATAATACTACATACACTAAAACCTAATTAGTTAATTAAAATCCATCTTCATAAGCATATTACTTGACTTCCTCTGATCTCTTCCATCTGAATTTCCTTGTAATTAAATGTAGCAGTTTCCAATATCATTATTTGTTCTTTTTTGCCTTCCAATGCTATTCCCTGAGCACCACACAGCCATCGCTGTCATCTGAGTAGTATGAAGTGCATTTTAGGACATCAAGTTCTAAATAGTTCCTACTTTAGCAAGGCTTGCACAGCTTAGGATCTCTACTGGGGTGCATACATTTTGGTCTTATAGCTGTTTTTGAAGTATAGTAGTCGTACCTTGGAAGTCAAACGGAATCCGTTCTGGAAGTCCATTCGACTTCAAAAACATTTGGAAACCAAAGCGCAGCTTCTGATTGGCTACAGGAGGCTCCTGCAGCCAATTGGAAGCTGCGGAAGCCCCGCCAGACATTTGGCTTCCAAAAATAGTTCGCAAACTGGAACAGTCACTTCCGGTTTTCAATCGTTTGGGAGCCAAAACGTTCGACTCCCAAGGTGTTCAGGAACCAAGGCACAACTGTATCAACTTCATCATCATCAAGTTAGTTTATTCATTTCCATAGTTAAACCATGGTCAAGATGGCTTACAACATGAAAAGATTTGCTCAATTAAAAAAATACCAGAAGTAGCCATAAGCAATAAATAAAAACATTTTAAAGTGGGGTTCTAGACTAGGGTTGGGGAACCATTTCAGTTCAAAGGCCACACTTCTTTGTTGTGGGGGCCACCAAAATACATCCATTCACCCATTCATTTTCTTACTCTTAACCTGCCACATTAAGGCTTGGAAAAAGATTCCTATTTCAGGATACTTTTTTCAAGCCAGATTGTGTGGGGCCATTTCTGCTGAAGGCGGCGGTCACGCTGTGCAGAGAGTTGCATCAATTCACGTATCTCGCTAACCTTTGAACCTGCACAAAAAGTAGATTAGCACTGTTCTCGTATTGCAGATTGGTTGTGGTGAGACTGAAATGTAGTAGCTTTGAGTAAATCCCTTGCGTTCATTGCTGGGGTAAGAAGATTTGAACCTGGAACTCCTTGTAAGTCACTTCTTTTGCTCTTACCAATTGTGAAAATTGTACCTGCTTTTGTATTGGAAATTCCTTTTTAAAACCTTCAAGCTAAATGCATTTAGGTCTCTTAAAAGCCAGGATGGTGGCGTCAGTCTTGAGTCTATATCTTCACAGGACGGACCTGTGGTCTTCTTAGCATCGCTCAGTTTGAACCCACCTCAAGAAAGCAAATGTTGCTGTGATGGTTTAGGCAAGCGCTGCATATGCTCCAAATGGGAAAAAGGAAAGAGAAAAGGGAGCAAGGTTAGGAGAAATATATGTGCTTTCTTTGCCGTCTCAGGATGTTTTGTGGGCTGTATTTTGCTTGTTGAGTCACAGGGTGCCTAGGCTTGACTTCAACCTTCCTGTTCTGATAGTGTTTCCCCAAAGATAAGATGGTTTTGGATTTGTTAAAACAAAAACTGACCATGGGAAGCAGCTGTTTGTTCTTTCTGGCAGTTCTTGATAGCTTCCGTCTCCTTTGTTCTTAGTTTGTGGAAATAGGTCTTGCAAACGAATCTACACTTAGCTGATCCCTTCCTTGGAAAATACTGAAAGCAGTATACAGTCGTACCTCTGAAGCCGAACGCCTTTAAACCTTTTAGCTCCCGAACAGTCAAAAACCGGAAGTGATTGTTCTGGTTTTTGGACGTTTTTCAGGAGCCAAATGTCCGGCACGGCTTCCGTAGCTTCCAATTGGCTGCAGGAAGCTCCTGCAGCCAATTGTAAGCTGCGCCTTGGTTCTCAAACCATTTCGGGAGTCAAACGGACTCCCAGAACGGATTAAATTCAAGAACCAAGGTACGACTGTACTGTACTTGCAGGGCAGTGTCTCTTCCATGTCTGACTGCGTGCTAGCTTATAAACCTGGCCAGCAATTGTTATCCAGACTCCTAATACTAAATAATGTAGGCACTGAAATCTATACAATGTCGGGTGTTATTACATCTGTGTAGTAAATCGGTTCCTAGTGTTGTGCACCCTTTTGCTCTGGTATTTTGCAGTATGAAGAGATGGCGGTGACTTGAGCTTGGTGAATTTTACTTAGAAGGATAGTCTAGATTGCTTTTCAAACCTCCTAAACAACTTGCAACGCCTTAAGAGACGGGAGTGGTGAAGAATACGTTTTAAAAATGGGAATGGGAAACCTGTGGCCTTCTAGAAGTTGCCTGGCTCCAGCTCTCACCATCCTTTATAGTCTGTTATGTTGTTTGTAACTGGAGGGAGTTGAGAGTCCAGCTGCATCTGTCGGGAAGCACAGTAGTGTTTTGATGTACTAAAACAAAGTAATTAAATCATTTACTCAGTGTAAAATAAAAACCAACATTTAAGCAACTAAGGCCATAGATTTAAAAGCAAAGAGTGAAGAAATGAAAGCTTCTGTATTGCTAATTAAACACTGTTAAGCCTGATGAAAGAAATGTGCTCACTGCCTTCAAGTCTTTGGGGAGGGAATTCATCATGAGGTTGCTGTCACAGCATATGCAAATACCTAAAATACATATTTTCAGGCAATTCAGGTTAAGTTCCAAGGCAGTGTGTGCATCAGTGAAATAATGTATATTTGAAACGCTGTTGAAAAAGATTGCAAAAAGATTTTTGTGACAGTTTTGGGTCACTTCTGGGTTCAGTGTGATGCACGTATGTGCGGTCATGCACATACTGAGTGTGCATAAATGGTGGGTTGCCTGTATTTACAAATACCTAAAAGAAATGGTACTGAATTTTATGATGCCATTGAGTTACCTTTGAGTAAACCTTAGTTTAACTTGTTGCTAATTATGGTTTTAGGGACGCGGGTGGCGCTGTGGGTTAAACCACTGTGCCTTGGGCTTGCCGATCAGAAGGTCGGCGGTTCGAATCCCCGCGACGGGGTGAGCTCCCATTGCTTGGTCCCTGCTCCTGCCAACCTAGCAGTTCGAAAGCACGTCAAAGTGCAAGTAGATAAATAGGTACCACTCCGGCAGGAAGGTAAATGGCGTTTCTGTGCGCTGCTCTGGTTTGTCAGAAGCAGCTTAGTCATGCTGGCCACATGACCTGGAAGCTGTACGCCGGCTGCCTCGGCCAATAAAGCGAGATGAGCGCCGCAACCTCAGAGTCGGCCACAACTGGACCTAATGGTCAGGGGTCCCTTTACCTTTAATTATGGTTTTAATGCTGATTAAGTGCTGCCTTGGGAGTGAAGGGAGGATTACAAATACCTTAAATAAGTAGATGTATGCCGTTTATGTAGCATTTCACCATTTTTTATAAATGCTAAGATAATGTTGCAAAGTATTTGTCCATTCCTGTGCTTCTGTACCATATGTTTTTGACACTTCTTCTGATGTTCACTAGTTCTGTGAGGTGAAATTCAGAGCGACACTGAGATCGCTGTCAGTGCAAGCATTTCGGCACAGTCTCCCCTCATTCCCCCCCTACTCTGTTCTGGGAGAACCAGGGTGGGGTACGTGGGAAAAGGGGAAAGCCCTGTTGTGCTAGTGGGACTCACTCCACTGGCTTCTGCTGGCACAACTATTTAGTTGAATCCAGTCCAAATCTAATACACCCCCCCATTAATGCTGTATTCCAACACCTGAATAACCAGCTCTTAATCATTGGGATCGTTGTAGAGCAGGGGTAGCAAATGTGGTGCTGTCCAGATGTTGTGGGCTACAACTCTCCTTGGCCCTATTCTGCTTGGTCTGAGGTGATGGGAACAGAAGTACACAACATCTGGAGAAGTGTTAAAAACTCTCATTCATATATATATATGTATATATATATATATATATATATATATATAATCTCTTTAAGCAGAGGCTTGACAACCATATGTCAGGAGTGCTCTGATGGTGTTTCCTGCTTGGCAGGGGGTTGGACTCGATGGCCCTTGTGGTCTCTTCCAACTCTATGATTCTATGATTCTATATATAAGCTAGGTGCCAAATGGCCTCTTAAATCAAAGTTAGAGTTGCCAAAATGGAAGGTCTAGTTGCCATTTTGGGGCAATGGACTGACTGCGATTGATTCTCATTTAAACATCTGGCTAGTTCAGATGAAAACCTTGAGCCAGCTTAAGAGCTTTGAGTACTTAAAGAAGAAAAGTCACTTGATCCAGGGACAGTCCACATATATATTGACCTATTCCAACCACTTTTTCTTAATTGTGGCTGCTGCTGATCGGGCAGCACAGAAAAAAGCATTTTGGTTCCAGAAATTCATTTTTATTGTGCACTTAAAATATAACTGATAGAATTCTACAGGATGGGGTATTAGTGTGTGAAAACAGTCCAGATTCCCAGATGATGGGGATGTCAGGCACTATCCTGGCACCTGGGCATCTTCACTTTGTTGCAGGTGGTTGAAAGCCATGTGCAAAATGTGCCTGTGTCTGATCTGGAGGGCACCAGGATGGCTATCCCTGCTGCATAGCTTATAGGAACTGAGCAGAGAATCTTTTCTGCCTACAAACTGAATGCTAGTGCAAAGCATTCCAGGTGCTTCATAACCACAATTGATGGATGCTTTTTACAATAACCTTGTAGACTCCAAGATTATATTGCAGCAAGGGCAGGGTATTGGGGGTGAGGTTGAAAAATAACGGATTCCCCAAGATCGCCAGGTGTGTTCTGGATGAGCCTCGGAACAGGTTTTATCTGCCTCTTGTTTGCCTCCAGTCTACACCATCCTTTTCCAATTCCCTATTGAGAGAGTGCCTGAAGCCTGTGTCCTCGCAGCTATGAAAAACCCTCCAGTCTTTTCCCTCCTTACATACTCTTTGAACTGCGGTTATTGTCTTGAAAAACACTTTCTTGTAAAAAGAAAAAAAAACTAACACAGATAAATTCTTCTTCTACAGATTCAATTGACGGGGTGACGAACGGTGATGTCTACCAGGTAAATGGAAGTGAAATGAGCTTTAAAGCAACTAGTTATTGGATGACTCTCCCGATAAAGAGTTTTATTATTCCTCTGGCTTTTGCTCCCATCCAGACCGTCAGCAGATTTGCGCTCGATTGCCGTAATGGTGTTTGCCTCTTACATGCCAGAGTTGGCAAAGGTCAACAAGCCCATTCTTTAACTGAACAAGGGTGGAAGGGCCAGGCAATGGGTTTTGTGGGTTAAAAGCACTGTCAGTCCTCATCTGCCTCTCCACAGCCCACACACCCAAGAATGAGCAACTGAGGTGGATGAAAGGAAGAGCTCTAAAGGCTTCCATTACTGTCCTCGTGGGAAGAGGTAATCTCTTGCCTCTGTCTACACGGAAGGGAAAGAAGCAGAGGTGCCTTAAAGCACGGGTAGAGCAGGGAATTAATCAGGAAGTCCTTAGATGGGGTGCCAGTTGCCTGCTTCTGCCACAAAAAATGGATTTTAAAATGTGCATTTTCCATTTTGGGAAGCTGTGCCTGGCACATGATCAGTGTGTTTACAAGTGCATGTTTTTCTTTTTCTACTTTATTTTTTGCTATATTTGTACCCCACCTTTCCACCAAGAAACTATGGGTGGCATATATGGTTCTCCCCCTCCCTATTATATCCTCACACCAACCCATTGAGGCCCAAGTTTGCCCCAGTGAGCTCCATGGCTGAATGAAGAGTTGAACCTGGGTTTGCCACCCGCTAGTCTGGCACACCAACTATTAAAGTATGTTGGTGTTTCGGCAGCAAGGGTGTCATATATCTGTCTGAATTTGTCCTTTTAAAGCAGCAGATGTACCCCTCTAAAAGTCTGGATTTGGGAAAGCAATGCAGCCTAACTAGTATGGGCTGTTGTTAAAGATCAGTGACATCAAACTTAATGATAGTAGGGAAAATCCAACATGAACTAGGGATTTATTGTATCAGCTGCTTATTTTCTTCCATCACTTTGTATTTTGGAGAGAATTGTTAGATAATTTGTCTTGTCTTGGTGCATTCTATAAAACGCAGTTTCCAAAACTTGGGTCTCCAGCTGTTTTTTGGACTACAGCTATCATCCCTAGGTAGCAGGATCAGTGATCAGGGATGATGTGAACTGTAGTCCAAAAACAGCTGAAGACCCAAGTTTCGGAAACCCTACTATAAAGCAACCGTCTTCTGAATACCGCTGACTTGCTGTAAAACAGGTGATGGGTAACCAGTGTTGTGGGATGGGTGGGAGGAAAAAGACTCATCAATATGTCAGTTTGACATGTTCCTTGGGTACTTCTTTCTCTTCCTGCTCCCTGCACATTAATTGTTGCAGGGGTGCAGTCCAGGTACCTCCTACAGGTTAGTATTGTGATGGTTGCTGACACAAGAGTTGCTTCTAATCTGTTAATTAGGAGTGGAGGCAATTTAGGTTTACTATTTCATATAGGTAGGTAGGTAGGTAGTCTGGACTAGCAGTTGAGGCAGGTAGCTCTTTTTCTTAAAGACCAGCCAGAATCCCTGTTTTCTGCCCTTGTTTAAAACATTCCCCGCCCCCTTCATTTGAAGCTAATGTCTTATGGCAGTCTCCCTGCACTAGTCATTTTGCTCAAATCTCTTCACCCTTAGATCCTGCTAATTTTTAAAGTTTTTTACTACAAAAGTAGCACTATTTTAAGGAACTGCATTTTTATCCAATGGCTATCACAAAATGATTGATCTTTTTTGTGCGGTTCAAGGAGAGCAACGGTCCGACGGACTGCTATGCAGCTATTTCGCAAGCCGATCGTTTGCAGACAGAACCAGAGAGCATCCGCAAATGGAGAGAAGAGCAGCTGGAGCGTCTAGAAGTACTTGGTAAGGGCCAAGGAACATGCCCACTTCTACCCTAGCTTCTGACAAGACCTAAAGAGCAGTGACGGTGCCTCCATCCCTTGTTCTGAGATGCAGTCAAGGGCCGGTTTGACCCCCATCCCAGTGTGAATAGCAGAATTGGTTGGGATCTCCTTGAATGCACCTCCCTCGCTTTTGCACATAAGAGGAGAAATCTATTACCGCTTCTGTTGCAGTTCTGTTGCCCTCTGCTTGCAATTTGCATAGGAGACCATGTCTGAACAGCCTCAGCACTGGGTCCTGCACTAGGGACTAGATGAGAAAGATCCTGGAGACTGTTGGTCATCGTCAGACCCTCCGTTGCCTTTCCCTTCTGTAGCTCCTTTTGCCATAATGGCCCGTTTTAAGAATTAGTGCCTTGCTTCAACACAGGAGAGAAGCCTGATTCCTTATTGCCTTATGTATAGCTTCCTATAGGCAGCGTTGGGTAAGCACAAAGTACACAATTAAATTTCTTGCCTATAGTAACTCAAACTCCTGGAAATTAATGCAAATGTATATAGTTACCCCTATCTTGTATATTTCTCCTTTTGCCAGTTATGAGGGAGGGGTTGCATTGGCAATGCCAGCTTTAGTGTCCTGAACTCCTAACCTGGGCTGGGTGACCAGCAGCCCTCTAGATCAGGGGTCAGCAACCTTTTTCAGTCGTGGGCTGGTCCACTGTCCCTCAGACCTTCTGGGGGGGATGGACTATATTTTGAAGAAGAAAAAAAATTAACGAGTTCCTATCCCCAGCAAATAACCCAGAGATGCATTTTACATAAAAGGACACATTCTACTCATGTAAAAACACCAGGCAGGCCCCACAAATAACCCAGAGATGCATTTTAAATAAAAGGACACATTCCACTCATGTAAAAACACGCTGATTCCAGGGCTGTCCGCCGGCCAGATTGAGAAGGCGATTGGGCTGCATCTGGGCCTTAGGTTGCCTACCCCTGCTCTAGATGATGCTAGACTTCAACACCATCCATAACCGTTGACCGTGGAAGTTGGGAGTCCACCAGCCTCTAGGGGAAGCCTCAGTTCCCCCTTCCTTACATGACCGTTGGCAATCTTAGTCAACTGATCCTCTGTTTGCCCATACATTGAAGCAACTCTTGCAACCGATGGGGCGAGGGACTTTTTTAAAAGAAGAAAGAACAAATGAGAGCAGAGTTAAGAACTGCTGTGGGTGTTGGTCAGTCTGGTGAACATTTGCAAAATTACATGGAGAGTTTGGGAAATGGAGACGGAACAGTCAAACTTGTGCTACCGGTTGAGCTTGTGTACCTGAAGCTAATGCTTATCTCTGGATTCAAACCACTGAACCCCTCTGTCCCTGCTCCAACAGCCCTTTAATCCAACATTGTTACTGTCAACATCGGGAGCATTTTGGATATCAAGCTGACTGGTTTCTGCTAGTGTGGTGACTCTTCGCCCTCCAGCAGCTCCCTGCCTCCCAAAGCCTTTGCCTACTTACAGTTCAGAATCTTAGCTATATTTAGCTCTGAGAGCAAATGTCCGTTCATTCTCGTCTGCCTCTGTTTTAAAAGATGCAAACTCTCGAAAACAAGAAGCAGAGTGGAAAGAGAAGGCGATAAAGGAGTTGGAGGAATGGTATGCGAGACAAGACGAGCAGCTACAGAAAACGAAAGTGAACAATAGGTAAGGAGGGTTTGCCAGCTTTTTTGTGGAGGGGACTGAGAGGTGGCTGTGGATCAGCTGCAGCCCAGTTGGCATTCTCTGGTGTATGGCCCAGCATGGTGTTGGCCCCCTGCAAACCATAAATAGTAAGTGGGAAGCCAGCCTCCAGAATACCCACCCCTATGTCCTCCCTTCTCTTGTGTGAATTCCTCTGCCACTCCCTTCCATTGCTTGCCATTTTTAACTTTGGTGCGGTTATTACACTAAATGATGGGTGAGGCCTGTGGAGGGAATCCCCTTCCTTTGGACAGAAATGGCAAGGAAGCAGTTATTCCCAAGATTAGGTTTGTTGTGATTTGCAGGGAGTTGCCATTGTGCCTGCACCGGATCCCTTATGATAAGCCCGACTGTTGCCAGAGTCCTGTGGGTACCGCTCCTGAAGATCAGACCTTGGTTACGACATGCTGCTATTCGTATAGGCAGAACCCTGTAACATGCAAGTTAAGAATGGCATATTCCTTGTACAATAATGGGGAAGGGAAAAGAAGTACAGTGGTACCTTGGTTCTCAAACTTAATCCGTTCTGGAAGTCCTTTCCAAATCCAAAGTGTTCCAAAACCAAGGCACGCTTTCCCATAGAAAGTAATGCAGAGCAGATTAATCCATTCCAGACTTTTAAAAACAACCCCTAAAACAGCAGTTGAACATGAAGCATGCTAGAACATGCTAAAACAGCAGTTGAACATAACAAGCAATAATCAATGTACTACACTATAAAATAAATAAGACAGTATTGTAGATGATTAAAATTTAAAAAAAATCTTACCTGCACTGATGATAGTCATTGTTTGGATGAGGGCCTTTTATCCATTTCTGCAGTCACACAATCAATCAATCAATCAATCAATCAATCAGTAGCTGAACTGGGTTCCACACAGTCACAAAAACAAATTAACTGAAAAACGCAAAATAAATACCAAAAACAATAAGCGCCAAACTTAATCCGTTCCGGACGTTGTTTGACTTCCAAAATGTTTGAAAACCAAGGCACAGCTTCTGATCATAGCTGTCAACTTTTCCCTTTTCTTGTGAGGAATCCTATTCGGAATAAGGGAATTTCCCTTTAAAAAAGGTAAACGTTGACAGCTATGCTTCTGATTGGTGCAGGCACCCCGGAAAAAGTAGCCGACAGCCGAATCAGACGTTTTGCTTCCAAAAAATGTTCCAAAACCAGAACACTTTTTTGGTGTTTTTGGTGTTTGAGAACTAAGGTACCACTGTATTATGATGCTAAGCAGCCCTTCTAAGAGCTACATGGTTCTTTCCCATGTGTCCTTAAAAAAAACAAAACCTAACTCTGCTTATGGCAAGTCTGGAAAAGAAAAAGGTGACATGCTGAATTCAGAATACTTGCGCTTTCTCATGCCAGCAAGGTGAACAGGCTTTATCGTGCAATTCAACACGATCATGAAACTAGGCCACACAAGCTGCTCAACAGCCTCCCATGCTGTGTAGTAATCCTCTTTTTATTAAAGGGGCTTTTTTCTGTAGTAGTTGTGATTCTTCAGGGCAAAAGTCTTTTTCAAAGAGAATGAGTAAAAGAAAAAATTGCAGGGTGTAGCCAAATCTTTGAGCATGTCTCAAAAGAGGAGTTAGAACTCTAATGGTGATTAGTCCTGGGGAAGCCAGTATAGAGCCGGATTGCGTTGCCAGTTTTATGCCAGTATTAATTTAAAACACTTGGCATTGTCTGGGCTTTCTTCTCAAGCCGTATGCTTGGACGCATAATAATGGCAGCAATGATTCACTAGGACTCAGGCACAATCCACTGGGTGTCCTCAGCCGATGGAAATTGGCGGAACCAGTGAGACTTCAGCAGAACACGAATGCATAGTTGTATTCAGTGTGTCTTGCCCTGAGAGCCTTTTTTTGCATGTTTGTTGCTGAAGGCCTCCTTTATAAATCAACTAACAAAATAAATACTCTATTGTAGGACTCCCTGAGAAGTAGTAAGCAGGCCACTCATTTAATTGAGCCTAAGTGTACTTTGCTGTCTGGTTACGGTGTATTGACTTAAGATATTGTGGGTGGGAGTATCTTATAGAGGAGAAGATTTTGTAGGACAAAATCTGATGATGGTGGTATAAATTAGCAGGGAGGTAGCCTGGTCTTTGTCTGCTTATTGCACTTAGCTGATCATTTGTTCAGTCCTTTTTCCCCTCTCATTCTCCCCCCCCCCCCGACTTTCTATAAACGGCTAACTGCCTTTTATCTTAAGAACCAACTCTCAAATCTAGAAGAAACCTGCTTCCTCCTTGTTGAAAACTACAAGCAGCCAAAGGAGGAAAGCAGAATTCTGTCATTCCTCAAAAATGTTCAGGGTGGGGTGCCTGAAGTCACCTTTTCTGTTTTGCCAACAACCTCTGATGTTTTAGGCTAAAATGTGGCTATTTATCCAAGGCTGTGGATGGAGCTTTGTGTCCAAAATGTGGATTTGAACTCAGGGCATCCTAGTCCTATTTACTAGTGGCAGATGAGTCAGTGGTGGCACAGGTTTTTGAACCCTGTTTTTGTGCCTTTTTCATAACCTAGTAAAGCAGCTGGGTCTATAAAACCAACAAGTTAAAAATCTACCAAATCCACAGTACGCTATTTTTGTTTCAGGTGACCAATAATTCAAATTAATACTGATATATTCCTGCCTAGGATAGTTCAGAAGTCCTATAGCTGCATTTCTTCTTATTTATCCCCCACTTTTTCTTAACAGATCAATAAAATATTATCCCCACCCCCACCCCACCTCAAAAAAAGTCTTATAGCATTCAGTTACCTTGGATTGGTCATGAAATTAAGGATTACCGTATTTTTCCATGTATAACATGCCCCCTTGTATAAGACGCCCCCTATTTGGGGGGACTCAAAACTAAGAAAATGGGGAGGAGATTGCTCTCATGAAAAGACTACCGCCCTTTTTAAAACATTATTTTTAGTAAAAAACAACAACAACCTAGCCTAACAGTAGTTGAAAAACATGGAAAAGTACAGTATTTCTTCCTTTAATTGCTAGGCTCTTAAGACAGAAGACTGAATTTGTCTCTTACTTAGCTAAGTTTCGCAGTGCTGCAGTTTTGAAACTTGTACAAATATGCAAACTGTTTAAAATGGGGGACGACATGACAGTTTACAAATCTATTTCAGTAGTCACAAGCAGAGTGCCTTGGTTTGCATTGGTGCACCTGTAATGCAGAACCATAAGGAAGGCCTGGGCTGGGAGGGGGGGTGTGGTAGAGTCCGACTCTCAGTATGAAAATTATGCTGTGATGGGAACCAGCCTTGTACCTGCTCTGGACCAGAGCATCCTTTTAACGATGCTTAAACCATTTTCTTAATATTTTTCCTGCCTGGTAATTTCTTAATATTTCTAAGGTCTTGTTGCATGTTTTAATATATTAAGCCTAATACGACTACAGCTGTTTTTTCCTTCTGCTTATTCTTCTCTTTTTCTCTCCTGCCTGCTTGCCTCTTCTGTGGACCACCTTGCCACCTAGGGTGGCAGACGAAGCTTTCTTCAAACAACCCTTCGCTGACATGATTGGTTATGTGTATGTTGCCTAACTACTGTTTTGTTCGTTCGTTTGAACCATTCTCCATCAGCTTCAGTTAGCACTTCTGATCTGTGAGGCTTACTGTTCTCAAAGTGTCCCGAGAACAAACAACTTGGGGCAGAGAGGCACGTTCTGCAATAGAGCAAATAGCAAGGATCCAGGATGTGGGAAGGATGTGGGGCAGGGCGAGTGCAGCTTTCATTCATAAGATGGAAAGGCCTATTTAGTGGTGATGATAAAGTAGGAAAGAATACTGATGCTCAGCAATGGCCATCTGGCATCTTTGCAGCCACATCTGGTCCATGAAGCAATTCGTGGGACCCTTGGCTGTCCTACCAACTTTTAATCAACATATAATGAAAGTTTACAAGTAAAACTGAAAGAAGGAAGAGGGGCTTCCTAAGCTGGAAGGAGAGATGTTCCACAGCCAATATTTTTCTCATTTGGCTTTTGAATAAAATGCTGAAGACTTTAATTTCTGGGTGGCACAGATTTGATTAGAGCCTGACAATCCATGAAAGGATGTAGATTGTACTGCAAAACAGACTTACTCCCTAGTCCAGGGATCAGCAACCTGTGGCCCATGAGCCACAAGCAGCCCACGGGCCACCCCCGAACCGAGCTGCCTGCTCGGCGAGTCCCCATGAGCGATCCAACCCATGGAGTGATCTCCATGGCAGTGAACCAGCCCAGGCGAGGTAAACCTTGCCAGCCCCTGCCTAGTCTGACAGCTGATGAGAGAACAGCATGGTTTCTGTTACTATATGGGAGATGGCCATCCATGCTGTGGCTGAAATAAAATAGTAGGATTGAACATTGCTTGCTGCTAAGTCACACTGCCGAGTTCTGTAAGTCTTGTAGGAAGCGGGTCTGCCTGAAAGGGAGCTGTCAAAGGTATGTTGGAAAGGAAATGCCTCTTAACAAAGCGCAGTTGAGATTTTCCCCAACTAAATTAAGCTGACAGGTATTTGGAAATCTGAAGATTGGAAGAACTAGTGCTTGGTTATTTCTGTGTGCCAGCAGCTAGGTGCTAAACAGCAACATATTGCGCAGTTTAGAAATCTGGCCATATAAAGTTGGGTGCCAGGAGCATGTCCAACTTCAGAGCTGCATGTGTGCTATAATAGCTTTAAAAAGCTGTGCTTGATGAGCAGTAAGTAGTATATAAAACACAGGATAGGAGTCAGTAGGGAGTGCAGAAGGCTTGGATGCATTTTATCAAATTAATTGATTAAAATGCCAATTATGTTGGCATGAAGTATGGTAGGACTGCTATATACTACATGAATAGGTCAGATTTGTTGCACTTCATATAGAGAAGAAATAACCAGTATCTTTCTATTTCTGGAAGTTAGACTTTTTTTTACTCTAATATTAGATTCATTTGTCTGATATTCTTCTACACCAACCTCAAATCTACAGGATGACCATTTCCGTACTAGGAGTGCTTGCACATGTGATGTTTCTTGGTTGGTTGGTTGGTACTCTGAATTAGGAAGTCTTCCACCCTGCAGTGCACATACTGAGAACGTGATGGTCCCTATGCTGGTTAGTGCTAGTCAAGACTGAGGAGCAGGATCGTCATAGGAGGCAGAGCTGTTGCCTTGCCAAATAGTGGCCAGCCTTCCCCAGCCTTGGGTCTTGATACGCTGATGGATTACAAAACCTGTCATCCCCAGTCAGCATGGCCAATGGCTGGGGATAACAGGAGTTGCTGTCCTGCAACATCCGGGGACCCAAAATTAGGGAAGGCTGCTCCAAGCAATGAAAAGGAGCAAGAGCAACACAGTGCCCTTGTTGCTTGTTTGGTTTTTGAAAGCCGTCCCCCCAGTGGCAAGATCAGGAGGCGGCAGAAGTTGCTCTGCCTCCAACTTCATGGGGCAAGCTTTATTTGATTGACATGGCCCCACTCAAATGACCCATTGGGAAAAACAGATCAAACTGGTGACCCCTTATACATCAGATCCTTCCTGTTTCACAGCCTGTCTGGTCCACCAGGAGAGATTCATGACAGCACCTGAAGAGGCAGATGGTTCTTGCATGCAAGTTTCTGTTTCATGTCTTGTATTTAAAGCCCACCCCCCTAGCGGTGGAAATTTGGTTTGACAGTTACCTAGAATAGTGTTGGACTTGTGAAATGCTGGACTCGCAGGTGGTGTTTGCCCTTTTCTGTAATGCAGAAGGACTTGTTTCCCGTAGCCAGTGGGGAAGAAAATTCTGCAGTGCCGTTGCTGCAGGATAACATGGGTGGCATGTTTTCCTGACTGTCGACGGTGCTGCAAGAAGTGCATGTCTGGCCAGCTTTACTTATCATCTGCATTATGCTCATTTTCATTTTCTATATCTGACTTAAACTCTCCTTCTTGTTTCTCTTCACCTTTAAGCACAAACATAAACCATCCTTGCTACAGCCTAGAACAGTTAAGTAAATTCTTCACTGCCCCTTAAGTGTCTTTGTCACATGAAATAGCAGTGTTGTAGTGACCCCCTCGTCATCAGTGGTGTTTGTAAAATACAATCATCCTTGTGAACTGTGCTTAACCTCATGGGATCCATCATCATTGCTTCTTTTCTATACTGCTTGTTGGAGTAGATGAAGTCATCCTCTTCCCTCTCCCATAATTAGGGTGCTCACGGCATCCGCCCATGTGTGAAATCCAGGGCATCACTGTTTGCTTTAACTAGCCGTTGGGGGTGGGAATCATTTTGTTCATGCAATACGGTTAGCAGTGCACCAGTGTTGGAAGGATAACATAGATTCTTACAGAGATGTCCACTGAGCACAACTGTGTGTATGGAGGAATAGGCAAAGTTATCCTCTGAGCTGACCTTTTGTTGATCTCTCCTGCTCCAACCGATACCATCAAGTCCATAGCACTTACAAGCATGAGGCCTGTGACTCTTTTGCTGCTTCACCATAGCATTGGAAATGCTGTCATATACTCTCTTACACTATGGTTTTGTGAGCCTTGGAAATGGTGGCATTTGAAAACTTTAAGGGCAGTTTTTAGTACAAATTCCTAGCATACTCAACCGGGATGGTTAGCACCCCCCCCCCCAAAGAATGTGTGCCCTATCCAAAACTTGAGGATGATAAGGAGATTGGAATCTTGCCTGACCCTACCAGTTAATCTGAATTCTGTGCATTGGATGATGTCATGTTTGCACCGGGACCTCTGCATGTAAAGTCCACCCTTTGGGGCTCCAATTACATAAACTGCACACCTTGATTTTGTGGCAGTCCCAGTCTCCCTCGCTATACATAGCCGGTGTACCCTTGAACAGCATCATGAAGGTACCTTGTAGTTCAAGGCTGGGTTTATACTGTTCGCTTAAATTAAACACCTGTATTCCAACATTTTACCTGGCTTCTCCGGTCCTGTGGGCCTGACTCGCTACCCCATCTCCCTTGTCAGGACTTTTTGGGGAGGAGGATGTGGGGGAAGACCTCAAGGTGCTACAGTTGACTTGAAGCCCATTGTGTGTAGGGGCGAGGGATGGATTCCAGGAAGCAAAGGGCTCCTGGGGGCAGGGAATGTCCACGGATGAAATCAAACATTGCACTGCATTGCTTCTAGGGCAGCTGAAGAAGCCTTTGTGAACGATGTTGACGAATCTTCCCCAGGCACTGAGTGGGAACGTGTGGCTCGGCTCTGTGACTTTAACCCCAAGTCAAGTAAGCAGGCAAAGGATGTGTCCCGCATGCGCTCGGTGCTGATTTCACTCAAGCAGGCTCCGCTGGTTCGCTGAAGGGGAAAGCGCACGCCACACTACAAATGCAATATCTTTAACTTTACTCAGAGAAGCTGTGTTTGCAGTAATTGGATTAATTATGTTTCAATGTTTTTTGGGGTTTTTTTTTGTTTGGGACCAAACCTCATGACGTACTTAGAGTTTGATCATTGTTTTGTGATTGCATGTTTTTTTTTCTCCTCCTCCCCCTTATCCGTGTCCTCCTGGTTGTACATTACTGGGAAGAGACGTCAAGAACTGTAGTCTTTGGGCTGTCTGGCGCAGAGACTTCACTTTCAGCTGTACTGAAAATTAAAGATCTGTTTAAGCGGCACTCTTGTGTGGGATTTAATAAGTCAAGGCAACTTTCTTGTTAAAGCTTGCACAGTAGCTAGGCTCGGGCCTGTATGGGTGCTAATTTTAAAGAATGTGTTTCGAAGCAATCACGTTCTTAATGGTCCTATAAAAGGTAAAGCAAATGGAGTTCTCTTTTTACAGTTATCATCCAATGCTCCTTCCACTGTGTTGTTTTTTTACAAGAGGCTTTACCCCCTACAGCTGTGCCTTCAGTGGAATAAGCTGTAGCACCAGGTATTAAGGCAGATGGCTTGGGGGTTGTTTCATACATTCCCCCCTCCTCTAACTGTTAGCTCTTGGCTGGTGTGTGTTTAGAGGAATGGTAGAAAAACTGAAAGTGGTTAACAGAAACTGGGTCCAACAAATGGAACCTGTAGGTAGGTTTGGGGACGGGGGATGTCTCTGGTGCGAAAAGGGTTTCCAAATCCAGAACCTGAGGGCACTTAAATTTTTTCCAGATGGCAGCAGGGAAATTTCCTTCAGTGGCAGAAGTCATTCTTGAGTGATACAAGAGGAAAAACCTGTATGTAGCTGGTGAAATTATATTTGCTGTCAAACAAATGGCTGGAACTTGCCAATGCTGTTCTTAGCATGTGGCCATAGTTTAGCTTTCTGCCTAAAAGCCACCTCCAAAAGGTGTAACTGCTATTCTTTTGAGGGCAGTGTGGATTTTTTAAATTCCTTTGTTGGACTCCAGAGGCTGGACCAACTCAAGCATCCTATTAAACAGCCAGTCTCCTAGGGAAAATGTCATCCACCCCCTTGTCCCACCTTAACCAGAAAACCTGGGTCCCCCCCCCCCTTGCAACTCTCATTGAACAAACTTCCACATTAATACTAACAAGCTTTCTTCATTTTATTGCTAGCTTGGTGGGGGTGGAGGGGTGAGAGGCAGTCTCCACAATAAGAGCTGGAAGTGTTTCTAATTTCAGGAATGTCTCCCAGCTTGCTCTACCCAGTGGCATAGGAGTGTACTGTGTTGGCAACCTCCACATTTCTCAGAGAGTTCCCTTAGTGGCTGGCCAGAGGGAGAACCTCCGGAGTGTGGTTTAGTAGTTGTGTTCTGCACACGGCTAAGTAGGCCAGGTGTGGGGAAACATTGCTCCCCAGAAGATGCTGAACTTCCAACTTGCACCATCCCCAGCATGAATGGCAGATGTTGCATAACTCTGGCAGTAGAGCATGAGAGATTTTCCTGCATCGCAGGGGGTTGGACTAGACGACCCTTATGGTCTCTTCTCTACAATCCTAGGATTCTAGCTGACCAGGGATGATGGGAGTTGCAGTTCAGCAAAATGCGGAAGGCCAGAGGTTCCCTGCATCTGAGCTAGGCCTATGAATGAATAGGCTACAGCCATGTTGGGCATCTTGCTCAGCTAACAATAGGGGCCCAAGTATTCTTGGTGGCTAGGAGTTCATTTTACCAGATTTGCCAGCTGTGTCCATTCCTGTTGGCAACTCCCGACTCACAAGTTGAATACCAGTGTTCTATACAGCTTCACTCCTTCAATTTTAGGAATTTAGTAATAGGTTGATGTGTATGGTTTCTTTAGACCACATGAGTGATGTGTTCATTGAAAATGAAAGAATTCCAGAAAATTGGGACATATTTAATAGCTTTCATTTTTATTTAAACCTTCAGTGTTCAACATAACACATAACCTACGTAAACCTTGTCTTTCAATGAAATTGGTAGGCCAAAGAGTAAAATGGTACAAAATTAATTTTAAGAGGCAAACTAGGTTTCTATAATGAGGACAATGTTCACATCCTCAAGTCTTTGTGGCTACAAAAAAATATTGCAATACAAAATGGCAATGAAATCTGATACAGTAATTCTCTACTGATTTAATGTTCTGCACTCATCACTTAAGCATCTTTCTCTGGTATAACCATTTATGCACGCCATTGAATCAGACAAAGGTGATTACTTCATAAGGAGTCAAGCAACAAATGTATTTTTTTAACAGGAAGGGGCATGATTCACCCCTAAAAGCAACATGGTTGGTATTCAGCTTATTAAGAGATCTACTGTCCTTTGTCAGAAGGCAATAGGGTAGTTTATAACATACTAAAAGACATTTACAGACCCCAAACACAAATTCAAAAATAATTATCTCAATATAGTTAATAAAAGCAGCAGTTTCAAGCAGCTCATAAATTCATTCCATCAGAGTTCCCCCTCATCCCAAAGCCTACTCAATGCGGTATGCCTTCACTGTTTCCTGGAAAGAATTATTATGTGGCTGTTACAGCCACAACGGTATGTCTAGGTGTCATCCCCACCCCCAACAGTGTGGATTATTATTCTGAATTAAAGAAACAAACATTAAAGCACCAAATAAAAACAATCCAGTATAAAACAAATTCAAGCTTCAAGGACAAGATTTCAGATCCTTCTCTAACTGACATTTTCCTTTCTCCATATTTATGTACTTAATTTAAGTGGCTGCCCCATAGCAGAAGTATTCTAGGAAGCCAGTGTGGTGTAGTGGTTAGAGTATCGGACTTGGACCTGGGCGATCAAGACTGAGTGGGGATTTGAACCCTGAAGCCCACCGAGTGACCTTGGGCAAGTCACAGCCTCTTCACTTACCTCACAGGGTCACTGTAGGGATTAACTGAGGATGGGGTGAACCGTGTACTCCTAGAGAAAAAGGTGGGGTGGAAAGGCAGTAAATAAGCTCTTCTGCTTGCGTGCTTAAGAAAGCTGGAGGGGCCAAGCCAGGTGAAGATGTCAGTCACCAGCCTGTCATCCAGAGATCTCCATGTGGTCACTATTGAACCTGTGCCAGTCGCAAAAAGTACCTGGCTAATTTCTAACACTGACTACGAAATAGTTAAAAGTGGACAACAAGCCATTGCTAACATGCTCACACTAATTTTGATTTGAGAACGGAATCCCTCCCCCAAGTTCATATTATCCTCCATCAAACTGAACAGCATTTAGGGAAACTGATTCTCAAGTTTCATTGTGGTATGGGGGGGTGATAACAATTCAGAGCAGTCTTAAATAGGAAGCTACTGAAGGTATTTGAATATAAACAGGAGTACCATTTATATAGGAGCAGCAATTAAAACAATACAACAGTGCAGTATTGCCCTCTGTTGGTGAGTGCATTTGTCTTTGCTACTCCGCTGTAATTCAGGCCTTGTATGTGTCACATATTTGATATTTTTCTAAGACTGTCTAAGGGAGGACTCCAGTTTATCCTTATCCAGCAAGAGCAGAGCATAAGCAGTTACTGGCTCTGGGGTCTTTCAATATAGGCATTCCCTCCCTCCACACATAAAGTGACCTGATGATGATCTGACATTTCATCTGAGAGACACATAGCCCACATTCAACAACCATAGTTCTATTAACTGGGGTGACAATGGTTTTAAAAAAATAAATCAGAAAACTGAGCAATATACGTTTGATGCAGCCAGTGTTACAGGATACACACCTCAATGAAGATGGGTACATAGTATTTTTGTTCCACCCCACCCCTTGCAATCCATCCATCCATCCTTTCTTCCTTCCTTTGCTTGCTGGCTAAAGTGTGACAGTGAAGCATACCGCCATGCACTGAAAATTGCAGCATGAGCCAACTCTGCTTCTGCTGGCGAGTACCAAAGGCCCTCAAATCTGCTTATCAGTCAAGTCAAGAAAATTCTGCAAGTCACACCAATGTGTACAGAAGACAAATCAGAGGTAAACTGACAACACAGCAATCCATTTACATATTACATGGTCATTACTACCACTCCTCCCAGTATCAAACTTCAGTGTTCCTGTACTTAATAATTTGGAAGCAAGTCAGAGCTACACTACATTTTGAGCTCCTCCTTGTTCCATCCAATACTGGACTTTTGTGGTCCCATGCAGCAAAACATATGAGGTAGGCCACAGTGGCTAACCACATACAAGGTAGCAGTTTCTGTATATTTGGCAAGATTTGAGATACGCAGAAAAAATGATCAGTTTGTACAATTAAAAAAAGCCAGAGGAATGAGCATGCTTACTGCCCTCCAGAAGACACGGAATGTAGGGCAACATCATTTGAAGGACAGCAAAATTGGTGTGATCAAGTCTCTACTAGCAGCTTACATGAACCTGAAGGAGAGGTGACTATTACTCTTTAAATAAGAATACACACACTACCTTTTAGGATAAACTGAGGCTGAAAGAATGAGAACTGAGGCGTATGCACTTGCCCCACAACCCAATTCTCTCTCCCCCACCAATCCAGGAAGCTATACAGTTTTAAGGATTGTGACCATTTTAAAGCTAAATATGTTCCTGCGGGAGGTGGGGGGATTAATTAGGAAAAGGAGGAGAGCCCTTCACTTGATCTAATTAAATACTCTCCGAGTTACAAAATGGACACAGGCCAAGGCAGGAGAACATCTGAGGACTGCTTTCTGGGCCCCACACCACACTTTTCACCAGCATTACTCCAAACCTTGGCTTGAACTGTGATGTTGCCTGGATAGTGGGACGGGCTGAGGGCAGAACCCAAAGTGGGCAGAGCAATGAAAGTAAAATTTACCTTTGCGCAGTAGGCCAATTTCTATACCCACCCCTTTCTATTCTCCCTCCAGGCAGGGAAGAGGCATTACCAGAGTTTAAAGACACATCCCAGCCAGCAAAAACTACTTGGCATGAAAAGTAGGGCTGGTGAAGGGTGTGGCCCAAGGAGAATTGCAAGGGCCAGACAAAGAAGCACAGAGGGTCGTATTTAGCAACAGATCACCATTTTCAAAATAAGGACTTTCAAACCATTAAAAAGACCCTGACCCTGCAGTACATTTTGGACCAAACCAAATCAGCACATACAGCTGGTTTGGAGAGAACTGCATCTTCGAACAAACATTACAATGCCTGTAGTGCAGTATAAAGAACCAGTTCTTGCTTCTGAGTAAGCCTGCTTAGACTTGCAGCCTCAAGGGGCAACATATAGCTGAGGCTATTCTTAGGAGCATTCTAAGGTAGCCTAACAAAAATCTACCTATAGAAAATAGGCACATAAATAGATTAGTGCTTGGGCTGCTGTGACATCTTTGAAGGTCAGTTTAAGTGTGGAATTTATCCAGACAATGAAGACAAAGCAAGTGTTGAATGATAAACGCACACACATCAGACAAGATTCTTTTCTCCAACCAGTTGTCTAGCCACCAGCATGGATAAGCAAAGAAAGCACGTAACACAAAAGACTACTGAGGTTAACTGCACAGTCCTCTAAACATGAAGCTGCAACAAAAGACCAGGAAGTGTCTTTAACCTCCACATTAGAGGATAAAACGCCACTACAGGCGGATGTGACAAAGATAATCACTTTCTTCTTCATCCTAGCATGTTGTCTAGGCTCTTGGAAGCTGTACTTGTAAGTGCATCATATATCATTGGGCTCTTCTTCTAAACTAGGTTTTTCAACATTAATTTAACAAATAAATACATGGATGATCACTGCATACTGCTGGATAGTCTAGCATTACAATTGTTGAAGTCTCTCATCAAGATTATAGCTGCTCATTTAGCCTCTGCAGAGGCAGGAACCCTTGCAAACATTCATATGGAAGGTTTCTTTCTTTAATGACTATTCCAGTTTCTGGTTACTGAGATGACTACATCTTGGCTCATGTAGCTGGAAAATCCATGGGTAGGAAGTAGTAAGGGAATTCACATCTCTCATTTTTATTTTTAGATGTCTGGCATTCAGACATCCCCAGGAATTATTTAGTTGTGAGAAAGTCTCCCTGTGAGCAATCTTCCCAGGATCCTGTATTCTTCCAGCACCCAATGAAACAGCACATTAAAAAAGTAAGATATAGATTTGAAGACCCTACTAGCCTACTTAACAAAAGAAAGTTGACTCAAGTAAGAAACTTCTCTTTTCAGAGAGCTGCTATAAACTGCAGTAATATGTTTCCAATGGTTTGCCTAGTATATCCTGCGTGTTGTATAGTCCAGAACCATACTAGCAGCTCCAAGCAAAGCAGGATCCGACAGCTCTGAGACGACCACCTTGACATTCTGCACAGAGAACAAGGCCTGTTGATGAATCACATCCTTGACAGTGTTGATATAATGGCTTGCAAGGATGCCAGAAAGTATCACAAGGGAGGGGTTAATAGTGTGCAGGATGTTCACAACTCCAAGGCCCAGAGCTTTCCCTGCTGTGAAAAGAAGAAACAGAAGTATGAATATGGCAATGGTCAAGAGGCAACTTTTTAAAGTTGAAAATGCTTCCACAGAAGTAGTCTTGCCCTTGGTCTATATCTACAGTTCTTTTGCTTCACTGTCATATACAAAGAGATTTTGCAAGGTTCTTAACACACCATGAAACATGTTTATTAGAGGTAATAGTGGGGGTGAGTGTGCAACACCATGTCTCGCTTACACCACTTTCAAATGTCAAAAATAAAGCTACTGCCTGCTTTTATTTAAGGGCAGCTTAATATCAAGAGTCATTAAAACTAATTTTAAAAAGGTTCTGGTATCATGTGACAAATTTCATTTATTTAATGTGTACACAGTACTTATTTATTTTGAAGGCTTACATCCGAGAGAAGATCTCAAGACAGCTAACACAAGATTCACAAAATAATATTGCACTCCAATTTAGCACGGGAATAGAAATGCCAGAATGTCCCAGAAAGCAACATTCCCCGATAGGTATTATTCTGTTTAGGATCATATATAGTTTCTTAAATTGTGGGTTGGACTGATGCTTAGAACACCCAGCAAAGAAGAGAAGAACAGGACACAGCTGAAGTGACAAGGGCCTCAATTCAGGTTATGTCAGACAGCTATCTGCAAAACGTCCATGCGTTGCCTGCAAACAGAACCAGTTTTTCAGACAGCAAATATTCCACAGTCTCACCACACCACATCTTTATCCCTAGCCAGGATTCTAACAAAGATTTCTGCTCCATGTTTGCATTCTTACCTGTTTTGACAATATGGTCAGCTTTTGTATTTCCTAGTTTGGCTGCCTGAATGAGATGTGCAGCCGTTACTACTTCTTCCTTCATTACAGACATCCCCCCAATTAATAATAAATCCTCTGCTTGAACAAAAAAAAAGGGGGGGGGAGAGAAAAGGGAAGAGAACAAGGCGTTACAATTCAAGCACTACCATAAACAGGCTAGTGGTTTGTTACATTTCACCAACCATAAGAAGCCAACGAAATACCATGGTACCTCTGGTTAACAACTTAATGCGTTCTGGAGGTCCATTCTTAACCTGAAACTGTTCTTAACCTGAGGTATCACTTTAGCTAATGGGGACTCCCGCTGCTGCCACGCCGCCACCGCACAATTTTTGTTCTCATCCTGAAGCAAAGTTCTTAACCAGAGGTACTATTTCTGGGTTAGCGGAGTCTATAACCTGAAGCGTCTGTAACCTGAAGCGTCTGTAACCTGAAGCGTCTGTAACCCGAGGTACCACTGTACAGATCCTGATGTGAGCAATTAAGTACAAGCCCCTTGTTGTAGCTCTCTGAGGATATGAAACTACTCTGTAGAAAATACCCCACTGGGTTGCTTGAGCATTCATGATTCAACATAGTATTATTGCTTAAACTATCGTCAGACCATGGGCGGGGTGGGGTTTGGTGGAGCAGAGCTACAAAGGGGCATTACTAGCACTTACCAGGAGAGGCAAAACGGTGAGGTCAGGCATGTGCAGGTGGAACAGTAGGAGCACCAGACTGAATATGCAGGTGCAGTCCCAACCTTACCTCTGCCTCTTTCCCCAAGTAGCAGTTATGCCACTGCCTGGAGGTTATTGCTGTGGCTGCCCCACCAGTCACACAGATATTATGCCACTCAGTATTCAAATACTACGCTACTCATTATCAGTGGGGTGCTTTTTGAATTCCGGCCCCTCTCTTTTTCTGCTCCCTATTAACAGAAGAGCTACTATCTGGTGACTAGAACCAGTGGAGCTGATAATTCTTTATCAATGTAAAGTGGTATGATTTAAGTAATTTATCAACATTAAAATAAAACAAAGCTGCTGTGAGGTCTTAAAGTAGCTACTGCCAAAGTTTCATCATGAGAATGAGGCAGCTGAGAAGACATAAAAAGCGGCATTTCACCAAACAAAGGTATTCACATGTATATGGCCGGAGGAAATTGCCTTATATTCAGTCATACTGGGCTACTTTGAGCAGTCTTGTAAAACACCTGGCTTTCTGTTGAGAATGCCTATGCAACATGTGTGCATAGTTCAGATGTGGACTTGCTTTGCAAGTAAGTTATACTGGCTTGGCTACTGACAGCAAAGTAAAATTGCCCTTGAAAATGCTGCTACCAAAACTATATTTAGTATTCTGACAATGTAATTATTTAAATGAACGTTCTGTATATGAACTTTTTTCCTTTTAGATTGCTTGCAATATGCACATAATGTGGTTAACAAAAAAAAGAGGAATAGGTTCCACCTACCGTCGTGCAACTTCTTAGCTTCTCTCTGCAAGGCTATTCCAGAAGCATACGCTTCGATACATCCATGGCTCCCACACAGGCACTCGGGTCCATCTAAAGAGACTACAATGTGCCCAAGCTCAGCAGCACAAAAAGAACTTCCATGGATTAATTCATTCTGATGAATGATTCCACCGCCAATACCTATAAGACACGAAAACACATGTGTGTTGCCACGTTAAAACTTTTTTTCCCTTTCTAATTCATGCGATAGAAAACAACAAAATTCTAGAAAATAAATGCCAGGCACCTTCTGCTACTAGAATTTGTAAATCTCCATTCCATTTTGATATATTTTCCAGACCTATTTATTTATTTTTTCAATTATATGCAGTATTTCAATCTCAGTTAACACATCCCAAAGTGGTTAAACAACATTACGGCTTGGGTATAACTGTGAGCAGAAGGAAGTATGGAAGGGGCATTTCCATCTCCTCCTCCTTGTACTCCAGGAAAATCTATCCAAAGGGTCAGAGGACCTCAATGAATAGCACTAAACCAGGGGTCAGCAACCTTTTTTAGCCGTGGGCTAGTCCACTGTCCCTCAGACCATGTGGTGGGCCGGACTATATTTTGAAAAAAATATATGAACGAATTCAGAGATTCATTTTAAATAAAAGCACACATTCTACTCATGTAAAAACACGCTGATTCCTGGACCATCCACTGGCCGGATTGAGAAAGCCATTGGGCCGCATCCAGCCCACGGGCCTTAGGTTGCCTACCCCTGCACTAAATGGTGCACAGGGGATGCTTGTGTAAGGGCCCCCCACTCCATTTTGCAGCAATTCCTTCTTGAACTTGTATCTGAGAATTAGCAAGTTTGATTTGTCTCATACATGCTCTTCTATGAGTGCCATAATCAATGAGGAGAAGCTTGCTATTTGAGCTGCTACTACCCAAAATGGCCACATGCTTCCTATAGGTTAAGGGAAATTAAATGTCATAGCGAACAGTCAGGTTCAAACGGCAACCACTGGCACATAATTCATTTAAAAAAAAATAACTACTGCTTTGAGTCAGCAATTATGATCCAACACAATATTTAAATGTGTTTAAAATGCAGGATTTCAGTGGTTTAGCTCTACGTTGGATTTTGGCCGAAGCACATAGATAGATACCTGTACCAGTGATGAGGGTTACGAAGTTTTCCACTCCTTTTCCTTGCCCAAATTTTCTCTCTGCCAAAGCTGCACAGTTACCGTCATTGTCTACCCACACTGGCAAGTGAAGCACATCCGATATCGGAGTCCGCAGATCAACCGTATTCCACTCCTGAATAAGTTTTGTGGAATGAAGAACAACGCCTTCTCGGGGATTTACTCGTCCACCAGTAGAAATACCTGAGCCACAAAGAACCAGAAAGGAGAGCATCTAAATCCGGTGTTTATAATATACAAAAATAAAATAAAAATCTTGCCATTCAGAAACACCTTTCAGATTTTCAAATAAAAATAGGCAGTCATCAGTAATCCCCCTAAGCAAGCTACAAACTGTCACTCATTTTCTTCAAACTTTAAAGGAGATGCATCAACAGCACTAGCTGGCTTCAGATTTTGACTTGTCCTTCATTGTTCCTTGTCTATCACACATCTCATTGATATAAAAGTAAAAGGGATCCCAGAAGCTGCAAAGGATTTAAAGGCTGATTAGGGCTGTGTCTTCTATGTCACCCCAACCTTTAGTACTGCAATCAGTGCCTTTTTTCCCTTTAGTCTCAAAGGGAAAGAATATGCTCAAATCTGTATGTGCAAATGCAAATTACTTTTGCAGAATTTAGCAACTTGTTATGAAAAGCACAAGGTGCAGAATTACAGAACTATATATAAGCATTAATATAACATAGTAATGCATTTTGCAGTTTATAATTACAAACAGATCTGCCTTTAACTGTTTTCTGTAGTAAGTCAGTTTAAATTGTACAGCAGATCCAGCATTGTGTAACCCACCCAGGGAACTCTGTTCAGCAAAATGTTCTAAATCAATAAATATAGTAATTATCTTTGAAATATATAGCACTTTGATTTAATGTTCTCCTTTAGTGAAGTAAAAAAAAATTAAATGTTTGTTAAAAACTTACCCACACCCAGAATTCTGCAGTTCAGATTTACTGCTTCTGAGGCAACCTCTACACACATCTTGAGGATCAACGCTATTCTGTCCTCGTAAGTTTTTGGATTCAGCTGGGTATATTTCTTAACTATTTCACCCTAAGTGAGAGGGAAACACCATTAAGCTTCTCATATTTTTCTAACTGACCACAACTATATTAAAAGTGGCTTCTCCACAGGCTGTCAAATATGTGACAGGGATCAAAGAGCAAGAGAATATGCATAGTATACAAATGTAAGCTGAGGAGACAGAAGTGTTTGTGTGTGGACATGCAACCTCCCTGGGCTTTCATTCAGGGATGGGATGTACTCAATTGGCATATCCTACTCCTACAAGCTATATGCCCAAGCTCAGTCTATGCTTAATTGCTGGTCCAAAGACTGTTTGCACTCCAGATGGGAGGAAAATGGTGAGGTCAACACACTCTACAGCAGGAAAGGAGCAATGGAGCAATAAAAACAATCGTTTAAGGGAAATAAGCATACTAGCTTTGTTTTTAGATGACGTGTGAGTATTTCACAGCAGGTGCCATCTTAGAAAAGTATCCCTCCTCTGCAAGTGTGAAGAGGAGACTATCCCTTCTGAAACAGTGCTTGTCACCTGTACTTTTAAAAGAGTTTACATTAAATAAATAATGTAAGGTTGCAGATGGCTGCAGTGGCTGGAAACAGACAGACAGGTCCTGCACATGTAGCAGTGACCAGAAGAGGAAGGACCGCTAGGAGGAGCGCAGAGAAAAGAAATGCCATGGTACATCTGCAGCAGCACAACTGGATACCTTCATCTGCCCCAGCTGCAACAAAACATGTCCCTCTCGTATCGTTCTTTACAACCACAGCAGGCACTGCAACCTTCCAATGGTTTACTTTGTGCCACCCCCTCCCCCAAGATGCACTCCTTCACTGTCTCCTGAGACAGGTGGATGCCAACCCTTTCATTAAATAAAATCAAGCTTTTTAAAAAAATGTTTTAAGTTATTCACCAGGAATACTAGCATGGTAGACCCACCCCGTATAATGCCTTCCAGTTGCATAGCACAGGGGTTCATCTTGTTGGAGATATGCTGGAGATACACATTGTTTGTATGCAGGCTTCACCATCAACCAGGGTGTAACCTGCATGTGACAGACTTTCTTCCTGTTTTTTAAGTGGTTCAATCCCACTCCCAAGAGTGTTCAATAGGATTTTGACTTACACCTTCTTCTGTGAATTGTTTGAATTCAAGTGTACAACCCTTTTTGGATTGCTGGGACATTCATGTATGGCTATAGCTGTAAGTTTTGTTTTATGACTATGGATCATCAATATAAACTTATTGAAGTAGGCTATATATGAGATAGGAAATTCTCATGCCTTTGGGTTTCAGAGGGCTTTTCCTATGCAGCTAATTTAGTGCCAACATGCTACTCTCCCTACAGAACTGCCTTATGGTTGAGTGAAATTGTTATTTATTAATTGCCTTCCACATATGTCCCAAAGTGATGCACAAAACATAACAAAAGCAGTTAAAAACAGCACAAAACTAACATTATGAGCTTTTCAATCTTAGCAGGGATGGTGTTCTGCAGGACAGGGGCAGAACACTAAAATTCCTGCTCCATCTTACTGTAGAGCAGGCTTCTGATGAGGAACTCTCCTGCAGAATGCAGTGACCTATTTGGTGGTATGTTAGGGATAAGGCAGTCTATTAAATATGCTGCTTTTATATAGACCCTTGACTGTAAGTACCAAAACCTTCTACGTGGCCTAGTAGCGGATTGGCAGCCAGTACAAATCTAACTAGCAAGGTGTTATATGCTAGTGGTAGTTTGCCACCAAAAGCAACCCATCCACCGTGTTCTGCACCAGCTGAAGCCTTTGGACCAACCTCAAAAACAGTACCACATAAACAGATAAACATGCACATTCTGCATGTTTTTTAAACGCGGTCCATTTAAAAATTGCACTGTGCACCCCACCCCAACCTCCCCAATGGAAGTTCCCACCTGGTCTTACTGTTTATATTTACCTTCATGCTGACAATTGCAACTCGGAGGTTTGTTCCACCCAGATCCACTGCCAGAGCACTCTGGGTCTCAAGGATATGGTCAATATCTTGAGAGATGTTTTCCTTTACAGAAGGGAAGCAGAATTTCTTCTGAAGGGGTTCTTGAAGATCAATAGACTTAAGAAACTTTAGGATTCTTGGAACAGCATTCCCATCTCCATATATCTTTGAACTATAACATCAAATAACAGCAATTAATGTAGGTGACATGTTACAAAACTACGCACCTTAAATTCCTAATCAACGATTTCTAGATTGCAAGTAGGGGGGAAGAAGACAAAAATACAATTTTCTCAGGAAGAATTTGTGCTTGTGATAACTGATTTGCAAATTTATAGGAAACATAAATTTGAAAAGTTAAATGAATTTAGTCAAAAGTTAAGTCAATCTAAATCTCATCTATTTCAACTGGAAAACTACATTTAAGGATATCTAAAATGACATTTTTCATAGATCTATATATCAACCTGCATACTGCTTATTCAAGAACCTAGCTGGGTTTTTGCCTAGTTGGCAAAATTATGCACTTATATTATTCTAACTATTTCTACTGTGCTTATGACCTTGGCACTGTACATAAAATCCAGAAGCTATAATTCTATCCATCCTTAACTGGAAGTAAACCAAACTTAACTCTGGGGGATGTACTTCTGAGTAGCTCTGCATTAAATCAGACTATATGAGACAGATTGTAATGACGCATAGGAAAGTGATGGGAAATGGTAAAGATATAAAGATCAGCTAGAGAAAGAGTGCAGTGCAGACACATTTTTATCAAGCATTGAAATACACCCACAGAAGAATGAAAGCGTTAAAGATTCCTACAGTTATGTCGAAGAGTTCCATGTGATGGATTAGTAACCTATGTGAACTGCGAGTCTGATGAGAATGTATGTATATAGAGCTTTTGAGTGTGCAGAGTGCTTTATATTCATTATCTCAGTAATCCTGAGAATCCTGTAATGTGAGTTAGTATTATTATTCCTATATTACAAGTGAGAGCTATGGCTGAGAGAATGTGGCTGCCCTAAAGCTGTCTGTGGCAGACAAAAGATTTAAAACAGGGAGTTCCTCATTTGGAGTTTAGCCTCTTATCTACTGCACACTATCAACATTGCAATTTATTTTGATATAGTCACACTACAAACTTATTATTACAAAAAGGAAAGGGGAATAATGTAGGATACCCAACTTTAAGACATTTTGTGGCCATTAAGACTCTGGTGTAAGGGGCTCAACCAACGCTGTGAGCATCGGATCAATTCACAGAAATAAAACAGTTCTGTTTTACATAATGATATCCTCTATAAAACGTGGCTGAACAGTGTTTCACCAACATCATGGGGAAAAACTTCACCAGTGCCATTTGTAGATGAGAGTTTGATCCTAAATAATTATATCTACACATATTTCTTCAATATAAATGCAACATCTATGCAACATATTTCTGCAATATAAATGCAACACCAACACTTGTTAGCTATATGCTGGTGCAGCCATAGGCCCTTCCTGTATTAAAGCTTAACATTTATCTGCTAGTGACGCAAACTTTAATATGTATTAGGGAAAGTTTAAAAAATATGTATTGGGGATTAACAAAAATGTAACTGCCAGTATTGTAATAGCTTTAAACAAATCTATGGTGCAACTGCACTTGGCATATTGGCAGAGGAGCCCAGTGTGATGCCATACTGCCACCTTCCTGACCAGTGGCACTGCTGCTGCTTAACCAGCAGGGGAAAGTTGCAACATAACAAAAGTATTTTCACTATTTTAAAGACTGTACTTACCAAGGATATTGTTTCCCAAACTGGAGGTGCAGAGCTTGCAGTATTTTGTCCTGTGTGTCAGCATCACGAACGTGAAGGACATTTTCACCTTGATTTTGTTTTTGGAAAAGTGATAGCAGTAATATTTAGGAAGAAAATGAATTTAAAATGAAAAATACTTGCTTTTGAACGCTACCAACATATCCTCACCAGGCATAGTTACAAGTGATGAGATTGGAGTTGGAGAGATGTTACACCTGCATTGCAGGCAGATAGGCTAGTATAATCAGTAGCAGACTTATAGTGCAGCGGCCGTGCTTACCTGGCCAGGAAGGAGAGGGGAAGGGGTGAGGAGGCTGGTGAAGTGCAAACAGCACTGACCTTCCCACTGCCTTTCCCCTCTAATAATAAACAGTGGTTCAACTGTTGGGAAGTCAAGTGAGCCTCTCCGCCACACTCCACCGTCCGCTATTGACTATAACTATTTAATTTTAAGATAATTATACTATTGTTTTCACACTTTTGGCAATGACAGTCTGTGTATATGAATTAAAGTTCAACTATGGTGCTGAACGTGTAAAAGTGTACATGGTGTTCCCTGAAAGTGTGGCAAAAAGCACAGCACACTCTTATAGCAGTGTGATTGCCAAGCAAGTACATAAGGCACTTGGCTACATTATACAGAACTCGGAGCCCAAGCTGCCTGGTCCCCAGCTGTTTGATCCTCTGTAGGCCAAATGACTCTAAAACAGGAACTCAAATACAGATATGGTTGCTTGTGCCCATTAATCCCATAGTATGTGGTGTGCCTTGATCACTGCTGCACAATGAAATGGGCTTTGATAATGCAATAGTACAAACGGGCCCCATGACCAAACAATGCAGAGAAGAAAAAGATGAGCATGGAAGAAGAGGATTTCCCCCCTTATATGACCTTACGTCCTCTTTGGACATTTCAGTCCCCACATTCAGGCAAGCAGTGTCTCTGCTTAAGCCAGGTACAAAACACACCCAAGCCCTCTCTCCTCCGCCAGGATGGCTTCAGAGAGCTTGTGTGAGAGAGCTTGTTCTGACCCTTTGTATCTGAAGCCACAGAGCTATCACAACAAGGCTTGTCTTTGGCAATAACCTTTCAAGTTCAAAGTTCTCACAATACTGGATAGCATCTGGGCCAAAAGATGGGTTGACAGCAAGCTTCTTCACCTTCTTTCCTCCCTTGCAGCTTTAGTTATTCCATGGGGGGAGGGGGAATTGGATTTATTTCCTTTGTCAAAGTTATCCCCTGCCCCAAGTATGAGGCTCTTTTTTTCCATGCCAAGAGAATGCTAAAGCAATTTTTGCTCCATTAGCAACATTACTGTCTGGTTTCCTGTTCTATCTGGTGGCTTCCTCAGTTGGTCAAAAGACATAATAAAAGCACTGCTTTATTATACATTTCTGATACATGGGTTGCAGAAAATATATTTTTCCTTTATTTAAAAACAGCCACAAAACCCATTTGCCAGTTATCATTTCTAAGTAACAAAGTGGGGCACACCTAAGAAAAGAAATGCAGGAAGGTAGCTCTGCATGTTTCCAGTACAGACATATACGCCTACTAACCAAGGATAACACTTCACATTTCCAATGGACTGGGCTCCTGTCCATGAAAACTTATGCTACAAGAACACTGCTAGCCTTACTTGAATACAATACCTGTTTCTCTTCCTATCTGGCGTGTCCCAAGATTGATGACAGGAGTACCAAATGCCCCAACCTCTCGCACACCACAGCTGCTGTTTCCAATCATACACCCAGCATGAGCCACCAGCTGAATGAACTGGTCAAATGGAACATGCTTTACTGCTCGAAAATTGGGGTGGTGTTCAACACCCTTCTTCCTCATTACCCGAACCATTTCTTTGCTCCCTGTAATGAAAATAACAGTAGATCACTTAACGGTAAGTAACTGAATTTTGGAAGCATCACTATGTACACCAGGAATGGGAAAACTGAGAGCCATATTCCCTTCTGGGCAACCCTTTGGGAGCTGATGGGCCCGAGGGGCTGCATTTGGTAGCATTCAAAAGCAAGTATTTTTCATTCTCTTCACAGGCTACAATATTAACTTTAGATTCATTGAATAAGAACTCTTTTCCCTCACCTGCATCAATATTTGGAAATAAAACCAACGTCCTCTTGTTAAAAGAGATTAAGGCATCCAAAGTCAATTCAAACATCTTTATGGAATGTTTAATGTCTGTGGTCACTGGGTGCTGTAAAGCAATTATATAATCCTTTGGTTTTACGTCTTCACCTGTAAAAGCAAAGTAAAAACAAAAGCCAGCTTTAAAAAAGTAATATAATTGGGTTGGACAAGAACCAAAAAACCCCATATTTCATTCTGGGAAATTACTCAAGATTTATTCCACTGTGAAATAAAAAATAAATTGTTCTGAAATCATTACAGTAGTTACCTGGAGTATTTCTTGCATTATGGTTTGGAAAGATCTGATCAAGACTGAATTATGTATGGTGCCAGATTATTTTAGTACAATCATTTATCTGTTCAGCTTTGTGACAATCCTTGGCCTTAAAAGGAAGGTGTCTTCATTTATTTTAAAGACAAACAGAGATATTGGATTCTAGTCTCTGTATATTATACAATACTTGGTTCAATTTATTTTGAACTCCACCCAAAACCTAAAAAGCAGTTTGTACCCCCAATGCAGGAGAAGATTTACATTTAAGAACTTATATTGTCAAACCCCAAAGAATTGAATTGGCTCATCTGGATCGTTACAACAAATCCGAAGTCTTTGAAATATATTCTGCTACACTGTTTATTCTACATGCCTTACATTCATTGTTCCTAATGCAAAATTCTCTCAGGGTTCTGCAATATTCTCCATATACCCCAAGATTAACAGACCCTAATTTTCACTCCAAAATGTCTACTTATGAAGACATTAACAGGAGTCAGACTCTGGGCATTTAGGAACATGCAAGAATAATCCTGTGAGACAGGAGAGTGTAACTGAGCTTATAACCCTACCTCTGCCTACCTAACACTATCCCACATTGTCAGTTTGTCAGCAGCAGGACAGCCTATCAAATGTATGGAGGATGTCCTTGTGATCTGTAACCCCAAGTTAATGGATAACACTGGGGAAAGGCTGGAACAGAGGTGACAAAGGGCAAATGTTCACAGCCCAACTGTACACAAACCAGCCTCACATGATTATACTTGTGTGTTCCTGAATAAGCCTTCCGTACTCCTCTAATCAGAGGTAAGAGAACAGCACCAATCTCCAACACATAACCTAAAGAAAGACTGCACAATGTGTGACACACCAAGCCAAATGCATCCCACTAACCATGATGACAGCCCCATTAGAGGGTACAAAACATCCCCTTTGCTCTGTACCTGCAACCACTATTAGGCTGTCATATAAAGCTGGTGGCCTGCATTCAACTTGGAGGGTCACAGGTCGGATAGCCTATATTCACAGCACACCTACCTAACCACATGAGGATAATGCTCATGTAGTCCTTGTTTTTGGCAGATAACAACTTATCATATGAAGGGCAGCCTGCCAAGAGGATACGGTCGTGGTCTTCACACATAGATATCAAATGCTGCTCTGCACTTCTTGTGCAACACACATGATAATGAGCCAGCTTGGTTATGGCATGTCTGATGGAGTCATCTATAGTACCGCTGACTTCTCCGCCTTCAATATGAAGAATTCGAATGTTCATTAAGGCTGCAGATGTTGCTAATGCTAAAGCATCAAACCTGTCTCCATGGACTATCATTATGTCAGGCTTCAGACGATTGAGGACATCTGGCAGCTTGACCAAGGCAAGGCCTACAGATTCCACCATGGCTGCCTCATCTTCTCCTCTCACTATTGTGTGTAACCTAGTGTGGATGTCAAAGTCGTCCTGTTCAATCATACGGTAAGTGTTACTGGGAAGAGGAAAAGGGGAAAGTGTTAAAATTGCAAAATGGTGTTTCATAAAATGGTGTTTCTTTGACAATGTATGACTAACATTAGGAAATAATAACATTTTTTAAACCCATGCAACTAGTTACAAACTATTAAAATTTCTATGTTTATCTATGGCTGAGAGGTTTGGATACTCTAGGTTCCAAAAGTTTATCCCAAGTGATAATGGATTCAGATGATCAACATTATAGTCACTTGTGAAAGTGAATGTTGCTCCAATTCCACTTTATGAATATGGAGATGAACAGCATTCTAGTGTTTAAACATAACTTCTGATATAATCATAGGATTTAAAAACTAGTAATATAAAAATGAAACTGCAGTGTGCCAAAATAAAACTATATTTTGCTGTTAGTAAGAGGAAATGAACACTGCTGAGACACAATGAAAGGAGAAAGACGAAACACTTGTGATGTTCCAGCATCGTTATTAGTGTTAATCACAAGCCTATCTGCAAAATGGGTAAAAGTCAGGAGTCATAACAATGAGGAGGAAAAATATTTTCCTTCCATCTGCAAAAGTGATTTACTTTCCTGCCTCAATTATATTGGAATTCTTAATTGTTTCAGTCCATAATTTAATCCCTAATTCCAGCCAAAAAGTTTGAAAGCCAGCAAAGCACTCTTTATTTTTTATCTTAAAAAAAAAAAAGCAAACACATCAATTTGAATTGGATGGTTAGCAAAACTAACTTCTTCGTGACCACTGGCATCCTGCCAAAATGGAAAGCTATCACTGAGAAAGGATTTGAAGGTTAGACCTTGCAATATCTTAATAGCTGGCATTATTCCTTAGAATTATGGTGCATTTCCTACTTAGCCCTCACACATTTCTCAATTTAGATATTGCTCATGGTCTGGACCGTACACCTATGTAAAAAAATAATAATTGCAAGCTACTCATTGGAATTAGCCTTCTATTGAAAAACGGTGCTTTTAAAAAAATGGATGGAGCTGCAACTCTGATTTAGCATGGTGTTAATTACAACATTAGCAGAATAAGTTGTTCAGGACAGGGATCAGGAAAACTGGAATAACTCCTTTGCAATAAAAAAATCATTCTATTAAGAGTGCCAACCCCCGATCTTCTGTTGTACAGCAAAACTAAACCTCTCCTTTTAGGTTCATATCTGCAACATCATTTGAAGACACCTATTACTGTGTTGTGTTTTGTGAACACTACATTCAAATGCAATCCAAAGCCTCAGGACTATGATCATCAAACTGGCCTAGTCCTCCTGCAAATGATGTTCAGGGCAGTTATCTCTAAAAACCCAAATAAATGACTATTTCTAAGATTTTTCAGTGCCAAAAAGTACCCCAGGAAAAGGCAGAAACTGCCTCCCAGCCATGTCCACTGCTATGCTTTTATTCCCTGAAAAGCAGTTGAAAAATAAACATACCCAAAGGCTTTCCATGCGTTCTCAACCCTAAGACTTAGCTTACCATTCTTTTTAAACTTGATTAAATATTGTGTACCATATTCCAAGAAGGTAACATTTTATTACAGAACAAAGGCACTGCCGTTATGAGTGACATAGAAGAATGAAAGTTGGTATTAGTTTTCCTCAGCTTTACTACTATGTGTCTGGTATTGTTTGCAAAAATAGCAATAAATCAATTGTTACATAATCAGTTCATAGAGATTGTCCTATTTGATGTATTTATCAGCACTGCATGCAGTAATGATAGCAAGTATATTCAGGGCTGCCAAGATAGCAGAACAAACAAAATTATAAACCTTACCCATAGTCATCAATCAGGTGGGAGCCCAAAACCACAACATCCAGCTCAAAGAACTGTGGCTCTGCTTTAATGCCAAACATGATTGGGGCCAATTTGGAATAATCAGCCCTGTTGCAGGTAGCAACACAAACCCGAAGTTTCCGGTTGTTCCCATTCTTCTCCATTACTCGCTTTTGTTTCTGTTTAGAAAGGTTTGTGAAATATAGTTCCTGAAATGTAGGAAGCAAGATACAATTGCACAAGAATTATTACACTAGGAGTCAAGAGTAGAGTATTAAACAGAGTACTGGACAAGGTGACAGATACTATTTGGTCATAAAACCCACTAGATGATTTTGGGATAGTCACCCATTCTCAACCTAACCTATGTCAAATAGCTGTTGGGGTGACAATGGGGACGGGGTGGAGTGGTGATGCATGGGTGGGAAACAATTGTGATTGCCAGACAGGCACTATGCAAAGGTTGTAAGCTAGAAGGCCACATGCCCAAGATACTGTACTGTAATACAGTATGCATAATAATACATGCATGCATAAGCAATAGCACAGCATACTGCATATACTGAACAGGAAAAAATAACTATGTGGAAGTGTCTATTTATCCACAACATAGTCCTGGGTGCACAAACGTCTTCATTCTGTAAACGAAGCAACTGTTCCATATGTGAGGCAGATTTTTTAGCAATTGGTCATTGTTACATAATAGACTCTGTACCATTCCTTTATAGCAGAAGCAGGAAAACTTTAGGCATATGGGTTTACTTTGTCATGAGAATCCTGAGGTCCACCATCTGGAGCCACATACAAAATAATGTCGTAGAAAGGACACAGAACTGAGGAAAATGTTGTCTCTGAGAATATGCTCAGTACCAGAATCATACCAGTACCACATAGATCCTTTCATACAAACATCATCTTCCTCTGTTGTTGTTGTCACTAATCACCCACCCACCCCCATCCAAAGGTCCCACAGCAGGTTACAACAATTAAAATATTAAAATCAGTTTATAACAACTTAAAATTATAGAAATAAGGTGGGACTGAAAACATACACCCTAAGTGTCAAAAGCCAGGGTAAAGAGGTATACCTTTAGCATTATACAAAAGCTGTATAATGAAGGTGCTAGACACACCTCTAGGAGTAGGGAGTTCTGGTGATTCAACAGCCTAATTTGAGGAGTGGGGGGGGTCATATTTTTTAAACCATAAGTAGCAGGAAACCTTTGCTGCTCTACTGAAAACCACCCAGAGACTTAACTGCAGGTTCTGAACTGCCCTGCTCTGCTTTACACATGTCTGTATGCTGCCAACAGGATTCTAAGGATGGAAATTTTTGCAAAACAGAACAAAAGTTTTCATTTTCATGTCTTATATAGAGAGAAATCCAGAGTTGGAAGAGATGACCTAAGTAGGAAAGTCTCATTAATGTCAATTTAATCTGTTTTGTAAAGGGTTCTTTAAATCTGGGGCCTCCTCCTATAAGGAGAGTTCACAGTTTCAGTTCCAACTTATTTCAAAATACGTGTTTAGCATTTGTTATGTTATATAGAAAGGTAACCATGCAGTACACAACCAACTGCCTTCTGTAGTCTCACTGAACACACCCATAAATACAAAGTACTTTCCAAGAAGCAGAAAATGAATTGTGCTCTGCCCTTGCTTGATAATAGTACAAAACTCTGTTTTGTACTGTTTTTTATTACACACCTCATAACATGCCTTGCTTACATATTGCAAAATGAAGCAATTTTTGGAGGCTATTGTGACTTACCCAGGATCTTTATCTAGCTTGCCTTGGAAGTAAGCAGTATTGGGACTTACTCCAAGGTAAATGTATATATAGGGCTGTAGGCTAAATTGGATAACCTCTCTAGCTTACTCTCCCATGAGGACTTCCTAGACCTAAGCAAAAGAACAGAACAGGACTGAACTCTGATTTCTTACTGCCCAATTGCAAGAATAAATGGAAAACAATTATCCCCCTCCACATTTGCATGCTTTAGTAGGCACAGAGCCATTAACTGACCAACTTTTATAGCATTAAGTGGCCGTGCTAGACATCATGTCATTCAGTTATTTTTTCCTCTCAAAAACTGAGAATAACTACATGGCATGCTACAAAAATCTAGAACAGACATTTCCTTAAAGTTTTAACAAGTCAAAGATGCTCAATCTAGTTACACATCTAAGTATTCATTATTTTTCTCATATAAAATATGTTTAAACTCAGGAAATTAGCTGCTGGCAGGTTTCTTCACAACAAATTTATCATTAGTCATGGGCTGCAATACAACTTTATATTGGTGGCCAAAGTACTGCTTTCCCTCAGAGTCATAAAAGAAAGAAAAAGGTTCCTCTTCATTTAATACCTAGTAAAACACCTTCTATAAACACAAAAGGCTACTGTAAAAAGTATTACTTTGGACAACTCTCAATAATTTTTTATTTATATTTTTAGCTTTAGAACAAGGAAATGTTACCTTCTATCTCTTCGCACACCACCCAGTGAAGGATTAAATATTAGCTTTTACTAATATTTGCATCAGAATTACTCCGCCTCTCCTTCCTCAACACTGGCTAGTGAGTCATGTTTAACTCCTAAATTACTCCTCTTTTGAAGCTTGATGCTTTTTCAGCTAAAACAAACAGCATGCAACATACAGCATACGAGGAGCAAGGGAACCTGTTCAGTCAAAGGGTTAGGCCAATTTAAATGCCAAAACAGCAAAGGAATGTGAACTGCAGGAGCAAAGGATCTACAAAACTGAACAGTTACCTGTTAACCAAGCAGAATGTGAAAATTAAATAGGTATACTTTTCTGAGCTGAAATCATTGTCATTACTGTGGCAATGTGGGAGCTGGAAACAAATTACCGGTACATACTTTTAAACCATGATAATAAGTTATCCAGTTTATGAACTGTTTTCAGGATCAGCGACAGAAACCCACTTTTATTTATTACCACCTCCCATTGCAGTCAGGGACGCGGGTGGCGCTGTGGGTTAAACCACAGAGCCTAGGGCTTGCTGATCAGAAGGTCGGCAGTTTGAATCCCTGCGACAGGGTGAGCTCCCGTTGCTCGGTCCCTGCTCCTGCCAACCTAGCAGTTCAAAAGCACGTCAAAGTGCAAGTAGATAAATAGGTACCGCTCCAGCGGGAAGGTAAACAGTGTTTCCGTGCGCTGCTCTGGTTCACCAGAAGCGGCTTAGTCATGCTGGCCACATGAACCAGAAGCTGTACGCCGGCTCCCTTGGCCAATAAAGCGAGATGAGCGTCGCAACCCCAGAGTCATCCGTGACTGGACCTAACGGTCAGGGGTCCCTTTACCTTACCCATTGCAGTCAGTTACTGTTCACATAGGGGCATACGTAGGGGTTGGCTAGGGTGGTCCCTGCCAAGGGCATAGGCTTGGGGGGGGGTCGCAAAAATTGTGCCACTGCTTGGCACCCCTGAGCTGCCACCAAGTGCTGCAGCCAGCTTGAGAACAACTCTCCACTTTAGCATGCGTCTCCTTTTCCTTGGTACTCAGCAAACTTGGTGGGCACCACTGCAGCGACTATTTACTGTTGCCCTGAGTGAGAAGGCAGCACCTCTGCCCTCCCTCCCCGCCCGCTTTTTGTCCAAGATGCTTCTAAAAGCAAAGGGGCAACTGGGTGGCAAGGTCACCTTGCCCCCAAGCCCTCTTTATTGTGTCAAAGTCCTCCTCAGAGTTTGTTGAGGGCACAAGGAGAGAAATGTGCTGCCCCTATGGCTGGCAGAGCATCCACTCCCTTCCCTTCCAACCAGAGAGTCATTTCTAACAGACCTGAAGCAAGAGACAACACCCAGATACACAGACTGAAAACTGAAATGCCTTAAGGCTTCAACTTGAAGGATAATACATAAAGGGTTCTCTGTGTTTTTAATCCTATTTTAAATATTTCTAGCACAAATATATCTCTTTTTATGTAAGCTTTCCTGAGAATTCCCTCTGTCCAGAGCATTTGGTGACTCCAAGTGTTCCTTTTGAAATTAAACAGTTTTGTGTTACCAATGAAGGCAGAAGCTGAAACATTTACCCAACCAATGTTATGCTTATCTTGGATTTCTCAGTCACATATTTATGGAGATTTTTTTGTGAATGCTTTCTGGTAAGGATCCACAGCCTTGTTTAACGTAGTAGTTTATTTGTTTTTTTGCATAATATATTCCCTTCCAATAGTGGGTGATACCATGTAGCAAAATAGGGTCACCCACATACAAGGGGAAAAGAAGATTACAAATCCAGATATGCATAAACATATTAGTTGTGATTAAAGCAAACAAACAAATAAACAAACAAACAGACAAACAAAAAAAACTCCCATTCTTCTCCTAGTTAATCATTAATTTTTAAAGAGTGGGGGACTGGTTTGATAAAGAACCTAATAGCTAAAACATCCTAAGGGGATGGAGTTAGGAAATACACCTGGCAAAATGCACATCCCTCAACTTTTATTTCAACACAAACAATCTAAGATGCTATAACATTTCAAGGTTATAGCACCCTTGCAGCTAAAAAAAGTAATTCAATGCAGCTAGGTCCATTAATTAGGACTAGAGAAAAAACAATTGGATTTGGAGAACACTTGCAAAAGCAGCCAGAAAAATAGGCCTATGCTTGCAGAATGCAAACCTCATTTATATTTATAGACAGCTATTCTAACCACTGGAGATTAATATTATTTTTTTGCATATGTTAACCTAACCTAATGCTGCAGCCTCTATGTGATATACATTATAACGTTAGCCTAATTAAATAGAACAATATAATAATATCACTAGTAACCAATAAACATACAAGCAGAACATTTGCAGGGAGTAAGATAATGGCCTGGTTCACACATCTCTTTAAACCATAATTAAACTAAACTATGGTTTAAAGAGATGTGTGAACCATAATTAAACTAAACTATGGTTTAAAGGTAGTTCATTTTGGAAAAACAAACCATGAATTTGGGCTTGAATAGAATGTTCAGCCAGCCCATAGCTTAGGTCACTGTAGAGAAGAAGCAAAGTGCCCATGATTTTAGCAGCATGCCCAGTTTGGCTACACATCCCATTTTAAACCATCAGCTGATGAGCAGGCATTAAGTCCTGCTACTTATATCCATAGGTGTTAAATCCATAGGGAACTGGCATATGCAGCCAATTCAGAATTGAACCCCAAACCCCTACCCATCAGCTGATGTCACCCACCTATTGGAGCGATGTCAGCTGATTGACAGTTCGGCATGATTTTGAACAATGGCTTCATGGACCAAACTAGAACTCTTGGCAGATCAAGACTGGCCCACAGGCCAGAGGTTCCCCACCTCTGCTGTAACACTTAAAAATAATGCAGTAATTTAATATTAAACGATGTTGGGGCCATGGCAATATTCTGAAGCTGAACTGGTGCTATTAAAATAGCTTTCAAGGCAAACGCCCTCAAAATGGGACCGATCTGTCTATAGTGATTGATAGCCATTATCAAAATATATTTATCTTGTGAACCACCCTGAGACCTGCAGGTATAGGGTGGTATACTTATTTATTTACTTATTTATACATACATACATACATACATACATACATATGTACTTATGTTTGAATTGTCCCTATTTTACCCAGGAACAGATCCACTTTTCTGGTACATATCCCTGATTATTATTATTTTTTAAAAAAACCTGTCTTGCCATTTGGGGGAACACCTTTCAGAGCATTTCTAGGTTTTAAAACAGTTTAAGCAAAATAGGGAATGCTCAGATTTCAGCCTTCTTTCCTGGGTCTTCGAAGCTGCCTCTCTGAGCGATAACATCTTGCCTCTGGCACACGGTGGGCCCCAAATGCCAACGCACCCACTTCCCTCCATTTCCTCCCAACCCCTAATCTAAAACCACACAGCATCTACTTTCTAGCAGCCACCGCTGCACCCATTGCGAGATGATGATTATCATCACCACCATCTTTTTTTTTAAGGCTGCTATTTGTTAACTAACATCCTGCTTCGGCCAGGCTTTTGCAGCCTCAATGTTAAAACCACCAAGCAGCAGGAAGGGGAGGAGGAGATGGAGAGCCTCCGGCAACTGCCATGTGAGGGCAGCGATCCCTGCTGCCACGATTTACCCGCTACTCTCCACGCTCCCCTTCAGAATGGAAACCAAATTATATAGGAAAGAGGAAAACGAAAACAAGTGGGGGTTCCCCCCCCATCCCCTTATCTGGGTGCTTGTTTCGGGCGCATCATGGGGAGAGGGCTGCAGCAAAGTCTCTCTTTTTTGGAAAGGCAGACATGGCACCTTCTCTCCAAATAGAAGAGACACACACGGCGTGTCCCCCCCTCAAAAAATAGCAAATGCCCGTTTTGCCGAAGACCCGTCTCTCTGCTCCTTGGCGGCGAGGGAGAGCGATGGCCCCGGCCCTTCCCGCCTCCTCGGCCTCCCAACCCCTTCTCCGCTTCCCCGCTTGAAGAGAAAATCCGTGAGGGGAAATATTTACCTCAGTTTTTCCGCTTCGCGCCCCCGCCCCGGGCCTGGGCTCCGCCTCACGCGGCCTAACGGGGCAGCTTCTGCCGCGGAGGCGCCTGGGGGCCGCCGGCGAGGCGATTTCCGAAACAAAATGGGCGCGTCGTTGCTGTGGGGATGGAGGGGCTGCCGCGTCGCTGGGAGCCAGGCGCCTGCGTGGCCGCGGCCCGGCTCGCCGTTAAGCGCGCCGGCTCCCTCGCCGCACCTGCACGGCCGCAGTCCGGGGAGGAGGCGCTTTCGCCCTCAGGCTCGGAGGCGGCTTCTGCTCGCCCATGGCAGCCGCCTTCTTGCAGAGAGAGGAGGATGGAATTGGCGGGAAGAGGTTCCTCGGCCGCCTCTCCTCTCCTCCCCTTCCCCTGGGTCGACCCCAGAAAAGACTTGCCTGAGGCGCGGGGTGGGGAACGAAGGGGTATTATTAGTATTGCTGATGTCGTTAATTATTATCAGTTTTGTTGTTTTTCTGGAAAGAAATGTGGGGGAATTGACCAAATTTGCTTCTTTGTTTATTATGGGCCCAGTCGCAGTGCCACACAAACACTAGGAGCCATAGCTGTCAACTTACAGATTTGAAAATAAGGGACCAGCAGCCAAAATAAGGGATTTTGGCTTAGTTTATACAGAAATCCGGCACTGATGGAGCCCTGCTGCTTTGGCTGCCCCTGACTGTGTTTTGCAGGGCGTTGGACTAGATGATCCTAAGGGTCTACAACTCCAACCAAAGAAGAGTGGCAGACAAAACTGATGAACGACGTCGAGATGGCAAAGCTTCCAGGCAGAATTAGAAACCAGGAAGAGGACCTCTTTAATAAAGAATGGGGGAAGTTTATAATTTATTGGAAAAGCTATTGTAAAGAGTTACATACATTGGTAGGATCGGCAGAAAACTTGTGGTAAAAATTTGAACTATGGATGGACAATTGATTTATAAAAATAGAGTTATGAAAGGGATGCAGAGGGGGAAATCACTACATTAAGATGCTGCACTGGCTGGAGGGGATGCTAAGCAGCACGTCAGGGCTGCCATCCTCCTGGCGCAAGGAGTTCCATTGGCCCTTCCCCGCCCGAGAGAGAGGAAGAGGGACTCTCGCCCGAGAGCCCGGCATGAGGCGGTTGCAGCGCCGCGGCGGCCGCTGGAGCGCTGCCCTTCTGCGTCCCTCCCCGTCCCCTCCTCTTCCTTCTCCCTCAGGCCACCTCCTCAGCAGCCGCCGCTGCCGCTTCCGGCTTCCCCTGGCAGCGCGGCAGAAGTCTCGCAAGAGAGGGGCTGCCCACCCGCCCGCCGCCACCCGTCTCCTCACGATGCGCCCCTGAGGGGGAAAAGGGAGAGACGGAGACACGGCAGCTCATGCGCACGCTCTCTCAAGGTGGAGGACCCCGAGCCGCTGCTTCCCTCCCGAGCCGGACGAGCATGAAACCCGGGAAATTTAAGGGACATCATCAATCTGGACAGCAGCGGGTAACGGCGCTGGGATAAGGGAGTTTCCCGCCACATAAGGGACGGTTGACAGCTATGCTAGGAGCCAACTCCTAGGGTCCATGGAGTCTTTGTGCCCCTCTTAAAATATTTGAGGGGCCTGGCCCCCACAAAGTTGATGGGCATTGCCATTCAAATACTGTAGTGCGTATGCACCCCATCATGTGATTGATTATGCAGGGTGGGGCTCACCGCCCGCCTGCCCCCCCTCAATTTCTTTGGACAAGTTGGCACCCCTGAAATGTAAACTGTGATTAATAAACTCAAGCAGACAATGGTCTGGATTAGAAACTGCCACAACTTTATTGATTACAGTTATAGGTGGATTTTTGGCTCAGGCATTGGGTATATATTCGTTCCAGCCCCCCATCCCACCCGACCAAAAAAAAAAAAAATATTTAAAAAGGTAAGGGAACTCCATTCCTCCCGAGTTCCTGCTCAAAAAACACCCCTGACGATGATTATTATTTATTATATTTATTAGTCACTTTTCCTTGCCAGGGCAACTCAATGCCATTTGCAAAAACCCAACATAGTGTTATGAGTTTGTGGGTGCCAGACCCCTATACAGTAATCCCTGGATCCAGCAAGTGTTAAAAGGTAATTAAGCCAGGCTAGCTTCCTGTGATTGCCTGGGTGACCGGCCATTAAGAGAACAAAAGATGAAGGGGTTTGGTGCAAGATGAGAAATGAATGGGGGGCCCTCCCTCAACAAACAGATAAAGCCAGTGTCAGTGTTCGAAACTCCCATTGTTCTTTGCGCATTTTGCGACAGGGAATTTCATTAGTGTGAGCAGTTTCTGAGCTCTGGGCCTAAGATTTCAGATTAAAACTACAGAGTGGAAAGAAAGGACTTTTTTCTGCCTCCCCACTCCCAGCTACTCTCTGAAGACTGGAGAAGAGACCCTCTTAAGAATATTAGGGGAGGGTGGGCATGGGAAGGACTAGACCATGTGAGAAATGAACATAATATTTTAGCTGCAGTTCCTTTATTTTCTGCTTTGCATTCTTATAAAAAAGTGCACCTAGACATTCCATTGTTGTGCCCATAACCTAGGTTTAAGGTGCCATTTAGCTCCTAAGCTTTCATATCTCAGTTTCTAACACTGTTTAGCGCATAGATATGAGGGAGAGTGATGTGACAGAGAAACGAGGCAGCAAGCTGGAAAGCCGGAGAGGCTTGAAATAAATAAATAAAAAGTATTCGGGCAGCTCTGCTAGTTAGGGTGCAAAGGGTTGCTGCCTTGGTTGGATTTACTATTGAAAGAACTTGCATAAGGTTGGGCAGTCAGTGACTATAGATGTTCCTAGTGATCGTAATTTGTCTACCTGTACGTAGGGAATTCATTTTCCAGAGAAAATAAATAAATAAAATTCCTCCAGGGGTTTACTGAAAGGTCAAGAAGAGAAAGAGTATGAACTGGCAAGATGGGACCGGAAAAAGGCCTGGTGCCATATGGGACAGGAAGCATAATGCTTTGTGGTGATAGCCTTATTTCAGAATACACTTTGGAGCTGTCCTGTAGATATTGATAATAAAATTAGGGTGTTTATTTCCTTATTGTCTATATGTAATAGGTATATTTCAAGAGAAAGGGAGAGCCTATGATAAGGTGCTTAATATAGCTTGGTTATCTCTTTAGGTTTTAGAAAGGAACAGTTCTTGTTAAATATTAATTCAGTGCACAAGGGCAAATGGATAAATGGTGCAATTTACACATGGTCAGAAGGTCAGCCAGTGAATTTAAATTCCAGGTACCTAAACAGCAGTTAAACACACTGTTGTAGCTTACAGAGGAGCATTTCCCATGTGAATAATGTTACACACTCCTTGCATGCTACATTTGGAGCAACAGACTCACATGAATCCTTTCTGTGAGTGCAGGACATGGATAACTGTTGAGATACGTATATTTTTCTTGCTAATTTCTCTATAAAACATAGGTAGTTGGAATATTTTTTGTGATCCCCATTCACAAAAGTGTTATGCATTTATGCAAGGCATTAGCAGTGTGGTGCCCAGAGGTGCACGTTTGCCTACAAAGACCATACTTGAATAATTTGCACAAATGACAGTTGAGCTATGCATTTTGCCAGAAGATCTGCTATTGATCTGGCAATCTGCTATTGCTTTTTATGGTGTAAATGCAGCCAAGAGAAAGAGGTGGTTGTTTGATAATTTGAGTGGAATGGGGGGGGGGTTCTTATTAACCCTTTCCTCCATGCTATTGTCCCTGCTTTAAATCCGGGGGGGGGGGGGGAGGTATTTGTGATCCACAGGGAGGAGGTATTATGCAGTATGCCCTGTGTGAACTTTACTGCTTTTCAAATTATGACTAAAGTCCAAAATGCTGATTGTATGTATAAATGCAAAACTTTCCTGACAAATATATTTTCCCTCAGGCTCGACACCATGCCAGTAAAAATTCTGGTACATTGTTCATGTTGCTTCAGACTCAGATTAGGTGGGTAAACATTCTGTAATATAATGGATTTGCAAATGTATTTTTTAAGGCAGATATGGTTAACGTTCCTGCTTCAGCATTATTCATATGCAAGATTTGGGGATGCTCTAGAAGCATTGAATACACTACTCGGTGCTTTTACAAAATGAATGAATCATCATATGTGCTTATTGCGCCAATCCTATGCATGATTACAGAAGCTCAAAGTGCCTTATCTCTCAGATAAATATGTATAGGCCTGCATCCTGAGAGTTCTGCAAACTAGAACTAACTATAGAAAGAAGTGCCCCTGCCAGACTGAAACACTTCCTCTCCTATTATCGCTTCTTAAAATACACTTCACTCAAGGAACTGCAGATTAAGATAACAACAGTCTGACTTCAGTGACAGAATGGCAAACTATTCCCTAGCACACAGCATGCTTTGCTTTACGGCAGGGGTGGCCTTGTACAATCACAATTACCTTTAACCAAGCTTTGAAGGTCAGCTTGCAGTGTGCTTGCCTTTACATCAAGATATTCCTCAGAATACCTTTTTTTGGGTGCTCCTGCTAGCCACTGAGTGGCTCCCATGGGAAGGACCTTCTCTGTGGTGGCACTCTGACTGTGGTATGCATGCTCTTACCAGGGAGACTCACCCAATTCATACTCTGATGTAGTTTCAGCATCTTTTTTTTTTAAAAAAAAAATAATAATTAGGCTTTTCAATCTAATTTCTGCTGAATACTTTTATGCTGCTCTTTTAAAAACACAGCTTTTAAACTGTTTTTGGTTTTGTTCTCTTTTCTTTGTTGAAGGATAGAATATATATCCCTAAAGTATATTTCAAAGCCAGCATCAAACTCTAGCTTAAGGCTAACCATAGGGAATGTTATTGCTACTACAATGTTTTTCAGGTGTTAAAGCAGTTGTACCTTGGATCCCAAACACCTTGGTACTTGGATGTTTTGTCTCCCAAACACCACAAACCCAGAAGTGACTATTCCAGTTTGTGAACTATTTTTGGAAACCAAATGTCCGATGGGGCTTCCATGGCTTTCGATTGGCTGCAGGAGCTTCCTGCAGCCAATCAGAAGCCGCACTTTGGTTTCCGAACGTTTTGGAAGTTGAACGGACTTCCAGAACGGATTCCGTTCGACTTCCAAGGTTCGACTGTACCAAACTGTGGTTAAGTAGGAAAAAAAAACAAGCATGAATGAGCTCAGGCTCATAATCTCTCCTCCTACCACACTCACCAAGCGTAGCAATTTCTGTTCCAGGTTTGCAACCAGCCACAGTTCTGCCACTTTATTCAAACAAAAATTGCAAAATATAATTTCAACATAATTTGTAACCCTAGTTTGCAAGATTTGGGTGAAATGGCAAAACTGGTGTGCCACAAACTGGAATCACAAATGTATTTAATATTGTCATGCGGGTGGGGACGAGGGACGAAGGGAGTGTTGCAGTCCTATGAATGTTATTGTCCCCCGTCCCCCCCATAACACTAAACAATGGCTTATGTAGCCTTTTGAGATTCAATAGTAATCATGTAGCTGGGAGCAACAGAAGCTGGGGCAGGATGTCTTCTGATCATTTTCCCATACCACACACACTCTCTGCATGGGTTCATGCTTGGATATGAGGCTTTGCTACTGTCCAGTGTAATTCCACCAGAGCCAATTCAGGTGAACGTTTTTATATAGAGTCAGAAAGACATTTCCCCAGCAATTAGAGCTTTACTTTAAAATTGTGATGTTACAAAACCCCAGCAGTTGATTATATCAGCCATTAAATCTGCTCAATTTCTCACACCAAGTCAGCAAGTAGTTTATCTCTTCCCTAAGTCAATAAAATGAATATAACAGTAATGTGAGGTGGCGATCTTTAATCTAGGATGTAGGAGACTCGAGGAGAGGATTCCAAGTACTTTTGCTACACATTATCTCTATTCCTGCAGATATTTGTAACTGGAATTGTTTTTATGGTATTTAATATAACTTTTACATCAAAGACAACTCTACATGCTTTGCTTTTCAGTTATGTATTAGTCCCGCTAATGCAGTCTTATTGATCGATTAATGCAAAACTGTTCAGTATATGATTGCTGTGGTTTTGGTTATGTTTCTTTTTCTGCTTATCCGCTTAATTTAGGCCTCAGTGTACATGTTAAAGTGATTCTGCAGTCATCTTTGCTGTGGTTTGGTTGTGTTCATGTTTCTACTTATTGTCTGCTTATTTATTTGCTTAGGTAATTTAAAAGCTGCTAGCCATTAATCCCAGAGCAGAACACAGCATAAACTTACATAATACATAATAAAATCTCCAAGAATCAAATTACCAAAACAATAAATCAATTTTGCCTAGGTCTTTATATGATTAAGCAAGCACAGGGTTAGCTTTCAACATTTTGATACCCTAGTCTGGGGTAGTCATTGTGCCTCCACAGTGGAACCTCGAGTTGTGGATGTAATCCGTCCCGGAGGCACATCTGCAGCTCGAAGCGTTTGCATCCAGAAGCGCCGCGTCTGCACACGCATGCAGCGCGATTTAGTGCTTCTGCGCATGCGCGAGCTGCGAAACCTGGAAGTAACTGTTCTGGTACTTCCGGGTTGCCACAGGATGCAACTTGAAAAGCCATAACCTGAAGCGGACACAACATGAGGTATGACTAGATGTTTTGGAGTACAACTAGTATCATCCTTGATCATTAGCCATGCTGGCTGGGGCTGATGAAAGTTTTAGTCCACAATTTCTGCAGGGTACCATGTTGACTACCTCTGACCTTGGCTACTGATGGCCAGACATGTGGCCGGGGAACCTGGATTCTTCCTGACAAAGCTGCTTGAGGGATAAATCCTAACCATGAGAGGTTTGGAGGGTAGCAAAATGAGAACGGGCCTTTTCTGTGGTGGCTCCCCATTCGTGGAATGCTCTCCCCACGGATGCTCGCCTGGTGCCTTTGTTACATATCTTTAGATGCCAGGCAAAAAACGTTCCTCTTCAACTAGGCCTTTTTACTTCAATCTCAGTAAAGCAGCAGGAATAAACAATGGTTGAAAGGTCTTAGGTGTTAACATTCTTTGCTTAGGATGCCGCCTCTCCTTTTCATAAAGTTTAGTTAGCTTTGAAGTATAAACAAACCCTTGATTTTCAATGCTTAGTCAACCAACAGCTCCAGTAAGATCCCCTCTTTGCTCCTCAGTGATTTTAAGCATCAACCCAACTCCTTGCAACTTAGGAATCTTTTGCCCAACATGGGCTCAAACCCACAACCCTGGGATTAAGAGTCTCGGGCTCTACCCACTGAGCAACTCTCACTCCCAAGCAGGTAGCTTACGTCTCACAGAAGGCACAGATCTCTGATCCCAGACTTTGTGTTCCTTTACGCTTCAAGGACAGTATAACCACCCCTTCTCTTATTTTCTTTCTTTTTAGTGCACATTGTCTGTAGCACATTGCTGCGCTCCCTCTCCAGACTTTGGAGTTAGTTTAAGGACTCTTCTTCACCCTTTAGAATCAAGCTGTGTATGCACTGTATGGTTATTTTCTGCCTGCATAATTGTAAGCTTCCTGTTTGAATTGGCACCCACATACTCTGCTTATATTTCTGTGTAATAAACCAACATTTTTCTACTTCCTTGTGTGATAAATTCTTTATTGGGCATGAGAGTTAAAGGTATACACACATTTTTAAATGAACGCACATACTGATCCCATGCAAAAGGTTCAAACCCTTTCAGAGCTGAATGTTAAATACACACGAGTGCTGGACATGCTGTGTAACAGTGCTTCAAGAAGTCTGTGCAGTGTACATTTCTTCCACAAATAACCAAGCCACAGAAAGCTATGCTTCTGAGATTTGGGAGTAGGGCTTCTAGATTAGACAGCCTAACTTCCAGGTAGACTTGATCTCCACAGTAATTCATGTCATGTTCTTGAGAAAAATAGGCAGTGTGATCTGAAGCACGCTTGTTCAGAAGTGTATTCCATTGAACTCACTGCCTGAGCTTACTTTTGTGTTTATGGTTTTCGTCTTAAGGACACCTCTGGCATGCAGGCTCATCCCTAGCAAATGGTCTCCCAAACCACTTAAGAAGAAACCTTTTTTTACTCAGTGGGTTCTCAGTAAATGTCACCTATAACAGAATCAGTGGCTTTGGCAAACCTGTAGCACAAGAAGTATAGAAAAGCCTGAATCTGCCCAGTGAGGGTGCACAAGACTTGTAATATTTAATATTTAATGTTGTATTTTAATTTTGTTTTTAAGTTGTAATCATTCAACTTGTTTTTATTATTGCTTGTAAGCCGCTCTGAGCCCAGCCTTGGCTGGGGAGGGCGGGGTATAAATAAAAATTATTATTATTATTATTATTTGTAGAGCTAAGAAAAAGGGTGCAATGGATTCTAAAGGGGAAGGAACTCTGTTTTATATGCAATAAATAAATAAATAATGCTGTGAGGGCAGGGCAGAACTAATTTATTTTTTGGCAGACACACCTGCTGCCCCCTGTCTTCCCTATGGCTCTAAGAATCATGCTGGTTCAATCTCACTCAGAAACTTCTACCTGAGTTTATAAGAAGTGCAAAACCTGTAAAAACTGAGTCGCTTCCCATTTTGCCACCTAAGGCATTATCTTCCACTTGCATCAATGCTGCGTTTGCTCCCCCTACACACCTCACAGCAACCTGGTCAAGTTTATCAGCAAAAACATTAAAAAATCCAGTTCTCATGGTTGCGAATTGTGGGTTCCCACCACAAAAGAAGATTTCTTTCTGTCCAGCTTAGCAACCCTGATCCAAAACATAAGTGAGGCTTGTTTTTATGTTGTGTGTACTATTAAGATGCAAGAATCCATGTAACAATTACTATATATGCATAATGGGTGGAAGGGGTCAATAGGTCACTTTGCCCCATGATGAGCATGTTTAATCACTTCCCATATCCTCTATAAATTCATAATCTCAGCTACGGTTGGCTAAGATTTTTCTTAACAGTTTGATATCCAAAGCAAGACACCTGGGACATTATGGGTTGTATTTGATGCAGCCCTATCCACTTTGCCCGGGCGGAACAAGTTCCACTTGTGCAATGGGACTTTTCTGTGCTTTCCTTTCCCTGTGTGCCTCCTAAGTCTGCTCTGGGGATTCCTCCAATTCTCCAGAGCAGGGATCACAGGGGTGGGAATGCCACATGGTTGAAGACCACTCTGTGTTCACAGCAACAGTTACTTCAGTTTAGCTTGTACAATTTAAATCAAGCTCCTGTCCTATTCATGCTGTGCTTTACACGGTTGCTTAATACTTGATGGAAGAGCTATACCCCCAAGATCAGAGGGGTGCAATGCGAAGGATGTACACATCTCTTTGCAGTACACAAGCCCTCTTCTCAAACACACGGCAGGCATTTTGCTCATTGTGCACAAACATTTGTCATTCGTTGAACGCAATCTCACAGGTACAGTACACATATAGATGCTATTCCAGCCTTTCAATGCGTGTGTGAACCTGTAATGTACGCATTTTTTTAAAAAAAGTCTGCTAAGTGCTCTAATTCTATGCAATTTTCATCAGGGCTTTCTCCCAAGTAAACTTCTTATTTCTGAGTATTTATATGAAGGAATACTGGGCTTGATGACATGAAACATGTACCTCATTTCCACGCAAAGACTTCCAGAGGAAACATCTTGCAATAAAACAACAGGCACTCCCCCCAAACTTCCTGCTGCCCATTTCTGAAGACACTAAGCACTAGGAGCTTTAGGTCTCAGATAATTGCTTTTAAAATAACTGCTGCAGGGATTTCAAACTCTTGCTGTGCAATCCTATATGTATCTGTATCAGAAGGAAGTCCAGTTAAGTTCTGTGGGGCTCAGTCTCAGAGTTGCAGCCTCAATACACACTGCCACAAACTAGAACACAGCAGGGATAGCAGCATAGCTTCCTTAGAGTAAGGGTAGCAATCGTGGCACAACTCAAATTAGAAAGTGCTTTAGTATATCAAGACTTGCATCTACAGCTCTTGGTGGGGAGTTTTGACAAGATGTGAGAGAGGTTGCGACTGGGGTGGCCCAGGAACAGGAGGGCTCTTGTTGCTGAAACTAAACCTGCATGTGGGACCCTTCTCAGAGCCCCTCTAAAAAGCGACCTGGACTTCCTAAGCAAGGCTGGTGTATAAATTAAACCAGGGTTCCTCTGAGCTCAGCTCAGCTCTCTGTTCCCAGGAGATGAGAGTGCACCTGAGCATGTGACGAGTGCATTTCCTTTACACTCTGGGGAACACCCCTCCCCCAAACAACAACTTACTACTATTGAGTATCTGACCAGAATGGGAGTGGAAAGGGAGTAGGGCTTGTCTCTCAGACGTTTCCAGACAGTCTCTGCCCCTCTGTCTGGAAACGAGCTAACGCCAATCGCTGGCCAGTCATAACATTTCTCCGTCGCCGGAGAAAGGATCTCCCCCCCTTGCCCGGGGGAAAGGCAGAGCAGAAGCGAACTCGGTGCATCAAATGTAGGTGGGAGAGAGACCCATCTCTGTGTGTTTTGTATGCATGCATCGGTCCGATTCTGTTCCGAGCCGTGCGGGGTCCCTATCCTACAAAGGTGCGGGTGGCTTAAGGCACAAAAGGCGAGGATGGAAGCGACCCCCCCTCCCACACACATAAAAACGCCTCCCCCACGTCCCCCATTCGTCGCAACAAACCCTTTCTTTTTCTCCATTGCCTTCCAAAGGCGCTCTCTCTGTGTCTGTCTCTCCCCCCCGCCCCCGGCCGCAGTTCCCGAAACAAAAGGCTCTCTGTCGAGATCTCGCTTACATGGGGACCGAGGGGGATCTGCTGCTCCCGGCGAAGGCGCACGTTGCTCCCCATCCTGTAGAGGATCTCAGCTTCTGGGCGTCCTCCTGCTGCTTCAGCGGGCGAAGCAACTCTTGGCTTTCCCCGGGAGATGCTCTGATGGGCACCTGAATTCCATTCTCCACTTGAAGCCCTGCCCCCTTCGAAAGTCATTCAGAGAGAGAGAGAGAGATCTGACTCATTCATATGCTTGCTCCTTCCTTCGTAGCAACCAGGATGTCAGCTGAGACTCTTTTCCAGATGAAAACATAGGAGTTTTCCTATTCCCCTAAAAGCAGCCAATGGAATTGTTTCTGAGTCTTCCTATTACCTTTGCCAGTCTCCATCTTGAAGCTCAGAGGCCCCCTTTTAAGCGCAAAGGCGCTTTACAGGACAAGACCTTTACAACAACCCTGTAGTGAAGGTTGCCGTTAGCCATAGCCCCATATCGGAGAAGGGAGATGCTGCTGTGTCATATAACCCATGGCAGAAACTAGAATCGAACTCAGAACTTCCTGGGAGAGTTCAGTCACATAGGAAGGTCACTATACCTGTAATAGTGGTGTGCCACCACGTGGGTGGCACTGTGGGTTAAACCACAGAGCCTAGGACTTGCCGATCAGAAGGTCGGCAGTTCGAATCCCTGCGACGGAGTGAGCTCCCGTTGCTCGGTCCCTGCTCCTGCCCACCTAGCAGTTCGAAAGCACGTCCAAGTGCAAGTAGATAAATAGGTACCGCTCCGGCGGGAAGGTAAACGGCGTTTCCGTGCGCTGCTCTGGTTCGCCAGAAGCGGCTTAGTCATGCTGGCCACATGACCCGGAAGCTGTGCGCTGGCTCCCTCGACCAATAAAGCAGATGAACACCACAACCCCAGAGTTGGTCACGACTGGACCTAATGGTCAGGGGTCCCTTTACCTTTACCTTACCATGCATGAAGGGGTGAGCTAGGAAACTCTCCCTGTTCACCCATTTTCAAAATCCGTTAGCTGGCCTTAGGCAAATGTCTCCTGGCCTCCCATCGGCAATGGCAGAATAATCTGGCCTACTGTTCAAGGTTCATCAACATCAATGATTTATTTGTATGCTGCCTTTCCATCGTTAAAATCATGTTCGAGGCAGCTTACAACATGAGAAGATTTTCATAATTGCAAAAGAAGTCATAAACAATAAATAAAACACACCAAAAAGTACATGACCAAACTGAACAATTTCCACACAAATCATAATAAGATCTAAAACTAAAGGTACAAATAATAATAATAACAGCACACACACATACACCTTTTCCAAGGGGCCTAGGTAAAAGTCAGATCTAGCAGAATTAAGACAGATCCTCTTAAATTGCCACGATTTGATGGAGCGTTCATCCCCCCAAAACATCAGCAAAGTAAAGCCTACACTGATGTACTGCACAAAAAAGCATATGTTTTGACCGATGATTTGATGGTAGTTTGTATTTTAAAAGAGAGGATTAATAAAGACCAGTGCTTGGGAACAATGTCTTTGTACCATAGCAGTGCTGGAAAGCACTAAGATGTGTGGTTTTAACTGTTTGGTTAATATAGTACAGACAGATAGATGTAATCTGTGATTTGATGGTTGGTCAGACAAGGAGAGAGAAACTCATGAAAAAATGCTTAGTTCCAAGAGGGTCTGTTTTATTGGCTCCAACTTGTATCTTTGTGTGCATTGTCTCTCTCTCTCTTTTGTGTGCTCAGTTTCTCTCTCTTTTACACACACACACACACACACACACACACACAGTGACATTTTCCCCACAGACACCACATTGGTGACCCTTGCTCTAGAGTTCATCTCTAGATAATAAAGGTTTCACTCTAGGTCAACGTTTCCCAATTTGATGCTCCTCAGGTGTTTTGGACTTCAACTTAGCCCCAGCCGGCACAGATTGGGGAAGAATGCTGCATATGTGATCTTCATGTGCAAATGCATCCATGTGCAAGCTGCCTTTTTGCAAGGTAAACGGCGGCTAACACAATCCCCCTGTGTTGGATTTGGCCACAGTGGAAGGTGCAGCAAAACACTGGTAGGAGAGGCAGTGAGAGCGGCGTGTGGGTACCACTGCCCACCTGTGCTAGGTAAGAGCCATAAAGAAAGGGATGACGAAGTCCCCATTTCTAACACTCCACTCTCTCCAAGATAAGTACCCTACCACACAGGGCTGGTTTCCTAGTTTGGGACCTATCTCCCATCCTTTCCCTTGGGGCTTAAGGACTGAAATTTCCCTGTCATTTCATCTCGTCCTGTTTTCACTGTCACTGTGATATGCTACAGAGAGTCACTGAGATAAAAATTACCCAGGGGAAAGACGATCACTCCTGGAAGTGTGTCACTTAAACATACACACACCCTCTGACCTAGGACAAGGTAGCCCTGATCTGTCAGGGTTTCTCATGAAGGTGTGTGCACAGTTGCCCAAGAGGTCCTCTTTGCCACTTCTTGGTGGTGGAATCCTGGGGGAACCTGGAAAGTGATGGATCCTAGAAGAAACTGGGTCCTGGATAAAATAGCTCCCCACCACCCTACCTTGCCATGCTTGCTTGTGCTTATGTTCCCCATTTGGACAAAGCATCAGAGCTTACATGGAGTCATGCCAGCACAGTGCTATAAGATCAGATCACTGATTTACAAGGCTTCTCTCCTATACATCCAGTCACGTTGTTAATATGTCATTATTATTTAGTTGCTCTACACAGATTCAAGCTTATCACCAAAGATGTATTAGCGCATTGGTTCAAACTGCCTCTAGATCTTCCTCCAGGCTGCAATAATTGCGATGATGAAGGGTTTCTGAAGTTGTATGTCTCCGGCGCAATGTAGCAAGGGTGGGGTGGGGGACTAATATTTTCCCAAACTGTCTTGCAGTCATTTATTATTTGGAGGTCATAGGGAGTTCACCAGAGAGCTGCTCTTCCACTGCTATAATGAGTTGCCTCCTCTAGTAGCTCCGGGCAATAATTCCAGAATGACCTAGATGAAAATTCATTCATCTGCCATTATTGCTTACTTTCCACTCCTTCATCTGGACATACTCTGGATGCCATCAGCTCTGGTTGGTGCCTCCTTCTTTTGAGAACATACAAAGAGCTGTAGAATTTGGTGAACTGAGACCTTGCTCACATTTCTATGAACCTCTGTGTGCTTGGTAGTACAAAGGCAGTTCTAGCTCAACCTAGTTATTACCTTGGTTACTCATTAGGCTGGGAAGGAGGCGGCATAAAACTGCTATGAGCTACCCACCAAAAAACAACAATTCTGTGCTATGATCAGAGCTGTAGTTTCATGACAAGGCAGAAAAGCTGCAGAATTTACTGGCCACAGACTCCGGCTCCCCAAGAATATTTCATTTAAAGAACAAGCAAATTCAAGTTCCTAGTCGTTATGGCTGTGAAGACAATGCTTATGTGTGTGGGGCAAAGCCTCCTGGAATTTCAGAAGCCAGATGAGTTGGTGAGTGAGAGGGCAGGCTGTCCAAGCCAGCTCTTTACTCCACCCCCATTATGAGTAAAAGCACAATACATCATGCTCAAAACTTTTTAAAAATTGCAGGTTATGAAAAATGAGTGACATTATGCAAAATTCACTTTTAATTATGACTGTCTCTTAGTAGCAGATCCCCACTTATCTTGGTACCTTTGCATACAGAGTATTCACGGCAATGGTGGTGCCCATACAAGAGAAGCATGCTAGGAAATCTACTAGTCTTGTAGTATTCATTCATGCAGAAATATGCATTCACAAGTACATGCCCTCCTGATAGGTTTTAAACAACCTGAACAAATTTTGTACAGTATGTGTTCCTGGAGGCAAAGATACTTGTTTAGTTCATTCTAGCCAATGAACCATTCTAAATTTGCATTTATTGATTCATTCCTAGAGAGTCTACAGGCCTGATGCAGTGGGAAATATATGTCATTCCTATATGTCTTGATACACTGGTTATTGTTCAATCCAAACTGGCTTCAGGCTTTCATCTGAGCTGGTGTGTTATCCCTTACACACATCAGTCTTTATTTTGTATTTTGTTGATATGTCCTGCTTAGCAACAATCCCAATAAATTGGTATCAACTTTCCGCTTCTTTGGGAAAATCACTTCTTTGGGGAGATATTTTGTCAAATGGAAATGAACTTATGTGATTACCTTCTACTTTTTGCAATGGCTCGTCCATTCCATCGAAGTGTTAAATCAGCTCCTTTTGAGAGCCTTCCATCTTGTACAGAAAATTCATTGGGAGGAAATCCTTTGATCATACAACCAACACATTAAGAGAAATTACTGCGGCTCATCCCGCTGACTGTGGGGATCTTGCTAACTTTGGCTGATCATAAATTGGCACAGAATACTCAGGCACAGTATTCCTTACAGTTGATTTTGCCAGAGTGCTAGAAGCCAATTTTTCCCCTTCTCACTGCATTTTGGGGCAGTGCAGAACAAGTCTTTGCTCTCTTCTATGTGACAGCCCCGCCATCTGCCCCCCACCTGCTGAACTCCTGTCATTAACATAAAGGTAAAGGGACCCCTGACCATTAGGTCCAGTCTTGACCGACTCTGGGGATGCGGCGCTCATCTCGCTTTATTGGCCGAGGGAGCCGGCGTACAGCTTCCTGGTCATGTGGCCAGCATGACTAAGCCGCTTCTGGCGAACCAGAGCAGCACACGGAAACGCCGGTTACCTTCCCACTGGAGCAGTACCTATTTATCTACTTGCACTTTGACGTGCTTTCAAACTGCTAGGTGGGCAGGAGCAGGGACCGAGCAACGGGAGCTCACCCCATCGCAGGGATTCGAACCACCGACCTTCTGATCGACAAATCCTAGGCTCTGTGGTTTAACCCACAGTGCCACCCGCTCTTTTTCTTTATCACCCACCTGGAAATATGCTTTGCCCCTGACAGTACCCTCCCCCCAAGAAATTGTTTTATGGTGCTGTCACTGTGTCACAGTAATGCTACAACACTTGTGAAGAAAATAGAAGGGTAAGTATATTCATTCTCTCTCTCTCTCTCTCTCTCTCTCTCACACACACACACACACACACACACACACAGTCTTTCAGCATGAGTTAAGGCCTTTAGTTCATATGTGAAGGTGGATCAGACCCACACAAGAGACGTCAAAGAA